GGACTCTTTTATTATTAGGACTAGTATAGAATACTAATTTATTTATATTATTAATAAATTAATAATAGTAAATAGATTTACTAATATAGAAAGAGAAGTAAAAAAGTAGCTACTAAGAAACTATATTAGAAAGAATAGAAAAGACTCGATTATTTATTTTAAATTAAAAGCTATCTATTAAAAAATATCTATTAGAATTTATATAGAGAATCTAGTAAAAGAAATAAAAGAAAACTTACTACTAACTTCTTTAGAAAGTTAAATAGTTCTTTGCTTAGCTCTCTAATTCTTTATATTATTAAATGCCTATTTATAGAAAACTAGCTATAAAACTATAGTCTGTAATTCTATAAGACTAGATCCGGCTATATTTTAATTTATAAGATCTTAAAGGGCTCCAGATAGCCTATTATTAGTATAAGAAGCTATAGCCTAGGTAGCGGCCTAAGTAACTCTTGTATTTATAGCCCGTTAAGCTTATATAATAGTATAAGTATTATTAGAAAAGTAGTTAGGTCAAGTAATATAGCTTATAGTAAAAGAGAATATAGAAGGAAGTAGTTATAGGGCTATTAGAGTAAGAAGAGCCTGAAGTAAAATAGAACTAGTACCTAATAGCTATATAATAATAGTAACTAGAGAAATAGATATAATAGATATTCCTGGAAGAAAAGATATAAAATAAGAATACTAAAAAAAGCTAGGGATCTAAAATATTTCAGATATAAAAAAAGGAGCAGATATAGACGGAATTCCAGAACTATAAGATTTAAGTCTACTAGTATTACTATTCTGGGTAAGTAAAGCAGTAGCCTTTATATTATATTTATTATTAGTAAATTAATAGAACTTATAATATTAGATATTACTATACTAATATTTGGCTATAGGGTATATAATATTAGGGCAGGTTTTAAGAAATAGTAATACTATTTTAAGAAATAAGAATTTGAAAATATAGAATATTCATATAATAGATAAACTTAATAATTCTATTAGTATTACTCTTAAAAGTAAGAAAGGGATTTCGAAAATAATATATTTAATAATAAATAATACCTATTTTAATATATCTAATTATTTTATAACTGGCTTATTTAATTACCCTATATTATTAGAAGTATTACTAATAAAGAGCCATTTCTGGATAAAGTCCTGGACTATTAGGAACTATATAGGTATTCTTCTGGCCTATATATTATTTATATATTCTATATTTATTAGGATAACTTATTTAAGGATTCTATTCCGTATAATAGTAGTATTATATTTACTAGTCGGCTTCTCGGACTCTCCTAATATTAGTAGCTATCCTAAGGCTATATATACCCGGATTATATATTAGAGCTAGTAGTAAGCTTGAATATATAATCGGTTACTATTTCTATTAGTATCTTTTATATAAATATCGGCCATATTTATACTATAAGATATAAGCTTCTAATAGTACTATTCTAGTATTTCTCTCGGTAGAAACTTGTTAATATCTATATTAGTATATAAATAAACTATCCGTATAGAGCTATATAAGGTTATATTACTTACCCTAAACTAAATAATTATTAAGAATTATATTATAAAGCTCTATATTTATAGGGCGACCCTAGTACTATATCTCGCCTAGAGGCCTTATATATAGTCTAAATGGCTTGCCGGCTACTATATTAGGCCTAGATCTATCTTTTCTAATTCTATAGATATTTTATAAATCTATAAACCTATATATCTTATTTTGGATTTACTATATATAAAGTACTAGTAAAGTAATCCGGTCCTATAAGTATTAGTAATTATAACTCCTAATATAGGCCAGTTCCTGAAAGTAGTTCTATATATACTAATTGGAATTAGTTATATAATCCGGTACTATAATACTAGACCTAATAGCCTTAATAAAAAGTAGTATAATTATTAGTACCCGATATTTCCTTCTAATAATAGAAAGAATAAGAGGCAAATATAGGGAAACGGAATTACTTATATATTACTAGTATAGCTAGCTTTTCTAAAGCTTCTACTACTAGAATTCAATCTACTAATTCTCGGTATTTTCCCCAGAAATAAAGTAGTTCTTTATATATATAACTAATAGATTAGCTATCCGTAAGAATATAAAGTATACTTTAGTAATAAGAGAGAGTTTAGAGCCTTAATTAGCCCTAAAGAAGTAAGAGTAATAGCCTATTTAAATACAAATCTAAAGATACTACTATATAACTAAATAGGTAATCTAATTAGAGATTTTAATATATACCTAGATAATATTATATAAATAAGTATTAATATAAGTATATATCTTAATTCCAAATAATAATAGCTTATTATATCTATTAATTAACTAAATCTAGTCTGGCCCAGATATAATATATTTTCCCTTTTTGGATTATATCCGTTATATTCGTAATATAATTGCCTCGGGATCCAGGAGTTATAATATTATATATAAGCTTTCCCTATAGATAATAAAATATATTAGTAAATAAGGCCCTAACTTTCCAAGCTAGGGCAAAATAGTAAAGTATAGAAAGACTAACCGGATTACTAGTAAACCTTATTAATAGAAGTATATATATAAATACTACTATCTATAACCTATAATCCGCCTATTATTTAGCTTATTTTATAGTATTATAAATAGTTACTCGTCTGCCGCTTGCCTATTTATTATAGTTATATAGTAAATAAAACCAAGCTTCTTATATATATAAATAATTCTAGTAATTAAAGCTATATAATTATAATTCTTAAGATCCTTAAGCATTTCCTTATCTATATCTTCCAGATAATATAGGATTATAATCTATATATAAAGGAAAGATATATCTGCTATTTAAATATATATTTGGATATTCTATTCTTATAGTTACTATTGGACCATATATGAATTAACTAAGATTCTATATAAATCTTTTAATCTATTTATAATTTCTTTTTAATTAATATTTATATAAGCCTATTTAGTAATAGCTTTGTAATATAGTAATAGATTTATTAAAAGTCATAATATTATTTTAATAAAATCTACTAAGTTATTTTAATAGGAATTAAATTCAGGATATACTTTATTATTATAATATATTTTTTAGTAATATAAGTACTAAAAAACTCGAATAATATTATTTCTATATAATTTTATTAATTAATTACTAAAAAAAAGTAATTAGCCGGCTTCTTAGTTATTTTAATAGTTTAATTTTCTTATTTCTAACCTCGGGAATATTAAGGAAGTTATTAGACCCCTATTAATAGTATTAAGGACTAGAAAGGCTTATTGCCTATCAATTACCTGACTATAGTAATTTATAATAAATACTTAATTTTATATTATACTACCCGGCCTAATTTTGGCACGATTTTATGCGGTAGTATGGGCTCTCACTTCGTTAATTAGACAAGCAAGCAGCCTTACTATTGTTGCGTTATCCAAGCCGAAAGTCACGTGTGGGTGCTATACCCCTAATTAGGAATTCTGCCTTGGGGAGGAGGGGGAGGGGTGTACGGGGCGCCAGTGCGAAAATCAGAAAATCAGAAAATCACTTTTCGCTTCTCGGATTTGTCCGCTAGCTAGCTGTGGGCCTCAGTACTCTCTCATATTTCAATGTGTAACTAGCCATCGTGCTAATTCTGGGAGTTCTAAAGCTTATCTCTACTAATACTAGGACCTTAATAGGCTAGGGCCACGCCGTCACGCACCTTCGGCGCGCGACAGCATGCGGAGCACACTCACGTGTAAAGCACATTTATATTCAAAGCACATATATATTCAAAGCACATTTATATATGAAGCGTATTTATTTATAAAGGGTATTTATATACGGAGCGCATTTATATGCGGAGCATATGCGCATACCTTGAGTGCACGAGCATGCATTGAGGATATACTTTTTAAGTGATTATAAGGGGTAAGGGAGGGACGTGCTTCTTACCCGCCTTTTGTGCGCGTGCCGAGGGCTAAAGAATAGCCGGAGAAAAAAAAAGCCTTACCTTATAATAAAATTGCAAAAATTAGCTTGCTAAGTGCGGGGAAAGGGGGGCTAGAAGGGAATCAAATTCTTAATTGCATAAGCACTCTCTCTGGGCAAACCCTAGAACGGGTGCTTATGCATCTAAAAGAGAGTCGAGATCCAAAATTACTGCTTTGGGCGTACATCCATGTTTTAGGAATGCTACGCGAGCAAAACAGCCTAAAGGGGTGTTGCAGGGGTTGGCAGGGCCACACTGATATGATATGTATAACAACGCCCGAAGGAAGATACCCTCCTCAAAGTCTCCAAACCTAGATGACGGCCAACACTCCCTTCCTACCTCGGTCAACTTTACCGTTCTAAGACCACTTGCGACATTAAATACAACATATCAACTGCCAAATGCACCACAGCTAAATCTAAATCAAACGAAAAATAACGAAACTATCTTCTTCCATCGAATCCAAAACCAAACCTAGTAAGAAAACTCAATCAATCAATCAATCACTTTCAAGAGCAAAGTTAGCACACCTTCAAAGTAGCAAATCAGGCATAACCAAAGCCCCCCTTAAACAAAAACATCCCCTCATTCAAATTCCTAGACCCAAGTAGCTCAAAGATTCAAAGCATTTGATCCGAAATATCCGACCTCCCCCCACATCGACCTCGAATCTCCCCCTCCCTCGAAACCCAAGAAATCCTCGATGTTTGCCTATAGCTCAACAAGAAACAAGAAATGCATGCAGACGTGTAATAAAACCCCTTTGTATCACGTGTACATGCTTTCCATTCCCCCGTTTCCATCGAGACAAAAGCTTTCGACCCCGACTGGCTCGACGCTATGCAAGCTTTCTTTTCCGCCGGTATGTCACCCCCAGGATGGTGATTAACTGTTGTTAACGCGCTGTGCAATAGAACATCAGGAACCCCAGCTATCCACCCTTAACTTACACACGCACCACCTAAGCAAAACACTCTTCTCTTTGGTTTTCTGCACTTGTCCATCTTGAACCCTGCGAGAAGTGACGAGGAATTGGTCTCAGGCTGAAGACACAAAGAAAGAAAGATAGCTTGCTCGCAAGATGATGTACATGTTTAACCAAAACGTCCCTCATTACAACAGTAACCCCGATTTTCTCTCCCTCCACCTTGCCCTTACCCGCAGCTCCCCTCGTTGACACTAGCGCGTATATCTCGCCGGTCTCGTAATCCTCCGCCGCCTCCGCGAGCTCCCATCCCTCGCATCTTCATCCTCGTCACTCTCCTCATCACCGTAAATTTCTTCATCCGGCTCCGGCTCCGGCTCCGGCTCATCCCCATCGACCTCCATCTCCTCAACCGGCTCGGGCACTACAGCCGTCTTCCGCATCTTCCCCTTCCCCTTCCCCCGTCCCCCGCGGATAGCACTCATCTTGCCCCTCGTGTCCCTCTTCCTGGAATCCATCCCGTCAAGAGCATCCAGCGCCTCCTCGCCCACCAGCACGCCCTTCTTACCGCCCTCTTTAACCTTCGGCAATTTCTTGCTAAGGCCGTGCTTCTCGGCAAACTTCTTGCCGTAGTTGAACAGCAGTTCTTCGCCGACGTTGATGTCACGAAGAGCGACAAATTTGATCCGATGCTCGCCGTTGACGAGCACGATTTTAGCTTCGCAGTTCAGGCCGTCTTTCTCGTTGTCAGCGTGGTTTATGAAGCGCGTTTTGTTGCCGTAGCGCGCGGCGTCGATGACCCAGTCGCCGTTGAGGTCGAAGAGGAAGGAGAGAAATTTGCGGTCGTAGATGATGCCGCGGCGCTCTGCTTCCGCGGAGGAGACGACCTGTGGACATTAGCACCTTATTCTACATTGCTGAGGCTTCGGGGATTGTTATTACCTCGCCAGCATATTCGCTTAGATAGTCACCCTTCTGAACAGGCTCCACAACGTATAATCCGAAGCCAACGCCTTCAAGCTGGCTCTCACCCATCACGAGTTTCTTGGCTACCCCACGCTGGAGCACGATGTTCTGACAGCCGGTTCTGAAGAGGTCATCGTTGTGACGTTTGGCGGGGTTGATCCTGTCGATTGCACCGCAGGTCCCGCATTGTGGCCCGCATTCTCTGTTCATCTGGATACAGATGCAGGACTCAGATACACAGGAAATTCCTGAGGAAGGGCACGCACAGCCAGTGAACTTCCGAGGGCAGTCATCAGGACAGCCACAGAAGCTCTCACAAAGGAGATTTGCATGGAAGCACGGGCAGATATTTGTACAAGGACCTTCGTGACCACACTACCCCAGTTAGAACTCGAGCTAAAAGTAGAGGGACACGACTTACAGGATTCGCTTGGGCTCTCTCTTGATGGAGATGAGCTGTTGTTAAGTCCTGCCAGTCGCCTTTGAGAACTTTGCGTTTGTTGTCGTACCAATTTGGCGCCTTTGCCCGGGCTGTTGATTCTAGATTATCCTTTGGGATATAAGGGCTCTCTGCTTCATAAGCTGCGATTTCGCTGTGAACCTGCCAGCAAGGCCGGTCCATTGCAAATGCAATGGTGCAAGATCGTCGATCTTTGTTGGTCAGACTCAAGAGCATTTGAGGTAGGGCATCAATTTCATTTTGATGCCACTCATACTCTTTATCCGAATAGTCAATGAGTGTGTAGCATTTGTCTGAACACGGCGCTCTGTGTTTGTCCCTCCCTTCGTCTTCTAATTCTGCTGGTTTATTCGCCCTTCGAATCTCGTATCTCCGAACCATTGCTCCGTATTCTAGAATTAAAGGTTGGCGGAAATAAACACATTCGACGTCTCTCTTTTCTATAGCTTCACTTGCATCGCTGTCCTCGTCCTCGCTTCGTTTCACCTCCTCTTGCTGGTAATCGCCATGCGTTGGACAATCAACAGCTCCGCAAAGCATGCATGTAAGAGTCGTATATGTCTCGAGCCGATCTGCTGGGGCATTTAATGGCTTCTCGGGTGTTTTGGAGGCAGGCTTCCCTGCTGCCTCGGTCATCTCCTTCACTCGTTCGCTTGGAAGAATAACATCGTGAAGTGGCATGCCAAAGACGTTTTGGAAAGCTTCACAAAACATGGCCGCTGATTCAATCACCTTAAGAGGCAGCTTGCCTCCAAAAGAAGTGAGTAGTGCTTTTCGGTCCCGAGGCTTCAGACGAAGTTCTGCGCAACTGTCGTCGTCTTCGAGTATATGTTGGGTGAGGTCTTGTTGATTGCAATCCACCTTCAGCTCTTTCAGCCATGTATCAAGATGAGATCTGAGGGACGATGCTCTTTCTGTCTCCCGACTAGATGAGATACGAGTAGCACTATAAGCTTCCTCTAGTTCTTTAAGAAGTCGCTTGTGACCCTCTTGCTTTTTGGCGGCCCCCTGCCCAAGATAATCTCCCAAGAAAGGAATAAATTTAAGCTTCTCATCGTCTGCCGTGAGAATGTTTCGCTTCACGTTAGTATGAGAGTAGTATTTAGGAACACGGGGAAGATCTGTGGTGATCAGACTCCCGATCAACTGGCTTCTCGTCTTGGTAAGCCGACTCTTGGCCATGACCTATGCATATTAGCTTTATAGTCAGGCCTGACTTTCAGACTCACAAAAGAATCTAGTTTATCAACATGAGGGGCATCGCCAGTGGGTTGCCCTGGCCCAACCTGTACCCCCGATTCAGAAGCCCACGGGGAGAATCCAGCCTTCTCGACAAATGGGGCTTCAAAGAACGATGATTTTCTATCGGCAAGAGTCTCCCTAACGTCCTGTAGAAGCCATCTCATGCCGAAGGCATGCCCATCCTTCAATTTTGATTCGAATGCTTCAAGCGAGGTTTCGAGCTCTTCTTGGGTTAGTGGATCTTCATGAGAAATGTGTTCACTGGACACAGTCCGTCGTGATAGCGTCTCCTTTGGTGATTCACCGCGAGGTTTGGCAGTCCCATTAACTTGTGGACTATTTCTTCGCTGTTTCAGGCGGGTGAATAAAGGGGATGAAGAGTTAATAGAGGATTCTGCAGATTTCTGCGACTTTCGGTGGCCACGCGAAGAAGCTTGCTTTGAAGGGGTGCTTGGGGATGGTTGGAAGTTCTGGGGCAAAGGACCATCGTCGTCTTCGTCATCATTCTCGTCTGAGAGTTGAGGTGTTGAAGGGCGCAGCTTCTGTCTTGCTGTCTGCCGTCTCGAAGATGGCGTTTCCTTCCGCTGATCTTGATTTCGCTGATTCTGAAGTGACGGCGGCGAGGCTTTCATTTGGGGACTAGAAGCCTGTTTGGTAGCCACTTCCTCTCGCACCCTGTGCGCCGGATCGTCTGGGGATGAGTCCCTCGTAAGTGGAGGTAGAGGCGGGGGTGCTTGCTCATCCGGAGAGGAGGCTCTAGTGAGTGGAGGTAAGGGAGAACGTGTCAGTGGAGATCGTATCCTAGGGACGGGTCCTTTTGGAGCTGCCTCGGCTGCAGGCCGGCTTCGAGGCGGCGAAGGGGACCGAGATGATGTTTCGCCGGTGAGATCAACGATGGATGGGGGTTGACGCCCGGCTGGGGCCGGGGCTGAAGATTTTGGTCTTTGCGTGGGCTCGTCGTCGTCGTCGTCGTCACTTATAACGACGACTATACTTTCTCTTTGGCGAGGAGGTTGACTTGACGTTGCCGGCGCCGCTGCGAGAGGAGGTCGAGAAGCCATGTAATTCCCGGACACACGCGACGTACGCGACGCACGGAACGTGTGTGCGCGTTGGCTCATTGTGGCAACAATGTCTCGACGATCGCTATTATGAAGGATATAAGAATGACCAGTGTGGAAGGATCACGTGAAGAGCCCGAGCCCGAACCGTGAGGCTCCAAGAGGATTCCTCTCTCAGCGCCCGAGTTGATTGGCGCATACAAATTCAGAGAGAAGCCAGTCAATCGACATGAGATGGGACTGGAGGAGGCGTGCGATAGAAGACCTTGTCGTCTTTGTGGCAAGCAGTTGACGCGACGCGACGCGACGCGACGCGACTACAATTGTCTATGGTTGTGTGAGCCAGGAAAGAGCGTGGATAATCACGTGGAGAATAGGGTGAAGGAGGAGGAGGGGGAGGAGGAGGAGCGATGTCGTCGATGTCGTCGTTGTAGTCATTTGGGGTTGACGAGGCTGGGTTGGAGTTGAAGATTGCCATGCATTAATTTTAAATGTGCTTTCATAAATTTTCACAACATGGCGTTAGGTCAAACCAAAAGAGACCGACCGTCATAATCTTCCTCCCAACGTCACTTCGCAGCCGTCCGGTCTCTCGATTTTAAGCCTCATTATACCAGATGACTTGCATGCCTCTTTCTTCCCTTCACCGCAGGCGCAGGGGCGTGGCACGTCTGCACATTGCTCTTCCCATCACATTGGGCTCCCAGAAACCCCGCAACGCCCCATTCGCCCTCCCCTGCCAACCTCCGCCGGCAAGGCTGCAATCAACCATTTAAAGTAAAACACGATGGGGAGGCTCCCAAAGTCCCAGTGGAGCTAAAGAGCGAAGTGCGCAATGCGCAATGCAAGGGTTTTGCCCGATTTACGAGCCCCTTGTGCCTCGCCTTGCCTTGCCTTGCAACCTTCACTGGATCGTTTCTCCGGTCCTGAAGGCACCACTGCCACGAATTCAGGGGGTAGCTAGCATGCTCGTTTGTTTCGAATTGTTTGCATTCTCTTTGCACAAGGCCGATGAGTTCGCAAGCGGCTCTCATGGTTCGCCATACTCAGGCAGAGGAGGGGGAGGGCGATCTTTATGCCGCCGAGCACCAGGACCCGATGCTGTGCTGACTGCAGTCTGCAGTCTGCAGTCATCAGCCGCCGTCCATTTCCGGGAGTTCGGTTGCGACTGGTTCAGGCCGGCGCAGTGCGCACAATGCTCGTGAGGTATGAGGCCTCAATCTGGCTCCTCCACAGAGGCGACGGCTGGCCGAGAGAGGAAGGCTTCTCGAAACAATGGACGGGGGGGGAGGGCGGCCAGGGGCACACGTGCGCCAGGCTGACATCAGGTGCCGAGGGGGGGAGTTTCACGATCCGTCGCAACACACAAGACATAAGACGGACGAGCCCACTGCCAGTCTGCCAGTCTGCCAGTCTGCCCGCCCTACCCGCGCTGTAATTGCTGAAGCCTGGATGGGTCTCCGAACCGATGTCAGATTGTCGGCCAAGTTTGCACGGAGTCAGTCAGGGGGCCGGGACCGCGTCCGCGTTGCAGTGCACGGCACAGAGCTCGAACGCGGTGGCGGAGAGCTCGGCAACGACCATTGGACGCATCAGCATCAAAGGAGTCAAGGACTCAAGTGGGGAGTGGAGCGCTCGCGAACCGAGCGCTGCCGGGGCGGGTCGAGTGTCCACTGCTTCCGTGCTCCACGGCTCACCATCGTGGCTCCTGTAGCGAGGTAGCGATGAAAGAAGATGCGAAAGAAGAAGCGCAGCGGGTGGACGGGGAATTAATGGAAGAATTGAGAAACGCTCGGATGGCATTTGTGGGTAGGTAGTGGGTGGTGTATTGTGTACTGTGGGTTGTGTCGCGTGTTGTGTCGTGTTGTGTTGTGTAGTGTTGCGGGCTGTGGATTGTGTTGCGCGTTACGGGTTGTGAATCGTGATGGGGAGTCTGGAAATCCCCACGGCGCCACGTCGCTGAACGGAGAGGAGAGGGACACGGACAGGCAGCGATCCAGACTTGGCCAAATCTGCCGATCGCTTCTACGGAACGCCTGTGATATCCTTCTAGAAGGTTACTCAAACTTACTCTGGGCCAGGGTCGCTGCGGAACGACGTGTCAGGGGAGTGGAGAGCGTGCGGGGCCGTGTCCCAATGTCAAAGGTCGTCCGACGTACGTGTGGCCCCGTGGCTGGGCTGCTGTGAGTCTGAGACACTGAGACCCTCGACATTCGGGCTGGGCCCATCGCAACGGCGCAAGTCTACCAGAATCAGGAAGGCTGACGCCTGAGTCCTGATGCAGCGACGCAGTGACGCTGCCCCGTCCCCGAGGACTCTCTGGACCCGATCCCCGGAAATAATTACAGACAGCCGGCGTGCAGATACATACTTACAGATAGATAGATGGCTTTCTATTTTGGCTGCCGTCGAGATAGGCAGGGCAGGGCAGGGCAGGTCCACCGGCGGCGGCGGCGGCGGCTGCGGGGTGACAAATATCCCCGGGACGGTCGTGAGCAGACGACAGACGCAGCAGCCGAGAGGCCACGGCAATTCAACTATTCAAGGCATGCACCGCAGCACCTCTCTCCTACTGTACCTAGACTATAACGTCTAACGTGTACTTTGGACCTTTGGTATGTATGTATTGGGTTCGGGGCGATATAAACCGGGGATCGTTCGCCATATTGCTTGTTTTAAGCTCCTCTTGGGATGCCAGTGTGCCACTCCATCCCTCCTCCTCCCTGGCTCATCCGCGACCTTGTGGCTCGTTACACCGCTGCGAGGCCTCATGGCCCCGCGGGACGATCACGTTCCACGGCTCAAAGAGGAGTCGGTTATGGGGTCCGGGCAAGGCAAGGCAAGGTTTCTCCTCCCTCCCCAGGCGACCAGTCCCTGCTCTCAAGGACTATCAGGAGTCAAGCGGCCCTGCCTCTCCTCACCCAACCTCAGCTCTCTCAGTCTCAGTACCAGGCGCTCGCTACGAAACTCACGGCTGACAGCAAATCGTTGCGATTCAGCCGGCCGCGTCCTGCCATGCAATCCATCCATCCATGGATGCTGCCGGCCCGGACAAAGTTGAGGGAGGCATGTTTGAGCACTGAGCACACCCCAAGGTGCCGCCGCCTCCCTAACCCCAGCCCCACTGTCCAGCAGGCTCGGCCGAAAGTCCCAGCCCCGCCAGCTACTACTAGAAGTACTGACTGTGCAGTACACTGTTAGGCAATATCTGCCGCGATCAGCGAGTGTGGCCGATGCCTACAGTGCCTACCGAAGTGCCTACCAAATGAGACCCCCCTGGCACGCCTGGAAGGCATTCCGTGCAGCCCCGTTGCGCACAGGGATCTTTTGCTTTTCACTTTGCGGCAACGCCACCACCTTCGCATTGCGACTCGACGGCACCCTCTTGTCCCTCCTTTCCATCCAATCTGGATCTGCTATGATATGCAGGTACTTTTCCCCGAATCCCCAGGAGCCGACCAGAAAGACCCACTAGTGTGATGACTGGGGGTGTGGAGCATGACCAGGGCGTACACAGACAGTCTTTGGAGAAATTATTGCGCCTGTCATTCCAGACTCCTCTCCTTCTCCATTCTCAACTCCTCGCTCTCCAAATCGACGTTCTTCGACCTGCAACAATCGACGCACAGCTCTTATCGCGGCTCTCGCGACCGCTCTGTACCCGCCTGCTATCCTATCGTACTCGGCGACAATACTTCAACGCACTCCCCAGACCCATCAGCGAGCTGAATCCCTCCATGCCACCTCGGCTGTGTCAGCTTCCAATGCGATCTCACTGAGAGCCCGCCACGAACAAGACCAGTGCGGGACAGCGAAAGTCGTGCTGTCTACATAGAAAGACACATCGCAGCGCGCATTCGCTTTATGTCAACAATCGAGCCTCGCGGTCGTGGTGGTTGCTGCCTCGACGGATGGCACCAATCGGGCTCGATCAAAACTGTTCATTTGGCGCGTTTATGTTAAGCCATCGAGATGGCTTCCAAGAACCCACTTTTGCCCACCAAGGACCAATGCTTTGCCTTGACGGATGAGCAATGCAGAAAAATTCAAGATGTCCTCGACCCGGATGGGACAAGAGCCCAGAAAAGCTGGGAATTACAATACCAGCCAGAGCTGATACGTTTATATATGACTGGGATGAGCTTCCCACAGATTGAATCTACAATGACGCCAAGGTTGACCTGGTCGTAAGTCGTATTGGTGTAAAGAGAGAATATCATATGCTGAATTAAACAGGTACAAGACGTACTCGAATCGATTTAAGGACTGGTGCTTCCCACTTAACCCGACGCAGAGAGATGTGCGTTTCCCCGTACCACCAAGTTGTCACACTTCTAACATCCGGCGCAGAACAAGATTATACAACTGTATGCTTTGGTCTCAGAGTCGAGCCCGGCGAACCCAATAGCTGCACCGCCGCCGATACAGTCAAGAGGCGTGCCTCCAATCCGACCAAGACAGCCTCAACCTCGCCAACCACTACCGCCGCTTCCACAAACCTCGACATCATTTGATCAGGAATTTCATCAGACGTACGAGCAAAGGCCCCAAAATGAGAGAAACAGAAGCGCTACTATTGAATTCGATCGAAATTCTATCTCTACTATAGAAACAATTGCAACCCATTCAACTTGGGCATCATCGAGTGCAGCATCGATATTTTCACATCCGGATTATGCAAGCCATCGAGACTCAATCGGAACGGCAAATTCTTCCGTGGTAAGCCTGGAAAGTCAGTACTCATATCGTCAACCTAAGATAGAACAACCTTTACCGCCTTTACCCCAACCTAAGCCTATAAAACCGCCACGACACGATCCCCACAACGGTCTATGGAACGGGATTCTCCGAGTCATACCCTGTGGTCAAGACCACAGTAGTTTGGACGCGTTCGACTCATTTGAGAGGTGTTCCGTTTGTGGCTTCACTCAGTGGCATGCTTTGATGGTCCACGCTCGGAGCATGGAACGGGAAAACTTTGCCAATGCTATGGGGATGCTCAGTAACTTTAAGAAGGATGACTTCGCTGGAAACTCTCCAGTCCATTTTTTGATGGTTGCCGGAGTGGAGATGGATTATTTTGCTCGATTGGTCCGGCAGAATGACAACACAAACCAGAAGATTTTTGGCACGAATCAGAACGTTTTTGGTCAAAATCCTCTTCACGTCCTCAATCCACGGGGCTTTGGAGAGGATTTAATTCCCTTCTTAGAATGGTTCAAACCTCGCAGAGCTCCACCCGGTCTCTTGCTCACGCAGAGAGACATTTACGGTCGGACGCCATTACATGCTCTGCTCCAGCATCCTCTTCCCCGAAATCTCTACCCGAAAATACTGGAAGTATTTCCTTTCTTCGAGCACCAGCTTCGTTCTCTCGATATCGCTGGGCAATCGACCATTCAAATGATGAACAACGCCTCCCTCAGACTCCGCTCCGAATCGGAATCAGACTACCTGAAAATCCAAGACGGCATAATAGATATCGAGCAACTCCTCGCCGAATCCGTAGAGGGCGATCTACCAAAATACGGCTTCAACGATATAGCGCGAGGAGCTAGGGGTGAGAGTTGGTTTGGCTTCTTCGAATGCAGAATCTGCAACCGAACGAACGCGCACTCGAATTCCTACGTCGATCAAATGAAGTGCGCCTGTGCACATGGTCGAGACAGAAATGCACCAGACGAGACTGGTCTCACGCCAGCCCATGGTGAGCTGATTTTCACTTGTTTTCCTATCCTTTTCTATGAAGGCTAGGAGGCTGGGGGCTGTTTCAGGAGACAACTTGACTCCTCTGTGCCCTGGGGACCGTTTTGGTTTTGAAGCCTAGTTTTGTCACACCTTTTGCGAATTTGCAGGTACTAATCTGTTTGTGTAGCAATCGTCACCAAAGAACGTTCCAACGCCAACCGCGCTCACGAAACCGCCACGCAAACCGAGGAGCTCTTCCGTATCCTCATCCCCCAAGCTGACGTTACGCTCCGTGAAGCCCTTCACGTTCTAGACCCCGAGGGCAACACTCTAGTGCACAACATCGCTACGCGCGGATTCGACAAGCTTCTGAAATACGTGCTCGAGCTGGAGACCCCGGGGCGGCGCGTGTCGATGGTGAATGCTTGTACCAAAGGCGCGGATGGTAATGAGAAGAGTGTGTACGAAGCCGTGGTCGAGAAGTTGAGGGAGCTGAATGAGAGGATTCGTATTAATCGGTATACGGAGGACAGGAGGATTAAGGAATTCCTCGTGGATAATGGGAATCGGTTGCAGAGGTGCAAGCATCTTTTGGTCCAGGCAGGTGCTGTGGGCAACCCGAGCATTACGGTATGTTCACAGGTCCCTCGATTGTGTTTGGGGGGTACGCTTCCAGTACTAATTTGTTGGACAGAAGCGCTGGCGGATCTCTGGGTGACGCGTCAGAACTCCTGGTATCCTCAACAGTGTGTTCCGTCCTATCCCTTACGCAAACTTCCCGGTATGGTCTGTGGAATGGATTCCTCATTCACCAACGCCTTTCTTTTCTTATGTCAGGAGGTTCAAAAGCGAGCGAGCGAGCGTCGTTTTATATAGCCTTTGCATTGTTCTTGCCTTATTTGATTCTTTTTGCAGCATATAGACTTAGAGATACCCACATGTTCGTGTTAATTTTGCTTGCCTTTTTTTCTTCTTCCGGATTTGATAGCTAGCTAGTCTTTATACCCATGCTTCTTTCCTTGGTTCGGAAATGGGGAAATGGAGTGGATCTGGCATATACAGTACATGATACAACGCGTCTCATGGCAGGACTTTAGATAGGGCTTTGGAAATGGTGGGCCTTTTGAAGTTTGCTTTTTTTGGGGGCGGGGGGGTTTTTTTTTTGCATAGTTCGGGTTATGGTGTATAGGGGGGGGGAAGGAAAAGTATGTGTGTTTTGGGTTTAGAGTGTATCATAATGTATGAGTATGGGACGTTTGGGAGAAGGAGAGTGGGAGAAAGTGAGGGTAGGAGAAAGAGAGGGAGAAAGAAAGAAAGGGATCGGAATGAGATGGGGTTCATGATTAATGAGCGGACTGGGATAGAATAATGAGCTTCACTGCTTTATGACGGAGAGGCAATGAGATATCTCGGAATATCTTCACATTCGGTTATCCTGCTCATTACAACTGTGACTCGTGTACCTTGACTTCGTTCCTCGTCAACCTACTTTATCCACACAATTTAGCCCATGTAGTCAAAACAAACTTATTCTTTTGGGAGTTAGTTCCCCTCAAGGATCAACACACACACGTGACGCGGTAGTTCCTCTCCTAGTGAGCACAGCCACCTCACTACCGGGTTGCGGGAGTAACATGACATGACAAGTAGAGTCCAGCTAAACGGCTCTAGTGACCTGACTAACATGACATAGCCTCTGGACGAATCCAAGATTGTTTTCATTTCCACAGCTCTGAGTTGGGAATGAGGACTCACAGCATGACGTAGAGACAGTGATAATGAGGCTTAAATCAACGGCGGGGTTGGAAATCGTTGTGGCTGCTTTCTCCACTCGGATGTGGAGGTCTACTGAGACATGAGATGAAGGGTCATCCTTGAGGCGATCTCTATGAGGTGCAGTACAGTAATGTATTTGTGGAGGCGGAAGTACGGAGCTGAACATCTGCTTCAGGGTCCATCTGCCCAGGGAAATATCCCTGGCCTTGGAATTTAAGGTCTGCATTGAGGAGAAAGCGATGCGTGTTGATTTGGCGGTGCGCCGGAATGGGGCGTGTTTGCCGTTGTTTCGACGCTACTAAAATACAAGCTAGCGTGCTACGTCATCATTGGGTGGTGGATTTAATTGAGTGATCGTCATGGAAGGTCAACACTAAAGAGAGAGCTCGACCTCTTCTCACATCAAACCAGCTTCCTCATCACATCAACACCACCGCTCGATACCTTGCTCCCAATCTTACGAGTCTACGATCTTGCAAAGACACAGAAGAGAGAAGAGAGCAAGAAGATCAAGATGCATCGCACATACTCTATGAGGCAATCGCGGGCTCCTACAGTAAGCCCCTCCCTCGCTGCCTTCCCACATGCTCCGAACGTATACCTGCGCACCGCAGGAGAGAGGAAGACAGAAACTGATTCTCTACAGGCCTCGCAGCTCCAGAATCCCCCTCCTCCACCATCAAGCACGAAGTCTGGACGGCTGTTTGGAAAGGGTGGTCTCGGTCAGTGCATTCTCGACATCTCCTATGACGTGGCCTCCATACATCATCACTTTCCCCTTCACACAACCACGGGACTGTGAGGATAGCGATAAGCTGGAGTACAACGGCAGAATAAGCAAAGGCAATTGAATATGCGCATTAGCATTGTCGTATAATGTTCAATCGCAGGTTCTTGCGCTTCTGCCTACAAGAGAAAGCTCTCTGCCGCTTCTCTAGCATGTGTTTGGTGTGCTATTATAGAGTTTAGGATGTCTTTGCGTACGATTCATACGTTCGTTTTGCTGATGTGTATGGAATTAGGCCATGCTATCCGCCGCCAAACTGCCGGCCAGTTCGGCCCTGATCTTGCGAAGAAGCTCTCGCAGCTCGTGAAGATGGAGAAGAATGTTATGCGCAGCATGGAGCTTGTTGGTCGCGAGCGCATGGAAGTCGCTGTAAGCTATCCCTTCCGGCATTTCCGGTAGTCCAAAACCGCATGTACATTTGCTGATTGTATGCAGCAACAACTCTCCATCTGGGGCGAGGCTTGCGATGACGATGTTTCGGATGTCACGGACAAGCTTGGCGTCTTGCTCTACGAGATTGGCGAGCTTGAGGATCAGTATGTTGATCGTTATGACCAATACCGTGTTACTATCAAGAGTATCCGAAACATCGAGGCTTCAGTTCAGCCCAGCAGAGACCGTAAGCACCCCTCTCCAGCTCCTGTCACTACTTTAATCACGTGAATAGGCAAGCAAAAGATCACCGACCAAATCGCGCAACTTAAGTACAAGGAGCCCAACTCTCCCAGGATTGTCGTGTTGGAGCAAGAACTTGTCCGTGCTGAGGCCGAGTCCTTGGTTGCTGAAGCTCAACTCTCAAACATCACCCGCGAGAAGCTAAAGGCTGCTTACACCTACCAATTCGACGCCCTACGTGAGCACTGCGAGAAGCTTGCCATCATCGCAGGCTACGGAAAGCACCTGCTCGAGCTCGTCGATGACACACCCGTCACACCCGGCGAGACCCGCGCTGCTTATGACGGATACGAGGCGTCCAAGGCGATCATTCAGGACTGCGAGGATGCGCTCACCAATTGGGTTACCGCCAACGCGGCCGTCTCTTCTAAGCTCTCAACCCGTGCTCGCACTCTGTCTCAACGCCGCCGCAACAACATCCAGCGAAACGGAGAGGGCCATGACCTCTCTGGCCAAGACGCACCCTTGAACGACCGTGAATCCGGCCTGTGGGTCCCGGCCTCCGCTCACAAGGGCGAGGAGTACGAGGATGAAGACGAGGAAGAGGAAGAGGAGGTCGGAGCGCCTTCTATCCAGGACTCTACTGTGAATGGGGAGACGAGGGGTCGCCAGGAGACTGTCGTTGCCTAAATACCCCCCATTCGCGTGGTTTGAAGGAGGAGTCACAGTACACGGTGTTTTTGAGAGGGGGAGTCGAATTGGACCGGAGGAGAATATTCCCAGGGAAAAACGAAAGTTGACTGAAACGAAACTCCTTTTTGATCATGCGGTGCGTTTGCGATGAGTGGATGGGATATGTGGAGGTAATTCGTAATATCTTGGAAGGAATAGGATGACGGTGGAGGGGAGGGAGGGAGGCAGATTGTCAGTGTTGTATTTATAGGTGTGGGGGCCATGCAATAAAAGCTCGCAGGTTTTCTAGAGTTCTTACCCCCCCCTACTATAGCCTCTTTCATGTGCTATCCGTATCTTGGAGCAGACACGGCTATCTCCCGCGTCATCCTGGAGACTTCAACACTTCAATGCCACATCCTCTCTGTGTAGCCGGCAACCGTCTTACCCTCTCATCGTGTGCGCACTGCGTGCAATCTGCTCTTGCCATGCCGGCCCGGCTCTGCACTACAAATCATTCCAATCCCTCAGCCATAAAAGTCCTACAAAACTTCCCTCGACTAGGTACTTCACACCTCTTCCTTCTCTTCCTCCCCCTTCCCACCTGCCACCGCAACGCCCTTCTTCCCCTTCATCTGACTCTCAAACTCCTCAACCTCAATCCGCTCAATGTACTCCCCTGGCACGACAACCAGCCCCATATACCGGCTCGTCATATCCATTGTAACCGTTTCTTCTTCTTCTCCGGCCAGGTGTTTCGGAGGGGGTGGGAGGCGGTACTCGAAAGTTTGAGAGAGGATTATGTTGCGGTCCTGTGGCGCGTCAGCTCTAGCCAGGAATAGCTTCAGGCAAGAAAGAGAGGGAGGGAAGCGTGAACGAGTGAACGGGTTGGGCGAAGGAGGCGGGGATGCTCGCAGGCTTGTAGAGAGACGTACAGAATCAGTGCATTTGAATTGGCCTAGAAACATCCGTGTGTCTGTTGTTGTTACACGCAGGGTTTTGTTCAGGAGCGAGGTGAGGTAGTCTTCTGCTTGGGATTTCTCCATTTTGGCGTTCTTCAATGATCTTCAAGAGTGGACAGTGAGAGGCTTGGGAGAGGAGAGGAGAAGAGAAGGCAGTTAATGAAATTTGACAGGGATTGCGATTAGATAGCGGGTGAAGCACGTGAGGGCGTGTCGGGGTCGAGTCATAAACGTCATGGCAAGCGACGAGTCTCCAGCTTTCGAGAAGAAGGGTTTTCAAACATTCGGCAGTGACGTGAAGGAGACGTATATCTAACGAGAGGGTGTGCAGGATGTGCGCGCCTCTTCGCATTCACATCAAGGTCCCGCTTTCGACGCCTTGAGCTCGACTTCACTCCCGCCACCCCACTACGACCCCCGAATCCACGAGCTCTACACCTCTCCACTCGCCCACGACGAGAAACCTGATATCTCGAGATGGGAGTAACAGGTCTCTGGCCCATCCTCGCGCCCTCCGCGCGTCCCACCCCGCTCCCGACACTCAACCGCAAGCGCCTCGCCGTCGACGCCTCCATCTGGATCTACCAATTCCTCAAAGCCGTGCGCGACAAAGAAGGCAATGCGCTCCGCAACTCGCACGTCGTCGGCTTCTTCCGACGGATCTGCAAACTGCTGTACTTCGGTATCAAGCCAGTGTTTGTGTTTGACGGGGGTGCGCCGGTGCTGAAGCGGCAGACGATCCTAGGGCGGAAGAAGCGGAGGGAGGGCCGGAGAGAGGATGCGGTCAGGACGGCGGGCCGCCTGTTGGCGGTGCAGATGAAGCGGAGAGGCGAGGAGGACGACGAGAAGCGGAAGAGGGAGAGGGAGAGGGAGAAGGCGGGCCTGAGGAATGATGTCGATGAGGAGGAGCCGCTGCCGAGACAGGAGGATATGGTGTATGTCGGTGAGATGGGCATGTCGTCCGCGGAACGGCAACGCAACCGCCACTTCCGAAAGACGGATCAGTATCATCTCCCCGAGTTGGAAAATGGGATCGAAGGCATGGGACAGCCGAATGATCCGAGGATTATGAGTGCCGAGGAGCTGGAGGAGTATGCGAGGCAGTTTCACAATGGGGAGGATGTTAATCTGTATGATTTCAGCAAGATCGATTTCAATGGCGAGTTCTTTTTGAGTCTGCCGGCCGGGGATAGGTATAATATTTTGAATGCGGCGAGGTTGAGGAGTAGGCTGCGGATGGGACTGAGTAAGGAGCAGTTGGAGGATATGTTTCCGGATCGCATGGCGTTCTCGAGGTTTCAGATTGAGAGGGTCAGGGAGAGGAATGAGTTGACGCAACGATTGATGAATTTGAACGGCATGAATGGGGAGGATGGGTTGTTTGGTGTTGGTGGTGGGAGGATTGCGGGCGAGAGGGGAAGGGAGTATGTTTTGGTGAAAAATGATGGTGTTGAAGGGGGGTGGGCATTGGGTGTTGTGAGTACGGAGAAAGGGGTGGGCGAAAGGGAGAGGCCGATTGATGTGGATGCTTTGCATCATGAGGTCCAAAAAGATGAGGAAGATGATGAGGGAGAAGAAGATTTTGAGGATGTTCCTGTTGAAGGGCTTAATCGACTTCCAAAGGCCAAACCCAATCTCGAGCAGAATTTGAGCTACAACGATTTCCAGGCACGGGAAATGGCGAAACAAAGACAGCAGATTTCCGCTTCGACAAATGGAGAAAGTTCAAGGTCGGCGAGAGTCCCGTCGGAAGAGCCTGGGTCGTTGTTTGTCGACGACGAGGCCGGTCCGTCAACGAGCGTTGAACTTGTGTTTAATGAAGAGGAAGAAGAGCTCAACCGAGCTATTGCTCTGTCGTTGCAGCAGGACGATGTTGGCGAATCAGACGATGAGGAGCACCTCAGACAAGCCATTGCACTCTCCTTGCAGAAGAATCACCTCCGCTCTGAGCCAGAGGATGAGGAGGACGATTTCGAGGATGTTCCCATGCCAGAATTTGAACAGAGGCCTGTTCAAGCTCCGAAGCCTATCACCAGCTCTAGTGGTGGAATGATAGCTCATATTGTCAACAATAGAGCTAATGCTGCCGTTCCGAAAAGGCAGCCTGTTACTATCGACAGTGATAGTGATAGCGAGATGGATTTACAATCTGCCTTGGCAAAGGCAAGGAAGCAAAAAGCACCTGAGAAGAGAATGCAACCCGCTCCCGTTGTTTCGAATACCAAGAATCCCTTTGACGGCCCTTTGCCGTTTGAGAAACTTGATTTTGGGACTTCAATTTTCAGCAAGAATGGAAAAGCACCCGAGAACCCGGTCTCAGATGCAGAGGATGGAGATGAAGAAGATATGGCTGGTGGGTTTGATAATGCCCTCCAGGAAGAAGCACCTCGACCTTTACCGCCATGGATGCTCGGCAAAGACGATATCAGATCTCAAGTCGCGGTCCAGCGAGAGCGAGATCTGGAATTGGATGCTGAGGATAGAGAAAGGGCGTTGGAAGAAGAGCGAGAGTATCGCAAGAAATTTGCGCCAATCGAGATTGACAGTTCAGATAACGAGAGCGATGTTGAGATTGTTGATGCACCGCCGCCGAGGAAGAGCCCGACTGAGAAGTTGGATGAGGTGGCCGAGGATGTCAGGGCCGAACCACCTGTACCAGAAATTCCGCAAAATTGCCAGCCTTCCGTCGACGCTGTTGAGATGCAGCAAGAAGATCAGGCGGAGCAGGCAGAGCAGGGAGCCGAAGACGAGGAAGTTGAGTGGTCTGACAGCGATTACGGAGACGCTGTCACGAAGTTTGCAAAAACAGTTGATCCGTCACATCCCGCAGGAGGTCGTACTGATGTTGCATCTTCGAAGTCGAAATCAACCTCTCCTGAATTTGAGGATGTTGAGGTGCCGGAAGGTAATGGTGGTGCCAAAAAGCAATCATCAGCACTGATATCCAGAAGCCCGAGTCCACTCTTCGAAGACGTCAATATGCCGGATCCGACCTCTGAATTTCCGTCAGAACCTCTTTCGGCGTCAAAGCCAAGCCAACTACCGGTTGATGACTCGTTTGAGCGTCAACTGGATGCTGAATTTGACTTCAGCGATCCTGAGGATGAAGAGCTTCTTGCTCAACTAGCTATCGAAGCTGAAGAACATGCTCGGTTTGCTTCCACGCTGAACAACAAGTCAGAGCAAGAGAATCAAGAGTCCTATGAAAGAGAACTCAAGGCTCTACGGAACCAGCAAAAGAAAGATCGTCGAGATGCAGACGAAGTCTCACACATCATGATCACGGAATGCCAAGCTCTCCTCCGCCTCTTCGGCCTCCCTTACATCACAGCACCAATGGAAGCAGAAGCTCAATGCGCCGAGCTCGTACGTCTCGGCCTCGTCGACGGCGTTGTAACAGATGATTGCGATATCTTCCTCTTTGGAGGCACCCGCGTCTACAAGAACATGTTCAACAGCAATAAATTGGTGGAGTGTTACCTCTCCAATGCCATCGAAAAAGAATTGTCTCTGTCCCGCGACCAACTAATCGCCATCGCCCATCTTTTGGGCTCAGATTACACCGAAGGACTCCCCGGCGTCGGACCCGTCACCGCCGTTGAAATCCTCTCGGAGTTCCCTGCTGCAACTGGCTTGCAGGAATTCAAGGACTGGTGGGCATCCGTGCAACATAATCCCCAAGCTCTAGCGACCGAAAAATCAACATTCAGGAAGAAATTCCGGAGGTCTCAAGCTACGAAATTGTTTCTCCCCCCTGGATTCCCTAGTCCCGCTGTCACAGAAGCGTATCTAAAGCCAGATGTCGATTCCACTCCCGAACCATTCCAATGGGGCGTCCCGGACTTGGACCGACTGAGAGAATTCCTGATGGCGACAATAGGCTGGTCTCAAGAACGTACTGACGAGGTACTCGTCCCTGTCATTCGCGACATGAACCGCAGGGAACTTGAAGGTACGCAAAGCAACATTACACGGTACTTTGACGGTGCGGTTGGGACTGGTGCTGCTGGTAGCGGAGTGGTTGGGAATCCAAAGGAGAAGCCGGTGGGGAGTAGAAGGATGAAGGAAGCGGTTAATAAGTTGAAGGCGAAGAAGACTCAGCCGATTGGCGGGGAGAGTAGGACGTTTGCAGATCATGCGGTGGAGTGGGCGAAGAATAATGATATTGGCTGGACGGAGAGGGAGCAGGAGAAGCATTTGAAGAAGAGCGGGAAGGGGAAAGGGAAGAGGAAAGTGCCTGTTATTGGGGAAGAGGATGAGGTGGCTGTTGAGGAAGTGGAGGTGGCAGACGATGTGAGTGAAGAGGAATATAGAGAGCCGAGGAAAAGAAGGGATAAAGGAATGGCGAAGCGGAAAAGGACGAAGGTTTAACTTTGCTTCTTGAGCTATAGCTATACTTGACACAATTCAAATATCTCACGAAGGCCGCGGCCAAATAATTGTATTTCCAGAGGTCTGCATTTGCACGAGCTCATCGACTTCACGCGCATGATGCTTTGCTGGGCAACACTCCCTTCCGGTCCATCAGCTCTGCTCCAGTAAAGCAAGGTGATGAATATATGTTGAGTATCCTTGTTTTCGAACGGCATTTTTCTAGACGATAGCGAGCTTGCGATATTTATCTGATTATTATTTCCAGACTTCAGACGAAGTTGGTTTTCATCTCAATCCTATTACACTTAGCACTTACAAAACCAGTGGCTTTGATCTGGTCAGCGCCTCCCTCTCAGAGGTTGCAATTGAAGGCAATCCCTTTGTTGCACATCGAATGGAAGTTGCGGGCCTTTATTCCGCTTTGAACGTGCTTTTCCGAAACCACAGACCGGAGTTGAGGTTTTGTGGAACTTGCAGAAACGTGCATGATATCTCATTGGCTGATGTCAACACACCCAAGAATCGTGGCTGCACCCATGCAAAAGAGCGAATCGGGAAGGTGTATATCCTCCTATGAAACCACAGAGGCAAAAGTCGCCAGGCCAACATCCGAAGGTGTTTTGGATTGACGAGAATTCATTGTCTGTTTTTGGGCTGTTGTTTCTGACAGACCGGAGAGTATAGAGAAATCGACATCGCAACAATCATCAAACCTCAGACCAAGACCCAGAAAACGCCCAGAGTTCACACATCGATACAGCTTCCCATCAAGGCCAGTCGCTCATCACCTCGCCATCCGCGATTGACTTCTGACGGTCTCTATCTCAATCTCCCTCCTCACCCTCTCGATCCTCAAATCGACATCGGTCTTAACTTGAATCCCCTCACCATTCCAGGTATCCGATGATGCATGCATCGTTCCATTCCCACCATGCGCCACCCCAATCGCCGCAACCCTCTGGTTCAACTCGACCTCGCTCCCTTCTCCAACGCTCTCAATATCAACCTCTGCACCATACTTCGACTTCCCGTTCATCTTCTGGAATCCATCCGTATCCCCCCTTCCGTTCACCGACGCCGTGACACGCGAAAGCGGGTATGAGTCCACGGATTTGGAATTTCCGTAGGGAGTATTGTTCGTGCCGCTTCGGGTACCTGCTAGGTAGCGGCCGAAGAGAGGGCGCAGGAGAGGGAGGTTGCCGCACGTTATACCGATCCCGAGTTCGATGTATGTCCATACACCTGGTGCAACCTGCGTGACTGCAATTTTGTTAGCATGGCCTCGTTGTTTTGGGACTTGAAAGCCATTTGGCAGGGGATGGTCGCTTGAGACGGCTTACAGGTAATATCCTTCGTGTTGATATGCGCCAGCGCGACGAATCTGAAAATGCTCGTCAAACACACGAAGCCCCCAATCAGGAAAATACCATTCAACGCTATCTTCCTCCTGGTGTTGATTTGTAGACTCCAGATCATGGGGATCGGCAGTGCGAGGATGACGAGGTCACCGACGAAGGAGAGCACGCCGTTTGTCATTCCGATTAGGATTAAGGCGTTGGGAATGCAATGGCCAGGTTGTTGCTTGTCCCAGAAAAAGGAGATGGGTGTGCATTGCAAGATGTTGGAGGTGAAGGCTGCGATTGCCCAGCACTTTGATAGTTTTAGCACAAGCTAACGGGAAATAAGGAAGCTGACTGAGCTTACCAACGTGAATACCCAAACCCCAATACACACTCGTTTGAAAGTCTGAGTGCGAAAGAGGCGTGCATAGAGAATCAAGATAGACGTCTTGACGCAGAAGAGACATGGTGGATTGCCTCTTTGGAGAATGAACAGTGACTTTTTGAGGTTAGTGATATCGAATGGACATATTCGAGATCAACGCTTACAATATTAAACTTTCTGAGGTCTGGTTTTGATACGTTCACTTGATGTTTGCCCAGACCGCATGTCAGACCATAAAGTAAACAGACAGCGGGAATGTAACCTGTAAGTTCAAGTAGTCAGCAAAGTTGCCAGTAGAAACTGTATTCCGTTTGAAATTTTCTCTCCACAATAGACACATTGTCTTCAAGTGAGTTGTGGTAGTATCATAGGAGTTCCTGGTCAAGTTAGGTCAGGCTTACTGAAAGGCAAGGCCAAGCCCATAAAAACATCATCTGCTTGCAACCTCTGATGTTGCATTCGCCGCGCAACGAGCCGTAATATATAAGATGCATTAGATAGGACCAGTACCGTTATTGTGGCCGCGAGGACGATCCTCCTGTTATATGCAACCGTCTCCGGGTCAACGATTGGGATAACCTTGGTTGAAGACATGGTGAGTTGCTGTCAATGCAATGAGTCCTGACTCAAACGTGAATTTTACCCATCTAATAGCAAACATCAACAGAGAACAGAAAACATCAGCGGTGTGACAGATTTACTTGTACTTGCTATGCCTTTCTTAACAGGCTCCCGTTGACCGTGGTTGCATCGATATTGTACCCAACTTACCCAATTGCACGGCAATTATCAGCCACTTTTTCTTAGTGAATGGTACCTGCATGCCCTCGCTCCAAAGGACTAGGTTTATTTGACAACAGATTGCTGTCACCTGCATTTTGAAAACCTCCCAACAAATTCGAACGCAGGAATAGCTGTGGCATGTGATACCCAGCCAGCGAAGAACTCCTTTCCCGCGAACAAGAGCTATTGGAGACTGGGATTTGACCTCGCTTTCGGAAATTGAAAACCCCCGGCTTGGTTGAAACCAATGAGTTACAGCTGATCTACGGAACGATATTCGATCTGGAGGCTGTCATGGAAGGATCGCAAGTGACTTGGAAGTTAGCAATCGGACTTCGGTTCGGTGGAATGAAAAAGCAAAACTTGATCTCCGTGCCTTGCCCCGTTCAGTACAAGATCTGCAAGACGGGAGCAAATATGGTGGTTCTTGCACACTCTTGGGGCTGTCCCAGTGGTGATTGGTCTTCTGGAAGAACTTCAAGCGAGATCTGTGAAGGAACACGGAAGTGACGAACGCCTTGGCTGTGAAACTCGTCGAAGGGAACCTGGTGATTCAAGGACGCTCCGACTCCGGGAGTTGATATGAAGAGCATAAACTGCGGCTAGGCTGGGAGGTCTTTGGTGTTAGCTTCTTGCATGTGGCGTCGAAGTAGCAGAAACCGCTTAGGAACCATGGGGTGTGAAGAGTGTTGATAGGCCAGGCTTGCCAAGTGCACGTTCACAAAGTTGACTGTAGAGAGGCTTAAGGGAGGCTAAAAGCCTTACTTGAGGGGCGAGATTTCCAGTTCTGATGTCACACTGATCCCTTTTCGATGCCTGCATTCAACGTCAAGATTTGGACTTTACAGCTGGGAGAGACTTCTCCATTAATTTCTTTGCTCAGTTCGTTCCTGTGATGGCGAGAAGCGAACTTGACAGGGACCACCAACTCTCGAAACGTTGTCGACTAAGTTCCAATAATATTTGACGACTTAAGGTCGTCCGTTGCTCAGGGAATAAACTGGCGAGGACGAACGCGCAAGGATCGATCGCTGGTCTCGGCACGATTGAAGGCTCCATCCCACAAGATCCCTGTCTTCTCTCCCGCGACCCCCAACTGTTCCTGGATCAAAAACCTCTGAAATCGGAACTGTTTCGTATGCAGAGACGGAAAATGTCTTGTCAACAGATTCGACGAATTCTAGCCTGGAATGATCCTTGGAGTTTGGTGGGAAAGTCGGTCCTAGAGAGTCGTTGTGGGAAGAAGCTTTTCTTCGCTGCCAACTTGCAAACTTCGTGCATCTGTGCTAAGTTCCCCAGAGCACCCGCAACGTGCCCCTGTCCAACCTTATCTGCAGGTCTTTCTGACGTCTGCCAGGCCGTGCGCTGTTGGATTCGGGTGCAATCCGCTTCGTCCGAAAATGCCATCCAAGCCACCCAACAGTTTGTGGTGAACGTCACTCCGTAAACAGCTCAGAAGAATCTGAAGAACCCAGCCAAGTGGACTCGAGATGACATGGTCCCTGAGTGTCATGTCTGGGGTTGGACGTTGGCGATTGGACGATATGCAGCCCTTCACAACATTTCATTAAATTGCCGGCGGCACATGCATACTGTTTCTTTCACTACAGAGCTCTTGCCTTAGCCCATTGGTAGAACGAAAACATCCTTGGCCCTGCTCCGAGATCTCACAAGCCTTGTCGATTGTCGTCAAACTCCTTCTTCTGAGCTCTCATGATCCTGGAATCTTTAGTTCAATATCAACCCATGTAGCGTTGCAATGCCAACAGTAGACGGGACGTTTCGGTGGAACCTTTGCTAGTTGCAGCAGTTGTGCACCCCGAAATCTGAGAATCCAGAAACGACATACGCCCCTGCAATGGATAAAGTTGCAAATGATCCTGCATATGCAAGTCCCTGGAAGAAGAAGGTGTCTAATCCTACATTTTCCTCCCCACATTCATTGTTCGAAACCTTCTGGCATCCTACAATCGGGTTACTTTAACCACCCGGGAAATTTTTGAATACCCAGTTGGCAGATATCGTTTCTCTATATCAACGACACGCTCGATATGGAGGAGGTCAAGGAAGCTCCCTCGACATCGAGCATTGAGCAAGTCAATGACTTTGAGGAGCCAAAGACTCCTGAGCTCAAGCAGGATCATGGAGTTACGTTGATTCCTCGTCCAAGCGACGACCCTCGCGACCCTCTGGTAAGTCCAAAGTTCCACTGCGGCGAAGGTTGCGTCGTTGACAACACATTTTAGAACTGGCCGATGAGCAAGAAAGTCAGCGTTGTTGCAGTGCTGTGCCTAGCTGTGTTCTCTGGTTTCGTAGCGCCGCTGGCAGGTCAACTCAATGTCAAGTCACAGTCCGTTCTTTACAAGCAAACCACGACACATATTGCATGGCAAGTATGTTCATACTTCCACCTTAATTTGAGACTGCAACTAACTATTGACAGAACTCAGCAGCTTCAGCGGGTTTCGCAACCGGGGGATTCTTGTTCGCCCCCGTCTCTTTCAAACTTGGCCGAAGCTCAGTTATATTCTGGACATTGATTGCTTGTCTCCTCACACAAGTGTGGGGAGCCTTAATGATCCATAAGAATCAGTTCAACAGCTTCATTGTCTCCCGATTCTTCTCCGGCTTTTTCGGCGGTGTCACTGGAGTCCTTGGTCCTCGTGTGTTGGTTGACCTCTTCTTTCTTCACCAAAGAGGTCGAGCTTTCACAGCCTTTCACTGGTGCTTAAATTTTGGAAGTGTGGCGGGTCCAACACTCTCGGCATATATCTCAGCCAATCACTCGTGGACTTTGGAATTCTGGTGGACTGTGGGACTGCTCGGATTTACGATCACCACCTGCTTGTTGTTCATGCATGAGACATCTTGGGATCGAGAACCAGATGCAGTTAACAGGCCAGCGCCAGGAAATTTCTTTACCAACAGAATTGCAACATTCTTCCCAGGTACTCGGGTTACCCCGATATCATCTGCACGTCAAACGGTATGGCTCTCTTCCAGAAAAAGGAATTTGTAAATTGACAGAATTTCAAGGTTCGGGCTGCCGCGGTTCCCTTCCTCATTCTCGTGTCTCCAGTTATGCTTATCATGAGTGTGTTCACTTTGATCAGTTTCGGATTCTACATCGCAATGAATGCCCTCACTCCAGTGTTTCTGCAGAAGCCAGTGAAGGCTGGAGGATATGGCTTCAGCACCACAGAAAACGCAAACTGTGAGATCTCCTCTCCTATGCTGATATCCTCCTTCTAATCCGATGCTCTCAGTCTCCTTCGTCCACTGGATTGGCATCGTAATAGCCCTGATCTACGGACACTTCGTCAGCGATAGACTCCCACTCGCAATCTGCTCACGCAACGGAGGCAAATGGAAACCCGAATATCGTCTGCATGCACTGTGGATTCCGGCTCTGATTTTCAATCCAATTGGACTTGGACTTTTTGGTGCTGCCTTGAAGTACCATTTGAACTGGATCGTCATAGCCGTTGGACAAGTCTTCGTGACTTTCGGCTCACTCTCCCTGATTCCAATCACAGTGAACTACATCTGCGAGTGCTTCGTGTCACATCCAGCTGAAGCTAGTATCACGGCAAATATGCTACGCCTTGTGTTCGGCCTCTCGGTTGCGTTTTATATCAATGACTGGGTGGCTGATGTTAATGTTGGGTGGACGTATGGAATGATGGCATTCCTTGATGTTTTCTCTTTTGTTTTCATTGGCCTCCTTATGTGGAAGGGTCATCAGATCAGAGAGTGGACTGTTGGTGGATTGAATGATACCGAGGAAGGAGAGAAGGTCATTGAGACTGCTAAGCTCACTGGGTCATAGAAGTTTAGCTGATGCTATTTGGCAATTTCGGGGGTCAATTCCAGCCTGGGGCTAGGAACTTTGAAGTATCATATTCTCCATGCATCGTCGTAACTAGATGCTGCAACGTAGGATCTGTGTTATCTAATCTACAGAATGCCACCGCCTATTCCGACGTGAGATTTGCAAGCTCAACCCGAAAAAGCTTCCAGACGAAGAAGCGATCGTCTTGAAACGACTCAAACCAAGAGCAGACCCAGGATCTCCGACCGACATACGGCATATTAGAAAACAATCGGATTGTAGTGTGTATCCGATCTACGAGTATGAGGGGAGGAATCTCTCTATCCTGACCAGCACTTTCTGCACAAGAATATGCGTGGGGCCACCTGTTTAGAAAGGAACAGGCTGAAGGGAGGTACGTCAATAGCTAATAAACACTGCCTCAACCCCTTACAGATAAGAGTACCTAACATTAGCCCCTCGATGAAATGAATGAATCTAACAAAGGCCACTTCTTCTTTGAGGCTCGCGACCCCCATCCGCTGTATCAAACGTCGCCGCAGACCAAAATTCGAGGCACCACCACATCAACCTTGGCAGTTCCCCGGCCGTAACGTCACAGCCAAAGCTCCCAAACTTCGGAACTAAGCTTTGTAATCATTCCACAATCCCACCAAGCGGATCCATCCTTCCATCAACTCGTTCCTCCCGGATGTTCTTCCGGTCCCTGTCTACAGGAATGGTGTTGCATGAGCCAGGTTCAGGGGGGTACATCCCCGACTCCTGGTCACCACTCACACCTCCCTCTTCGTCTCGTTCTCCTCTCCATGGTTCTTTTCGCATCTGCAAGTATCAAGGATCACTCAACCGTCTGCAGCGTTTGATTTCTGCACTTTTGATCCTTTCTCGCCATCGATGCCGAGTGTCCTATGTTTTCCTGTTTATCTGCTTTTCGCTCGCATCTCGGCTGCTTGACTTCACAGCCTTTGAATTGCACGGGGAGGGGTTTCTGCACAATCGCATGTCTAACGTTGGGCTTTTGGATATATCCTCCAAGTAGAGCACTGATCCTTCAGTCAAAGAAAAGTCTCAATGATGAGCGATATCGGCGCTCGGCCAGTGTTGAAGGTGAAGACGATCTTCACGTTCGATGAAGTAATCCGTGAAAGAGCAAGTGATGAAGACCGGATTCCTTTAATTGGGTATCCAAAATCCAAGTTAGGGATTACAGATTATGAGCTTTTCAATGGGAAGCAGTTGAATCGGCTTGTTGATGGTGCTTCAAAAGCCCTCCTAAAACTGGGCGTGAAACCTTTGGTGCGTCCTCTCTCCCACTTTGGCTCTCAATTTCCCTTCTGAATAAGAAAGATATGTGAATTAATAAGATGAGAAGGTAGAAGGCAGATGAAAATGAAGTCGTTGGTATCTATGGGATCTCAGGTCTCGATTACATCGTCACGATCTTCGGTTTGGGGAGACTTGGATACACGACCTTCATGCTCTCACCCCGCCTCCCCGCCACCGCATGTGTGAATCTCCTCAAAGATTCAGGAGCCAGGACGCTTCTTTACGCTTCCCAATTTTTTAATTTAGCAACTAAGACCTCAGCTTCTCTCCCACTCACCGTCATCCCAATTCTCACAAGAGAACAATATGACATCCTTAACGACACCACCCCGCCATTTGAACGCAATGGTATCGATGGCGAGAAGGAGAATTTGAAGAAGCTAATAATGATGCACTCCTCCGGCTCCACCGGCCTCCCGTGTTCAATCCACTATACCCACAGACGTCTGCTCGCCACCATGCTGACCGCACAACCGCTCATCGCCTTCCAGTCCGTGCCGCTCTTCCACGCCCACGGCTTTATCTCCTTCATCCAAGCCATCTACAAGCGGAAATGTATCTACCTGTTTAACGGTCATATCCCTCAAACACACGAGACCGTCACAGCTGCGATAAAAGCGGCGGAGCCGGAAATTGTGTGGACTGTGCCGTATGTGTTGAAGCTGTTGTGCGAAAAGAGGGATGGGATTGAGGTGTTGAAGAGATGTAAAGTGGTGAGTTGTAGTGGGAGTAGGTGTCCAGATGAGCTAGGCGATTTGATGGTTAGGGAGGGTATTCATTTTGGGACTGTTTTTGGGGCGTATGTCTCCCTCTGCACCCCTTTGCGTCCCAAGACAACTCCACAATCTTCAGAAGAGTGGGGTATAAGGAATGTTGACTGATTAAGGACACAGGACCGAGGTAGCTCTTATCTTGACATCTCTAAACAGACCAAAAGAAGACAAAGCGTGGAACTACCTCCGCCCGCCCCCTCATATCGCCCCCTTTATCAAAATGAAACCCATCGACGGTCCAATCTGCGAGTGCGTGGTTCTCGATGGGCATAAAGGGAAAATGGCATCCAACTCCAACGACCCGCCAAACTCATTCCACACCAAAGATCTCTTCATCGCTCACCCCAGCATCCCTAACACGTGGAAATTCGTCGGGCGGCTTGATGATCGCGTAACATTGAGCAATGGGGAAAAGGTATTACCATTGCCGATCGAAGGCAGGATTCAGCAAGATCCTTTAGTGAGAGAAGTTGTTGTTTTTGGGATTGATAGACCGGTTCCGGGTCTGTTATTGTTTAGGGCGGAGAGTGCGAGGGGCTTGAGTAACGAGGAGTTTTTGGATAGGGTGTGGCCGGCGATTGAGGATGCTAATACGAGGGCGGAGGGTTTCTCGCAGATTAGTAGGGAGATGGTTGTTGTTTTGAGGGAGGATGTCGACTGTCCCACAACGGATAAGAGTTCGATTAAGAGGGCGCAGGTGTATCGGGATTTCAGGGAGGTGATTGAAGGTGTTTATGAGAGGTTGGAGAGTAGTCAAGAGGGAACTCTTGTGCTGGATAGTGAGGAGTTAGAAATGTGGATTATGGAGTCTTTTGAGAAGTTGGGTACTCATCTGAAAGATACAAATGAGGATTTCTTCTCGGCTGGTGTGGATAGTCTGAAGGCTATTCAGATGAGGGGCTTGATTATTAGGAACCTTGACCTTGGTGGGAATGCTTCGAAGTGTCCGTCGATGGTGGTATATGATTCCGGAAATGTGGAGAAGCTCGCCAAAGCTCTGTCAGATGTCCGTTCTGGGGAAGCAAACTTCAGCTGGGACGTGGACGAGGTCACGGAGATGCGGAATTTGATAGACAAGTACTCTCAATTCGTCAAACGTGAAAATTGTGACAGAAAAGCTCCTACGCGCAACGTTGTGGTATGTCCATACTTCTAAAGATGGTCAGATTATGCTAACATAAATTCCAGCTTCTTACTGGCGCAACCGGATATCTGGGTTCTCATATCCTTTCTCAACTCATGAGACTGCCAAGTGTATCCAAAATCTACTGCCTACTACGAACCACATCTGCACCTCAAACAGCCATCGAAAAGCTCAATGAAGCTCTTCAAGAACAATATTCAACTCATATCGCCTCATCCACGAAAATACATCCTCTTCTATCCGACCTCTCGAAGCCAGATCTTGACTTGCCAGGCCTAGTGTTCCAGAAGCTTCAGGCAGAGACAACACACATTATCCACTGTGCATGGGAAGTCAACTTTGCTCTGCCAGTGAGATCGTTCGAGGCTCACTTAGCAGCCTTGCAGAATCTTGTCAATCTCTCCCTCTCATCTTCGTTCACACAACCCGCCCATCTCCTCTTCTGCTCCTCAGTGGGTACCGCAATGGCAACATCAGCCCAACGCCCAAGCAAAGAAGTCACCATTCCCGAAGATCCAATAAAAGAATTGACAGATGCTTCGCCGACAGGCTATGCTCGTTCCAAAATCATCGCTGAAAGAATACTCGAGAGAGCTGTTGCTCTAGATGGAGCTCGGGCGGTGATTTTGAGGATTGGGCAAATAATCCCTTCTCAAAACTCTGGGTCGATGCTGTGGAATCCGAATGAGATGATCCCGCTTCTGATTCGCTCTGCGTTGAGCACTCGCTCGCTGCCCGAGACGCCCGGTGGTGGGGATCGCTGCTCGTGGATCGATGTGGATTCGTTGTCCAAGACCATTTTGGACATTTCTCATCTAGGTCGAGTAATTTCAGGAGAAGACATGGAGAGACCACATCTGGTGTACAATCTCGTTCACCCCAGGCCTTGCTCATGGAAAGCTGATTTTCTCCCTGCCTTGAAGAAAGCGGGATTAGTTTTTGAAGTAGTGGATTGGCAGACCTGGCTTGAGAAATTGAGGAGCAGCGAGAAGGATGTCAAGAAAAATCCGAGTAGGAAACTACTTGCTTTCTGGGAGGCGCAAAAGATTTATGGGGAGGGGAAAGAGATCAAGTTCGAGACCGCAGCAGCTGAGGGGCAGAGTGACGCCACGAAAAATATGGGGAGAGTGGTTGATGAAGAGTATGTTGCAAAGTTGCTGGACGCTTGGAGAATTGTTTGGTCGGTTTTTACCTAGGTACAGTCGCTTAAAGTACTGCACAGTCCTGAAAGAGAACCAGTTAGACTGAAAAGGAATCGAAATCACAATTGTTCTTCTGTTTCTTGGCGAGTGGGCTCATACTAATCATAATCCTGCTCAAATGAAACACAACGAGCTTGGTGTTCAGATTCAAGCCAGGTCGCGTGATCAAAAGTCCAGAATAAGAATTTGCCACATGACAGAGGAGGAGAAGATCCACTAGGCTTCAGTCCGTTACGACAGATGACAGACTGGGGCACTCTTCGAGCACCAGCCTGCTCGTTGCTCAGCTTACCACATCTCCGGCCGTAGCTTAGGTAAGGACATCCCCTTATTTCTTAGGATACAGTGGTGCCAGATATGATACAGGAAGGTAATTGAAACAGTCATGTCTTTCAAACTGATATAGTACTGTTCATCGAGCATCACTTGAATATCAAAACCTAATCCAATTTTGAAAGCGTGAAGCTCAAATATGCAGATAAACAATCCTAATTTCTATACTACACTCTCATACAATGCCTTAAAATCTCTATTGTACCCTTCAAAACCTTTCTTCGATGTCTCCGCAAGCCCCACCCAGCGAGCAATCCATCCACCACCCATCGAAAAGACAAAAGTCATTTAAATTTCCTCTGGCGTACAAACGTCATACCATCTTCAGTCTGAGAGCTTGGTTCGAAGTGAGAGCTATGTTCGCCGGATAAAACAAGGGGAAGGCCCTCTCTCCAACTAAAGCAGATTGGAGAGTTTTCCTGAAAGGTTGTTAGGAACGGACCTTTATTGTGGACTGATTCGATGAAAGGGGAAGACAGAAAAGGTTCAAGAGATCATACGGAGACTTACAAGGAAAGTCAGGTTGATCCTTCCTAGTTCGACGACCGGCTTCAAGTTGTCGACGACTTCAATAGGCTTTTCTCGGATGGCCGGTTGGACGGACTTAATAGAGCCGTTCTAGTGGTCTTTAGGTATTTGAGGGAAGTCGAGGAGCTGGGGTGCTGTAAGCTAATGAGCATTTGGAAGTACGGAGCGAAGTCGGAAGTCATTTTCACCACGTATATTTTAACAGTTGGAAGGTGATGGCAGAAGATTGGATCAAAGCATAGTGGCGATATAGCATGATGAGTTAGTAGATAGATTAGTTGTGCAGAGTAGGGAGCTTAATATGGGGAGGTTTTAGTTGATCCATAGTATCGCTTAAGCTGATCGATATTACCAAACTCTGCATATGCTCGTTTATTTAGCTGATCACTATCATTGCTTAAAGAAACGAGACAACTAGCCGAGCTAATGAATAGGTTTTGCGGCAGTTATATTTTAGGCATATATAGGGGTTAGGAAGGTTCGGGTTAGTCCCGAGCTTGCGAGGGGGCTTAGGGTCCGGGTCGGTTGGGGGGTGGTGAGAACCCCCCGCATTGGAATATATTAAAGCGTAAAGGCCCTACGGGTTAGGGTTAGCATATGCTAAATATATGGGTTCCATATACCGAGCATATGCTAACCCTAGGCAAACTTGGATGTGGAGAACATCATTGGCAATAGTTACCCTCTCCCAGTGGCGAAGTTCACTACTAGCGGTAGTCCTCCATTTATACCCTATCTGGACCAACATAAGCCTGCGAGGCTGCGAATAACCAGGGTGAACCGTACCTTCCATACTATCGATATCTCCTCTCTCAGCCGAACCGGGCCCTACCTCAACTCATTTCAAAGTCATACCGAGATCCTGAGCAAAGCGTTCTCTACTCATATGCAGTCCGCGTCTGCAATATGATTGGAATGTTTGGTCTGAGAGGCATCACCGTCCTGGAATCATCAAGTGATATTGGCGTTGGATCCGCCTGCATGTCCAACCATGGACCAAATACTCCGGAATTTGGGCCCACGCTCCCAGTAACAAGTCCATACATCCACCCAGTTGGCGATACCCGGGCCGTCTCTCCGGAAGTCGCGTGGAACGATGGGTCTGGAGGCTTTTGAGGCTTCAGCAACTATTTCAGTCGCCCTTGGTATCAACAAAAGGCCATTCAAAATCATCTCCGGTTCCATATCGACCAAAATACCAGGGGTTGCTATGAAGACTACACAAGCTACCGTGAGAGAAGTTTCCCTGATATGTCTGCTCACAGCTTGACTCCGGAGTAAGCCCTCCCCAACCAATACCTAATCACGAGAACAGCTACGCAGTAATCTACGACAATACAACACAACACAACCATCAAAAGGCACCTCAGCCGCCGCCCCCGCCGTCGCTGGGATCCTCACTCCGCTCAACGGCACTCGCTTCCGGGTCAGCAAAGGGCCTCTTGGCTTCATTAACCCATGGCTTTACAGCATCGGCTGGACGGCCCTCAACGATATCACGAATGACACGGCTGTAGGATGTAATGGTATTAACGGACACATTGGGAGACCGGTCCCCAGGGGTGGGCTATCCCGTATGCGACTTGGAATGCGACGTTGGGGTGGGATTCGGTGACCGGGCTGGTGACGTCGAATTTTCAGTTGTTGAAGAAGCTTGTTGTTGGATTTTAGAGGATTTATCAGAGGGAGATAATATTTAGGGATGTTGTGTATGAAAAACAAAACATAGGGTAATGTGAAAAAATAATTCTGTGAAGATGTTTTCATCTGATGTGGAGGTATGAACTTCTTCGAAGTGTGGGGTAAACTTCCCACTATACCCCGCTGTAAAGTTAGCCAGGAGACCTTTCTTCCATTCCTTGAAGAGCATATAGATTCAGCTCTAACCGGTCCTAAACAACCTCGTTCTCCAATCCTCTCTCCCAAAATCTAATCCGAGGCTTGGGAACTGACCGATGGATAAAAGCTCGCTTCCCCTGACCCCTTTTCGCCTCGGCTAGCCTAACAAGGTTTAATCAACCTCACACTGCCGTCGGCCTGTTACCCTCCGCATCCTAGAATGGAAATATTCTTTGTAATTGGCTTGCTAGTCTAGACTGATTGGTGGATAAATCTTGAAATTATCATAGTTGGCTTGTTTAGAATGTTTTTACGAAGTTCGGTCGGCATTTGCAAAGTGGTAATGCGGGGTTCCAGAAATTGAGGACGGAGTTACTTCGAGAGGAGTATATACTCATGACGTGTCTTTACAAAAACCTCACCCTTCAAGGTGAATAACAAAACAGCGATTATTTATTTGTACCAATATCTCAGCTTGTCGCTCCTCGTATCCGCGGTGTTGTCTGCACCGGATTTTTCGGCAAAGGAGGCCAGCCCTTTCAAGTATCTGATTACCTTGTAAGTGGCCTCCTCACAAAAGACGATGAGCTCGTCTAATGATTCAATATAGTGGAGATTCCTACTCCCAAACCGGTTTCTCGATCACCGGTACCAAACCTTCAGTCTCGAATCCAATCGGCAACCCCGCTTTCCCAGGTTATACTACTACCTCAAATGGGAACAATGTCCGTGCCCACCTCCTCTTCTTTCCAGATATTCGTTAACAAAAACCAGTGGATAACCTACCTCCTGCACCCCTCCTCCGCCTCCACCTTGCTGAACTATAACCTCGCCTCCGGCGGCGCCACCACCGACGCTTCGCTCGTAAAGCCATACCAATCCACAGGTCCTTTCGCTAATCGACCAAGTCTCTCTCTTCACAAAGAACCTATCCCCTCTCCCCTCCAACTCTCTAACCGCATCAAACACCCTCATCGGTATCTGGATCGGCGTCAACGACGTCGGGAACGCGTGGTCCAACGCCAACTGGCCAACCCTCTCCCAAAAAATCATCGATCAATACTTCACCCAAGTGCAAGAACTTTATGCCTCCGGAGTTCGGAACTTTTTATTCTTGACTGTGCCCCCGATTCAGAAGACGCCAGCGGCAATGGCGCAACCGAACTTTACGCAATCAACAGAAGGCGCTGCTGTTGGAGATTATAATAAATTGTTGGTGAAAGCGGTGGATTATTTCAAGGCGAAGAATGAGGGTGTGACGACTTGGGTGTATGATACTGGAGATGCGTTTAATACGGCGATTGCGAGTCCGAAGACGTATGGGGCGAAGGATGCGAGTTGTTATAATGGCGATGGAACTAGTTGTCTTTGGTTTAATGGTTATCATCCAGGGCAGGCGATTCATAAGTTGGTGGCTGCGGGGGTGGCTGCGTTGGTTGGACTTTGAGTGGAGCGAAGAAGTGGAGGAATTCGGCGGGAAAAAGTTGAAAGTCAAGAAAATTAAAAAAGGAGAAGTTAGAGTAAAGGAACCTTTTGTTGAAATGAGGGTCTTCTCGGAAAAGTAATGTATATAAACTGTCGTGAATCCACACTGTAGAGTTGGCCTACTTACTTGGCTGGAACAACTTCGACCAGAGAAGCAGCAGTCTCGGTAGCGCCAGTGACACTAGGCAAAATTCCCGTCTCTGCAGGATTCTGCGGTCCATCAATACCCGGCACATTCTCACTGCCAGCCCATTCCAACGTGCCATACGGATACTTCACTTCCCACTGTAACTCATTAGCAAGCACTCACCTAACTCTGTCAGACTAACTCACAATGATATCAAATCTCTCTCCTGGATACTCGACTTTCTCCTTAACGCCCAACGCCCTCACAATCTTGCCAAGCACACCATGCTCCCAGCATATCAGGACATTACCAGGGCTGAAGATTGAATGTTAGAGGCGGATTCGGAGGGAAAGGAAGATGGGAAAGAGTAACATACCCATTATACCCCTTCGCCGCATCAGCTGCGCCATGCGCATCATCCCGGTCAATCGACTGGTTGATCTCAATACCGAGTTCCTCGGAAAGAGGCAGGACCGTCTTGTATGGGCGGTCTCGGCTGCCATCTGTTCTGCATCAGCTCTGTCCAGTCCACGCTTTGTTTGAGATGAGGAGGGAATACCTTTCTTTGGATGCTCTGCAATGATACAGTTGATATTGTACGGGCTTTGCTTGCCGAATACGACTTGCAAACCCTCTGCGCGTGCTTGCCCTTGGGCGGAGAGGCCGTCAGGGTCTTTGCCGTTGATCTTATCGGGCTTCTCGCCGTGCCGGATTAGGTAGAGGATAGGATGGGTCTGGGAATGTTAGCATTGCTTTCGAAAGAGACCGGGATTGAAAGATGAGGTACCATTGTCAGAGGTGAGGGTGATAAACGATCGCAGGTGAAGTTGTGTTGTTCGTGAAGAGGATTCTGAATGATGAACTAGGAGAGAGAAAAGTGTTGGATCAGATAAAAGAAGAGGAGGATGAAATAATGAAGTAAAGTGAGCTCAGTTGAGAAAGGAGAAAGCGAGCCTTGGGAGGATCATATATGCGCATCACATGCAGAGTGTTCAGCTCAGCTTACGCCTCCAGTATGGAAAAGAATTCGTGTGACAGCAGCAGGGGCGACTAATTCAAGCTCGCCTCAGCTCGCCCCGTACACTAGAGGTTCCACCCGGAGAATTGTGGTAAGGCTGAGTCGTGTGACAGCAGCAAGAACGACTAATTCAAGGCTCACCTCAGCTCGCCCCGTACGGTACTAGAGGTTCCGCCAGGAGCAATGTGGCAAGGCTGAGTGTGATGGTAAGATAAATTGTCCGGTTTGTGTAAGCTGTAATTGTCGAGATCTTGCGAGGTTTCTCATGTGGTTTGGCTTGGAGACGGCACTTGGGAATTTGGGGAGACAAGCCTGTAGTTGAACGAAACTTGATGAACAATTAATTATTATTCCATCGTACCTAGAAACCATGGATTAAAATTGCGCTTTGGCTGTCTACCTCTACGTCAAACTTTTGTCAGGACAAAATTCATAAGATGAACTGCGCGGTTGAAGTGTTGCGAACCCGGCCCAACCTCTTGACAGTGGGGCGGGCTGCCCAAGCAGCCCCCAATTGGACCACCCTCAGCTGAGCCCTGCATAACCTCCGCAAAGGACGGATGCACTGATGACAATGACACCGCAGTAGTGCCCTTCGTACGCTGCATCAAAAAGCTTGTCTTCCGCCACTGCGAGTCGTACAGTACCGCACAATTGGCCGACTTTCATCCCTGTTCACTTCAAAGTCCCTCAAACTCAAGCCTTCACCGAAGTCGGGAACCTCACCTCCTCCACACTTCCTTCGGTATCCGAGTTCTCCATACTTCTGAGCCCGAAGACTCCAGCCCCTCGAGAACTCATCCCCTTATAGCCCCTAAAACTTTCATCAATATCCTCCAAACTCTTTCCCCTCGTCTCCGGCATAGCAACCACACAAACCGCCACCGTAACCGCCGTGCACCCCCCAAAGAAAAAATAAACCCCATAAGTGCTACGCGCTAGAAAAATCGGCGTCGTGAACGCAATGGTCCAATTCACGACCCAATTCGCACTTAACGCAAGACTCGCCGCCCCCGCTCTCGTCTTTGGGCTTTGAATTTCGGAGACGTAAACGCGGAAACAGACGCCCCAGGTTCCGGAGAAGGCGAGCGCGAAGAGGTAGATGAGGATGATGACGACCCAACGCGCAGCGCCGTGGCCGGCGTGTACGGCGCCAGCGGCGTAGAGAGAGCCTATTGTGAACATGGATAGTACTTGTGCTGAACCGCCGACGATTGAGGAGGTTTTGCGGCCCCAGCTGTCGGCGAAGAGGAATGCTGGGATTGTGACAATGAAAATTAGAAGAGCTGAGATTCCGGATGCCAGGAAGGCTGCTGTGCTTGACTTGAGCCCCGCCGAAGCGAAGAGTAGCGGTGCATACTATTGTACTTTTATTAATAGCAATTGAAAGAAAGGGAGGCTGGAGGAAGACTCACGTAAAGCACCCCATCAATTCCACTCGCCTGCTGCATGCCCATCAAGAAAACCCCCAACGCCGTCCTCCTCCAATTCTCCTTCCCGAAAACAGCAAACAGATCCGCAACCTTTACTTGCTCAGGCAACTCGCCCGCTTCTCGCTCTTCAATCTTCTCTCGTTCCGCGGCATCGATCCCGAGCTCCTCCCACATCTTCATGGCTTCACCGTGTCGTCCGCAAGCTGCGAGCCATCTGGGTGATTCGACGAGGAAGAAGAGGGTGGAGAGCGTGAAGAGAAAGGCGAGTAGGGCTTGGAGCGCGAATGGGATGCGCCAGGATGCGGAAGAGGCTATGGAGACGCTGCCATAGCAGGTGAAGTAGCAGAGCAGACGCCGATCGTGGTTAGGAGTTGGGGGATTGAGGCAAGTGTCCCTCGTGATCTTGGGGGCGAGATTTCCGTGATGTATCTACCAGACATCAAACATCAACATCAACTTAATTTCGAGATGGGTGAAAGGGGACGTAGACTTACACGACACAAGTCGACAAGAATAGACCTTCACCAATCCCCTTCACAGCCCGCCCAGCAATCAGCATCCCCAATTTCACAGAACTCGCTTCCGCTGCAGCGCCAATGCCAAACACCGCCGCTCCGAGAGCGATTCCCCTCAATCTTCCCACTTTGTTTGCAAGATGCCCGCCAAAGAAAGAGGACAGGGCCGCTGGGATGAGGATCGTGGAGACGACGAGTCCGTGCACCGTAGAGGAGAGCGAGCCGAACGTGGTTGCGAACTGGGGCATTGTTGTTAGGGGCCCGATTGTCCCTGTGTCGAGTCTGGGAAGAATTAGAAGGGGTTGGAGTGAAGGTGGGAGGTGACGAGGGGGTGGGGAGTGGAGGTACCCGAACAAAGCACCGCCGAAGGAGATCAGTGTTGCTTGTTGGACGTATTTTGGTGGATGGAGCCATGATTTATGCATCCTGGAAATATTGAAGATATAACTGGCTGAAAATGAAAATAGAAATCTTTGGCTTTGAAGGGAAAAATATTGTCTCCAGGAGCGAAGCAAACTTTTATATGCAGTGATCAAAGTGACTGGCTCCCTTGTATCACCATTTTTAAGACAAGATTTCCATTATCTCAGATCTAGAACGGAAATACTTTTAAGCACTCGTATTTTTGGCTTATGTTACGAGCCTCATGGATTTGCTTATATATGAAGCAACCTAAGGCAAGTGAGCCGAAGGTGGGATGCGCCTTCCCGATGGACGGAACGGGCAACTTTCCCGCAGCCCTAGAGTTCTGACTCGGTGCCTCGAACTTCCTCAATCGAAAGGTGGAGTTCTATCTATCTTCTTTAAGCATCATTGGACGCCTTGCAAAGATAAGGCGTGACGGTGCGGTCTTGAGGTGGCGAGCTACGCCTGCACGATCCCCAATGTGGCTCCACTTTTACTTGGTCGAGAAGGAGAAGCGGGATTGAATCGAGGAAGCGGTGTGCACAAGTATCTATAAGAATGACGAAATATTAATAAATAGTAAGCAGCCGTCAACGTCTAACTTGGGATGCGTCTAGATCTCCAATTCAAAACACGAGATAAATATCCAAGCCGGCATCCCAGTGGGGCAGCACCCCTCAGATATCAAAAATTTCTTTGTAGTCAAAACCGGTCTCAGTTGATCTTCTTCAAAGCTTTTCCAAACTCCAAGTCTGTCGTCACGTTTCCATAATTCGAGGTCCAGTAATCTGCCAAATAGTTTGCTCTCGGCTGCCATGGACCAACATCGCCAGCCTTCGGCAACTGGCCCTTGGACTTCTCAATATATGTGGAATTTAGATTCAAGACGGGCGTTGGCTTGATCTTCTGTCCGCTTGGGACCCGAGGAACGGCGCTTGAGGCATTGTGACTATCCATATGCTTCAACAATCTGCAAACAGTCTGTGCAGTGGCATCAGCACCCAGAGTCCAAGAGGCATTGGTATATCCGATGACAAATGCTGCATTCGGCATATCTTGCAGCATAACACCCTTCCACATGAACTTCGTCGAGACGTCAATCGGCTTCCTATCCACTAAAATACTGGACCCCCCTGCAAGTTGAATCTTCAAGCCAGTCGCGGTGACTATAATATCCGCATCAATCGTCTTGCCAGATGTAGTCTCGATGCCTGATGCCGTGACTGTTTTGATTGTGTCGGTAACAATATCAGAGTTGCCGTTCTGCAGTGCTTTGAAGAAGTCGCCCTCCGGGCAGACGCATAATCGCTGCTCCCAGGGGTTGTACGCCGGCTTGAAATTCGGATCGTGGGGCATTGAAGGTGGGAGGTGCCTTTTAGTATTTGCTTGGATGACTTTTCGACCAGCGTTGGGGAATGCTCGGCAGAACTTAAAGAACAGGAATGGAAGCACTAGAAACTTCCACCGCACGAGCGCGTGTGCCATCCAAGTAGGAAGCCACTTTCGCATGAAGTTTCCCGTGCGATCAACGGCTGGTAGGGCCATGATGTAGCTGGGGCTTCTTTGCAGCATCGTCACTTTTGTAGCCTTCTCCGCGAGATTGGGAAGGAGGGTGATGGCCGTTGCGCCGCTCCCAATGATGACCACGTTCTTCCCTGCATAATCGAGATCTTCAGGCCAAAACTGCGGGTGGATGACCTGGCCTTGAAATTTGTTGATTCCCGGGATTGTAGCGTTCAAGGGCTCGTTGTAATCATAGTATCCTGTACTGAGAATGATAAATCGGGCGGTATACAATTTCTTTTCGCCACCAGCCTCCACGGCAAGCGTCCAGTTTTGTTGTTCGGAAGACCAGTCAGCAGCGACGAGTTTGTGATGGAACTGAATCTTGCGATCGATGCCGTATTTCTCGGCTGATTCTCTGATGTAGTTTCGAATGGACTCTCCATCGGCGATCGAATTGGCTTTCGACCACGGTCTCCAGAGGAAGCCGAATGTATGTAGGTCGGAGTCAGATCGAATTCCTGGGTACCTAAAGAGATCCCAAGTGCCTCCTATGGCATTGCGGGACTCCAGAATGGTGTAGCTGTAGCCTGGCAACTCCGTCTGCACACGATAACCCGCATTTATACCGGATATCCCTGCACCAATGATCATCACATCGACATGGAGACTATCATGCCTATCTATAGAGCCCATAGTGGATTGGTGGTGAAGCAAGAAGGAAGAGATATGAAGGAATAGGCGTCTTTTGAGATAGGTTGATGGGATGAAGCTGCCACAACGAACGGCTCAGGGATCGGGGAAGATGGAATCGAAGGAGGCAATATCAGACAAGATAATTCGATAGGCTGCGGGTACGAAGGAGCTTTTATTGCTCCGACTCGAGGCCCACGCGCCGAGGTGCTTCCAAGAAATAAGAAGGCTCTCGCATTGTGAGTTCGCTCCATGACGAGACGAGCCACTTGGTCTCGCAAGCAGAGCTTGAGTTGCCGAGGCCCATGTTGCAGATCTACGTTTTTGGCGTTGCTCTAACTTGAACAGGCAATAGCTTGCGGGACGGTGGCTTGCCATTCTGGGGATGGAGTTATCCCGTCCCCGTCCAGAGTGTTTCCCTTCAATTGAGGGGTGTCCAAAGGCCGAGAAAAGGCCAGCCAGAGGCAGTAGAAAGAGAAGTTCAATTTTGCGGACGAGGAGAAGCTGTGCTTACCTTTGTGCCCTGCCCCTGAAGATCGCCCAAGCTATTTTTACGCGAGGTCATCACACGTGACTTCGAGACTTGCTTAGTAAAGGTGCTTCTCTTTCACACCCCAGGTTACTATATCACGACCTTTTCATGTAAACCTACGGAAGCAAACCCCCCACTAGGAAAGTCTTTTATTCTTTGACTGCTCGAGTTTTCCTAAGCATACATCACACTATCCCGGAGGCCACTCAACCAACCTCGCAATGCTACCCAAATTCGGGTGTCCTCCGCAGACAGCTACGAATCTGGGGGCGAGTTCTGTCGTTATTTTATAGCCAGCGCACCTGGGGGAGAGGCAGCATGTCCTGAGTTACAGCGAAGAGGAGCGAGACCCGTTCACGGACCAGATTCACCAGAACAAGGAACGAATGGGAAATCTACTTCGCTTCATCACGTGGAATTATAACACGTGATGCAAAGACCGACAAGACCCTCATACTCAGCTACGAACAATGGCCGGCTCATTATCTCAACTTCTAACCAGAAAAGAGTCGAAGAACTCCTCCTGAACTGGAGTGGGTAACTTAGGGTGTGTAAAAAAAAACCGTATTTTATGAATAAGACGGTTTTAATGCATGTTTTATATGTTTTTACGAGCCATAAAACACGGTTTTAAAACACAGATCACATGATATTCACGTGAAAGATAGCCCAATTTGGCTAGCTCCATAAATTTTGCAACGAGATTTTCTCGAGTTTCCCCTTGACCTGTCGAAAATCAGGGGCTGTGCGCTCTGTAGTCCACTTTTAAGTGGGGACATAATTTCCAGAGTTTTAACTTTCAAGGAAGCTGGAGCTTTCCTAGAAAAACACCACAATCAAGCTTCATTTCAACATAACCAACCCTCCTAATTTTCACCACCATTAATCCAACCACCCAACCACGCATCTATTATGACTCGAACGATTGGCGAAAAGCGCAAGGAGTATGAAGCAGAAGACGAAGATTAGGCTGGTTGTCACGATAAGGTGATGTTGCAGTGGTGGTAAAGAGCTTGAATTGAGCTGAAGGCTGTGCGCCCGGCTAAAAGCAATGGCTACACCCTAAGTCACGTGCAACGGCACCACGTGACTGGTGCCACGTAACACCAGGTGGTTTTCCACTGCATAGCTATCATGTGACCTTTGTTTTAAAACACCAGAAATTATAAAATACTGTTTTTTATACGTAATAAAACATATAATACAAAACTGTTTTATCAGCGACATACCCCAAGTAGGTTGCGTGTGGGATTAATTTCCCACTACCTACCCGCCTATTACCCCTGTCAGTCAAGTAAGCGCCGCAAGTGCACTTCAGCCCCAGCCTCCTGAAAGGTTCATCTTTCAACTTCAGCCCTCGCCAAAAAAAAGGAGGTCTGTCGAAATGGTTGAGTACCATACACTTTCGGCCACGCTATGGATGTTGTTCCCCATGGCGGAGAATTCAATTTGGAGCACCAAGAGCAAGATGTTATCAAGCAGGCGGTCCCTCGTGCCCCCGAATCTGAACTACTCGATGAGCTCAGCCTGCATCTTCTTGACGCAGTTCGAGATCGGGACCAAGCTGCAGTGCGACTTTTACTTGATGGAGGCTTGGTTGATGGAGGCGCGAATCTAAGCGCAAAGAATACTGAAGGACAGACGCCGTTACATCTGGCAGTCAAAAATGACGATGTATCCATGGTACAATTGCTGCTTGAAAGGGGAGCAGATCCTAATGCAACTGCGGCAAATGGACACAAGCCTTTGTATGATGCAGCTGAGTCTGGTTATCTTAACATTGCCGGGCTTCTCTTGGAATTCAGCGCAAATGTCGAAGCATTCAACATAGACCAACAGCGGACCGCACTTCACCAGGCTGTGGAGAACGGGCATACTGCAGTAGCCAAGATTCTTCTCCGGGATGGGGCAGACATCGATGCCCGATCTCCATCTGGGCTTACACCATTGTTCTGTGCCATCCGCCGTGGGGACGTGGATCTGGTGGAGTACTTGTTGGAGCATGGGGCCAACAAGAAGCTTCACCTTGACGACGGCCAGACTGTGGAAGACTTTGCTAAGGGCAAGGCTGCCATCACTACCTTGTTACGATCTAGTCAAGTAATTCAAGGCCCATCTCTCACAGCCCCAGAATCCACCGATTCCGAACGTCGCTTCACGCCAATACCATCTCTTCCTGCCGATCAAGTCAATAAACAAGATGCTTGTCGTGGATTTGAAGCTACTATCATCGACTTCTTCTTGGGAGACCGTGAAAAAAGAATCCAAGTGTCCGCGTCGATATACGACGTCCTCTACGGAAAGGGGGCAGAAGCCATCATGGACTCAGAAAGGGGGGTCATGATGGGCGAGCAACAACGGCAGTTTAGGTGGTATCACCTTCCTGCGAACAATGTAGGCAGTTTCCACCTATCCTAAGATTGCATGAATCTAACTATGAAGTAGGTTGAATGGGTTGAGGTAAAGTAATTCTTCTCTCAAAGTTGAGATGAACATTTCAGTTCATTGAGGGGGGTGGGCAATCAGGAAATGTGCCTAACTGTCTTGCACAGGTGTTGATAAGTCGAATCTTTGCGGAGCAGAATGTGGCCCTCGACGAAGAACTCAAATCCAACCTTGGATTAACCAGCTCAGCGGGTAGACAATATCGTACACTCACGGCTCAGTCTTCTTTTATGCGGCCACTTTGTCATTATGATGATGTATGAAGAGACCCGGTAATCATACTTGGTCACTCCTGCTGATTTATGATTGGTAGCGAACCTCCAAAGCGGGCCACCTTGTTTTATTTGTAAGCCAATGCAGAAATTTGTCCGATTTGTTCCCTAGAGCTCACACCGCATAGATGCCTTATCTTCATTTCGAAACTCTTCGTGGATACGAAGAAATGGCCGATCATATTGAGGCGGCGGCTGGTCCCATGCTGAAACAAGGCCAGCACGAAAACCAGAACTTTGCAACTCCAGCAAGAGCCGGCACATTCAGAGGAAAAGATAAACTTGCCGACATTCCAGAAGGGAGTCAGCCTCGAACAGAAGACCATCGCCGAGGATCTGGGCCAGCTTCAGAATAACCTCCCAGACCAGAGCCTCGAAGGGCTCGAATCCCTTTGGGCCAACTCGACGAGTTACTAATTAAAGCATATTCATTGCCAAATCCTTCGGGGCAGCTACCACCACTACAGCTGCGACGCACGCTCGACCAATACTTCTACACCCATCTTTCGAATACATTCAAGCGGGACACTGATCAAGTGGTGCTGCGATACACCACAAATGATCCTGGAATGGAGCCGAAGATCTTCATGGTCGATCAGTTATGGCTCTGGATTTTGAATGGAAGTAAATAATCCCCTTCCCAACTATGTAGCGTTGCTCATTAGATTCCAGATACTGTGATTAGTTGTTTTCCACAACGCTGGGATACTTGGTCAACTGACAGAAGCACGGGACCGCCCCCATCATATCCGCCCCGTCCTCAGCCTATGGCAAATTTCCAATACCCAGTCGCTGACCTTAACACTGGGCGGGAGCTAGGGCCAGGGCCTCCTCCACCACCTCCCCAAAATTTGCGCAATAATCCACGAATGGCTCCCCCTCCCCCTCCACTGAACTGGCCAGGCGATCCGCCGACTCGGATCAAGCAAACTGAGCCTCCTAAGCCTACAGCCCGGCCTCTAAATCCGCCACCTGATACTGGACAGCCCGCGCCTTCTCATCTTCCGTCATCAAACATGCATGGCGAGACCAATATGATCACTAACCCCGATGAATTGAAAAACAAGAACAAAGCTATAATCAATCCCTCAGGGATCTTAACATGGATGGCTGGGGGGAAGAAGATCAAAGGCAGGAAATCTCCCATTGGGCCTATCTTCCCTACTGGGGAAGTTAAAGACAGCAGACCAACTTCATCCATCGAACAGGAAGAAAGAAGGAGACGGCGAGCTTTTCTCCAGCTGGACCCCTTGAATGTGCACCAAACGATACTCAAGCATCTGCAAGGGACAACGCGAGGCCCTATCACTTCAGCGTATGATCTGGCGAAGCTTATCACGAACTCCTGTGCCAATGTCTTTGATCAATACGGGACCCCACCTGACTTCCAATTTTTCGATTTCTTCGAACGCTCCATCGGAGCTTTGGTAAGCCAGGCGCCAGTGTCCTCAAAATCTGAAGTGGAGTAACAAGAAGGCAGGTCGACCAAGAGACACAACGCTTCAACCACTTTATGAGCAGTCTTGACAACACAACCTACCCCGACTCTACATCTAACCCCGCCCTTAGCATTGCGGCAGAGACCAAACTGTTGGTAGAAATCAAAGATATCCGTGACGAGTAAGAACGATCCATTTTGCGCTATTCTTTTAAAAACATTGTTATCACGTCTTCCATGCTCGAAACATTGCTCGAACCAAAATCACCCCTTAGTAACTTTAGAAATGGAACTGCTAATTTTCGATCTTCTAGACTCGGCATCTTAGAAACGATCTTGCACGATCAATTAAAAGCTCTAGGGGAATTTGAGCAAGCCATTGCCAGGCTTGCCAGCAGAGATAGAAAGCTTTCAGTCACACAGAACAAAGTTCTCCAAAGCCATCTGGAGAGAATCCAAAGGATGGATAAACAGGCGGGGAAGGCCTACCAAGCAGTAAGCAACCAGAGAAATCTTGGACTTGGGTACTAACCACACTAGCTCAACGATCTTCTCGATTTAAAACAAAAAGAATTCAACGCTGCGATTGCAGACCAATCCCAAAAGCAAGGCCAGCGACAAGTGGCCTTATTAGAGGCAACGGTGGCTCAAGCAGAGGAGACCTCACGGCAAGGAAAGACTGTGATGTTGTTCACCGTGGTCACAATTATATTCGTGCGTTCCCCGGCTTCGACTTCTGTCACGTGAACTCACAATCATAGCTGCCGCTTGGGTTTATGGCAGCATTTTTCACCATCAATGTTGATTCATTTCCTGTGAACGACAATGGAAAGCTCCCGATGAGCTATGTACTTAAATATATGCGTAAGTATTCATCAGTCATTTCTAAGAGAGCCCAAAATTTTGCTTCCGATCACTTTGACTAATCTTTAAACAGTCTCAATATCGGCCGCCATCTCCATCCCCTTCGTGCTCATAGCATTCAACCAAGATACGATTTCGAGATGGCTGAGAGCATTGAGGAATGGAGTTATATGGTCGGTTATGGTCATCATCATAATGGGAGTGCTTCTCGCTCTGATTTGGACAAGCCACCTGGCGTCTGGGATCAAGGTTGCTGTGACGGTCACCATCCTGTTGTTATCTTTAATGGCTGTTATCGGGAAAGGTATTCTTTTGTTGGTTAACGACGCCCGATCAGGAAGTAGTGCAGGCTCAGGCTCGAGGACCAGTTCACTTGTAGACTATTAGAGACTTAGAACACCTTCATACATCGAGTGACTGATGTACAATCCCATCGATTGAACTATACAACATAAAAATCAGAAACTTGATGAAACCCCTAAAAAAAACAATGGACCGTCGCCCTTCCAGCATCAACCTCAAGTCTCCGACAAAACCTTGATACTCAAAATCATGACATACATCGCAACTCCGGCCAAAATGTCCAGAAACACAGACCCCCACCCTAGCACCATAGCCACAGCACCCACCTTCCCCTTCACAGTCCCATAGCTCAGACTCTGCCCCATAGTCACAGCCGCCGAGCTGGCAATATGCTGCCAAAAGACGGACACGAAGATGAGCAGTGAGGCGAGTATCAAAAGCGCAAACACGATGTAGGACACGGGTCGCGAGGGGAACGGCTTCACTTCGCGCTCACTCCCTTCGGCGTCCTCTTCTTCGTGCCAGCGTGGGAAGGTGGAGAGGAGAAGAATAGAAATGAAGACGAGAGGGACGGTTGAGAATCTGGCACATCACATGATCAGCAAGTATTTCATTGGAGGTGGTGGGGTGAGATGGGGGATCGGACATGAGGCCATCAAAGACTATCTGACTTTGGAAATTATTTGCGATCCACAATAGGTTTAAGGGATCACCGGATGAACTGGTGTGCGTGTTGTTGATGGTCTTTGCGAGGCTTTTGGCGTGTCGGGAGCAGATCCAATCTCCTGTTGAGTCGGGCATGCAGAAGCCCATGTAGCCTACGCGCACTTCGAGAGCGGGCGCTGGGGTAGTGAGGTTTGCGAAGGTGGTGGAGATGGAGGGGTTTACTTGCACAGCGTCTTGGTGTGAAGGGGTAGAGGCGTAGGAGAGGGAGAGGAGGTAGACGTTGTTCATGTTGCTGCTTGAGCAGCCAGCCAGGAGGATTGCTGGTCATGGTTAATTGAATTACGGACCGATGGAGGTGAAGGGGACGGACAGGAAAGCACGATAGAGACGGTGAGAACCATCATCATTACGTGGTGGTACCCGAGAAAGAGGTTGAATCCTGTGCATCGGTCAGTCAGAAGGACGGGCACGTGATCTGGGACGGAGGGCCGTACTCGCCCATCCGGTGTAGATAACTACCACTCGCTCGACTGTTGATACTGATGCCATCTCTCTTATAGCCTCGGACGCCACCGTCGTGCAATCGAGAAATGACGCGAGAGTAAGAATGCACCAAAGAGACGTCGGAGAGATTTTCGCAAGTGGAAGCTGCAGCTGAACACGCACTGTGGGGGCGCGGTCTCATAGGTCGGAAATGCGGGCATACAATGTAGTGCAATTAATCATATTGAATGCAGCAAGCGCGGATTTACATTGAGATCTTAACATTCTTTGCACTTGCGAAAGAGATCTTGGCTGGGAAAGAGCCATAGAGATGTTCTTTAATCTTCGTCGGCCCCTGTGCGGCTCGGTTCTTCTCACCCCAAGGGAATGACTGTCACTGAACCACATTATCACAGAGCAGCTTCACTTGACTCAGATTTCAATCTCGAGAAACGCATCAACAAGAGAGTACAATCGGAAGCTGGAATCAATGCTGAGCACTGAGACGGCGATAAAAATAGAAATGGAATCCATGGAATACTTTGCCACGTGACGCCAATATACTAGGCATAACTGTATTCCCACCCTAATCCTCATTGCAAGCTCACATCACACCTTCTCTCCCGCTGCTCTTCTCAAGAAGTCGACGGTCTCGTCAGACTTTGACAAGAACGGGCTGTAGCTACTGAAGACTCGCTCAGTCACCATATCCGCTCCTGCATCTTGGCAAGCTTTCACCATAGCTTCCTGCACAAAGACAGGAATTGCACGATCATCCTCGCAAATCAAATACCTGCTGGGGATAGTTCCCCAGGAAGAACTCGATGTTCCGATGAATTTGGTTGCGTATGAGTGCGGCCGGAGTTTGGCAGCCCAGTACTCAGTTTGTTCAGGGCTGAGATCGTGGTAGAAGGTTCGGATGGGGTCCTTGCATGTCACCCAAGGTTCCTAGAAATTTACTTCAGCGTCGCGCCCTCAAGGTGTCAAAATCAAGTCTCACCTTCACATCATACCACTCCGGTGGACTTCCTCCAAAAGCCTGAATCAAGCTCATGTTCTCCGGCGGGACGAAACCAGTGAGAAAGGTCAGCTTCACCACACCACCTTCCATCCCCTGCTTCTTTTTCTCCTCCTTACTCAAACCCCCAAGCCCGCCACAAACGATAATGCTGCTCCATGAATGTCCAATGACCATGACATCATTCCCTGCATCCGCTTCTTTCAAAACAGCAGATCGGAGAGCGTCGATGTCGGGTGGAGGTCATTCACGGCAGGCTTTTGGATGACGGCTTGGAGGGGAAGCGCCTTGGATGTATAGCCATAAGCAGAGAGCTTTGAGATTAAGGTGTCGAAGACTTCTGGACTGCGCCAGGCTCGGGGAGGAAGATGAGAGATGGTTTGGGCATCCTGAGCTTGACTGTAGAGCGACGGGACGATGGTCGAGGGTTGAGGAATTTGAACTGTAATATGAAAGTAAGCGTTCGAGGTCTTTTAAAGCTGTTTCCCCCTTGTCGTCATCTGTTAGGTAGCTTGAACAAAGGCTTCTTATTCTAATATTGAGACGATCTAAAATATGACAGTGCTGGCTACGGGGAGGAGAGGCGCAGCAGGAACGGTTCTTCCTTCTGTTCCTTCATAGACTTAGCCAGTATCTCACAAGGAGTTTCTCCGGGAAACTGGAATTACAAGTCTTCCCCTGTAGAATGTCGGCCGCCAACAGACTCTTTGAATAGGGGTTGAAGCGAGCTCACGTGATATGAGCTGACGACATCGTGGGGGGAAGTGCGTCTATTATTCTACATTAAGAACAATGTCTCCATTTCATCAGTAAACCATGGTCTTTCCTTGAGATCAAATGGAAAGTGGATACTTCGATATCACGTGAAGTCTGAGCGCAATAAGGAGTTAGTGCTCCGAAACTTTATATTGCGTGATGGGGGGTGCCCGAAGGTTTGGGGGACCACCCACAGCCGCCCCAAATATCTGTCGCCACAGCTTATCGCACCAACGAAACAAGGGTTTGGGCAGCCCGCTTGGGGGTCCCCCATCCCACCTTGCTTTTTTCGTAATAAGGCCTTGAGGCCTTTTTAGAGATAAGAATTGGTCCTGGGCATTTTTCGAAACTTTGAATGTATCTTTCTTCGACCCACTGTCCAACGCCGCTATGCCAGTAATTCCAACTACTGCAGCTCTGGATCGTTCTTGCGGGCCGAGCCTTGATGCGAAACGTCTTTCGGGCCCTTTCGGTGGATTCCAAACGAAATGAGCACGCCATCGGCAAGAAAGAGACCTGCGGCCGATGTTTCGGGGGATCAAGATGAGAGGGCACGCATCGCGCGGCCTGCAACCAAACGGCGAAGATCACAGTCCGTGGATTCGACGGAGCACCTTACTCAACTAGACTTGGATAACTCTACTAGGCCAAGTCGTTCTGCTTTCTGTTCTGGCTACGACTTGGATCGCTTGAATTATCATGTTCGACTCCAAGATTTTGCCGTGGAATTACAGAAAGCTGCCAATGCGGCATTCCCAGGTGGTCAAACCTCGAGATACACGACAGTCGATGTGATCTTACTATCGTGGGAGGATGAGGACCCGACCTTGCCTATTTCATCTGAAATTCGGGACCTGACAGATACTTTTGCCAATTTGTATGGTTATCATGTCGAGGAGTGGCTGATCCCGGCCGAGGAGGACAGCCACAACCAACTCCAGGTCAAGATCCTGCAATTCCTTTGGGCTAGCAATCCAACTCATTTAAAAATCGTATACTATGCCGGGCATTCGAAACTAGGCAGCAATGGACAGCCCATCCTAATAAGGTACTTATTGATAGCCACCCTTCAAACCCATTTCTAACCTGCATGCTAGTCGCGCAAACAGCGGGAAGGAGCGATGTCCAACGGTCAAGTGGACCGCGATCCAGAACAGTCTTGAAGAGTCGAGATCCGACGTCTTGGTGCTCCTTGACTGTTGTGCCTCTGGCGTCTGTACCACAGATGAAGGGAACGGAGTTACGGAAATGATTGCAGCTTGGGCGTGCGAGACCCTCTCGGATGGTCCCGACCCTTCTTCATTCACGCAAGCACTGAACATGAAATTGAGACAACTATCTCAATTACCGTATCTCACAGTGGGGCAATTGTACAACGCCATTTTTACCGAAGTTCAAGCTCGGAGAGTCGAACCTTCCACCTTACGTCCCAAGAAGCTTCCTGTTCATCGCGTTCTCACTTGTTCTCAGGACTCTCCTCGAAGCATATGTCTGTCGAAACACTCAAAGCCAAGCCAGCAACAAGACGTATTGCACACAACTGAGAATTCGGTTCCCATTTCTCAACTACAACCTTTAGATTTGCCGGTGTTCAATTCGCCTTCTTCCGAAGAACCAAACACACCCAACTCAATCAGTCTACTAAGTCAAAATGCGTCAGCTAAGTCTTCAACGACTTCGCTAGATGAGCTCCCAGAATATCCAAGGCTTCTGTTCTGCATACGTATCTCGGAAGACGTTAAAGCAAGCGACTTCTCTCCTGAAATATTCTTGGATTGGTTGAAAAAGGTTCCAATCAAAGCAAATCTTGTCAGAGTTGAAGCCGGCTTCGCCAGTAACTCTACACTGGTAATGTTCTCGATACTCCCAGCAATCCTGGGATACCTTCCCGAGAACCCAGCAATGACCCTTCTCGGGACAATCAAGTCCAAAAACATCATCGCGGCTGTCCCTTCGAAAGAGAAGGAAATCAGGACGAAAAAACAACCAGCAGCCGAGAAAGAAGAAATCGATGCGAAAGCTAAGATGAAATCCCCAACCGCTTCAGCAACCTCATCCGGCAAAAAAGAGGAGCCCTCTCCTCCAAAAGGGGGATGTCGCTACATCATGTTCCGCGAAGACATCAGACCTATGACCTGGTAAGCTTATTTCCGTACTGAATTGCTGTTTTCTTCTGTGTGGGCTGAGAGTCTGGGAGCTTCACGGGAGCCGGTATACGCACTTTTGTCTTGGAAGCTTGGCTCCTCAGCTCCCGAAATCTTTTCAGAAATTCAGCGAAAATTCATACTAATTCGATGGCAGTGCCTGTCAAGGATATTCTCAAGATGTTGTAACACCCAACGCCCACGCCCCCTGTGACTGCGGCCACAAGCCCTGCTATCACCTAGCCACCAGAAGCCAGACCGTCTACCGGCAAGAGCTCGAGTCTCTGACCAAGAAAGTGTATATTATGGAGCAAGATGTCAAGCGGATGAGACTTAGAAATGGGGGAATATCCAATCGCTCTTTTGGGCCTGAAGAGATGGGACCGCCGAGCTGGAGTGGGAGACAGAACCCAGGTGACAGGCACCTTGCGATGCAGGATAGGGGGGGGTTTCTTGTTCCGGGCCAGCCTGGGTCAGAATTGTGGAACTTTAGGGGGCCTTGAAGTGTGCAGATATTTGGATAATGATGTAAAATAAGTAGAAGTATTGCTCAACATTTTGGGCTCTCTGCTCCTGTCTCAGATCTTCTCTTAACATCTCCACAATCATAATCCGTGATCTGGCCGGTATTCCGGTATTGCCAAGCGTCACCTCAGCGCAGAAAACAAGAAGCATGAGACATTCTGACCCCGCACTACCCCGCACCTCCTCTGAAAGACGCCGGAGTCAGCACCCAGATCACGGTTTTTCAGGCCCTGATCGCTAACCCCTAGCGTAGGCGTCGTTAGGATGCCGCCCTTAAACGCTCAATTATACACCAGAACACTTCAGAGATGATCTCCACAAAAGCATTTAAATGTCGAAAACTCTCCATAGAATCAGTCAAGAGGCACTGGGGCTTTCAGCAGGTTTGAGGAGAATACACTTGATTGATCATGGAGATTGATTTTTTGAAGTGTTCTGTGTTAATATGTGAAAGCTTTGGTAGCTGAACAACCCCCCCGGAATTAGCGAAGGACAGCCTAAACTAATCATTAGCATCATTGACAACAGCCTATTACTTATGCTATAATCCAGACAATATTCTGACTCTATATTCATATGGGAGAATGTAGTTCCAGTATATAAAATGCAAGCTCACTATATTCTCGAGTCGAAAATGGAACAGCAGTCAAGTTCACCTGTTCTCGGTCAAAACCTCCACGATGCAGCACCTTGCACAGGTCATCGCGATCGGAGGCATATGCACTTCGACATGTCTGTCGTTGGTAACACCTTTTGAACGGGCAGCAAACGTGCCACCGGCCGAGTTCACTGCAAACCCCACACCTAGTAGAGGAGCCAAATACCTAGACTCGCCACGCTTCCGAATACACAACTACACCACAACCTCCGTTGCAAACACAGCACTCACCAACCTAGAATTCGGCTACACTTGTTTCGTCGAAGATCTCGGCCGGCGTTCAGCGGGCTTGACAGTCAATGGAAGAGAACTGAGTGATAGCCCCTACTGCAAAATGAACGTCTATAATGTCGGCTCCCTGGGTGCCAACACAGCAGCCAACACAGGAACGGAGTCCACTACAGGCCTCACATTTCTAAACGTCGTCACTCAGTACCTTACAACACCCTCTCACCGTTCACGAATTCGGTCATGTGTTGGCATACACGGCAAAGTGGCGGGTGAACCAAATTCGCACAGGTGTTTGGCGGGAAACAATTGCGCAGTTCGTGGAGAACCTCACTCAGTCTGCGCTCATGCTAGAGGGAAGTACAATCAAAGTGAAAGCGACTCGCTGGTTGATATCAACAAAGTGATTTCCGACTCTTTCCAGGTGATTGTGGACGGGACTTCAGGTTCGGGAATTATTACCAAGCATCTCCGTTCTCCACCTATCTGACGAATAACCCGGACACCATCACTGGTTTGGGATGGTCGTTGTTCCCTGCTGTATGGACGAAGTATAACCGTGATAGTAACAAGACCCCGCTTCACATCCTTGAGTGGCTGGCTGCTCGGACGAGGATTCAGACAGTGGTGGGACGGTACTGGGCAAGGGTAGCGTAGGTGGGCACTGGGCATAAGGAAATGCAGGCTGCGTTCCAGAGAAGTAGGAAGAGTTTAAATTATGCAAATTTGGATTCCCAGGGGAGTGGGAAGTATAGAGTCAAGATATATAGGAGCAAGCACAGGAGCAATTACTGTCAGTGACGGTCACTAGAAATGCGCCGTTCATTGATACGCTTGCGATTTCGGGATCGGGTGGTGTAAGATATTTGGATGTGAAGAACGACACCGTTGAGGCTACTGTTTGAAGTGGAGAAGAGGCTGCTTTGGTAATTGCGAACACGCCAAATGCCTTGGTGTTGTGTGATCCGTTCAAGCTTACTACAGACCTCAACAAGGAGTTTGGCTATCAGTTGCAACTCGCGGATGCAACTGCTTGAAGAGTTGTCCAACGAATGGCTCAAGGCCGAAAGGGTGAGATAGATATGCATAAAAGATACATTGCAATATATGCACGTCTCAAAATCCAAGGGCGTTAAGTTAGGTAACGAAAATTAGGGTTGAGATGCGGAGGTACTGACTAAAATTGCAACTGCACACGTTGTAATAAGACAAGGAGACAAGGCCGTTTTACGTTTTAAGATATTGAAGACAAGAGGGGGAGGGGGTTAATCGTTCGGCGCTTCCCACCTAGTCTCGCTTAGTGACACTCGCTAGGTGAGGGCCACTAATACGCAAAACACAGCAATACGCAAATCTGAGATTTCGGTAGTACCTTACAAGAAATTGCCCTTTAAATTCTCATAATACAACGTATCAAAAAAATGTCTAAGTAATAGGAATTAATCCCGAGACTAAGGTCCTTTCATCTATTAAATTTAAAGAGCAAAAATTAAAGGCGTTGCTATTTTTGAACTTTGCATAGTTTTCTTGTATAAATTCGTATAGGGCAAATCGGGCAGATTTGTATTATAATAACGCCTTAATTTTTTAGTCTTAAAACCTGCTAAGCTAAATAGCCTATATATTAGGATTAATCCTTCTTACTTAAATACTATTTTAATACGTTGCGTTTTGAGAATTTAAAGGGCGAAAAAGGGAGGTGGGGTGCCACCAAAATCTCAGAGCTGCGCATTGCTGGGCTTTGCGTATTGGTGGCCCAGGGCCCTCACCTAGTGAGTGTCACTGAGCGAGACTAGGTGGGGAGCGTCGAACGATTAGGGGTTTCGAGATGCCTGTTCAAAGTCAAGCCACAGCTCCTAATTTAGAAAGTTGCGGCTGGGATGCCAGTTTGTGTGCGTGGGGCTGAAAAACGAAACCGTGAGCTGCATCCACCTCTTCGAGCACGAAAGGGAACCAAGACCTCAAGGACTGAAGGATGTTTCCTTCAGACTACGACGTCCTTTACCGTCAATATCATGTCCGGCGCTGAAGCAATCCTTGTGCTTGGCGTCGTATCCTCAGTCATTGCTGTCGTCGACGGAACAAAGCAAGTGTACGACGCGGCTGCGAACGCAGAAGGCCTTCCCGAAGCTTTTCGGGAGGTTGCAGAACGACTGCCAATAGTCCGAAATATTCTGGCGTCTGCGGAGAAACATATCCGCGATGGCGATATCGACGAAAGTTCATGCAAGGCAATGAAGCCTGTCATTGAGCGTTGTAGGAAGAGGGCTGAGAATTTGGACATGCTGTTCAGAAAGGTCATCCCACCAGGCGATGCTTCACGACCAGAACGATACCTGAAAGCCGTCAGAACACTGGGAAAAGGGGGCAAAGTCGAGACACTGATGATGGGGATGTTGGAGGATACTCAGCTTCTGACGTCTGATTATGGGTTGCAGGCATTCACCAAAGACCAAATGGAGCAGATTGCCAAGGCTCTGAAAGAAGTGTCTGACATCAAAATATCGGTGCCTGACTCCGGATTTCACGATTCCACGACTACAACGAATATTCTCGGGGACGTACACGGAACTCAGACCATTAACAACGTTGAAGGGAACCAGTACCTTGCGACAGGGTCCGCCAAGCAGTACAATGCAACCACAATGTCGTTTGGTAAGGACAACTGAATGAGGGGCAATGTTTGTAGTTAATACTGTCTTGGTAGAAATGAAGGATGCCAATTTCCATGCACAAACACAGAATTTCTTCCCGTCATCAGCTCACAGGAGTAAGTTTGAATTCATTACAGGCTAGTTCGTTCGGTTCGGCGGAAAGCAGACTAAAACAGGACTGATGCTTCTTTTGATTTAGCATATAGGGGATTACGGGAAGAGTGCGAAGAAGGTATAGTTCTTCTGCTCCCGATCCTTCTTCTCTACAAGCCTGACAAGCCAGATTTTCTGGAACTTCTAGGGTTCCCTGAAATGAATGAACGATACGAGAATATCACCGAAGCTCATGCACAGACTTTTCGCTGGATATACGAGAATCCGGACCTTAAATTTATGAACTGGTTGAGAAAGGGCGAGGGAATTTACTGGATCAGCGGCAAAGCGGGCTGTGGGAAGTCCACTCTCATGAAACATCTGTATGAGAATCCCAAAATGCGCCAAAGTCTTCCTTCCGACATCGAGAACATATGTGTCGCCGGATTCTTTTTCCACGACCGGGGACCTCATCCACTGCTCAAGTCGCAGGAGGGACTTTTTCGCGCCATTTTACACAGAATTCTATCACGGTACCAACAATTAATTTCGGTCGTTCTACCCCGTCAATTTGCGATATTTTCGAAGAGGACAGATCGAATCCAGAACGGAGGATGGCAGTGGACATTATCAGAGTTGAAAACAGCATTCAGAGCACTCGTCAACCAGAAAGTCTTGAGTCTTCGTCTTTGTCTGCTCATTGACGGCCTTGATGAATTTTCAGGGGAGCACAAAGATATCATCGCCGTCCTTGACGAGCTCGCTCACCCCCCGAGTGATTCCGTACAGGTGCAATTTTGCCTCTCCAGTCGGCCTTTACTTGCGTTCGAGAATGCTTACTCGATGCACCGGCACCTCAGGGTGCAAGACCTGACTGCGGGGGATATCAAAAAGTATGTCACAGACGAATTCAACAAAGATGTCCACTTAAAAGAACTCGCTACCAATGACAGGGTGACCTCGGACCAAATAATGGAAGAAATCCTCGAAAAGGCGGAAGGGGTTAGTCCACATCTTTTTCAAAGCCCTCTCTTAGATGTTCTGAGAGGTGTGCGAACTTTTGTTTGACATCTCTCAACTCACGTGGACTAATCAAATGTTTAGTTAGTCCGAAAAGCTGCTGACTCTTTGGTATTTCTAGGTTTTTTTGTGGGTCACACTGGTAGTCAACTCACTGATCAAAGGCTTGGAAGATGGTGACGATATGAAGGACCTCCAAGGACGGCTGTCAGAACTCCCAGCCGGTCTAAAACCACTTTATCAAAGGATGGTTGAAAATATCCAGCCACGCTACCACGAACAAGCGGCCCAGCTCTTTCGAATTGTTGACATCGCAGCGTCTCCATTGACTCCACTTGCACTATCATTCATTGATGAGGACCCAAAAGCTGCTCTTTCCGTCAAACATGAGGTATTTTCTGATGACGAGATCAAACGGCGACATATCTTGGTAGCTAAGCGTCTGAAAAGTCGCTGCGCAGGGTTAATTGAGATAAGTGTGTCGAAGGGAGAACGTGGGGGGGCAGGGATTCGCCGAGATTTCAAGTATCAATTGGAAGTATCAAAGGGTACAATTCCTGCACTTGACAGTTAAGGAGTTTTTGGTTTCAGACAAGATGCAAAACTGGCTCGCAACTAGACCCTCTACCAATATCCCGAACATCCATGTTGGGATACTGACATGTGTTATCCGACAACTACAGGTTACTGCCTGTGCCCAATTTCACCGCTACGATCAAGAAACGAAAAACCGCGAAATATATTTCGACGCAGACCTTTGGTTCTTCTCTTTCGTACACGGGGGTATCATCAGGTTGATATTTTTTCACGCACTTCGAATCGAAATTCTGCATCACAGATCCCAGCTAATTTATCTCGAGGCTCTTGATAAATTGTTGCAAGACTCGGTGGAATCAAACCCCCCCAGAGTTTTGGAGCCAGAGAAGAGCACAAAAGAAGAAAGACCGCCGCATTGGACAACTTTCCGTTATGTTGACTGGTTTGAGCCAGCCCAGTGGCAGAGCGATTATGCAGCCTATCTGGTAACCATTGGCATGACTCGAGCTGTCATTGACAAAATTCGTGCCGACTATAACCCTTCATTGAAGCCAGGCAGACCTCTACTCCATTACGCTATTACCACCCTAGCACCCGAGTACGCAATAGATCTTCGGAACGAGAGGGATACGGTAGACCCGGAGATAGTCGAAGAGCTTTTGAAGCAGGGTTGTGATCCGAACCAATCATTGAACAGATTGCGAGATGGGATCATGACTTCCGCTCCTGGCAAAACCACCTGGCAAGGCGCTCTGATCCATATCTGGCGGCGATTTTGCCTCATGCCAGGAACCGATAATATAGCGAGACAATATTATGAAAAACTATCGGAACAGGCTGCCGCAATGGACGATCTACGTTTGAGATGGGTGAAGTCTTTCAAACTGTTAGTGGAATATGGCGCGGATTTGAAAGTGAGAGTCGTTGTTCCTGAAGATGAAGATGCAATAAATTGCTTCAAGATGTCGGCGTTGTCAATCTTCATGGACGCGTTTGCTGGATTCGAGCATCAGCTAGTCAAAACAACTCGAGAGCTACTGATTTCAAAGGGTGTGACAGAGTTGAAACAACGAGTATCGTCTGAGGACATGGAAACCTCATCTAGTGTAAAAAGGGGGGCTGGCTCCCGATTAGCATGTTGTTGTAATCCTAGCTAGAATAGGAGTTGTAATGTAATATCCAAGGCTGATATCAGACTCTGGAGGCCATGTCCTTATTTGAATATTCAGTAGCCCTCCGCAGGAGAGCTCACTCACAAGCTAACAAGAATACACAAGCTGGGATCACGGTCGCTCGTGGAAACACAATGCCGACGAAAAGTTCTTGTTAAAATAATAGACAGGTTGCTTGAATCTTATAGAAACCACTGCTCGCTCAAAATTGACTTCAACACCGAGATGGTGGATACCTGATTTGTTTTTAACTCTACGTCTAACTTCAATCACGACAAGAACTTCGTGACCGCCTCCGCGAACTTTTCCGGTTTCTCAACCATAGGCAAGTGGCCAGCACCCTCAATGACAGTGTACTCAGCACCATTACTTCCATAAGCACCAGCCATCTCCTTCATAGTCCCGGGCAGGACTCCATCCCCACTTCCCACCAAAAACATGCCTTTGACATTACTAGCCCTCATCTCCCGCTTCAAATCATACTCAAAAAGAGCAACTACGCTCTTTTTGAAACCTTCAAGGCTGTTGGTCTTCACCATCTCCTTCACCTCATTACAGGTCTTCTCCATTGCACCTCCATCATAACTCTCCTTCACAAACCATCTTCGGACTGTGATCTCCGCCAACTCTTCACCAACAATCTTCTCGCCACTAGCAGCCGAAGCGTCCTCCTTCTCTGCAAGCGCGATACGCTCGCCCCATGCTTTCGAATTGCCTGCCGGGGACTTACTGCTTGTGTCGCAGCTGATGAATGATCCCACTCGTTCTGGGTATTTCAGGGCAACGTTGAGGGTCGTGCAGCCTCCGAGCGACACACCAATCACTGCTGCGGCCTTCTTCACACGGAAAGCATCGAGTAATGCAATGACATCACCGGCTAGCACATCAACGGTGATCTTCTGGGTACCGCAAGAAGAACCTCTCCCTCTACTCATGTATCTCAGGATACGGTAATTTTTATTGGCTGGAGAAGAAAAGAAGGAGGCTACGAAGCCATCCCAGATTCCGTACTCGACGAGAATAGAATTAACGAGCACAATCACTGGGGCGTCAGGATCTGACGAACCTTCGAGGCGGTATGGTAGTTCCACGCCATCTTTCGTGGTTACGAAGCTCTCAATTGCACCATTCCCGCCTGCTCTGCTTAGAAATGTCTTCGTCAACGATTGTTTCTCGTCGGATGAGTGCCATTCCGCCAGACTCGGAGCCAAGTACCGTGGTGCAGGGCCAAAAGTATAATATAAATTGTAGACTCGACGTCTCTTGTCCTTCACCACCTTCGTCATAATCTCCTTATTCCAGGGTGTCGTAGTCGCCGCAACAAACTCGGGGCCTCCAAGACCGTTCTTCGGCGCATATTCGTGAAGGGCAAGATACTCGACAGGAGAATTTGGATCAATCGAGCTCGTAACAAATCTTCGTGTGCGAAGCCATCCCGGGACTTTAGACAGCAAATCAACATGCTCTTCCCTATACCACCTATCCAATTCCTCCTTCATGCCGGCACCATCATGCAAATCCAAAAACACAGCAACCACAACATTCCCCTCCCCCTCATTCTCCACCTTCTCCAATACCTTGAACTCCTTACTCTCTCTACTCTCAACAAAATCATACAGCTTCCTATCAACCTTGATCTTAGCCATCGTATCTGCCTCCCGCTGGCTCTTGACAGGCTGATCCCGCAACCGCAGATATGTATCCCTCGTCAGTTCCGCCATGTCCGTGATATCGTAGACAGCCATCCATTCCGGTTTCGTTTCCGTGGGTGCAGTGCTCTCGAGGTCGGAGGCGCGGTAGCGGAAGCCGTTCGTGAAGAAGGGGATGCGCAGACGGGTTGGGCCGTGCTCGTTGTTGTACCAGTCGTGGAATTGGGAGTCTGGCAGCTCAGGCTTGGGCTGCATGGTAACGTAGAGGATTCCGGGCGTGGGTGCCATCTTGTCTGTTGCAAAGGTGGAGGTGGAGTTGGAGATGTGATGTTTGTCGGTGATCTCAATTGAGGATTTGAGGTTCTCAAAAGTGGTCGAGTGGGAGAAGAGGGGGAAGGCAGAGAGAGAAACTCTTCACAGAGGGAGGAATCCCGCTGTCGAGCCCCTCCCCCACCATTGTCCTATGGAGTTGACGGATTGTTACGTAGTGCTGCAGTTCGGTACTTGAGGCGGGTTTTTCTTTAGCCACGCGAAAGCTCAGCCGTGGCACGTGACCTGCTCCATCTTTTCCATCTCATGTTCCCCCCATACATGGAACGGAAGCAAAGATATATCCCTTGAGAAGACGAAGATACTTATAGAACGGCGATTTCAGCTCACATCTTTTGTGATCCCTTCAACTAGGTGGTGAGAAAGTTTACCCCTGGCTAACCGAGATAGGGGAAGCCTGGATATCAATGGATGTATGCAAATGCAACACAAATACCGGTAGATTAATATCTGACGATAAACGCCAACTGTACCTCGCATTCTGTGCTGTTTTTCCCAGGATAGAAAAATGCCCGATTTATCTACCCATCCAAAAACTCAAAAGACCATCCCAATGCCAGCTCCTACGCCATCCATGCCGAGCCTGAAAGCTCACGCTGCTTTTCTATGCAAATACTGCCGCCCATTACACTCACCAATACAAGTCCAAACGTCAAGACCTATTATATGACTCGTATTCAACCTCAAACACTTGCTCAATCATCACCCGAATCCCGCCTAATTTCACCATCCCTTCAGCATCCACGTTGTAGAAAAAGTCTCCTGGGTGATGTTCGGAGTCGTGCATCTTCTGGGCTGAGATGTGCGTTGTGATTATTGCTCGGCCAAGGCTCTTAGTCTCACTGTCCTTCTGTTCCTCATCGTCGTCTTCGACTTCATCACCACTCAAGGCTGCTGATGGGAAACAAATCTCATCCAAACTCGGTGAATTTGGAGGAGTTGGTACGGTGCGGAAAAACTCAAGTCGAGCTAAGCTGAGCTCACATTTGATATGCTTCTCTTCCACAGCAGAATTTGCTCTCTGCGCCTTGGTTTCTGTGATTTTGCCATTCTGATCGATGGCGAGATCACGGCGAATCGTCTCAGTATGTATATTCTGCGTTGTTTGGGATGAGGAAAATGATGGCGTTGCCACATTCGATTCATTCACCACGGCGTCCTCCGGAGGATGCGAGGTCTTTGTACTTGGTGGGCCATTCAGAGTTACCCAGCCTCGGATTAGCGTTGAAAATACGACGTCGATGTTACAACAGAGGAGAAAGATCCAGGCGGGTTCTCCATGCAGGGCAAGGAGAATAGTGAGGTTTGTCAATGAAGCGACTAGTGTGAGAACGCAATTGAGAAGGGAGCGTAGGCATATTGTTCGGAGGAGCGGATTGCGGGCTTGGCTGTGCCTGCATATTGCTGGGGGTGAAGTTAGCTTGATGAAGGTAGAGGGTAGAGGCCTTTTTCTTTCCTGAACAGACGGGCGTGGCATCAGATATTTGAGGATTGTTTTTGAGGACGCACGCTCTGAGGGTAAAGAATATGAAACTCACCTCGCAGTGGAATGGCGAAGAGCAGGGTAAGGTACAGATTCAGAGCTGCGTCGAGTACAATAAAGACGATCAGTGGCTGTGATTTCACGCCGATGATACACATTCCATTTGGAGTGAAGTATGAAATCCGGTGAATCACATTGAGGGCAATCGCGACACAGTAGGGGACTAGGGTAGTCGGTCAGTTCCAGGTGGTAGTGGTGTTGGGGAATAATTACCGAGTATGACGAAGAGATTAAAGCAGTAGAGCTTCGATTGAACCCGAGATTCATTCAATTTTCTGGTGATATACTTTGACCATCAGTTTGTTTGCTAGTGGAACATTCAAACGCCCTCGAACTTACTATTTTCTCGACAAGGCAGTAATATATGAACTATGTTTTGGAATAAATATCTGGCATGAGATGTCTCCCAGGACACATACCAACTTTACGTGCTTCAGTACTTATGTTAAAAAACTCGGAGTTAAACTTACTTTACTTAACATGTAGCAAACTAAACATAAAAGGATAGCTGACGAGCAGGTCTTCAGGCTCGAGTTAACTCCGAGGCCAAATATCAAGACGGCAGTCCCAACGATGAACACAATTGAGTTCACGTATGTTACGAAGATTGCTCAATTTAGTTAGTGGCTGTTGTAGAAATTGCTGGAAGATGGCTTACTCCATATTGTCGGCGGGACTCTCGTCCACCTCAAGTCTCTAGTGGCTTGGATTCTCCGTTCTACATGATGATTGTCAGGAACACTCTGCTGAGGATAGAGACTGATGTCCTACTTAAACAGATCGATGATATAGAAATCATCAATAGTAATAGAACAGCAAATGCAGCTAGCCCCGCTCTAGAGATCTCCTCGGGATCATAATTCCCGCGGGGATGCGGGAGTGAGGAGGTCATGGTAAGCTTTCCCGCCTGAACGGGATCTGTGGAGTGGGGTTTTACCGCTTGTGTGGGGCTCGACTTTGTTCTTATAAGACGCCCATGCATTCCACTCTTCAATACAGACAGATTGTGCCCCTCTCCACCATCGTGCATCTGCATCGAAATCCAATATTCCAATTTGACCCTTTGAGAGCGAATTTCAGGTGATTTCAGTTAGGGGTAGCAACTGAACCGTGTCTCATTGGATCAATGAACGACATCTCGTGTTCCGAACTCACTCCGTATCCTAAAATATATCACAGCGTTTTCTGCACTGGCGGGACTGGCCAGAGCTTCCGCAAGACGGAGGGTGTGTTTTGCGTGGACAGATCCATTGGGTGGGATACGAATTCCAACGCAATACTCGCCTCTAAAATGATCACAAATGTGAAAGCGTTTCTTGTCTCGAGACAATTGGCTTGTTTCTTCATATGCACGTAGGCAGCCTCACCGATTGGCTTGGGTGTCACGGCCCTTTTTTGATTTGTGGCGTTTGTGACGGAGTGTGCGGGGGATGTGCGACAGGGATCTCCAGCGGGATCAGAAGAGTCCCGCACAGTCTTGGATACCTCGTGCCTACTCGTCATGATTCTGCTCCCAGTTGTGTGAAGTACTTTTTGGTAGATGGGGCGTGCATGACAAGACCACTGCGGAGCTAGTATCTGTATCTTGACTCGGGGCCGGGTCGGGTCGGGTCGGGAAGGTATCAAGTACCTACGATGATTTGGAAGCATAAATTCCGAGCCCCAAGTTTCAAGGCAAGGCAAGGCAAGACTTTCGGCACCATGAACGTCTCCTGCAACTTGGAATGACGGTGACCAGGCCGAGAGAACTTGTGAACCCGAAACCCATGAACAATATCACTCTTTTGTGGAAGATGCAAGGAAAATCCCTGAATTTTCTATCAATAGTCCTTTGCAGCAGCCCTTATTCACATCCCCCTCCCTTATTCGATCCCTGTGAGAAGAAAGAATACGATGATAAGACCTTAAGCCAATGTTACACAGAAATGTGCGGGACGAAAGGTGATGTATCAGTATTGTATCTCCAGAGACTTGGGCGAATGAGCGTGAAGTCCTCCTTTACCGAAAAGCTGTCCTACCGTAAGCGGAGGCCTCCGCTTACGGTTCATAGTCGTGATACACACCCACCAAATTTGTTAGCGAATCCAGCCTGAAAATCAACCCCTCGATTCATTTCTTTAATAGCCAGCACACTTAGGTTCCCTTAAAAAATAACATTAATTAATGCGCAGTCTATAGGATTATCCTCTATAAAATTGTAAAAATTAATTGTCCTTGCTATAGAAATTAACATAGAAAACGTTGATTTTCGGCCCCGACTTCGGTGCATCACGACTAAGCGGAGGCGCGTGCCATGAAAGAATTACTTTGCTGGTGCAGTGAGGTAATAGCCGGTTCCCCTCCCACTGCGCTTCGCTTGTGGTCGGGATAAGCAAGTGTCTCGTTTAACCAAGTGTCCCATCGAGATTTTAGCCGGTACTTGATTTTTGGTACGCATCGCACGCAAAATCAAGAATATTTACAATGGAATTAAGGATACTAGTTACAAAAAAAACAAAGCTATCTAGAACTATACAAAATCGGCATTCGCTTGTATACTGTCAATTGAGCCCGCATTACTCTCCATATCTGACGAGTCTGGGTAATCAAAAGGGGGTGGACTTGAGTCTATATACTCTCCCACACTCTCCTTTTAATGCTCCCGTTCTGTAGTATTAATTACTATATCCTCATCCCCATTAATAAAGGTATTTGGTGCCTCTAGCCAATCAGGGGCTGGATTACTGAGGGACGCCTCAAGCTAGCGAACCACGAGCTGTAAATCAGGGTAAAAGTCCTCCTTACAGCAAGCTCGTTCGATAATCGTAGGGTTTTTATCAGGTTCGCAAATTGGTACCATATCCTCCACTGGAATTAGCTCGTCTTTTGATCAATACTCTGCAATTCTGACTAATCTAGCTTTCTCATCCTTGCGAGCTTGGATACCGGTATCCTTGAGGTGATTTTTAGCTCGATTAATGGCAGTGGCGAGCTTCTTTTTAGCCTTGCAAAGAGCCTCCCTATTATCCTTCTCCTTCTTCTCTTTAATCTCAATACGAAGCTCTGCTATACTCGCAGATGGGGCCCCCTTATATAAGCTCTTACGAGACTTCGCCTTTCGATTATACTTCTTATGAAGCTTTATTTGGAGAGCCTGGTACTCTATTATCTAGAGATAACTCTTTTATAATTATATATTAACCTTCTTGATAGTAATCTTCCAAGTTTCCTTTGAATTATCTGAAAACTTTATAGGATCGCGATCTGCAAGTATATGCAGGGTTGAGGCTATATTCCATACTTTATTAGGGCGGGTAGGTAATAAGGGGGGAAGATCTAGGCTATTCTCTGCCTTAATCTCCTTAATTAATCTTTTCTTCTTTCCGTACGATCGTATCTTTTTAATTCCAGCTTTGTAATTAATAGGCCATATACCAGAACTCTTAAAGGCATTCTTAATTATATACTTTTATATTATTTGCGTATAAATAAAGGTAAGATCGCGAAAAAAGGAGGTAATTATATATTCAAAATCAAGAGATCAGAGGGCCGTATAAATCGCTATTTTATAGTAGTACTTCCAGGGGCGGAATATACTAATATCAAGTGGTTGAAGGGCGTATATTAAATGGGAGGGGAACCAGAAAAGCTTGATATTATATTCGCCAGCCTTTAATTAAAAGGGTTTATAGACGTGAGATTCGTGTCTGTTAAGGAGAAGTATTTTCCAGGGCTTGTTTGGACCAGCTTTTGAATACTTAATTAAATAATCAAGGTATTTTATAGCTATGTTATTATTTATATATCCGGTAAAAGTATATTTAATATGCTCTGTACTAACCAGGTTTTCCGATATCTAATTATCTATAATCTTCTTTCTAGGAGCAATTACAAATAGAGGAAGAGATTTACGCCTATCCGTATAAATAGTTTCGATTATCATAACTGATTTGCGATTCTCAGGGCTTGCCATATATAGCTCCTTTATCTCTATGGGCACAATTACGTACTTACCGGTAGGGCAACTAATACGGGCTCCTGACTCGTCTATATTCAGAACATTCTTTCCCTTTATAATATAAAGCTCCTCCAAAGTATCTTAATATTTCCGAAACCATATTCTAATATCTTCTTCTGTATAGGACTCGAGTCGTACGTATATAATTAGCTTCGTTTTAATTATATAAAATATCTTGTGGTTCCGTATCCAGAGGCTAAACCAAGTAGCCGAAGGGGGTGATTTTGGGGGAGATTCAGCCTAATTACGTTAGATATATTATTAGATTTAAAAGAAGCACTTATAGCCTTCAAGTGGGCAATTACGGCTTGAACCATCTGATATATAGTACCCAAACCAGCCTCCTATTGCTCGTAGCAATATTACCGAATCGCCTCCTCCTGTGCCTCGTTCAGGATCTTATTATTATTACCATGCGTATTATAGAGTCCTTGGGAGTTCCTCTTCTTATTACGCTCGCAGAGTACCGATTTTCGCAAGGAAGCTTCCTTGACGTAATATATCCTCACAGTAGTAATTACTGAATTATCGTCGTTCTCAAGGCACCATTCGCGGGCCTCATTAAAGACATGGTAGTAATCAGCTTCCGTAGCATATGGATAATAGAAATACTCCCAGGACATCTCCCTAATCCTGGTAGAATCAAATAAAGGTATACCCATTTTTGGAATCTTTATACGTAAATTGAATAATAAATTGGTCAACAAGTTGGGCCAAACGCGCAATTGCAAGACGCGTTTTTTGGTAAGGATCACACGTAAATTTTAGGGCCCGCATTTTCTCGATGGGACACTTGGTTAAACGAGACACTTGCTTATCCCGACCACAAGCGAAGCGCAGTGGGAGGGGAACCGGCTATTAGTCCTTGCGGTATTGCTTTCGTGAACGGCACAACGTTAACTCTCGTCGACCATGTTTTCGGCACGTTCTATCCGGCAGCCGGTGCCCAGATGAGTTGACACGGGCTGAGGTGAAGGTGGCTGGGAAAAAAAGTTGGTTGGCAATGCCCCGAAAAGCAAAATATGAAAGCCGACGGGCCCGCCAATCTGTTCACCACATACGAGAATGTGTTCCTTCAATTGTGTCTCGTATAAAACACGGAGAGTTGTTGATTGAATGCGTTAAATGGATCAGGAGCAGACCACTTGGTGGTGAGACTCCTTACGGAGTTCCGAGCATCGGCGTTGCAGCTGCTGATCATCGGGTAAACTGAATGACTTCGAGGGGAGCCGCTTCTCAAAGGGATCAACGATAAAGAGTCCCATAGGATGATAGGCGACGCAGCCTGTGGCCGCGTCAAATCAGTGTTGGTCTCATCACGTGGGTGGCACATCGAATGGATCAAAAGAAGGCGGGCGCGGACGATCTAATAAGTTATAAGGCGTTGATGGCCCATCATTGGTGACTTTGCTACAAACGATCAGGTCAGATAAGAAAAACGGTCGACTGAATGTCGAGACGAGGAATTGATTGCGGTGCGTTGTGGAGAACTCCGTACAAAGAGTTCGGATATCTGAGTCAGAATATTTGATAGGCGGTTCGACGCGTATTTGTTCCTGTAACTCTCACATTAAGGAGCGTCGAAAAGTGTGAAAGACAACTTGTATGCGGGTTTCGTATGAGACAGCCCAGTAAGTAGATCTCAACTGGGTTCACAAACGCGCTCGATATATACCATGGGTCTCCGTCTCTGGTGGTAATCTAGACTTTGAAGTTCGTCGACTAAAAGCCATGGATAAAATCGAGGACTAAGACTCGGCGAAACACTGAGAATCCAGCTTAGCATCCGAATTAACCATCTTTGCTGCTGCTGGTCCTCGGGACGACCTCAAAGTTTGCTAGATCTGGAAAAGGGAACGGATTATGAGACCAGAGCGACAATGTCAGAAGACAGGCAAGCCTCAACTAGATAAAGTCTGGAATGGTTAAAGCCAACTCAACTGGCCCCAGGTATCTTGGGATGGCATTACTGATCTCAAGGATCCATTCAACTGGCCCCCATACCTGAAAACGGCGATCCTTGGGAGGTCTGGTCTGCACGAGGTCAACGAGCATGATTGCACCTGCTTTCGATCAGATTAGCAACGACCTTGAAATGAAACCTTCAGTCATGCAACTCACCTTGTCGATTTACCTGCTCGCATTCGTTTTCGGTTCGCCACTTATCGTGTGTGCCTCTGAGATGTATGGCCGAAAGCCAGCTTACATCCTGGCCCACAGATGGTATGTTATTTGGAAAACACTGTGCTCAGTTAACAAGTTGAAAGTTTCATGATTTCTGGCCGCTTCATTTCCAGATCTGGAGGCAGTGTGAGCATTGCTGTAAGTCTGTGACCAAACTGGTCCCGCCTAGTTCAGAACGCTGACATGACACCTCGCAATTCTGGGCCTTCTATAGCAGACATTTGGAGGGTCGACAAAAGTGGAGGATCCCTAAGCTTAGTGCAGTTGGCACCTTTGCTTGGTGCGGCTGTTGGACCTATATTGCTGGGGACACGGTTGCTGAGCACATCGGTTGGCCTTGCGTTTTCTGGGTCGTGTTGGTGTTCGACGGTGCACTTCTCGTTCTTTATACCATTTTCGTACAGGAATTGTACGCGCCAGTGCTCCTTGCAAAGAAGGCGACGACCCTCTGGAGACACACCAGAAATGACTTTTACATCAAGGTCGATTCTACTTTGTCAAAGAAGTTTCGGACCAGCTTCATGCGGCCTCTGAAATTGCTCGCCACCCGCCCCATCATGCTGGAGATGCCTTTTCCTGATGGATATAATTGTGGAGCATATTGCCTCGCTCTTCAACTTTTGCAAGAATATGGACAAAACGTTACCATCAGTCCGAGACTGTAAGCGGTCTGCATCATATCGCCGTGGGATTGGCTCGACAATTGCAACGCAGGTAGGTGGTCCTCTGACTGATCGAATTTAGGGCCGTCTGAAAGCCAAAGCCCATGGCAAGATGGCGCCAGAATATCGAGTGCCTCTGCTCGTTCCGGTGCAGTGATGATTCCCTCGGCTTAATCGTGTATGGCTGGGCGCCTGAAAAAAGGTCAGTGTGGATCGTGACGGATGTTGGGGCTGCCATATTTTTGGGAGGCGTGGTGGTGTCTTCAAATTCGATCATTGCGTATCTAATCGACGAGTTCGGTGATCATGCTGCTTCTGCAAATGCGGCTTCGAGGGTGTTCTCCAATGTGATGGGCTTTACCTTTCCGCTGTTCGCACCACAGCTCTACAGATAGTTAAGCTATGGCTGGGGGAACAGTCTTTTGGCCACTCTGTATATCGCGATTGGCCGGCCTGCTCCAGTGCTGTCGTGGAAATGGGAGTACAGCTGCGGGCCGTTGGGCGGGAGAATTGAGATAGGTTGGACCAAGTATTTTGTAAGATTACGAATGACGTCCTTGAAATAGAAGCGAATACATCCGGAGCGACATGAGAATATAGATATAAAACTGTGATACAAAGGCGATGTGGAGTGATGACGACGGAATTGGGAATTCTCGATGTACCGGATTGAATGGAGTGATGTGCGCAAGTCAAATGGAAAGCCTTGCACTCAAGTCTTAGCCTCTGCCTGAAAGAACGAAAAGAGCGAGCGAGGAATCAACATTGAGACAATGTTCTTGCCCACAGGCGGTAATGTTGTCCCTGCTTGAGGAAGTTGAGGTGGAACAGGATGATTAGAGTGTTCGGCTCTGGTTGGTCTGGTGGCAATCGGCCTTGGCCCACTAAAAATCTCTCAAGTTCCCGCAGTAGCCATATCTGAGCATCTCAAAACACAAACCTATCTAACTGTGTGTCCCACCATTCCAGGACCCCCATCCCCTCATTACATTACAATTCATTCGGCTCCTTTCATTTTCCTGCCTGGGATCATGGATCCTCCGACCAGGAGCAACAGCCGACGAAGAATGCCCCCGCTCGAGCTTTGAAATCAAAATGCGACATGACGATCTAGCGGACTTGATCACGCATCACCAAGATTCAAGAAGCACCGTCGGGCCAATTGCTCTACCATACTGACCAAACAGATTTGACCTTTGCGATATATGCCCGAGATCAACCACCAAGGCCAGCTCGATCTTAGAAATCATAAGAGCAAGCAGATGAGCAAAAAATCAAGACTGACAAGAAGCAGAACTACCACCGCGCAATGTCTACCAAAAAACTGTTTATGTAGGCCTACAATTCATATCCCAAGGTAGAATAGGGCTGATTTCTTCTAGAACTGGTGCAACTGGGTACATTGGAGGGAGCGCTCTTGAAGGAATCCTCAACCAATTCCCAAACATTCTAGCTACAGCTCTGCTCCGCTCGTCGTCCGCCGAATTCAAGGCTCGATATCCAAACATCGAAATCGTGCTTGGGGATTTTGATGCCTTCGAAGTCATCGAGAAGAGCGCCGAGGATGCTGACATTGTCATTCGTAAGAGCTACCACGCTCTTCCATCCCCACATGCTTCCCTGCTAAGTTCTTAATGTCAGACACGGGAGATAGCGACCACCCAGGCTGTGCAGCCGCGATCCTTTCTGGCCTTCAGAAGAAGACAACGCCGAGTTTTCTCATCCATCTTACTGGCACTGGCTGTATTTCCGACGAGCGTGAGCGGACTTGGGAAGGAAAATACAATCCGCCTAAATGAAACGACGTTGAAGAAATACACGAGATATATGATCTCCCAGACTCGGCAAAGCATCATGTCATTGATAAGGACATCATGAATGCTTCCAATGGGCTACTGAAAACGGCATGCATTTGTCCTCCAGACATATACGGGCAGAGTTCTGCCGTGGGGACTAGGGCTACATTCTTGGTTCCCGAATACGTGAGAGTGGCAATGGAAAATAAAGTAGCCTTCTATCTAGGCAAAGGAGAGAACATGAGGGCTGTCACATATATTGACGACGTTGTGGATCTGTTTGTGATCTTAGTGGGCCAAGCCTTGCAAGGCGGAGGATCAGCACAATGGGGAAGAGAGGTTTGTTGAGATCCAAATATAATCTCACGGTGTGTAGCTCACAATCGCGCAGGGATTTTATTTTGCCGTTTCTGGTGAGGCCAGGTGGATCGACGCCGCCGAAGCTGTGAACAGGATTGGTCTCCAACAAGGATGGCTGCCAGCAGAAAGCAAGCCGGTTTCGTGGACCGAAGCACAAGTGAACGCTATCTTTCCACATATGCCAGGCATGGCTCTCTACCTCTGGGGCTCGAATAGTCGAGCTGAATCTGTGAGGGCAAGAAACCTAGGCTGGAAGCCCCATGGGCCGAGCTTTTGGGAATCGCTTGAGGAAGACGTCTCCATTGCAGTGGCAAAGCTGAGAAAATAAGCCACCATAGTCTTGGTCCGTTGACTATCCCAATCGATAGTTCTTTGCTTGATTGTGCATTAATCGTATAGAGACGTCCACTCAATGTGACATCGAGTGTTGCAAGTGATGCGCATTGACGATTCCTTGTACACGAACACACCTCTCAATACACCATGCTTGGCAAAATTACTTCTCTGGCCATCCGCGTACTCTCACTCAGTGATCTAGTCGAAGGACCATTTTCCCTTGACGATCATCGGCTTACGTAGACCGTTTCCGTGGCTTTGCGTTTCATCTTGTTCCTGTGTCTGTTGCACAGCTCCATCTTCTCAACCTTTTCATCCTCGCAGTCTTTCTCGACCTCGTTCAAATAACCATCCTCATCCCCACTCCCATAGTGATAGTCACACGAATCGACTGGCAAATTGGAATCGCTTTGTTCCTCGCTATCGCCACTCCTGCCTTGTTCCCTACTTTGGGAGTCGCCGATCCATCCAGAAAGTTTGCTTCATCCTCCTCGCTTTTTGTCCATTCACGTTTACCGAGACGGTGCAGCCAGTCTGGATTGTAGTCATGCGGGAAGTCCAATCGGAAGTCAGACAGCGCTTTCATAGGGCCTTGGCTTTCAATAAGGTCCTGCTTCTCCTTTCTCATCAAGAGACCGATGATCGCACTCATCATGTCAATGCCATCTTCTCGAGCCTGAATGCCTTCAGTTCTTTCTCGTTGTCTTCCAGAGGCTCGCAAATTCGTGGTTGCATTCTCTTTCGTAGCAGATGGAGATCGATGGCTGATTTTAGACTGGAAGTATTCGTTGGCTTCACTCCACTCTCGGTGCCAATTCTCTCTTGTACCACGAACCTACCATAACGCCCAACACGTCGAAAATAGAGTCCAAGTCACTGGAAAGCCTTCCTCCGCTGCTGCTGCTTTCATAGAGAATTACCATAAGATATTTGGCACTCCGGTCAGATTTATTGTTGCGGGTGATGTCATAGTATTCGCCAATGGACTCGAGGACCTGGGCGTTGTGCGCTACTTCGCCAACAGATTTCGCAAGTCCTTTTTGTCAAACTCTTGAATCATGCATGAGATGGCCGCGATGTCAGGCTGATCCGGCGACTCAAGACGCGCCCGCTTGGCTAGGTGCCTTTCCGCCGGGAGTTGATCCTTCACGTGTCCGACCTTGGTGGGCTACGGTAGCTGACAATTGAATGCCCCTCGATTCTCCGGGGAGTGGCGACGGACGAGAGGCTGCACTGCAGACACTCGGTGCAGAAATTGATGGGAGCTGGAGCTCAAGTCGAGTGGCGGTAGTAGTCAAGTGGGTTTGAGGGAGATTGAGAAGATGGGAGAAAAATAATGGGGAAAGTTGAAGTATTCGCTCTAAGCCTCGGGTCACTTCTAGTCATCTGCGAAGGGATCTCAGACAAGGAAACTATTCTTCTCGTCCTGTTGGCGACATTCTGCATTATACTGCTTTATGTAAGGCTCTTCGACTTTCCGCGATAGTCGCGGGGATAGCTATTTAACAAGTGTGTTCTGAACTGGGCACATTGTTGCATCACATTCATTTTCGTTACAGATATTTAAGATAAAAGACTTGTATTAAACTCTCTATCTAAACTCCAAACTCGCATCCATGCAGATAACACCTAATCATACAACTCGTTGGCTCCAGTCAGATCTACAACACATTGACAGCGATCTTTCCTGTCTTCTGAGACTTCGGGACCACAACTCTCAGAATGCCATTCTTCAAGCTGGCCTCAACAGCTTCGTGCTCGATTCTCTGCGAGAAGGAGAAGCTTCTGGCGAACGAACCGACTTTGCGTTCTGCGACCCAGTACTTAGGCTTTGGTGATTGTGTCTCGGCCGCTGGTTGCTCTTGCTTTGTCTCAGCGGTGACTGTGGCTGTGGTGGCAGGAGTAGCGAGAGGTGTGTCGGCTTCGTCGTACTCATCTTCGACGGTTGCGCTGTGTGCCTTCTCAGATGAACTCTCGGTGGTATCGTTGGTAGCTTCGGCTTGAGTAGCCTCTACCTTGTTGAATGGGCGCTCAGTCTTGCCTTTGATGACGAGGGTCTGAGCATCGGAGAATTCGATAGTGACATCGCTTTGCTCGATACCGGGGAGTTCGCCGTAGAGCTCGTATGCGTTGTCTACTTCAGTGACATCGAATCTTGGCGTGAAGGTTTCTTCTCTGCGGTGGCGGGCAGCGCACTGCTTTTGTTGAGGTTGGTCGAGTGCAGAGAGCAGTTGGAAGAAGTCTGCTTCTGGGGAGAGGTATGCTGGTCTGAAGAGAGGCATTTTTGTGTTGGTTGTTTGTTGGGTGAAAAGTTATAAAACTTTGTGGTTGTATTGTTGAAGTGTTGAGAAGACTTGTAGATGTCTGAGGATGTGGCTTTGAATGATGGAGGAAAATTGAGAGGGTGTTGGAGCTCGCATTATATACCCAAGAGTCGCCATTAGGCTTCTCTTGAAGCGTAATCCTTCATGATAAATCAAGAGCTTACGAGTTGTTGCTCGTCGCCTCTGGAAACAACAGGAAACAACGTGAAGCATGTGGAAGATCGTGGAATCGTTCACGTGACCGCACAGCCACAATTCCATTACAAATCAGTCACGACGGCGAATACAATCAACAGTAATCCATACCAGAGTTTGAAAGGTGTGGCTCATCAGGTTGAGTTGCGATTCCTCAAGTAAATTCCCCTGAAAGTAGTAGATGTTTTGCAGAAATCTCGACAGGGACAATGCTCAAGTTTTTCTCTTTTGAGCCTTTTCGAACTGACCAATGAGTAGCGATCTCGTTTCGAGCCCCTATTCGCTTAACATTCGCCCCTGAAATGACGAAGGCTCAATTCAGGTAGCAGTACTGTTCCTATTTTAGTTACAGACAAGACTGGAAGAGAAAGGCTGGAGGGTTCCCTCGGTTGTCCTTCTCCCGGGTGTACAAAGCTCTTTCTTCGGCTAGATTTCGCGCCTGTTTTGATTATATTGTCCCGCGTTGTCACACCTTTATCCTGTAATTGACGTCGGGATTAATCGCTGCCAAAAACCGCTCCTCGTACCTCTTTCGCAAATGAAATTTACTTAGTCTGACATAAACCGGCTCCTCAGGATCCGATGGCTGCCGCCGAAGCTCGATCTGACTTGGGTTCACAGGAAATTCTCAAACGCCAGCCCATTGAAATGCTGCGATGCAGACAGAACTTGGATGAGTGAACCACTTTTGATCAATACGTAGTCAAAGCCTTACGTGAGTGGAAGATTTTGAGCTCTCTAAAAGCGCGTTCACTTCCTGCAGTGTTCATGATTGAGTTCCTGGTCACATGTAATAGTATTTGCTTCCGCAGCCTGGGGTAATACCACGGGAAAAGGTCAAGCCCTCGCTCCTCCCCGTTTGAGTGTTTGGCTAGATTTCACCGCACCTGCACTCCCCACATCTGAACTTCAGGTTCTCGTAGTGTCGCGTCAGCCTTATTTCTCCCACCCCAGATCTTACTCTCCGGTAAGGTGCGTCCAGGAGTCGCAGCAATGCCATGAAAGTGGGATCTTCGAGCAGCAGTGGCTTGGCGATTGGCACCGTTTAGTGCTACCAATATAAATGCCAACCTGTACGGTCTCGACGGGCTGTTACTTTGCGAGACTGGATTAATTGAACTGATTACACGACACCACTTGTTATTGCCCAGTCTAAGTCTGTACGATATTGGTCTCAATCACCGCTCTTATAAAAGTCTTCTTTCTCAAGGTCGGTGTTGTGTTTGAGAGATTTCTAAATATGGGTTTACCTCAACTCTATGGATGTACCTGAAGAAAACTAGTTGTTGCCTCAACCTCTGGTACATTCTACTCCAAGCCGTGTCCCTGTTGGGGATTTCCATTGGATGTTGGAGAACCAAAAATTCTGGAGGGGAGGTTTGTCTAAGCCACGTCTGAAGACTGCATTTGACCGAGGAAAATTTATGCTACACGGTGGAGAATGGCCCATCCCTCCTTCGGACAATGTGTCGGGACAGCCGAGGGACTTCGTCGTGAAAATTCGATGCGGTGGATTGCTGTGATGTTGAGACCATCAATAGGAAGTGGGAGGAGCTTGCCTAACAAGATGATCTCGCAGACTGGGAGAAGAGAGTCAATATGACTATGAGTCTATGACGCAGACGTAGGAGATGAGGATATCGAAAACACAACCCCGCTCTTTGACGACGATGGCACGATAGGGACGGATTTGATCGCAATGGTATTGCTGAGGAAGCCGTGTATTTTAGCCAGATGCAAAGGGTCTTCGATTTGGAGTCTGATGACCTCAAATGGGCTGTCACAGAAAGAGTGATTGTGGAAGACATCAAGTGTGTTATGAACGGATAGTTCTGGAGGGGGAAGACATCAAAGGTTGCGCCGGATCACCTGCTGCTTTAGAGTGAGATTCTGACTTAGCTAGCTGTTTCAAGAACCTGTGATCGTTATAAACGACATTGGTGCTGGTTTTGGAAACATCCTAATGTCTGAGCTCTGCACAATTTTTTATAATTTTACTGTGCTTCTCATTCCCGAACCTCGTTTCTAAGTTTGACCATCCTGCTGGCTCAACAAAAGGGGAACGAGGCTTCTCGACGTCGTGTGTGATCCTCAGTCTCTCTGACCTTACCTCGCCTCACTTCAGCTTCATCAACCCCACCACGAAACGCTCAAGACAAATTGGCTTGATTCCTTCATGCCTTTTGATGTTGGTAGGCTTCGTGAATGAATCCGTGGACTTAGGGGCCTTCAGGGGTCGATCACGCTAAAAGAATTCCTCATCCCTGCGGACTCGCCACCTTCCTTTCCATCCGCCAAAATAAATTTGCTATTGTATTCTGACTGTGCACCTTTCCGTAGGTATCGACCTATTCGGATGTCTCCTTCCTGGCGGAGTCGTTTGTTCGTTTCATTAAGTGGAGCGCTAGAACAAATTGGGAGCTCCCCACAACGACTTCGCCTCGGTGTTCTAATTTTTGTCTTTACTTTTCACCTCCGAAGTCAACGGAGAATTCCTAATTGCAAATGACGCGGCATCTTTTCCCTTCCTGAACTGCACTCGGAGTAGTCACGGCAGGGCAACACCGGTAGCCCACTTCTTGCGCAATTGGCTCCTGATTCTGGATTCTGATCATCTCGGTCCCCATTTCCTCGGCCGTAAAGTCTGAAAGAGTGAAAGTTCATTTCTTGTTTCTGAGTTTTGCTAGCGAGTGATAGGATTAAGGTGTGTTTAGAAACATCCTCATCTGATCTATTTTGAGTCTTAGGCTTCCAGGCAGGCGATCTCTCGGACCGCGCCATCATCTCAGCCCGTCTTCAACACCCTCAATTCAAGCCTCATTTGAAGGTCTGGCCCTATGAGCATGAACCATGTGCCTTGAATAGAGCGTCACTGGTCTCCGCATCTTTCAACTGCCCCACAGCTCAGTGCTCGATCGCCTCGAGCCATCACCACGTTCCTTAACTGGCTCTCACCGGCGTGGGACTTTTTTAGTCCAATTCAACGTCATGCTCCCAAAAGCCACTTGAGGTGAATACCGAATGTCCACCTGCGAGCCCCTGCTGCAAAATAATCAGTTAAATCGATTTTATATAGATTATTTCTGCAGGGTCTGATCACTATTTGCGAATGGAGTGACGATCTCGGCGGCTGGGTTGTCTTTGACTCGTAGGCACATTCAATTTCGATTGTCTTTAAGTATCTCCCATTCAGTCATCATCTGGTTTTGAAATCATCGTCCCTTTGCTAGACTTCACTTTCTTTGATCTCTCCTGTCTTCAATTTTTATTTGTTACCGCTCCTTGCAATGCGTCATTCCCCCTTCACAGCTATTACTGCTCTAGCAGGAGCAGCAACAGCTGCGAACACCACATCTCTCTCCGATCTGTGTACAGTGGCCAACGTTCAAGCTGCACTACCGGCAAACGGAACCTTACTTGGCATTGATTTGATCCCCTCAGGGTCGACTGCGAGCATCGTCTACAACGCATCTTCCTCAGCCACCAGCCGCTCGGCAAGCTCAACAACGTTTACCTACTGCAACGTTACGATTACCTACACGCATACTGGCAAGGGCGATTCAGTCGAAGTGAAGTATGCCTTCCCAAGCCCAGACGCTTTCGAAAATCGATTCTATGTTGCTGGCGGAGGTGGCTTCTCTCTATCATCTGATTCGACTGGAGGCATTCAATATGGTGCTGTCGGAGGTGCCACCAGTGCTGGCTACGATGCCTTGAATGGCGTCAGTTACGATGAAGTTGTGCTCTACGGAAACGGAACAATCAATTGGGATGCGACGATGATGTTTGGATACCAAGCCCTTGGCGAAATGACAATCATCGGCAAACCGCTGACGAGAGCTTTCTATGGGTTGGACACCGATGCTAAGGTTTACACCTACTATGAGGGCTGCTCAGATGGGGGCCGAGAGGGCATGAGTCAAGTTCAGCGCTGGGGTCAGGAGTACGATGGTGTGATTGTGGGTGCGCCTGCGTTCCGATTTGCGCAACAACAGGTTACCCATGTATTGTCGTCTATGGTGGAGGTGACGCTCGACTACTACCCTCCGCCGTGTGAGATGACCAAGATTGTCAATGCCACCATTGCGGCTTGTGATCCTCTTGATGGGCTGACTGATGGAGTTATTTCCCGGACTGATCTCTGCAAGCTTAACTTCAACCTGAGCTCCATTATTGGGGAGTCTTATTACTGCGCTGCTGAGAATTCAACCTCTCTCGGGTTCGGCTTCAGCAAACGACAAGCGCAGGGCAGCACGACAAGCTCACAGCCCGAACAGAATGGAACTGTCACCGCCGAAGGAGTGGCTGTCGCGCAAGCCATCTACGACGGCCTCCACAACTCTGCCGGCGAACGAGCCTACCTCTCCTGGCAAATCGGATCCGAGCTCAACGACGCAGAAACGACCTACAACACCGATACTGGAGCATGGGAGCTCGACATCCCATCCACAGGCGGCGAATATGTGACCAAGTTCATCCAACTGCTCAACATCGACAACCTCGACAACCTCGACAACGTCACCTACGACACCCTGGTCGAATGGATGAACATTGGTTTCGTGCGTTATTACGATAGTCTGCAAACAACCCTCCCAGATCTCACACCCTTCCAGTCGTCCGGCGGTAAGATGCTCCACTACCATGGTGAATCCGACCCTAGTATCCCCTCCGCCTCTTCGGTCCATTACTGGCAGTCTGTGCGTTCCATCATGTATCCCAACTCCACCTCAGACGAATCCCTCGAGGCACTGCAGAATTGGTATCAATTCTACCTCGTTCCTGGCGCTGCCCATTGCGGCGTGAATTCATTGCAACCTGATGGCCCGTATCCGGAGCACAACATGGATATCATGATCGACTGGGTTGAGAACGGTGTCAAGCCGACGGGGTTGAATGCAACGACGCAGGCAGGGACGTATAAGAGTGAGACGCAACTACTATGTCAGTGGCCGACAAGACCGTTTTGGGCTAGCAATAGCAGCACGGATTTTGAGTGTGTTAATGATACGGCGAGTATTGATAGCTGGACTTACACGTTTCCAGCCTTTAAGGTGCCTGTGTATTAGGAGATCCGGGACGAGATTTGATTGATGACTTCTTATGTATATATTTTCTCTATTTTGTTACCTTCAATGACAAAGATGTGGAAGACACTCAACCATACCTTATTTGCGCATTGGTTTTCCCAATCATTTCAATCTGTCTTCCGTGGGAAAGATAAACGTAAAAGGTGAAAAGGGGTGAATATCACGTGCCAGCTTCGGTAATTCACGGGCCGACGTTCCCCCGACATGACCTCTCATTTCACACCTTTCATCCTTCTCCATCTCCACCCGCTTCCAGCCAGCTTTCAGACCGTCAGATATGACTTCACCTTGCATAGAAGACAACCGACTATGCACAGTCAAGCCATACGCCGGCAATGGCGCTATGGAGCACAATGTAGAGCCTCGACTACCCCGCATATTTGCAGAAGCTACCGCCGATCGAGTTGATCGGGAGCCTGTTAGTGAGGGGTACCGCCATGTAACGTGGTACTATCTGCTTCTCTTCGTGTCGGTTTCGTCTCTGGCGGTGTTGGAGCCTGTTGGAGTGATTCTTAAGGATATATTTTCATTCCTCCTCGGTCCAATCTCAACGTGGTTGTCTGGTGCATCTTCCTTAATGGAGGCAATCATATATCGAATTAAGCGTGGATGGCTTCCCGCTCTTGCTCTTTCAACTTGCGTCGTGGCTGGAAACAAAGGGGTGGTGATTGGCACCGAGAGAGTGCCGAATTGGCCTTTCGACGTATTTGATTATGTTGATCCTCTAATCGGAACCATCAATGGAGGTTGGTTTTCTAGCTTCAATTCTTCAAACGGTTACTAATAGTGAGTAAAGGTCACGTCTTTCCTGGTGCAACCCTTCCATTTGGTAATCATACCGCCCTTGTGTTTGAGAAATGCCGCTGAATTAAGCAGGAATGGCCAAGGCAGTTGCGGATGTGAACAATCCGGATGAGAAGCAAGGAGGATTCGCATCAGACAACAGTGATATCACAGGTTTTAGTCATATGCACGACTCGGGGACTGGGGGGGTATGGAATCGCTCCTCAAGAATAGCGTTGACTGACCAATCGCACAGTCACCCTCGTTGGGCAACTTCCCAATATTTCCGCAAACGGGATGCCCTGGAGATATCGTCGATAACTGCTTCTTCACCAAAACCGACCGAGCATCGAGAAGAATCAATGACACCGTGGAAGCCCACCCTGGATATTTTGCAATCAGCTTGAACACTTCGGTCCACACGGAGATGACTGTCACCAACCACACCGCCTTGTACCGTATAACCTTTCCCTCAAATTCGACAAAATCGGCGCAAAATCAGACAGCACTACCATACAGCCCTCTGATCCTGGTTGATTTGACCGACTTGCCAGATTCCAGAATCAATGGGAGCGTTGAAGTTGACGGAGACAATGGGAGAATTGTCGGAAATGGGACGTTTAACCCATCCTTCGGTCTCGGAACTTACGATCTTCACTTCTGCGCTGATTTCTCAGGAGCCCCCATCAGAGATACGGGTGTCTTCATGAACAATAGAGCTGGTAGCGAACCGAAGAATTTGAGGATCACTCCAAATGGAAACTCACCGCCTATCCCAGCCGGAGCGTGGACTCAATTCGAAGCACCTGCTAATAATCAATTGTTGGTTCGGGTCGGCCTTTCATTTATCAGTACGGAACAAGCTTGCCATAATGCAGAGACCGAGCTCCCAAATTTTGGGTTCGACGACGCTCGCAAGGCAGCCGAAGAAGTCTGGAGGCAGAAGCTTGGGGTCATCAACGTTGATACGACGGGTGTTAGTGATATGCTACAAACTGTCTTCTGGTCTGGTACTTACAGAGCGATGATTTCACCGCAAGACTATACCGGAGAAAATCCTCTATGGGAGAGCGACGAGCCATACTACGATTCGTATTACTGCATCTGGGACTCCTTTAGAAGCATTCATCCTCTGATCACGTTGCTGGACCCTGAGAGCCAGACGAAAATGACCAGAAGTTTGATTGATATCTATCGACACGAAGGGAAACTTCCTGACTGCCGGTACGTGACATTCTCTGCGCTTAAATCCCCTCTTTCAGATGTCTTACACGAGGTGTCCCCAATATTTGGCTATCTCTACAATAGAGAACTCGCGAAACCCTGTTCTGGCCCCGGAACCTCTCCTTGTTCAGGCAATCCTGACTCAAAGATCATTTAGCATGTCACTTTGCAAGGGCTTCACGCAGGGAGGGTCGAATGCTGATGTGGTCTTAGCGGATTCCTACCTGAAAAATATCACAGATGGTGTTGATTGGGTGACTGGATATGAGGCTGTGGTCTCAGACGCTGAAGGTGAGGGGGCTGGAAAGGGGTAAAACGGATGCTAATCATGTGACATAGATGAACCTCTCGATTGGTCTGTTGAAGGGAGAGGAGGCCTGACCAGTTGGAAGAACCTAGGATATATTCCTACGGATGATTTTGATCCATATGGAGGAGGACCTTTCACTCGTTCCATCTCGCGAACGGTTGAATACGCATACAACGATTTTTGCGTCGCTGAAATGGCGAAAGGACTTGGTCATGCAGGAGATGCTGAGAAATATCTAGAGCGATCGGATAATTGGAAGAACATGTACAAAGCAGAACAGACTTCTTTCGTCACGAACACCACCGGTCACATCAACGAGACCCTCGACAGCGGGTTCACCGGATTCCTCCAGCCACGATATCTCAACGGCACCTTCGGATTCCAAGATCCATCCCTTTGCTCACCACTCTATAACTTCACCTCATGCTACCTTAAACCTGACGGGCATGAAACCTACGAAGGCAGCGCATGGATGTACACCTTCTACGTTCCCCAAGATATGGCGACTCTCATCACAACATTAGGCGGACCCTCCACCTTCGTAAAACGATTATCCTATCTGCACACCTCAGGCCTTCTCTACATTGGAGATGAACAAGCCTTCCTCCCCGTCTTTCAATTCCACTACGCAGGCCGTCCAGGTCTTTCAGCATATTTCTCTCACTTTTATATCCCCTCTCAGTTCAACGGCACTGTCGAAGGGATAGCAGGGAACGACGACTCAGGAGCAATGGGCTCCTTCACCACGCTCTCCATGATGGGTCTCTGGCCAGTCCCCGGACAAGATGTTTATTTAATCACACCACCGTATTTCTTAGAAGTTAACGTGACAAGCGGGCAGACGGGTAAGGTGGCGACGATCAGGAATGTTAATTTCGATGCCGAGTATGAGAATATTTATATTCAGAGCGCGACATTGAATGGAGAGAGTTATACGAAGAATTGGATCACGCACGATTTTTGGTTGGAGGGTGGGGTTTTGGAGTTGACGTTGGGGAGGAATGAGAGTAATTGGGGTACGAAGGATGAGGATCTGCCGCCGAGCTCCTCGACTTCTTGGTAGACCACTCGGAACAATCTGCCGTTTAGATGTTCAGCAAATAGAAGAACTGGGCCGGCAACACTCCAAAAAGACAGACTTCAATGCATAGACTGTTTGTCCTTTTGAGTGACTCCTTTTACTAGTTTCCCGATGCGGATACTCCGATTTACCCAACACGTGATATAAAAAGACAACCCATTTACTCCGAGAGGGTGAAAGGGGCTTAGACTCTTACAATCTAAAATGTCTTGAATCTTTTAAGAAATTATCTCAGCTGACATACCGATAAGAGAGTCTCCGGGCGCAACTTGAAGAAAGCACTCGCACGTGACCCGAAACGAGATCCCTGCTTCGCTTCGGCAAGCTGCCCTTCTCAACATCAACATCAATATCCATCCTCCTTCAACATCATTCCTGTCCTGCATCCCCGTCGAGTGCTGATGCACAGGTATTGTTGCCCAAGATATCATGCCAGCGGAGCATGCGAGTAATCCGCATGGAAGCAAGAGACTGAAGACGGACCTTGCATGCGACACGTGCCGTCGTAGAAAACAAAGATGCGATGGGAAACGACCCTCCTGTGCGCAATGTGAGCTTGCAGGTTTTAGCTGCAGCTACAGACCCACCCCCACAAGCTTTGAGACGTATGTGGTTCCTTTTGATCCTGCTCAGTTCCACTCTTTCCAAGGTTCATTCTCATGATCCCGTCTCATCTCATTGCTGCTCTCATTGTTACCCTTCGCTGATATTGATACAGTGATGCTTCTGTCCTCGCACGCCTTGCCCAAGCCGAAGTAAGAATTGAGGTTCTCGAGCGTGAACTATTAAGCCCACCTGAAGCGGGAACAGGGCCTGATGTTCACAACTCACTCCTGCTCTCAACCGATGACTCGAGGATTCCAGATCTGCACACAGCAGCAGGCCACAAAATACTTCAGTACTGGCCAAGATTGCGCGTCAAGTTGACTCTAGACCTTGAACTTTTTACTTTCTTGAAGGCCGCCGATCATGAGGACACGTTCCTCACAGGCCTTGTCCTTGGTGCCGAACAGGAGTTTCCACTTGTACCCGCCATTCAGGCCCTCGAGAATCTCTATGAGAATCAGTTTGAATTACCGCTCTCGCTCGTCGATTTGTTGAAGGTTTCTCCGTACTTCTCGAAGGAGCATGTTTTGAAATCTTTCTATGAAGCGCGACAAGTGCATCAGACGATCCTCAATCTCCGAGAGTGTTCTCTCGAGTCTCTCCTCGTGCAAACGATCGCTGTGAGAATCACAAGGACAGGCTCAGCCCAACTCGCTCATCCGACTCTCGAGATATACTTTAAACTAGCTCTCGAAAGCTTCTGGAAACTTCATTCCGAAAGTGACAAATACGCCATCCCGTTGACACTGTGTTTCGCGCATATTCTTCTGTATTTCTTTGCTCGTCCGTTCAATGCATTGGGTATCCTCCAAGCTTTGAAACCAGCGATTGATAGATTTGATAGGAGGAGATCTGGTGATGAGTAAGTAAGTCGCTTTGATGATATCAAAGTCGCTGCTGATGATTTGTAGATTTCTTGAAGAGCAAAAGGAAGTTTACAATCGGTTACATTATCTCCTAGAAAGGTGGGAGTTCATATCCTCCATCAAAAGACTGCGAGCTAATATCCACCAGCGATATTCTTACAGAACTTGATGGCGTCCCATCTGCAACATCACTCCGGCCAAGTAGTATTTCCCGGCCAACTCCATCTGAAGTATCATCTACGAACAACTCAACACATGAATACCTCATCCAGTCTCAACTTTTCCTCCGGATTATTCTCAACAAAGTCCTTGGTAGTCTATACACTGCTAACGAAGCATATATCACGCCTGAAGAAGCAGGCCCCGTCATTTCGTCTCTTTCCATCAAACTGGATACCTGGTACCAATCACTACCGCTGGAAATGCAATTCTCCCGAAACATCTCAAGCTTTAATCTTACCTCTCGATCAATGTCACTGAGAATCGTAAGTCATCAATTTGTCAAGAATAGGACTCGAGCTGATGTTCATGGTAGAGAGAATTGGCATTGCGATACTATGCCTGCCATTTCATACTACACCGGGTTGTTTTGTACAGGGTCGTCTACGAAGATATGGAAGAAGCAGCCACACCTCGAAGCACACGAAAGGAGTTCGAACCTTGGGTCCTTGAAACCTGTCGCAGCTGTACAGAGAATGCGGGCTTAATTATACTCGCTCAACATGCACAGTACAAGTCAGCAGATGATGTGCCGTACCACAGCTGGTGCGAGCTGCAGCTGCTCGTGGGAGCATATGCGGTCCTACTGCAGGTGCAATCGGTCCCTGCTCTAGCTCCCATGTTTCGGGATCTTGGAGAGATTGATAGTCTGCTCGATGCTGCGGAGATGGTGCTTCGGAGTGTGCCATTCACGTCACTGAGCACCTGGAGGACTCTGGACGCCTTGACAAATGTTAGGTATAACTTGACACTTCAGACGCCACGCTGATCTGAGCCGAATCAAGATCACATGCAGAAGGGTAGCCAGTTGTGAGGATATTGGCGGCAAAAAGAACGCATTCGAAAACTTTGATTCCCACTCAGCAATACATACATCTCAACTGCCAGACACGATTACGCCTCAATATTCTCCACCACGAAATGTAATGCTTCGTATGCCACAATGCCTCCCCATGAACGGCGTTCTCCGTCAACACATTCCTCTCAAGCAGCCGTTTTCAACATCAGCGAGTTTCAAAGACTGGGATCTTCTGCTCTTCAACCTCATGAACAGCCTTTTCTTCGTCTGTGTTAAGTGATTCCCCACTATGGTCAAATTGGTGGTTCTTCCATTGCCTGACAGGAATCCTTTGCTGGAAGAACAACTCAATCTCAAGGTTCGATCGACCAGTTGTTTCTCCGACACAGAACCAGACATATACGAGTGTGATACATGTCGTTCCAGCATATATAAATCCGAGCATCGGACCGAGGTTTGCTGAATAGTACAGGTATGGCGATGTAAAGGAGATGACCCAGACAGTGAAGAAGAAAGTGACGATGGCACAAGACATGATCTTGTTCCTGTTTCTTCCTGTTGACATTTCGCTTGCGACCGCGAAAGCCAAAGGGCCGTGACCGAAGTTGAAGGCGCAAATAATGATATAGGAGAAGACTACAATTGTGACGCTGTATCCGTTGGAGAGAACCTTGTGGGTACCCAAGCCACCAACAACAAGAAAAGCGCAGAACATCATGATGGTAGTGACAATGAGATTGATTCTCCTGGGGACTTTGTTCCCAAGCAGCACAGCAGCGGAACACGCGATGACTTGTAAGATGTTGGTGATGAGCGAAATGGTGAACGGTTGTGCGATCCCAATGCTCTGAGCGAACACCACGCCGTAGGAGTAGAAGAACTGGATGCCATTGATTTGTTGTGCGACCATGGCTCCGCAGGAGAAGATCAGCTTTCGTCGTTCGATGGGATCGCGGAGGAGCGAAGACCACGTCGATTCTGCCTCCTGCTCTCTCTCGGTTTCAACGGCTTCTCGGAGGATTTTCAGATCCTCTGATGGATCGTATTCCCCTTTGCTCCTGTTGATCTTTCGCAGTGCTGCCTCAGCCCCTTCGTTCCTATCCTTACTCATGTACCAAGCTGGAGATTCTGGGATAATGGGCAGACCAGCCAACATCAACAGCGGGAGCAATGTTAAAAGCCCCATGGGAATTCGGAACGCGGCAGTGGAAGTAATACTCTCGGTCCCCCTGAAATCACGAGTCAACAAATGCCAACAAGTCTGTTTCATGGAAATATTCTTACTGGGTGATTCCGCTTCCGACTAGCTGAGAACAAGATTGCATCATTTGAAACATCATCAATGCCGGACCACGAATGGCCTTTGGAGCAATTTCGCCAATGTACAGGACACAAGTCACTGTGAACTGGCCAATTCCAAGACCGATCAGGATGCGTCCGAAGATGATGAGCCCCTCGCTGCCATTGTCGGCTACCTGGACGATAGCACCAGCGATGATGCAGCAAGAGGCACAGCAGAAGACAGCTTTGCGGCCCCAGCGGTCGTTGATAGGAGCCGCGAGCAAAGCGCCGAAAAGCTCACCGACGTAGATGATGGAAGCTGTGAGAGAGAGAAAACTTGTCGTCAACGCCTTCAGGCCGGTGTCAGGGTCGGTTGTGGTTCCGTAGTCGTTGATGAATGCTCTCATCCCCAGCACTCCGGTGTAATAAATTTGATCATCTGGATTGCAGCGCAGTCAGAAATTGCGTTCAAATATTCTTCAGAGCGAATTGGCGTGTTGTCTCAAGAGGAATCATGACGCGTTGGACGGGAAAGGATTTTCTCTGGTGACTTACACCCATAACAAAGAGCACCTAGAGTCGAAACTCCGCAATAGATCACAGCCCATCTGTGCTCTCGAAAGTTAATGCCGAACATGATGATGCCTGTTGCAGAAGAGTTTGTCTTCAAGACTTCAAGATTTGGGGGTAAAAAATGGCCAAGATGAACCGGACTTGGAAAATCGAACGCTGATATCAAAAGAAGGTAGGATCTGCCAGCATCTTATATAGACAAAGGCAACGTTCGAGGTTGTCGTGGGACGTTTGACATCGCGCTAAGGGAGAGAGCTTGTTTGGACGAGTCCGGGGACCCCATTTGCGAGTCACTCCCCAGTCCATCCCTTCCTTTCGGTACCGGCGTCCTCGTGGCCAGAAGTAAGCTAGTGAATGAGTTGCACTAGCTGATCGGGGAGCGCTCCACGGAGCGTTCCCCGACGCATTATTAGTGGGTGAAGCTTGGGAATGCCTCAGCGACCCGCAAACCAACAAGGTTAGCCCTCATCTCGTCTCGAGGGTCATTGGTCCCAAAGTATTGATGTGCTCCACTTCAGATTTCCTTGCAGATTGCTTGAGAATAATCTCATGTTTCCCCGCAAGAACTCTCCACAAGGAAACTTAGTTGTGGGTTGTGGGCTGAGACCGACAAAGCTAGAGTCCGAGCATTATGGTGGGGCGCCCCACCTTAGTGGAATGGAGTTAGAAGTTTGTAAAAATGCTCCCATTTTTCTATCGATGTGGCTTGAAAGCTGTTTGTCTAGGGTTTTCTGGTATCTCCCTTGTCCGCTCTTTCTTTCGCTCTCAAGTATTAAAAAGTCACAGTATAGCTCTGAGCTGAGAGACTCACTAGCACCATTCATCCTTGACCATCCCCTCATCAATTATCAACAACTATGGGTTCACAACCAGCAAACGCCTTGGGCACATTGCAGGATGCAGGCACGGTATTGATAGCTGATACAGCTGACTTCCAGCGCAAGCCCTCCCCGGATATATGAAGAGGAAAGCTTACCTTGTCCAGTAATCGAGAAATTCAAGCCCTCAGAAGGAACAACCAACCCTTCACTTCTCTACAGCGCAGCCCAAAACCCAGCCTATTACCACCTCCTCATCCGCGCAATCAAATATGCCAAATCACTCTCCATCTCCCTACCCTCCGAGGAGCGCTTGCAACTCGCAGCCGAATTCCTCGCTGTTCAATTCGGCACTGAAATCTACAAACTCACAGGCCGAGTGTCGACAGAGGTCGATGTCATCCACTCCTTCAACAAAGAAGCAACTATCGCCGCCGCATTGCGAATGATTTCTCTCTACGCCGCGCAAGGCGTCCCAAAAGACAAAGTCCGCATTAAAATCAGCGCCACATGGGAAGGGATTAAAGCCGCTTCATTCCTAACCCATGAACATGGCATCAGTGTCCTGATTACCATCGTCTTCGGCATGGTGCAAGCTATCACCGCTGCTGAAGCAGGCGTGGCGTGCATAGCTCCTTATGTGGGAAGAATCAGCGACTGGCATAAGGCGCAAGGAATGACGGGTGGTGATAAAGGGGTTGAGATTGTGAGGGATATGCAGAATTATTTGAGGAAGTATGGATACGGGACAAAGGTCATGGGTGCGAGTTTTAGAAACACGGAGCAAGTTAAGCAGCTAGCTGGAACGGATCTGTTGACGATTTCTCCCGTGGTGTTGGAGCTGCTTGAGAAGGAGAAGGGGGATTTTGGGCCGTGCTTGACGAGTGAAAGTGGTGGGTTTCTACGTATTCTTCCTTCACAAGCGAGTTCAAACTGACCAAATTGTGTGAATAGCTCAAGCAGCAGACCTTCCAAAAGTGTCGTATATCAATGACGAGAATGCGTTCCGGTGGGCATTCAATATGGATGCATGTGCCGTGGAGAAGTCGGCGGAGGCTATGCGGAAGTTTGCTGAAGACTCGAAGAAATTAGAGGGCTTGCTCGCTGAGATGTTGTGATGTCGTCAATATAGAGCATTTAGAGAAAGGTATGCGTAGATCTTGAAGTGGAGTCAACGAATTCAATACAATAGCGCTCCTTTTCCAGAAATAGAAATCATTTTCTGAAACATTCTCGATGGAACCCCTGGGTATCGATGACTCCTATGCTCCATTTGCACAAACTCCACCGACCCCCTGAATATCTCTCTCATAGGCAGACTTGCTGCCACCAAACCCTGTCCGCGAAAATTCCGTCTCTGGGAAACCCTTCATCTCATCCCACCCCCCACTCTCGAACCACACCAGATCCCAACTTCCCCACCCAAAAAACTAAGATCAACATGACTCAAGCAGCGCTAACCTCCCCACCCATCACGCATCATGCATCATGCACCCCGCACAGCCCGTGCCTCAGCCACATTTCGCTGATCGGAAGCCCTCCGTAGCCTCCTCGGAGCGCTCCCCGCCAATAGTTCAGTGGGCCCCAGAGTTGGTGCAGGCCAAACCACACCCACTTCTTCGTACACACTCGCGTTCGGAGCTCCGGGCAATATGTTGACAGGTAGGTAAGGTCCTTTCACTTTTTTTCTTTTCAGTATAAATCGTTCCTTGAGATTCTCCCGTTGTCATTCTCTTCTTCCCAACTCGCCTTCTCCTCCGTTTCAATTCTCGCGCAAACCACAAGCTCCTCGAGATTGGTATCATCTCCAAAATGCCCTACATCCTCGGCCTTAACAGCGGCTCCTCCTTCGATGGAGTTGACGCCGTCCTCTGCACCATCGAACTCTCCCCTGATGGACATCCGGCACGTCCCAAATTCGTCGACGGCCTCACAGTCGATTGGCCCCTCGAACTACGCACCCAAATCATGCTCGCCTTCGACAATTCTCTCACCCTCTTCGAAATGTGCCGCGTGAACTACGCAGCCGGTGCTCTCTTTGCCGAAGCCGTAAATTCTCTCCTCTTGAAAGCTGATCTGAAGCCCGAGGATATAGATGTCATTGGCTATGACGGGCAGACTGTGTATCAAGAACCACCTGATAGGCCGAAGAACAATGAGTATAAGAAGAGCGGGAGCAAGAGTCTTGTTGAGAAGTGGACGAAGGGCGGGTGGCCTTGTGGGTTCTTCATCGCGGAATCAGGGGTTGTGGCTGCGTTGACGAATATCACCACCGTGACGCAATTCCGACCTGTTGATCATGCGCTTGGTGGATCTGGAGCGCCTCTTATGCAATACTTGGATTTCGTTTCCTTTCGTGGCGATGGGGGACCGACTGTGACGTTGAATATTGGCGGTATTGCGAACCTACAGCTGGCGGATGCGGACCGGAGTAAGATGATGGCGTTCGATACGGGACCAGGGAATGTGATGATTGATCATATTGTCAAGGCTCGCACTGGCAAGACATATGACAAGGATGGAGAACTTGCAGCGAAGGGAACAGTGATTGAGCCTTTGTTGAAACATATGTTGACACATCAGTTCTTTGCTCGGAAACCTCCGAGGTCGGCTTGGAGACTTGACTTCGGTGCTGGGTATGCGGACCAGATTTTGGAGCAGTACAAGGCTGCTTCGACGGAAGACCTGCTTGCCACACTTACCATGTTCACCGCGACTTCAATTGAAAGCTCCCTCGTTGATTTCATCCTTCCTCGGACCACCATTACGAAGGTTGTTGCCAGCGGCGGTGGAGTCAGAAACACGACTTTGATGAACAATCTCCGAGAGAAGCTTGGGAAGCTGGGACTGGATCTCAAAGTGAGTGATGAGTTTGGACTGCCTGCTGTGTACAAGGAGGCTATTAAGTTTGCCACCATGGCATTTGCGGCGAAGAGGGGACTGGCGAACAACATCCCTGCGGCTGGAGGTGCGGAGTCTTATGCTGTGCTAGGGAAGCTGAGTATGGCGCCCAGGCTGGCGAAAAATGGCGGTGAGGTTAAGTCTGTTGCCAATGGCACTAACGGAGTACACTAAGTTGAGAGTTAGCTGTCTTTCATATATATTTACCATAACTGACATCAATGCTTGTGCAAGTGGCGGTTCCATGCTCGAGGTCTTTTCCTAAAGTTTCACTGGTTCTAGCAACACCAAGCTTATCGTAGGAGGTTCAAGTGGGTATAACTACAGAGTAATGAAAGCAAACCTCCATTAACATTCAGAACAAAAAGGATGATCACTCCAATTAACCAATGGTCACCTTTGCAGGATGTAGCACTCTGATCGCTTTGATCGTCGTTAGTCCCGTTCCAGAATCATACCCTCCACTTTGCAACACCCTCGTCTTTCCGTCCAGCTCTACCCTCGGCTGAGCTGTCCATTCCGAGGCGGGCGGCAAGAAGAGCACTCCCGCCGTCTCACTTGGAACTCCCCAGGAAAGTGTATAACCACCCTGTCCCAGTGTCTAATTGGCGCTGAGTTTCCCCAGAGGTGCTGTGAAGCCGCCTTCTGCGTGGGTCAGGCCACCGAATTGTGGAGAGCTGCTATTGACTCCCTGCTGGTTGAGTGAGGGTCAGTCCTTGGACATATGACGTGAGAGCATCTGTGGCACCAGTGCTCCATCCGTGAGCGCTGCCTGAATAGCTATAGTCATTCGAGTATCCCGTCGTAGCCCTATAACCGAAGCTCCCGTCCGCCAAGTATCCCTCGATACACGTACTTGCTGTTCCGTAAGGATTGTTGAGATACCACCCCCAAGATCGGCGGATGAGGTCAAGTGCTCGTGTTGCTTGGCGAGCTGCGAGGTGGGCTTTGATCACGAATGATTGTACAAAGCCGACGACGTTGTTTGGGAGTTTGGGAGTTCGGGAGCTACGGCGCCAATTGCGTTCCAGTTGGTTGTTAGCTGTTGGGAGATCCTGGAGACGAACGAGCTGTTGGCAACACCAAAGATAAGAGCCATGCTATTGCCATCTTCAGGGTGAATCCTACCGTCTGTATCACTGTCTTTGAAGCACCGCAGATGCTAGCAGTAGCCCAGACAAGAGAGTTTGGATATATACCCAATCGCGGAGTCGAAGTTATTTGCATTCACAGCTACTTCAATAGTTGCAGCCAAGCCTGCCCAGGAATTTGCAGAGACTGCATCCCCTTGCCATGTTGCAATCTGAATTCCAGTAGTAAGGGTCCTGTGAAGCAGCATATTTGCCTCAGTATTGTGGCCACCTTGGCTAAGCCTGCCCCAATCAGACACCCCGGTCACATCCAACATCCCAGTATTGTCAATCTTCAAGGTGATGAATGTCGTGGCCGTTGTGTATTTAGAGTAAACAGCGCTCAAAAGGTCGTGTGATTAGAAAACAAGAGATACTCGAATGTTCCGATCATCGTTGCCATGTGGTAAGTGTCTGAGTTGTAAATGTTGATCGCCGGACCTGCAAATGGAAGAGCCCCTGAACCGGACTGGACACTATCAACTTCGCATATCAAAAGACATTAAAACATATTTGAACAATGAAAGATAGTGGCGTTTGCTACACTTACTTGATCATTGTACAACATCTGTAAGGTGTTCCGAACGACATCCATTTCCTCGATGTTCACGAGAATACTAGGAACGGCAATTGCAAGATCTCCAGTCCAAGTAGTGCGATCCCGCTTGCTGCCATGCACAAAGATCGTGGTGTCACTGGTTCCCAGATCCAGAGTATAGTTGTTTAACCCTTCTGAATTCAGAATCGGGAATGCACGGCCGGTACCGACAGGGACAGCATTCGTTTAAAGGGTATAAGCTCCCATATACCAGATCTTATTCAGCAAATCGTCGTTGCACGAGAAGTATCCCTGGTACGCTTGTGGGTTGCTCCAGGCTGGTTAGTAGGCGATTTCCACCACGAGAGTCGTAACACTAATGTAAATATTGGCGACCGAGGTCTCCGAGAACAGACTTAAGTAAGAAAATCCACCTCGAAGTTTGGGATCAGGTATTGTGTAGCTCGCTTCTGGAGTGGTTATGATACTGGCGGAGAGAGCACTATCTGGCTTGAAGGATCCAATTAAAGAGTCCGATCATTCTCCAGCCAATTTTTCGCCTCTGTGAAAGCCAGACCGAGCGACCAAGTCCCCTAAGCACTGTATGTAACCGTCACGACCCCCACCGCCTCTTTTCCAAATTTGAAAATAGCATGTGTGCCGTTTCCAATCAGGATTACGTCTGCGGGGTACGCTGACAAGGCATCTCCGACGGAGACAGAGACGGGTGTTAAGGATCGACTCCGAGGGGAGTAGATATATTTATCCTAAGCGCATGGAAAGGCTGTATTTGCAGGGCCAGTGCAAGTTGTGTCCCGCCAGCAGCGAGCGAGCACTGTGAGTGGCTTTTGCAAGAAAAGACGCCGGCGTAAACCCTATCCCAAATACCGTACCTGCCAGCTGCAATTACACTCAACATGGGCATAAGGATACTTCAAATTCTGGCGAACGGATGATTTAAATTGGCATGAGGTATTCGGGTTGGTTTCTATCACTTCTCGGAAATGTCTTGGGGAATTTTGAAGGCATACTGCTTTGTCAAATGTCTGAGGTTGTTCAGGTCCGTGTCTTGGGAGCGTGCGGGGTGGATCGGAAAATCTGAGCCCGAGGGTCTGCAGCTTGCCCTGAATCTAACAAAGCTTGGAAACCGGTAGCGTGGAGTCTAGGGAGCGTTATAAGCTTATCATCAATTCGTAATTCGTGTAGTACTAAACGAGAGACACGACGAAGGGAGGCAAGGGCAAGTGCTGAAACTTGCTATGAACTTGCTCGATATCACTGTGCATGTTAGTTCATTGAAGCTCGGAGGGCTCTTACCTCGACTCTGCTGGTGCTGACCTGGGTTGCAGTGAGAAAGCGTGGGTTCATCTGAAATATGTCACGTCGGTCAGGGGGCTGAGTTTTGGAAGTGCTTTATGTCTCCAAGATGGGCGTGGGTCTCCGCAACGAAGGGACACACAGCTTGCCCAATAATGCTGCATGATGGGATCATCTGCTGGAACGAGTCAAGAATCCAGCAGACGAAGCGCTTTGGCCCGCGACGGAGCACGCCATCAAATGATCGGCAGTCGACTACTAAAGTGCGGGGTGTGTTGTTATGCTCTTGTCTAATTTCTTTAGCACGCTGATTCGCAGACTCTCAGGTGAGGTTGACAGATCCTAATAATCTATCTTCGGATGGTGTCGGCAGTCGATGTTGAGAAACTGACCCGTGCAACCAACATTGGGCTGTCACGTCTGGAAGACTGCAAACGGGCCCGAGAACACAAAGGTCAACATGAGAAATGGGCGAGAACCATGAATAGAACCACATTGGCGGTTGGATTTCTGTCCACCTCAACCTCTGGCAAGAATCATAAGAACATTTGTACCCTAAGTTCTGCAATGGTCTCTGAGTGTTCGTCGCACCAACACCCACCAAGGCATTTGAGGAGACAGGCCGTGGAAGGACCACAGCCATTATCATCAGTATGCAGCAAGAAAAATGGGGGGTGCGCCAACGATAAAGTGAATGAAGCGAAGCTGTGTGGAGTTTCTTCACTGTTTGCGAAGAAGTGAAGACGCGTCGTGGAAAGAAGGCGAGGAAAGGAGCATAGTGCACGGTCCATCGCCAGCCCCCTCACACGTGACTTGGCCGCCATCTCAATCATGATGTTTCATCAACCTCCCTTAATCCTTCCCTTTCCCACTCTCACAAGTTCAAAATGATTATCCTCGAGGTATTGGAATGCCTCTTCCCTTCTAATATGGCCATGTTGGTATGGCGAATGATGAGGGGAATGCTGGTCTTGGGGGCCTGCAAGATGATGTTGCTTGAGTTCTGCCCCTCACAGCAGCATGATTGCCTCGGAGGTGCGTTTCCCAGGCCCCAGCACCGCTATTTTGCAAGAGCTTTACACAGCAGAGTCGCCACGAACGAGCGGACTATTTTTCACCGAAGGAGATACTGTGACGTTAGAATTTTGATGTGGAAGCTGAAGTCAGTTATTCTCACGTGCCAGCTTCAGTAGAACCGTTGAATACCTCCTACCTTTTATATAATGCCCTTTTCGGGAGATATTTAGATTATAACGTGTCTAGGATATACCGCAAGCAATGTCCAATATACCGGCACCGGCATAACAGCTGATCTGAAGCTGGCTGGACGTGCTTGCGATTTCTACGGCTTCGACCTGAAAGATCTTCGACTCACTGTCGACTATGAGACAGGTGGGCCTTCAGAGTGCAACTTTTTCAAGAAATGACTTAAAGCTTTGACTTTCTCTAGAAAGTCGGGTCCACCTGAAGATATACGATGTCGACGAGCAGGTATATCAGATTCCCGAATCCGTGCTTCCGCGACCTGGTGGTGCTGTCTCTGCAAGAGATTCCGCTCTGGCAGTGCTAATTGTTGAGAATCCGTTTTCCTTTGCTGTAGTAAGGAAGAGTAACCATGAAGCAATTTTCAACACTAGCGGCTCAGACCTCATCTTTGAGTCTCAGTACTTACGACTTCGAACCTCTCTACCGCCAAACCCAGTCCTATATGGGTTGGGTGAGCACACAGATCCGATGATGCTTCTCACGACGGACTACACTCGAACGTTTTGGTCTCGTGATGCTGGTATGGTTCCGCCGGGGACGAACCTCTACGGCAATCATCCAGTATATTTTGAACACCGAGTAAAGAGCAATGCCACCCATGCAGTCGCCTTCATTAACAGCAATGGAATGGATATCAAAATTAACAACACCAAAGAGAGTGGCCAATATCTTGAGTATAATACAGTCGGCGGAATTGTTGATCTGTATTTTTTGTCCGGCCCAGGGCCAATTGAAGTGGCAAGACAGTTCACTGGAGTGTCTGGGAAGCCCGCAATGATGCCATACTGGGGATTCGGGTTTCACCAATGCAGATTTGGTTATGGAAATATTGACAATGTTGCTGAAGTTGTGAGGAGCTATGCAAAGGCAAAAATACCACTCGAGACGATGTGGACTGATATCGTGAGCTGATTTGGCTGTGAAAGTTCCCGCATCATGCTAATTCAATTGCAGGACTACATGGATGGATTCAAAGTCTTTACATTAAATCCAGAAAGCTTTCCTCTAGATAAAACACGCGAGCTTGTAGATTATCTCCATGCTCACGATCAGCATTATGTGATGATGGTGGACCCAGGTAATCAATTCCGTCCTTGATCGATGGGTCCAGATGCTAACGAGCCTTGCAGCGGTGGCATATCAAGTAGATTCTCCATCTGCAATTGATAGACTCTCGCTCAAAACAGCCGCTGACACTTGATTGTAGGACTACCCTGCTTTCAACGAGGGAAAAGAAGAAGGCATCTTCATGAAAACTGCCAATGGCTCAATATACCGAGGCGTCGTGTGGCCCGGAGTCACTGCATATCCAGATTGGTTCCATGACAAGGCGCAAGCATACTGGAATGGTCAATTTGGTTCCTTCTTTAATGAAAGCACTGGAGTTGATATAGATGCCCTTTGGATCGACATGAACGAACCCTCAAATTTCTGCGACTATCCTTGCAATCCTCCCGAAGAATTTGTCACAGCGACTGAGCCGCTTGACCCGATAATCCCAGCGAACGTTGCCAATGCTCAAAAGCTCATCTCGGAATTTGGTGTCGACTCTCGCCATTCAGAGCGCGGTATCTCAAAGCGCGGGAAGTCTGACAAAATGAAGGGCCTCCCTGGAAGGGATCTCATCAATCCAAAATATTCTATTTCAAACCTCGGAGGATCTCTTAGCAATCACACAGTCCCTACCGACCTCATCCATGCCAACGGTCTTGCTGAATACGATACCCACAACCTCTATGGAACAATGATGAGTGCGACTTCTCGGGGAGCCATGTTGTCACGCCGACCCACAAAACGGCCACTGATCATCACAAGAAGTACTTTCATGGGAGCAGGTGCGAAAGTAGGTCACTGGCTTGGAGATAATGTGTCGGACTGGGGAAACTATCGAAGGTCGATCCGTCACATGCTGCAATTCGCATCCTTCTTTCAAGTTCCGATGGTTGGAGCCGACGTTTGCGGATTTGTCGGAGATACAACGGAGACTCTCTGTGCTCGATGGGCAACTTTGGGAGCTTTCTACACCTTCTACCGCAACCACAATAACCCTTGGCCAGCCGTAGGACAAGAATTCTATCAATGGCCCATGGTTGCCGAGGCTGCTCGGAACGCCATCAACACTCGGTATCGACTCTTGGATTACATATACACAGCCTTTCACAAACAAACAGCAGATGGCACACCAGTCCTGTTACCAATGATGTAAGTATATCCCCTTCCAGCATTCCGCCTGCCTCTAATTGAATGACAGATTCCTCTACCCCTCCGACCCAGAAACTTTCCCCATCCACCTCCAATACTTCTACGGCCCCTCCCTTTTAATCTCACCCGTTACCGAAAAAGGCTCCACGGAAGTCACAATATACCTCCCCTCTGACCAATTCTACGATTTCCACACCCTAAAGCCAATTTCTGGCAACGGGTCATACATCACCCTCACCAATATCTCATACACCGAGATCCCAGTGCACATCCGCGGCGGCTCAATCCTCCCCCTTCGCGTCCGTGGCGCAAATACCACCACAGCGCTGCGGAAACTGGATTTCGAGCTCCTTGTTGCACCAGATGGGCATGGGCAGGCGAGAGGGGAGTTGTATCTGGATGATGGGGAGAGTTTAGTGCAAGAGGCGACGTCTGAGATCGAGTTTTGGTTCGATGGGAAGATGAAAGTTCTGGAGATGAATGGGACGTTTGGCTATAATGCAGGTGTTAGAATAGGGAACCTGACGATTTTAGGGGAGAAGGGCCCGGTGATTTGTGTATTGAATAAAACGTTAAAAGGCGGCTTTACTGTCGATATCAAGGAGAAGTGCGCTTCTGTGTGAAGCGACGGGGAAGTTTTAAATACAGAATAAAAGATTTTCCTGGAACGCGCAGGTCATATGGAGCAGCCCCCGGGCTAAGCGGCCGTCAGCTATCTCTGTTTCCAATGCCATTGTACGACATAATTTCTGCTCCTGATAGCGAAGTTGGCGCCTCTTGATGCTCTTGTCTTGACTACATGCACTAGCATCGGTACGGGCTGATTTAGCGACGCTACTGCATCTATTATTTTATCGCAATTGCAAAATAAGAATTATAAATCGAGATTTTTTTTAAAGCCACATTTTATATGGAAAACACACCTAATAATAGCCAAATACGCAATTCCCATACATTATAGTCAAATACGCCCAGTACTATTACTCTATTCTCGCTTTTTTGAACTGCCCCCGATTATCCCTACGTCTTGACCTATTCCCCGGCCTATAATTACCATCCCCTGGTAATTCCTTCTCTCCATCATCAAGATCTGATCTATTATCGTCGTTATTGCTTAATATAGTCACTTCCACTTGTCGCTTCCTCTTTAATATAGACTTCAGAGGAGATTAAGGAGGTTTAGTAGGTAGAGCGGGAGCAAAGGCTAGTAAAAACGTCAGATCTACTAGTATATCTAAATTTATTAAAACTTACTAGCTATAGGAGCAGAAGCAGAAGCAGGAGTAGGAGCAGGAGCAGGAGAAACCATAATTCTAGCTTCTAGTATAGGTATATTGTCCGAATTAAAATCGTCAGAATTCAGATTGTTACCTGACCCATTCTCTAAAGGAGCAACCTTCTCCTATAGGGCTTTGATCTGTTAATTAGAAGTCAAAGCAGGTAAAAAAGATACTATAGATATAACTATAGATATAGATATTATATTGGGGGTGGTATTAGGAAAGCCTTCTAATAGGGGGCTAAAATCTAGGAAAGGCATCTCCCTATTAGCTCTTTTATACTTATCCTAAATCTCGTTATCTTTTTACTAAATTATATTAATATCTTAATTAAATACAAGATAAATATACTTTGGCAAGCTCCTATTTAATTAGTTAAAATAAGATAATAAGCTATTAATATCCTTTTTAGCTTCAAATATCTGGCTAGTTATATAGTCAATTCTCTTATTTTTATCTCTTGGCCAAACCTATTTATATTAGTACTAATTCTATTAGAATACTAGTAAATAATAGCTTACTTTACTTATAAAAGAGACTATATTTATATATTCTAAAATTATAATCTATTAATTAAGCTCCCAGTTTTCAAATAACGGAATTAATAATAAAAAAGCCTTGGCTAAATATATAGCGAAATCCTTATATAACAGTTTTTAACTATAATAAATAACTATATTAGTAAAGAGATATATATTTCTATAAGTAAGCTTTATATACGTATTAAACTATTCTACTATCCATAGCTTAATTTAAATATTTTGAGCCTCCCGGTACTCTTCCAAGCTAAGGAACTTCTTTATAGTCGAAACAGGTATACTTGTTCTAGTAAAGCTACTCTCTAGTTCTTCTATTTCATATATATATAGTATAATAGAAATAAGGACCTTATATCGTTTTTCGATAATAGGAGCAGGAGGAATCATTAATTTACCCTTACTAAAGGCCTTTATATATATCCCCTGGCCGAGAGTAAGAGATCCAAAGACTTTACCCCTTTTCTGAGCCAAACCTAATAAAATTAGTAAATAATATATTAATATTAGGAGTTAAATAGATAGATATATACTTTTGCCCTAAGCTTCCTAATAGAAATTACCATATAATTACTCTAAATATTCGAGCTTAGCCTACTGCCTCCTCTTATATGCTTCTGCCTCAAGGACCTCTTCTGAGAGATCTATACCCGGAGGGTAATAAAAAGAATAGGAATTAGCTAAGATATTAATCCCTTAATCTCTTAATAATTAGGCAGTAGTATTTTAAAGTTAGGTTTAACTAGAAAATAGTATATTATCTAATATAATAATTAATATAAAAGTAATAGGAGCCGGAGAAGAAGTAGCAGGGTTAATTGCACCGTATAATAGACACTTTACTATAGAGAGGGGGTATAGTACCTCCCGTATAAAACAAGAGTTCTATAGATTAATATTATTTATTATAAATATTTGGGAATAAAAGAATAAGGATTTAATTTATAATCGAATATTAGAAGGAGAGTATAGCTAATAAATCTAGTAGTTTAGTAAATAGTAGTATAAAGATAATTAGTAGAATAGAACCATAATATATTAATATTATTTTAATTCTTTAGTCTATATCCCTATAACTTTTTCCCTAAAGAATTTATATACTAGGGACCTATTTCAAAGATTATAGATAGTAGTATATTACTAATATATAAAAAGAAATAAATACAAGAATTATAAGGAATACCTCTTAGTATAAATTAAAATTAGATTTATTTTATTTATCTCTAGTATTATTATTACTTAAAATATAGTTTCCTATATTAGGGGTAATAGAATATTAAGTAAGGGGCTATAGGAATTAAGGAGGAAAAATTAAATTCCATATATTAAAATATAATTCTTATTATTTTTACCAAATATATCTTATAATTACTTCAAAAGTTTATAAGAACTATTAATTTAATAAAGCTAGTATTAACGGAGAATTTTATCTATACTATAAAGTTCTTACTACCAAAATAATAAGTTAATAGAATAATTATAGGAGGTATAGAAATTAAAGGAATAGGGGTCGATTTTCTAAAGAGACGAATTATATAATCTTTTAATATTAAATTAGAAATAAATCACCTATAACTATATGAATTTAACTTATTAAGCAGATTACTATTAACTTCTATATTTAATTACTTTAGTAAATATTAATATTTTTAGCTAATTTTTTTTTTGGAATATATATTAATATATTCTTATTTAACTTCTCTAATACCGGGCAAACCGTCTAATATTTATAGGAGGGATTTCTAGATTATCTTCCTCCTCTGCTTTAGGTTCAGATATATATCTATTCTCTATAAACTACCTATACTCTTGGCTATTTATAACCCAATTACCATTTGCCCTATTAAAAGTAATACTATTTATAATAAATCTAGTATCTCCTGTATTATCTTTAACCTCCGCTTTATTATTAGAATTAATATAGATGAGATCTTTATCTCTATAGCTAGTATCTCTCCCTTTATTAATAAACTAAATACTATCTTAATTATTATAATCCTTTAGTCTTGCCTCCTCTAATCCTATAGCTATCTCTGGTAATAGATTCCAATTATATATATCCTTGGGTATTAATAAAAGCCCTAGCTTTAGATAAATATTTTTTATATTAATTAGGTAGTCGGTAATTAATTCCCTTAAATATATATAGATATTTAGATAGTTTATCTCTCTATTTGAGTTATATATAGACTCTATAATTAGGAGTATAAAGCCGGTATCCTTAAGTTCTTACTTATACCATTTAAGTATAACCTCTGGTAAATATATATCTTTATTATAGCTAGTATACCCTTTATATAGCTCGTTTAGTTTATTAATATTAATAGAAATACCGTAGTCCCTGACCCCCTTTTACTCTGAAAACATATAGTTCTGGAAGGGTTAGCCAGGAACGATATATAGATAATTAGGCTATTTCCTAATTAAATAGATATTTCAAATCCGGACAAACTCCTTAGTTTACTCTTATATAATAGGCAAATAGACGAAAAACATAGCTATATAATTAGGGTGAAGTTTGCAAGAGTAAAGCCTTTAAAAGTATAATTACTTAAAAAATATCTTTTATTTATTTAGTATATCCTATATAATATTAGCTAATTAAATTAGTCTTTATAGAATTAGACTAAATAAATTACCTTTATAACTTGCCCCTACTATATCTCAATTCATTAATTAGCTATACTAGTCCCAAACTAATAAAGATCTGAGAACTAATATAGATTAATACCCCTTATTTAGTATATTACTTTATAAAGGATATAATAGATATTAGTAACTATAGGTATTTCGCATCCTCTATCTAATTAAATATAAAGTAGAATAATCTCTATTTCGTCTACTAAGTCAAGGTATTAAACTAGGATAGTAACCTAGAAGGTAGTATAAGTAAGTATATATTGGTATAATATTAATTAGGCCAAAGAAGAATATAGTATAGAGATTTAGGGATTTTATTACCTAAATTAAGTATAATTCAAATAACTAGTTCTCTGTAATACTACAGAATTATATAGCCGGAATTATAACTAAGTAAATATTAGCCATTTGTAAAGGGGTATATCTATACCGAATTAGGAAGTAATACTACTTATAGTATAACTATTTGAGATTCTAATATAAATCCAAGATATAAACCGTAAATAGGTATTAATACTAGTATATATCTTAATACTACAAAATTATAGCTAAGTAAATGTATTAGTAGTTATTTAAATAATGATTTTTAAAATTAAATCCATATTATACTTACCTTATAATAGCTATTAATGGACTAAATAAAGTTCGGCCCATAAATATTATATTCTCCTCTAGCTGCCTTTATCTCTTCCAAATAATATTATATACTTTCTGGATCAAGTTCCTATATTATAGAAGCTATTCTATTCCTAGAAAACTTCTTATTATTACCTAGGAAATTAAGATAAGTATATAGAAGCCGGTATTCATAACTTCTAGTATTGCCCTATAGGCCTTTATCTACTATATATTACTTAAGGATATAGCAAAGTTACTTCTTTTCTAGCTCAACTTGCGAATTAAGTATTTAATATCGAAGCCCTATAGCTCGGCGAACCTGCTATAATAATTATAGATTAGGAATATTATATCCTAAGCTCCAGAGATTAGTAAGTATATTAGTATTAGTCATATGAATATTATAAAAGAACCATATAATAAGAGCCTTTACCTAAGAAGAAGGCTCGAATATCGAGTATTAGAAAGGTACTTTCTATTCGGAAAGCCTATTATATAGAGTTCTAAGGGAAATATTAATATTAAAGTCATACTATAACCTCTTAATAATCTCCTCATATAATAGCTATTACTTAATTAAATAAAGAATATAGGCTTAATAGCAATTGATATTAATCTTTAAACGAGCTATTACGAAGAGGTTAATAATAGAAGATTAAGGAATTAATAATAATAAAGGAACAGAAGTATAAACGAAGTATATAGGAGGGCTAGTATATTAGGGGGCATATTATATATATTTTATTAAATTTCCTACCCTATTGCATTCCTACTATGGAATGCGATAAAACACTATATAGATCGACTATTTTAATTATATTCAACTATAGGTATTAGTTATATTATTAATAATAGTACATTTTTGAAATATTATCGAATTGATTTTCTCAAAAAATAATAGATGCAGTAGCGTCGCTAAAGGAGCCCGTAATCGGCCAGACCCAGCGTTGTCTCAACTGAGGAACTTAGCGTGAAATTGCCAGCACCCCTTCTGCATTCAGCATAGAGAAATACCCCAACAGCATGGGCTAGGCAGGCCTCGAGCATTCTAAATTCCGAGTTCCTTAAGTTGTCGATTTCAGTAAGCCACATATCGTGAGCTAGAGCTCAAAACCTCAGATCGGCTGGAACCTTCCTCATTAAATGTAGCGTTATGTCTAAAATTTCCGCTGAGCATCCCTTGTCCCTCCTGTCATGTCTCTATGCTTCCGTTCACAATTCGGGTTATAACTTCTAGTCCTTTACTTCTGACTCCAATGCTGCTCCTTCCCGATCAACTCAATGCTTGGCTTTCGTTGATGCAATCTTTTGCAATACAAAATTTCCCATGCCTAGTTGGCAGGTCCCTGCCAGTCTTACATCGTGTGCCACCAACGTATGAGCTTGTCATCTGTTATAATGTTCAGGGGACACAGATGTTGTGGTACTTGGTGCCGAATGATGGGCATTTCCATTTGGGGCTGAGTGCCCGGCTGGAGCGTCAGCTGCGCAGACTCGGCATAATTAGGTCGGTCTAGATAAAGGCAGTACATTGCAAGTGAATATACAAAACTTCTGATGGAGGTGCCTTCACGTAAACCCAAGGCGAGGTTTTGGTCCACGTAAGCGCAGAACGCCTTCAGCTCGATTGCAAGTGGACCCCAAAGACGCAAACACGAAGCATGTGGCACGTCTGGCCGGGACAACGAGACCCACCACGTCGACGGTGCCCTGGCAATCTTTTCTGCTGAAGTTGGTCGTACGAAAGTATGTTAAAGGAAGTCGCTGGGCATCATCGAATGCTTAAACCAAAAAAAAGATGTTATGGGCAATTCCTCCAGTGAGAATTCGCTTGAGCCCCCCTTTCTTCCCGTCCAGACAGGCTTTCTTGGGAAAATGTAAATTAAAGACCTATAGTTAGATTTTTTTAATATAAATACAAGCTAATATGTTATAAGGCTTATAATATAACCACGTGCTTCTTAACTTATAATAAAAATATTTAGTAAAATAGAATTTTAATTTAAAGGAATTTATATACTAATTAATTAAGTTCCAGTTTTTAAGTCTTATAAGTTCTTATAAATTAGGGGCTTATAGGGCTCTCAAAGCTAGTTTTAGGGAGTGGTTAGCTAAATTTCTAGGCTTTTTTAAGCTTACCTTCAAGTTATAAAATATTAGCTTTTTAAGTTCTTTAATTTAAAGAATTATTACTAATATATATTTTATAAAAAGTCCATACTTGAATAGCCCTTATTTAGCGCTATAAGAAAATAAAGAAAACATTAAATTCTATTAATTCCTTATAAAGTAAATCAAATTTAAAGAGAAAGCTAGGGTTTTAATGTTCCTATTCGGGCGCCGCTACCTTGGGTTAGTGGCTAGCTTGGCTCCCCTAATCGACACCCAAAACGAAACTCTGGGCGCGGGGGTGCCGTTTTAGATTTTCCCGCTTTCTTTGGCAAATGTGAGAGGTCTCGTATTTTTGCACCTAGTATAACAGCTTATTGCTACTTGGTGCCTCTGCAGAGTTTCTTTTCTCAGCTCGCTCCTATTGCATCTAATCGTGCGTTAGGACTTTGCACTAAAGCCCCTGTGTCCCTGCGGGTTTAGTGCGTATCAGTAATACGGTTGAAAATCAGTAATATAGTCGTTTTGAAATACTAATTTTCGGAATTTTAGTAAAAATTAAAGAAAAATATTTTATAGTTTATATAGAATTTATACTATAATTAATAATTAAAATTCTCTTACTTTTATATTATATATATATATAATAAAAAATAGTAGAAATATTATATATTTTATTTCTTTAATAATTTTTCTAAAATACTATAATTTTAAGAAATTAATTAATTATATATAAAGATATAGCCTATAAATATTTATATAATATTAATAGGAATCTAAACTTTAAATTCTTATAATATAATTATAAAATACTATAAAAAATAGAAAAATAAAATAATATATATATATATATATATAAAATAATAATTAAATTTATTAGATACTTTTATATTATAATTTAAAAAAGTTATAAAAATTTAAATTTTTATAGACTTTTATTAATTTAGTTATTATATAAATACTTATAGGCTATATCTTTATATAATTTAGAATATAATAATTATAAAAATATAGCCTATAAATATTTATATAATAATTAAATTAATAGGAATCTATAAAAATTTAAATCTTTATAACTTTTTTAAAATATAATATAATAGTATCTAGAAAACTTAATTATTATTTTATATATATATTTTATTATATTATTTTATTTTTCTATTTTTTATAATATTTTATAATTATATTATAAGAATTTAAAGTTTAGACTTTTACTAATATTATATAAATATTTATAGGCTATATCTTTATATATAATTAATTAATTTCTTAGAATTATAATATTTTAAGAAAATTACTAAAGAAATAAAATATATAATATTTCTATTATTTTTTATTATATATATATATAATATAAAAATAAAAGAATTTTAATTATTAATTATAATATAAACTTTATATAAATTATAAAATATTTTTCTTTGATTTTTACTAAAATTCCGAAAATTAGTATTCCAAAACGACTATATTACTGATTTTTGACCATATTACTAATATGCACTAAACCCGCAGGGACGCAGGGGCTTTAGTGCAAAGTCCTGACACACGATTATTGTCAACACCTGGCGACTGTCTTCCCTTTGCGGCCTCACCGCCTTTCGAGTTCGAAATAGAACTAATCCCTGTGAAGAGCCAGTCCCCGGAACCTTCGGAACAATAAAATTCTGCCTGAATTCCAGTCTGAAGCACGAAGGATCAAGCTTGGAGCGGATGCTGCGGTCTTAAAGACGGAGATGACATAACGGAGTCGCTATGACCACTCTGATTGGCCAACGTGCACGCTTGATTTTACTTTCATCGCAACAACATCTCGTCCCAAGCTCCGATACTATTTCGGGTTTTCATAACCAACGATGCGTCCAATTCCCTATATAAAGATGTCTCCTTCTCGCAAGGTGGAGCGAAGAGGAGAGCACAGCAGAAGCACAATCAAATCGCCCAACAATTAATGCTTCCAGCGAACCAAAATATTTTTGCCGGAAACGAGACATGGTCTTGCACATCCACATCCACCCTCAACACCGCGAATAGAAACAAAAAATGTCTTCTCATAATACAACCTCCGAGCCATCCCTCCCCATCGCAGTAATCATTTGCTCCGGCCGACAACCCCGCGTCGGCGACCAAATAACCTCCTTCGTCCTCCGCACCATCCAATCCACCTACCCCACCTCCTCCCTCACCTTAATCGACCTCCTATCTTGGAACCTACCCATGTTTAACGAGCCTACAATCCCATCACAAATCCACTCCTCCTCTGACTACATACAACCCCATACCCGAGCCTGGTCTGAGGAGATATCAAAGTATAAAGGGTACGTTTTTGTCACGCCGCAGTATAATTGGGGGTACCCCGCGATCCTGAAGAATGCGATTGATTACCTGTTTAACGAGTGGAAGGGGAAAGCTGCGATGGTTGTTAGTTATGGGGGACATGGAGGTGGCAAGGCGGCGGTGCAGTTGAAGGGCGTGCTTGAGGGGTGTAGGATGAGTGTTGTGGAGCGGATGCCTGGCTTACATTTCCCGGATGAGAGGGTTTTGGGGGTTGCGGCTGTGGGTGGTGAGTTGTCTTTGGAGGGAGAGGGGGCGATTTGGGGAGAGATGGAGAGGGAGGAAATTGGAAAGGCTTACGGGGAGTTGCTGGGCTTGCTTTGGGAGAAGGAGAAGGAGAAGGAGAAGGAGAAGCTGGGACGTGTGGCTGGGGCGTGACGGATGTGGAGGGATTTCTCGTTGTCTCCTTCGATTTCATCCGGGCGAGAATGGAGTTCAACAAAGCACTTGATGACGTGGCATCTTGTCTGTGCTCTCTCTCCTCAGAGAAGTTTTCGGCAACGTATGAATATCAGAGAGATATTTATGAGAGCTATATCAGGGCTCTGGCCTTACTGAGGAGATGTGTTGAGGATCCGGATAGGAAGATGGAGTCGGAAACACTTTGTGCTTCGATCTTGCTGCAGATGTGTGAAGTGAGACCTGCCCTTTTTCAAATGCCACATGAGAACTCAAGCTGATTATGCATAAAGTTAATCGCCAACGCCGGCCGAGGAGATTGGTCCCACCTAGCACGCGGCACACACCTCCTCATGGAATTGCGCGGTCCCTCCCGCTACAAGCACACGTTCGACCTCGCACTGCTCGAATCCCAACTGGGCTTTACCGTACGTCCCTCCCTTATCTCTTTTTGACCCTACCTCTCCAAAGTTCAGCCACGCACTCAAAGCCCATCAACCCTGGTTCATCTCCTCGCCCTAATGGCAGACTCTCTTTCCGCGGGAGCCCATATTCCCCTACCACACAGTGCAGCCACATTCCCTCACCCTACGAACGCAGCGCTTTAACGTGCTGGCCGAATTACCCCAACTGTTCATCAAAATCTCTACTCTATCCCCTGTGCTGCCCTCCTCCACTCCCTCTCCCTCATCCTCTCGACAGGCTGAATTAGTTCGAATAATACTAAAATCCGAGAAACTATTGGGAGCCTTCAAGAAATGGTTCGAAGGTGAAAGCGAGACTTTATGTCCAACCGCATACCCCGATGTCCTTGCCGCAGTCCTAGACTGCAATGCAAGCGTGGCTTTACTCACACTAAGCAAAATGCTTTGCCTCGTTGCAACGAGCGAGGTCAAGGTCGCGTAGTCCTGAAATAGATAAGCTGCGAGTCTCACGAGACGCGATATTCGAGCTTCAGCTTGGAGGCACGATCCAGACCCGGTCGAGTGCTGGAAACAGAGGGCGATCGGAGCGTTTGAGCATGTGAGGAGGGAGAGCGTGATTGCGTCCAAGATCTTGGAGTTTGGGGTGGAGCAGTTGTGCATTCTTGGGAATGAGTGTGAGGAGGGGGAAATGGGTGGGAGCATTATGATAATTTGGAAATAAGGAATGAGAGAGAAGGTCCCTTGGAGCAGAACGTAACGTGAACAGCAATGATCGAGAAATAACTCCGAAGCAGAGAGATATCTCATAATCTCACATGTCGGCGAATTTGAGAAATCTACTCTCTCTTCGAGTATGCGAAGCCGAAATGATATATACAAGAAGAAGAACGCCCGTGGACCGAGCTACCGCATCCAGAGACAACACCTCACATTCGCGACTCGGAAACATCGTCCAACTCGCTCTCCGCGCCGGTGGTTGTCGTGGCAAGACACTGCGAATACCACTCGTTCTGTGCCACGCACGTAGTTCCAGACTCGCAAGTACCAGTTCCAGTCCAGCCTTGGCCTCCGCATTGGTAATACTCGCTGAGCGTACCTGAGTTTGTTACTGTTGAGCTTGGCGCAGAGCTTGTCTCGGAACCAGCCACTTCTACTGACGTCAATTTTGATGTTGCTGGAATAGAAGAAGACCCCACCTTTGCTGAAGAGTTCGTAGTCGCCCCTACAATCGGCGTCGACTTCGTAGTGGTCACTACCGCAACAGCTAGAGAAGTTGAGTTCTTCGCCACCACATAGCTTGACGAGTTACTTGCTCCCGTCGTCGTGGAAGCTGGAGCCGAAACCGAAGAAGTCTTGACCACTGTCTTTGTAGAAGTCGAGCTCGGACTCGCCACTCCACTACTCACCGGACTCCAAAAGACAGCAGGCGTATAAACCGGGATCGGGATCGCCGTCCCATAGTCACTCACCCCCCAGATCGGGCGCGTCGGACTCGTAAATCCCGCCGGCGGGCTCGTCGTTGTGGCCGTCGTCGTGAACGTCGTGAGACTTGCTCCCGCCGTGGAAGTACCAGCGCAACAACCAGTCCCGTACACGTTCTTGCATTGGTTGAGTATCTTCTTCTGGTTGACGGTCCACATAGAGAAGTTGGAGAGCGTAATGTCGGTAAGGGGCACGATGTCCGAACCCCGAATTACGATGGGGCCCCGTGAGACGCCGTTGTCGACTGTGCCGGTCCAATTGTTGAATGTCAAGTTGCTGAGGGCGACAGCGCCGGTGTTGGGGGTTTTGTGTGATTCCCAGTATTGATCAATATCTAAATCATGTTAAGAAATATTCAGATGGGAGAAGGGGGAAGGGGAAAATACCCAGCCCGTATGTCGTGTCATAAGCCCAAAAGTTCTCAAAAACTGAGTCCTTAACATATCCCGTTGCTCCCGTACCACCAGGGAAGGTCTTAATCATAAGCATCTGCGTGCATTGATAAATATAAATATTTCGCATCGTGATATTTGATACCGCAGCGGCTGTATCGCTTGTAACCCCTATTTCCCCAAATCAGCACAAACCAAACCACAAACCACCAGAATCCTTGGGGAGACAGGAGGCGGAGGAGATAGAGGAGAAGCAAGGCAAACAAACCATCTGCAGTCAGCGAACCAATCGACATGCCTCCGCTCTGGTTGCAATAGATGTCTTCAATAAGCACGTTTTGCGACGGCGACTTGACGCAGACGCACTCGTCGCGATTCGTGACTGTGATGTGATGTAAATAACAGTTATCTGCGCAGGCCACATCTATCCCATCCGTGCCACCCATATTCGGTCCTCTTATCGTAATATGATACGCCTCCATGTTTGACACAGAGTTAAACACTAAGTGGAAAGTGGGCGAATCGACGAATATGAGGTCGTGGATCGAGATTGATGTGCAGGAGATGAAACGGAAGAGTCGTGCATTTTGTCCAGAGGATGTCAGGCGCGTGATGTAGCCTTGTCCGTTTATGGCACCGAGAGCGTTGGAGGAGAAGACTTCAACGTCTGAGGCGTTCTCGATTACGATTCCGTTTCCGGAGAAGGAACCGTCTGAAGTCAGATTTATGAGACCGTCGATTTGGAGGGCATAGGCCGATCCTTTATTTAGGACGACGCTAGTTTTGACTGCAGATATTTTGTCAGTGGGGAATTAAAAGGTATGGGGATGAGGGGAAGTGTACGGGAGTAGGATCCAGGAGGGATGTAGATTGTTGCGCCGCCCGTGATGGCGCAGGATGAGAACGCTGATTTGATAGCAGGCCCAAGGTCTGTGCTATTATCTGCCACGGCGCCGTAATCAAGAACGTTGCAGATTTTTGTTTTTGAAGAGAGGGGGGTGAGAGCGCCGACGGAGCGTTTGTCGACTAGTGTTGCTGAGGTCAGGGGGGAGAGGAGGAGGGCAGCAAGAGGAACAACAAATAAGAGTTTGGAGAGCATTTTGGAAAACAAGGGTCAGCACCAACTGGAAATAGATCAACGGAAGATATTTACGTTCAAAATATCGTACAGTCGTCTAAGGTAAAGAGCGTAAGGTAGAAGAGGCGTCTCCTGGCGCTGTGGAACAAACAAAGCAACAGCTTGTACTGAGAAAAAGAGAGAGCGAAAAAAAGACAAAGTTATACGCAAGGGCCAACGACTTGCGGAGATTTTGATATAAACATGGAACGAGACAAAGCCCTCCCGTTGTTTGGGAAACATTGAGGGGGTCCGTGGGACGGGGCTGAGGACTTTCTTGCAGGCCTTGACCTGGAGGAGACATGGTTGCCACGAGCCTCACTTTCGTGAAAAGAGCTCCTTTGGGGAAAGTAAAGATGAGTTGTGCAATTAGCAGTGTTTTTATGAGGCCATGCTCCCGAACGGAGGATCGCAGATGTTTCAGATAAAGTTCATCCCTGAGTTGTGGGTTGCTGTCAATCTGCGTCCCTGCTGTGATCTTGGAACTCTTGGGGAATTGAATATCAGTAATTTGAATCAGATAACCTAGCCTCTGTTCTCCTCTTGGAAGCTGAGGAAGGAAAGGAATCGCCTCAGCGACGTGGGCATTTCGTCAATCAGGTGGAAATTTCCTTGCCAATTAAGCTGTTACGAAAATGCGTACAATCGTCAGGAAACAGATCCTCTGAGAATGTGGGGAAATATAGGTCCGAAATTCAATGATGATGAAACGTAGTGCATCGTCAGCGGAAATGAGAGTCAGGGTTTCTCTGCAACAGGGGTTTGATCACATGATCTCGCTTGGACTTCGCACTGCGGGGTAGAAATGACCCCGCAGTCTAATCTTTTCATCTTCATTCATCACAACACCACAAACCATCGCTGAGCAACTGGCTTACCTTGTAAGAGTAGCCTGTTAACAATTACACAATCTTGTTGTCTCTACATCCAATGGACTCTTCATATCTCAGGCAGTAATTGCAAGCATTTATCACTCTAAAGAGCTTAAGCTAACAGGGGTCTCTTGAAAAGGAGGGGAAACCTGTTATGCTTACTACTCTCCCCCCCCTAATTAAATGTAACAGTGGGTCCCCGCGAAACCAGCCTGGCACGGTCCAGTTGCCATACCAAAAAACCCCTGCACTTGGACCCACTGTTACATTTATTTAGGGGGGGGAGAGTATCCCCCCCTTGAATACTTACAGTGGGTCCTTTAGTAACGCCACCCTGAAACCTCGTTTATAACCCCCAACTAGGAAATATCAGGTGCTCTCCAGAATCGCTATTGGCCATACACCCTTGAGTTGGTCAGTGCAGGAGTGGTGTTATCCCAGGACCCACTGTAAGTATTCAAGGGGGGGGGGTAGTAGTCTGCTGATAGCTTGAAGGATTCTCATTTACTACACTGAATTATCACGAAGAAGGTGAAGTGACGCCGAACTGCCAAGAGAAAGGGAGGCTAAGCAACAACAAATTGATAATTCACCACCTCGTGGTAGACAGAAAAGGCGGCATTTGTTTCATTGTCCCAGGCCTAAGTTAGACATTCAGCAGGTCTTTGAGATTGAGCTTTCAACCACTTTAACAATTGAAGATTTCTATAAAAAGAAAGCATAAAAGGCAGACGTTATTGTACCAGAGCTCAAGAGAATATTCGAACCATAAGTGCCTAGAATAATCCAAGCTGATTTGGGACATTAAGTATCTCTGTATAGGGAGAACACCTCGTCTAAAACATTTATGACTTGACAACACAATGCCACTTTTGCGAGCTAATAGACTTCGCGAGTGAACTGAAAGGAGGGTCTGACTTCTTCCTGCGATATTTTCTTTCTTCGCTCAACTCGTCCTTGCGCTCCCCCTCTTCTCCCACAACAGAGAATCATCACTAGGTCCAAGTTGGTTGTTCTGCTTGCAGTAGGAACAATCAAGCCCTCATTGTCGTAGCTATCTGCTCTAACACTCTCAACAGGACAACATGAATACCATCCCTCGACCAAAACCACCCAAGTGCCCAAAGCGCCAAAACGCAGTTCACAATATACCGGAGTGGATTAATACAGAACTAATGACACGTCCAGAGTCTCCATTCCCCATGTTAGTTTTCAATTCTACGAAGAAGACATGGCAGTCGTCAGTTGATCTTGAGAATAACACATGGCTCTACACAACTGATGAACTTCAGGCGGTCCTCGCACGCGTCTTCCCAAAGTACCAATCTTTGACACAAGAGCTGAAGAACAAGATTTAGCTCTGTGCATGGACACAACTAACGGCAGTCGACTGCATATATCGCTGTGATATGAACCAATTTTGGGCTCATGGATCGAAGGAGGCTATTCGAGAGTGCTCTTCTGACATACCCAAAAAGTTCAAGCTCCGACCGATCTACATCACCCCTCGTAATCCTGAGATGAGCTGGGAATGACAGAGCTTGGAGAAGCTTTGGGAATATGGTTTTCTTGGCCGCAACAGGCTACCATAAGAACGAAGAAGGTCAAATTTGTGCCAATCAGCAATCCGATCTACATCTTCCTGACGATATTCTCTATCTTTCCGAAATTGATAGTATTGACGTCAATACCTTCATCAGCGAGAAGGGTAACCACATCACTGAGCATCTGGCCATACACTCCTACACCGCGATGGAACTGGGCAGGACTGCATTCTGGGATTTCCTTTGCGCTGCTCAAGCAGGCACGCTCATTCGCGGTCTTCTCGGACTCGAAACACTTCACATCATTGAGGGCGAGTACGCAGGCGCAAAGAAGTGCCCCCCACACTGGGAAACTATAAGTTGAGCTTGGAGGAGGTCAAGAAAGGTGAGGACCAGGCGATCATCCATCCTTCAGGTGCTATCTACCACAAGATGAAACACGCTTGGAACACTGGAATTGCAGATTACATTAGAAAGGCATTCGAGGAGAAAATTCTAGTGGAGTCGGAGGTTCAGCGATTTGCATCATCTCACAGAGGTTGAACGTGGCGGATTCCGAAGCTGTATTTCCACGAGGTGAAGCGGGAGTTGGTGCGATGAGCTCTTTGGGTTGACCAGCGAGTTCTCGGAACGTTCAAATTCAGTGCCTCCCAAATGTATTGAGAGCTCTTGGAACAATCGATTTCGAGAGCAATACCGCGAAGCTGTGTCATGTAAGAATAGAAGAATAAATTCGCCCGAGTCTCAAGTCTTCGTGCTGCTGATAGCCCGTCTGCGGAATCTGGTCTAGAGGTTCTTAGAGTTTACTCGGTCAAACGACTTCTAGTTCTCATCACAGGGCTTCACTGTCGGGTAGGTGCCATAGCTTGATGTTCATAGGCTTCTTGAAGTGAAATATTCTTGGAATTGTCTTTGATACCCTTTGGGCTCTAAATGTGCTTGAATTACTTTCACATCCGTTTTCTCGTTGGGGGATATCCATCGACCTTTCCCTAATGCACAAGCTCTGTCGGTTCCGCCTTGGTTATCCGCAATTCTGTTGATGTGAAATTTACTGATGTCGGCGCAACGTTGGTGTTGATTTTGCGGCCTGAGAATTAGGTTTCAAGTTTCATCCAGTTGTATTCATAAAGGAGTCTTTGTACGCGTCGTGATGATATTATTATTGGGAGTGCGCCTTGCCTACCAAGCCATGCTCTCCAGCAAGCTAGGAAACCGAGCAGCAAGGCTGGTTCCGTATTCCCGAAGTTAGCCTATTGGTTGGTAGAGAATCAGGGTCAGCGGTGGGAGGCCCTTGCATGCACGTTCCAAGTCACCCAGGCGTTGGAATAAAATTCGCAAAGCCACTTCGATCAGGCAGCAGGACCTCTTTCTTGAATCAGCAACAAACCCGTTCTAAAAGGAGCGACGACACTTCAATCAACTCACTTTGCTTAGTGGTCATGCTTCTCCTCGGCGAGAGAACCCATCGATTTCGGGATACGGCGGAGGTAAACCCCGACCGTTACGCTGTTCTCTCTCACAAATGGGCGCACGATGAGATCACCCTCCAAGATCTGATGTTGCCAAGTATAATATGAAAGGAAGTATATCAGAAGATCGCAGAGACATGTAACTTGGCTCTCGGGAAGAGTCCGAAGTATGTTTGGATTGATACGTGCTGTATCGACAAGTTAAGCAGCGCACAACTTATGGAAACCATCAGCTCGATGTTCGAGCTGTATAATAAAGCAGCAAACTTCTTCGTGTATCTTCAAGATTTTGCCGTATTTGTGGAAAGAAGTATTAAAATTGTATAAGTGGGACATAGGGACTGATCAATCTAGCTATTTATGAGTGGTATCGCTGTATATTCTGGTGCTGCTTGGAAGAGGGACAGAGTTCGGCAAACGCGGATTGAGCCTGAATTTAGCGATTCCTCGCCAGTTGACTTAGGGCCTGTTTCGCACGGACTCACGCAAGTTGAATACCGGGTATTTGTAATATTGAACTCTAGCGTTCAACACTCGATATTGAACGCTGGTATCGGTATAATTTAGACCTGTTTCTCAAAGATACAAATACTCAATAATTATTGTAATTACGGAGGTTTCAGCTTCATCTCCGCTAGCGTTTTCAGCCTCTATTTTCAGCCTCACTAATCTCCCACTTCTCCTTCCCTAATAATTAGCGATTACTCCCTATAATTATAGTGTCTTGAAGCCTGGATTTATTATTAAATGGAAAAGTATTTAATAAAATAATTACGTCTTATATTACTTACTACTAAATAAATTAATTCCAGATTTATTTTACGAGAATCGCAAAATATAAAGCTTCAGAAAGAATTTATGCCCTAGAATCATTATTAAACTGGTCCCAGAATGACATGGTTGCAGTGAAGGAAGGTGTGTAATAAAGCCCACTGTAAAATAGGGCATTTAGGGTGCATATGGTGGCCTAAGGCCGAGAGTTCAACTCCCAGTATTTCCAGAACAACCTACTAGAGGTCGTTCTGAAAATACTGAGATTAGTATGGGGGCAGATACTGGTATTTAAATAGTAGCGTTCAACTCCAGTATCCAAAAAAAAAAAAAGCGAAATACTTTTAATCATAATATTTGGATACCAGTATTACGATATCGGCAGTATCCGAATACTCAAGGGTTGCGAAACAGGCCCTTAGCAAATTGACCCCTTACTGAGGGGGAACAACTGAAACAATGAACCAAACTGCTCACAATAAACCGCTATGATGCGGCCAAACAGTGCGGGAAGAATCTTCCCCCTCACACCTAAGATGACACGGTCTTTAAATCGCCGACTTTACAGTCTCATTGACGGTATCGCCGTATTCTCCTCTCCCGTATCAAAAGTCAACATAATCGTCTGCGACCTTGCTTCCATCACACCACTCGCAACTACTCGGTTTGCACCCTTGAGAGTCGCATGCACAGCGCACACCGTGTCGAGATCTTCTTCCACATCATAGGGGTCGAACTCGCATCGGCAGATCAGGAGAACGTTAACAGGGACCTTCGTTGCCATGCTGGGCTTCAAAACACCGCAGAGAACGTAAGATCATGGTGATGTTGTTTTGAAATCACGGATCTCGCGACGCGCCGATGATGCAACGATCTACATCTTATTTTAACCCATGCACGTGATGGCTTTTATCATACTCCAGAAAGATGTCCAGCAGGCTAAATACCTCCCCAGCCTTTGTCACCATACGGTATGAGTACATGTGTTTAGAGACGCGAATAAGGCCGTACATGTAGCCATTAATCGAAGAGAAAACTCTTAAATCAATCACGTGGTAATTCCTTTGCCAACTTCTTGTTCTTGATTCTCACAGGTGCCTTGGCGTCATTAAAGTGGTTTTGATTCAACTCCACATGTTCGTCGGAGTCCTTAGACTCATTGTGGTCCACCTCAAGCTTTTCCGGCCCTACGAAGGCTTCAGTCGAGAGCTCCTCGTCGTGACCGACATAATAGCCCCGTAAACGTTCCCCGAACAGGCTTGATCGCCCTTTCTCGCAAGAGACCTCACCTCTGTCCCCAGAGTAGTCTTCAGATCTCTTTCTTAGACTTTTTACGCTCGCTCAGTTTGCACCGCGGAGAGTTATGTGAACACTGAGTGCTGTTGAAAGGGAATCATCGTCGCGAAAGTGCCTGAAAGCGCGTTGGTAGACAAGGAAGATGGCAACTGCCGGCTTTGCTATGGTTCAGATTATCAGATAGGAGAGGAGTTGTAGGTACTGTGGTGGATGTTTCTCCTTCAACTATGGTAATGCTCTGAAGATTTGACTTCGCAAACAAATGTGAGGCGGATCCGCTTTTAATGTGAGCACGTGATCACTCACAATAATCATATCGCGAGAACTAGAGTAGAAATCGGATGATTGGAAGACTTCTCCCAATTTATCAAATACGATTTTTTTTAAGACAGGAATGCATACCATGAGGTCTCAGGGCAGGTACATAAGGAGGTAGTCAGTGAGATCACGTGCCATTATCCCAGCTCAGCCAGGCTGCTACCTAAGCGAGAGCTTTGCAAGACACACCTTTCAAGTTTCTCCTTCAAACAATTTTGCTCGTCTCTCTTCTGGTTACAACCAGAGTCTGGAAAAGCGGAAACGACCCCTACTCCTTCAAATTCGAGAAAGTGGCCCGATGTCACCGCAAAATGGTACTCAGTTCAGATAGGGATTAATCTCACAGAGTCATTTTCACATCTTGGGTTGCGAGAGGCGACCTGAACCACGCGAATAGTCACACGCCACCATCACGAGTCCACAACCTGCAGATCGCCCTGTGAGTCTGTGTGCTCTCCGGGCGGCACAGAATCGAGATTCTCATCCCAACAGGGAACCGGTTACCTGTTCAACTTGTCGGTTGTCAACACATCTTGCTTTCTATTGTGCAGTCCCTGACGAGTCGCGGGGCACAATGCTGCACTGAGCGCTGAGCCTTCCATATTTTGCGATGTGTCCATGTTTTCGAAATATATATCTTATCCTGAGGAGTCACCCCACTGGGGGTCTTTATCTTCTCAGTCTCCGAATTTACAGTCTCTTATCGTGTGTTCTTTTCAAGTCTGTTGATTGATGGGGTTTCACGAGACGCGGTCTTCCCGCCCCTCTTCTATGCGGGGTGTGTTTGTGTGACCGACGCGCCAGCCCTGCAGCAGTCGGTGAGCTAGCCACCTCACCGCCCTCACCTTTATTCGGACAAACAACCTGACCTCTCTGCGCAAGTTCATGCAGGTTATCCCTCTTTGGGCTCTCTGCTTGGCTTCGTGTTGGCTGCCAGAGATCTCCTCGCCGTCTTCTCTGTTGATCAGGTGAAATATTCGTGTGGCTTGCGTCGTGGCTGCCAGCTGAGCCTGCCAGCAGCACACATGCACGAGATCCGAATTCTGCCATCCCGATGATACAATTATTGGCTTCATGAGACGTTTGCAGAGAAGATGGCTTGGCTTTGCATTAGTCAATGCAGAGTTGCCAATTGCCTGACTTTGAAATGTTTTCAGGTTCAAAGCTTGGCAATTCCCCAAGACTTTCTTCAGCCTCTAGGGTCAGGTATCGTCAGGTCACCTTCAACTTTACTACAAAGATCGCCAGTTTGGTTTTAATGATTCGCGAGTGTGATATTTGGATGAAATTGTGCTGAAAGTGTCAGCAATGGTCCCCAAGATTTTCTTGATATGGCTCGCCATATTCGCGCAAGTATCACTACAATGGGGCCCGCATCCGCTAGAGAGTTCCCTACCAGCGACAAGTCCTTCGTATGGGCATTATTCGGAATTTAACACTCCCTGCGAGGAATCAGAAACGGCTGCAAAGTCCTCGCCGACTTCGTGGGGAACTCCCTCAACTCCAGGATGCCCTACTCTGTCAATCACGGAATACCGAACAATATATATCACGACTCAGATAATAGAGACTGATACTATTAACGGGCCTCCTGTGACCATCACAACCACAGAATCAGGTACATGCTTCACTGGCACTGCAGTAATCACTTATCGCGATACTGTGCTGGTCACAAAAACTCTTCCAGGTTACACCATTACGACAACTAGTGTAAGCACGCTTACCACGTTTGCTTGCCAAGCTGGAACGACTTATGTGACGAACAATAACTATGGTACGTTGATTTTGTTTGAAGTATTCAATATCATCCATTTTCCTGTTCAACTTTTACATCATTGGAACATGCTCATATTATCAACAGGAAACTTTACTACAACTGTAGAATATTGCCACTCAGGCTCGCACTCAGGCTCACATTCAAGGTCCCATTCATGTCCAACATTGCCATCTTCATGTCCCACGCTTCCAACGGCATGTGCAACCGTCACCAGCATATCTGATATTTTCAGCACCACGACAGTTACCCAGAGTCAGAGCGTGAGTTGCGCCACTTCGTGCGCAACAACGTGTTCACCAACAACTGTCTACACCTGCTCGACGACCGGATCATCGTTCTCAAGCACGAGTGGTAGCACCACTTGTTCACCAACAACTGTCTACACCTGCTCGACGACCGGATCATCATTCTCAAGCATGAGTGGCAGCACCACTTGTTCACCAACAACTGTCTACTCCTGCACAATCACAAGTAGCAGCAGCACAAACTCATGCGGAACCTGCACACTCTGCCCCACGATTTCCCTGAACACAACAACCACCTCAACCTGCACAGGATCAACCTGCTTGCAAACCGCATCATCTACCCTTCCCCCTCCAGATCCCCAATGCCACGACTGGTTTGTGCTCTTCGTCCTCTTCGTAATCCTGTTCATTATCACCTTCTTGTTCCTGTGCGGACTTGCATTTTGGCATTGGAGATTGAGACGCCATTGCCGCTGCATTGTGTGCTCGTTTATGGCGTATGACTGCACTTGTGCTGCGGGACCAACGTTGCCATATGGCGGGGCTCCTGCTCCTGCTCCCGCTCCCGCTCCCGGTCCCGCTCCGGCCCCTGCTCCTGGGCCTGGAGGTGATGGGGACGGTGGAGGATATGGAGGGGCATCTTGAACTCAATGACTTATATGTAGTTTCTTTCTCAAATCCTAGATAGCTTCGATAGCTTCGTCAAACAGTGTTGAGAAGGGTATTTCGGTAGTTAAGCTAATACCGCGGAGGAGTTTTCTTACGATATTTCACGGTTCATGATGCCACGGTCGGTCGAGTGCTATATTGTTCCTAGGCTATGTAGTAAATAATAATGAATAATGTTGTGAAAGCCCCCGCACTAACGGTCATTCAGATATCTTGTATACGAAGGTGACGGGCGTTAAAAATCGTCCATCTGCAGAGTGCGCGCGAGAACATTAAAATCGCCTTGTGCGGAAAGTCGCACTAATCCCTAACGCAATGCCAAAAACTTTCTATAAGAGTTTCATATAATAGAAAAATAGCACGTTAATCTTTTCCGAGATTTTTATAACGATTAAATTTAGGGAGATTGCGAGACATTTATAACTACGCAGCCACTAGGCTGCCCAAATCCTCGCTTAGCGAGTTAACGGATTTTAATGCCTGCCGCCTTCGTACTTCCGAGGAAATTGAAATGCCAAACACGTGACACCAGGTCATCGAAGCACCCCGCGTGTGCTTATCGGTCGGACAGTTCACAGAAAATCTTTTATCCTACACACTATTAATCTTCCCATGGTTTCCCGTTATCTCTGGAGAATACTGTCATCAGACGAGAAGAAGTTTGAATCTCGAATCGCAGCTCTGACTTTCAGCCCTATCTCCTCGCAGGCAGAGGGGCTGACTCGCTAAATTTGCAGGCCGGCGATCGCCAATTTCAGGGGCATTCATGCTTATCATGTACTTGGGCAAGGCCACGTTCAGTAATTTGATGGTTCAGGTACAGTGACTCCCTTTCCTTTGTCATGTTGACCTCTTGCTGAATCGAGACACTTACTTGTCTCTCAAAGATCTGATACTGTTCCTGATTTCAGTTAACTACATTTTCTTTTCCAAAGTTCTCGAGATGGTAATATTCCAAGGCCCAGCTTTGGGGGGGGGCAATAGTTGTCTTTGCCTGGCAACGTCCTATTGGTGAAATAGGCACTGATCTTGGAAAATGAGCAACTATTATTGCGTCCTAAGATGCTTTGCTATAGTTATCGTGTCAGCATTGTCACGGAAGATAGCTTTAAAAACATAGAGACTGGGAGCTCAAGCTTTCCTCGGTTACTTCCTGGTCCTCCAGGATTGAACAGAATCATTCCCTTGTAAGGAGTACTTGTGGCAGGACACCTAACAAGTAGGATAGACGAATGGCTGCCATTTGGGTTCAAGTAGTCTAGCGGGACCTGATAGATGTCAGCAAATGCTGCGAGAACAGAATTCATGCCTAAGCAAAACCTTTCATCAAGCCTCGAACAAAAGTAGCACTTAAAACAGGGTGACTAGGTGAGATTGATTGTTTGAGATAGGCTTAAAGCTAAGAGTCTTTCTAAATCAGTTTCTCTAGTCAATTGAATATCGAAATTTGAAGACTAGTGTATTGCAAGTGGGGAACAGATTATAACTCATGGTGTGGACATATTGCTACCCACACAAACTCCTAACACTCGAACACTCGGGATATGCACTATTTTATTCACCATTCCCGACACAACTTCTCAGATATGTGTATTCCCATTCGCAGCTGGTAAAACGCCAAATTGCCATAGCCCCAATACAACAAACGGCAATTCGGTTGAATTACAAAGAAAAAAGCTCCCATTGGTTCATCAGAAACGCTGAACGCTGATTTGGACATAGAATCATTCTCCCTGTCCGCCTACGGCGCACGATTGTATTACCAATAGTCTTGTCAAGAGGTTCTAAGCCTTCTGCTAAATAATTGTGACTGAGCCTCGCTTCCCCGCCCCTTTTGCATAGCCGAGAAGTGGACATTACCCCTTGCTGTCTATTCCACTTTGAGCCATAATGCAAAATAAATTATTGGGGAGCAGATTTTCTTAGGCGCACAAATTTTGCCCCTTCGGTCCTCTTGGAGGAGGCAGCTGACTTCTTGAGGAGATCCTGCCCAGGTATATATCAAGAATCACGCGATTGTGCTACTGAAGTCGTGGCCTGCATGCACAAGTCGAAAGACTCGAGAAAGGACAGCACACGAATTCGGAACTGCAAAAACTCTGGAGTAGTTCTTGATGGGTGAGAATGCTTCAACACCCAAAAATGGAACATCAAAGGTTGTCAAGTTGAACGGTCTCGGGCTGCCTGCCATATCGGTTAATTTCGAAATGCTCCTGGAACACTTCAAAAGCCTTTGGCTACCACAGGCCCTATGCGTTTAAACCGCTTAATGGACATGGCTGAAAACAAAGATAGTAATTTTAGAGGGGAGCAAGAGATAACAGACTATTGAGGAAGTGTTGGAAATTTGAAGTGTTCCCAGTGAAGGGTGGCAAGCAACTTTGTGCCCCAGCGGCATATTAACAAGTACATGGTGTCATGTTAACCACAGTATTACAAAGAATTCCCCACTAAATTTCCCGTCCTCCTCCGGCTGCTGGTATGGCTCTATTTTGCTCCTTAGACTTCCGTCTCTGCATGTGCAACATGGCTAAATTTCTCGCTCATTACCGCCGCGGCTCCATCCGGATCCTCCAGCGCGTGTGGTACCAGCTGATCTCCGAACAACTCATCAATCTGCTCTAGCGTCTTCCCCTTCGTCTCAGGATACAAGAAAATATAGCAAACAGTAGCTACAATATTGAAAGCAAAGAAGAAATAGAAGAATTTGAAACCGATATTTGCCAAAGCAATCGGAGCCGTCTGTGCGAAGAGAAGGTTCAAGCACCAATTTGTTAGTGTTGAGATCGAATTTCCTCTAGCGCGGATTTCCATAGGAAATACTTCTGCAGGGTAGACCCATGTAATGATTCCGGTGAAGGTGAAGAAGAAGGAGAACACGAGGTTCATGGCTACCATCGCACGCAGGGCGTTGCCGTCCGAAGTCTGCTCTCCAGATTTGACGACGTAGTATTGAGAAAGAACAGCATTAACCACGAGCGCAAGGGCCATGCCGACTGCCGAGAAGATGAGAGGTTTGACACGTCCGACCTTGTCAAGTAAATAGAGACCGGCGGTGCAGTAACAAATCGAGAGGGCTCCAGAGATACCAACGATCATGAGAGATGTGCCAGTGCCGATGCCAAGGAGCTTATAAATGATGTTTCCATAATAGTTGATGACCTATAGTATTTTAGCCCAACATGTATTAGAGCAAGGGGTCGGGTGCACTTACATTGATGCCAGACAATTGACCAAAGGCTTGTAGCCCACATCCCAATAACAATCGCTTTCGCCAGCTAGGCTTCGAGAATAACGCTGCCCAACTGTCGACCTGAAGAGTCTTCTCAGCCACGATGGTGTCTCGAATCTCGCGAAATTCCAGGTCGAGGAACTCAGCATTCGATCCATTGCCATGGAGTTTGGTCAACACTACACGAGCCTCCTCATGTCGGTCTTGTTCAATGAGCCAGCGAGGGCTTTCCTGGAGGAACCAAATACCGGCGGCGATGACGAGTCCAGGAACGACTTGAAAAGCAAGGGGGAAGCGCCCTGAGCCTCAGATCAGCTACTTTCTCAGACCGATTATGCGGGCTACGCTTACATTGGAAGTCACTGTTCACCTTAAAGCACCCGTAGCCGAGCCATTGTGCAACAAGGAAGCCCCATGACAGCATCCACTGAAGCAGACCACTGAGCTTTCCACGGTCTTGAGAAGTGGCGATTTCGGACTGAGCCTCGAGTCAGCGAACTCCGAAGGTAACTCGGAGGAGGGGCTTACACAATACATTGGAACAACAGCAGAGAGCAAGCCGACAGAAATGCCAGCAATAAATCGGCCAGCGATCATCATTGGTATGTTCCTCGCACCACCTTGAAGAGCACAGCCGAAGACGGATATGCAAGCGCCGATGAAGACGGTCATCCTTCGACCCAACTTGTCGGGTAGCCACGCAACCGAGAGAGCTCCTGGAATAGCGCCCCCCGTGAAGGAAGAGACTATCCCACCCGTTTGGGATGAGCTTGGCGTGCCCATGTAAGCCTCGAAATATGGCTGGACGATCGTGGAGGAAATGATACCGCTGTCATAGCCGAAGAGAAAACCTCGACATCCAGTCAGTAAAAAGTTTCATCGTGGGTCAGAACACCTTACCTCCAATGGCCAAGAAGACGGCCGTGGCACCAGTATATCCCCTACCCATTATGATGATTGCCTTTTCCGATGATTTTGTTGTTGGCTGGATCGTTGATGACTTGTACACCGTTGTCGAGAGCAATTGCTGGTATATAGGCTGTGGAGAGAAGACTCCTAAGACAGAATTCTAGACTATCTATACACTTTTATGGTCAGTTTTCTCGGACTGGATTCTCACGAGCTCGGTGTTCCCCGTCCACTGCTTCTCCAAGCAGTCCACCCCCACTCTCTTTCGAGTCGGGGCTTGACCCACCAGAGCCCTGAGATCCTTCTTAGCTTTGCCACTTGAAGAATGGGTGATGGGGTTGACCAGAGCGGGGAAAGTCATGAGCGGGGCGGAATATTGGATTGGTAGCGCCTCCGGGGAGGAATCTGCAGGACACCTCGGGTAATCGTGTTTGCGCAGTGGGTTGGCGGGCCTTCACTCGGTCGCCTCTGCCCCGAACCAGCGATGGCATATGACATCGGCACAACGCGAAAATCTTTGGCGTGTCTTGTGGGGGATAAAGATTCAAAAGATGCCAGGCTCGGGTTATCCAAACAACGCCTTTGACCGCCTCCGTATCTTCTCTCCCTCGATTGTTGATGACTCGAGCACAACATTGCGCTAACTTAATTCTTCAAGCCATCGCTGGAACAACGGCCGAGCGGGTTCCTCGGCACACACACCAACTTCGTGTGTTCCCATTTCCGCGAAAGTTGCCCCTTTATGACCTATCATACATGTTGGCCAGGCCTTGGTGGGAACAAAGTAAAATTTCACAGAATATTCCATAGATACTGAGAATTGACCTCTCCCAGGATCCATAAAGCTCCAAAGACAACCAGTCCAAACTCAGCACAGCTCATCAACTCTCCACATTGACCTTGTCGACTCTCTTTAAGCCAAATCAGAATCATGGCAGAAACGGAAGTAGTGGGTGTCCCGGCAAACCAGAAAGTTGAAAGGGTGCTCAAGACAGTTCGCAATGAGACGTTTGCCCAGAAAGCCGAAGCTTTGAAGCCCAAACTCCACGAATGGGTCGATCATCCCTTGTCCGTCGTCGAATTCCAGCCAGATCCAGAAGCTTTCTTCAAGTGCACGCCAGTACGGACACATACGATTGAAGAATTGTCAACCTTGTCTTATGGGAAAGGCGACGAAGTAATCCTCGACTTCGGATCTCATCGCGTTGGATATCTCTCCTTCCACGTCGGTGTCGAAGGCGTGAATGTTGATGCTCCAGCCAGACTACGGCTCACTTTCGGGGAGATCCCTTACGATGTCACCGAGAACCTGCATCCATGTGAAACTTGGATCAGTACCAGCTGGCTTCCGGACGAGGTCATCAACGTGGACTGGCTTCCCACGGATGTTGATATGCCGCGACGATATTCCTTCCGCTATCTCAAAATCGAAGTCATCGACACTTCACCGAAGTACAAGGTCCGATTTCTGGACATCAAAGTTCGAGCCGTGAGCGCTATCTCTCCACTGGTGGCAGCAGGAGTACCAAAACTCGAGGGCAATGATGACGAGCTGATCGGTATTGACCGAATCAGTCAAGTCACCTTGAGAGACTGCATGCAAACAGTTTTTGAGGACGGACCTCGACGCGATCGAAGAGTATGGCTTGGCGACCTTCGGCTTCAGGCTTTGGCAAACTATTGCACCTTCAAAGACTACGATCTTGTGAAACGCTGCCTGTATCTCTTTGCTGCTCTGCCACGAGAAGACGGAAGCCTTCCGGCCTGTCTGTTCGAGAAACCAAAGCTCTCGCCAGCCTCAGACTACATTGTCGACTACGATTCATTGTTTGGACCGATTGTGTATGATTATGCCGTTGCTTCAGGAGATCTCGAAACGGCCGTTGAACTGTGGCCCACCATACTCGGCAGCATGAAGATAGCATTGGCACATCTCGATGAGAATGGGAGGTTCACCTCCGATGCCGCTGCGGGGTGGAAGTTCCTGGACTGGTCAGATGGCCTCGAGACTGATGCTGGGATGCATGGACTGGTACTGTTCTGCTGCAAAGAGATCAATAGGCTTGCGACACTGATCGGGAAACCTGTGCCATTCGCAGAAGTTGTGTCAAAAATGATTGTTGGAGCATCATCGTTTTATGACGACTCTCTCGGAGTCTTCGTGAGCGGTCCGGCTCGTCAAGTTTCCTGGTCCAGCCAAGCATGGCTTGGACTGGCCGGCGCGATGGACCCTCAAATATGTTTGAAAGCTATCACTACCGCCATGGCAGATCCTAAAGCAGTGAAGCCACTCACTCCTTATGCATACCACCATGTTGCAGAAAGTCTCGCTCGGAACGGAGGGGATGAACAATGTTTGAGGCTGATGAGGGAATATTGGGGTGGGATGGTAAGAGCTGGTGCAGACACTTTTTGGGAATGCTTTGACGCCGAGGACTCGAGGAGAAGTCCGTATGGTGATTGCCACAACAACAGCTACTGTCACGCGTGGAGTTGCACGCCCAGCTATCTGTTGAGGGTAGTATTGAAGGATTTTCTTGCCGGAACTTAAACATACCTCTCACGCCGGGGCCCGGGGGGCACACCTGTAAGCCGTGAGATGAGCACCGAAAGTATGATCAAGGCAGATTTGAAAGCGTCCAACTATTCATCTGACTCTCCATCACATGGAGGGAAGAGTTTCAGCCATTTCTCGAGAAATCCCAAGATTTGTGGTACATGCTCTGAAAACGGGGTCAAGAAAATCAATCTTGAAGGATTTGCTCTTCACTTGAAGAAAATTGTAATTGATCTTGTCACCGGAGGTTGCGAAGATAGATTAGAAATCACGTTCGCAAAAGATAGGACATTTGTGATCTCATTAGGATTATCGCATGCACAGTTATGACAGTGTAATATATCCTCCACGTGATTTTGGGGATCCTTGGTCAGACAAAGACTCTCTTCACCTCAACTTTCTGGCCTGGAAGGAACATGAAGTCAGTATTCTTCTGTCAGTCTACCATTCGAGAGCATGGGAGATTGCTCCGTCTCGAGTTGCGCATTGAATCTCGAGTTGAAGCCAAGCAAAATGAATCAAATTGAACTTGGACTCTGGGAAAACAGGTATTGCAGTTTGATCTTACATGAGGGGTTCTCTGGCGATTGGGTTCCAATTACCCACGCTAAAGTCGTATAAAGATATGTATCCTGGGTCGTGCAAGCGTACCACCTTTGCAGTGGCTTAGAACCGAACCTAGAAAGTTGTTAAGCAAATGTCTTTCACTTGGCGGTTGTTCCTCACTTTGGTGGCACTACGGTGTCATCGTAATATTGTGGGATGAAAAGCATGTTGTCATTGTCGAACCCAATCGAGGTAAATTGAGACCCAGGCGTGAAGAGCGGGACCGCGACATTGCTAGTGAGACTGGTGCTGATGCTCATAGGCGACGAGAGGTTGAAATTGCCACCGCGGAGCTCCCAAGTCTGTGGCGAAGTCAGCTCGGGAATCTTCAGGATCGAGAGAAAATCGGAATAAATATAGGGCGGTTTGTAGAACAATCAGAAGAATGGATGTTCCACATCTTGTGGGTCGTTCGGTGGGAGAGGAAATCCTCTCCAATGTACCAAAACTCGAGGAAGATTGAGTGGAGAGGGGCACGTACCAGCAGACCAGTGATCCCGAAAACAGGATCGGGCGTTTGCTTCGATGTGTAGTTGAAGGTGAACTGATTGTACGAAGCGGATGCATTTCCGCCAATGCTGGGACAGAGGCCCTCGATTGCAGCACCTTCATGACACGCGCCCAGCAGAGCGCCATTCAGGGTCGCATTAGAAGAACAGAGGATGAGGTTGAAGGGAGCTGATTGGTTCGTGTATTGCGCAACGACTTGAGAAGCCCCGAGGACAAGGACGAGTGATAGGATGGATGCTTGCATGGTGGACCTTCTAGGATTGATGGAGGAATGTCCTAGGAATTGCTAGAATTTTGCAATAGGTGATGGAGCAGAGTTCTAGGAATTGATACAACGACGAACTTGGAGGGTGGATAGGATGCAGGTGTTATGAAGGCGAGCTGACGATGAACTGAAGGAACGGTCATCCTACTTTATACTTGGCTTGAGAATGGCAGGAACATGTGAGGGAGGCCGCGATGGGAGTATGCGAGGTATGGATCGTCATGACGTGAAGAAAAATCTCGTATTCGAATCAACCGGCTTTGAGATTAACACGAAGGCAAAGTTTCGAGCTTCTTTCACAATGTAACGTTTGCCAGCACTTTTTGAGACTGGTGCCATTACAAAATCGTCGAAAGCCTCACTGTGAAACAGATTGTGGTCGTTTGAGTAACCTTCCACACAAGAAACCGTCCTATCGGCTTTCAAATGGCGCAGTGACGTGCAGCCAGCACTGCAAGTTTATTTTCGGGCCTTTGCGCCTGAATCTGGGGTCAGAAGTGCATCGCTTGAGGCAAACAACCTGGAGATCCAATAGAAAACTTGTGGGCGGAGGGGAAAGGTATGGCCCCGATAGCGTGTGTCGGCAGCCGGCTGATGCAGCAGGGACATCGGCGATCGGGTGACAATGGCACCAGGTGCTGCAGATACGACCCAGATCTCAACACCCGTCCGTTATGACCCGATTCTACTCCTAGAATAGGAAAAGATACCTCGAATTCTTGTCAACGAAGCCCAAGCAAAAAGGTGGCCGATTCCATTTCGAATTTCAACAAAGCCGGTGAACACTGTTGACAGCGCTAGGGCGGTGTGCTGTACATGTCAGCAACATCAAGCTGGCTAGATATACGAACATGATTGATTATACAAATGCACGCAAAAAGTGGCTGAGCAAAATCTCATGAACACTAGAGTTGATCTTTCCTTTGGTATAATGCTCCAATTGTTCGGTGTGGCTCCTGGCGTTGACATTCCAAGTGTTGAAACGTCGCAGTGGGTCCCGTAGGGCTCATAGAGGTCTGACAACCTCAGAACCACCTGGGGCCCAGTTTCTCCGTCTCCAACATGACATGAGATTTATACGCTCCCGCAACCTTCAAGCTCCGAAATCATCTCTGCTCCGACCTTTCGCTGGTCGAATAGCCAACGAGAACAATTTCGAACAAGGTGGCACAGCAATAGCAGGACAAAGATGTGCCGTCCCAGTCGGTGAGCCCGCTCCGTATTGCGGCTCTCATTCTTGTATGACGCCAAAATAGGCCGCAGGTGGAAATCTTTGTATTCCAGCTCGCTGTGGAGGATCGCAACGTTGGCGCTTGGAGTCGAGCAACGGAATAAGTATTCGCCCACACCATCCGAAAAGCTATACAGAGCTTCGAATTATTGTAGGATCCGGAAGGTCAGACGGCCTTATGCAGCTGGTTGTTGGATATTCTTGATGACTGGCAGACTGGTTCGGCGTTGAATGGTAATTGCGACAAGAGTCAATTTGCGACTTAATTGCCTGCATAATGTCAGAAGCTTCGTTGAGAGATCGGCAACTCATTATATAGAATACATACATTTGATTCTGACAGGCAGTCTTCAGATCGACTTCAAGCAACGTCTTTCCGACGTTTTCACAGAGCTACATGTCATTGTTGCACCAGCCGCTTCCTTACCTTCTTTGCACCACTGAAGATCAAATATTTGAAGCATAATGCCTTCAGCGGCGGTCGTATTTCTTCGCCAGAGGGCGTGGTAGTCATCATTGTTGCACTGAGAAGAGTCGTTGCTTGATGTCCGAGACGCGCTCTTCGAATTTCGGGGTTTAGCTCGCAGCACGTGACCGGATCTAGCCCCTTTCTTACCCCATTCTTAGAGCGAAGGAGATAAGCGAAGAGGGACTCGGACTACACACCTTCAAGCCAGTGAAGTGGGTGATGCTTCAACTTAGTAGCTTCGTCTTGCCCAGTTCGAGCTGTTGAAATTCTCTGCTCTTGTGCAAGAGATTACCAAGCCAACTCTCCTGGAAAGCACGTTTACACATGCTCGAAAGAGTGAAAAGTTCGAAACCTCCCAGCCACGACACATTCAAATATATATATTGAAGTGCAAGGGTTAGCAATCGGAGAAATCTTGCAAGTCTTTCAAACCCAGTTTTGAACAGGTGATGAGAGGGTCTCAAAGATAAATAATACATTGACGAAGGTCAGGAGATCAGTACCTTGTGGGTAATCACGGACCGGATGTTGGTGATGAACTATTGGAGATGTCTTGAAAAAATTCTCGTCTATGAGCCTCTCATTCTAGAAAACTCCAGAACCCACGTCTACTTCTGATCCTCGCCATTTCGGTCTTATTTCAGTCCCATATTCATTGGACCCGGACCTTCTCCGTACGACAGTAAGCGCACCGTGGATCCCCACAACCTGGACACGATTCTGTCATAATCCCAATCCCAGTCTCTCCGCAGGCACACTGGAGTGCGTGTTAGCCTTGCTTGAGTCTTAAGAACTGGTTCATGTGAAGCTGGACAACTCACACAGTGCCAGATATAGACATATCTCTTCCCTCTTCCCGGAGGCTACCAAAGTCTTAGAACACGAAACCCGAAGGGAGTAGAAGATGAATATGCTTACCCTCTGTGACAACGAATTGATAGGAGGCCATGTCTCAACCTCGGTATTAGGTAGAAGTGCAGCTTTGATGTCGTCCCGATCATGTGCCGCGTGTGCACGCGCACCAGAACATGAGGTACGCTTGATCCGTACCATCGAAAGCCGGAAATTGTCCATCCCGCGCTTCGATTGAGGTGAGATTGGTGAGTCGAGCCAATTGCTAATCTTCTCTGCAAGTGTCTGGAAAAATTAGTTAGGAAGAGAAAACGAAACTCTGAGATGAACCGGGGTAGGCAAATAAATACACACTTCTATCATTTGCAGAAGGTCAAAGAGAGGAATAGTTCCTTCCACCGTACTCATCGGAGGATAGATCTGATAATAAAGCCTCTTATTGTGCTTTCTGGAAGTCTGGAAGTGTTCCCATAGGATACTCTTCTTTCTCGACTGCAGGACTGGCTTTAGCGAAGGCTGCGAAGCACCGCCACGGTTGAAGTTCGGCAACTGGAACATCTTGACATATACTCAGGAGCTATCCCGCTGAGGTTAATTCCATCTGGAGGGCTGCTTGAGCTACTGGCGCTTGATCTCCACTCATCTACGTCCACACTACATCACAAATTGGCTATTCCTCTGGGTTCCACACCTCCTCCCTCCCCCTAGTAGACGCCCGTCTAATTAAAGAAATACCCTAGGGATGAACTACTAGCTCATCGCTGCCCCTATTACTATACGTTGGTGAAGTTAGCAAACTACTAGCGGCTGTAGGCGGTACTTAACCCGTGTTGGTTACTGCCATCAGCAACCCTTCTTAATGCGAACGGTAAGAAAAGCGCGTGACGAGCAACGCCCTTCTTTCTTTCCAATTTCATTGCGCCACAAGGTTTTTGACAAGGAGTACGGAGTTGAGTTTGCGGTGATTTGCACTACTCAAAATCCTTTTCATTGGACGGTCGTGGAAATGATAGTTCAGAGCACAAGTGGTTCGTTCTTCACCTCCAAACCAGCACAGCTTTGATGACCTTCCCGCTCAGCACATTCTTTACAGCAGTGTTCATATCCTCAGCTGGATACTTCACAATCAGATCCGTGAAGGGGAACTTTCCTCCACGCCATGCTTCCACCAGCATAGGAATGAATTCTTGAGGGTAGCAACTGCCCATCGCACACCCCACATATTGTCTTCCAGCATTCACGTGATGAAAAATACAAACTGGTGCCTCCGCAGTCAACTACTTGAGCTCACGTTAGCGAGACCTAATAAAACTTTTCATTCTCATAATGATAGAAATGCACTTGCCACTCCAACTCCAACTTGAACAACGATCCCCCTCTTCGCCGTCGCTTCCAGAAGGGTTTTGACAACTTCCGCTCGTCCAGTCGTATCAATAGTTCCATCAATCCCCTTCTCATCCGAGACACTCATCAACGCAGTTTTGAGATTATCGACTTGTCGAGAATTGATAAAATCTGTAGCTCCATATTTCTTAGCTAGTTCGAGGCGTTCGGGAACAACATCAACCGCAATGATCTTTGTGGGTGGTGATGGTAGCAGTTTCAGTGCCATCAACGCAGCTAAACCGACTGCACCAACTCCAACAATGCAGACGATGGAGTCTGAGATTGGTTTAACAACGTTGAGCATAGCTGTACATTTATTACTATGGATGAACTCAGCAGATTCAAGTTGACTTACCTCCAGCGCCAGTCATAATCCCACATCCAAGCGGGGCAAGGGAATCTAGAGAAATGTCTTTCCCAACTTTGACTACACTCCTTGCCTTTACGACAGCATACTTGGAGAAGCTGCTCTGTCCAAAGAAGTGCGAGGCTACGGTCCCATCTTTCGTTGAGAAAGATTTCGACCCATCATGCCTTCGAAATCCAAAGTTGTCCCTTTCAAAGTCGTAGCAATATGACGTTTCTTTCTTGAGGCAATACTTGCATTCACCGCAGCAGGAATAGGTGAGGATGACATGATCTCCACGAGCGGTGTTGTTGACTTTTGGACCTATGTTGACAATGATTCCGGCGCCTGGGATCGTTAGCTACCGATGATAAACGGAGAATGTTCTCGATATCCCACCTTCGTGACCGAAGACAGCTGGGAATAATCCAGGAATTGTTTTCTCTTTGGAGAAATTCAAGTCCGTATGACAAACGCCTGTAGCCTTCATCTCCACGAGAACTTCATCGTCTCGAATATTGTCATCGACATTGATTTCTTGGTAGCGGAACGGCGCTCCTACCTCCCTAACCAATAGTGCTTCCGTAATCATCGCAGGAAACTGAAGATGACGAAGTCACGAAAATGTGTTAATGCTCTCCGGGATAATGGGAACGTCCTTTATAGGTTATCGGATGCTGTATTTGATTTCCAACTGATGAAGAGCGTTGATATTGACCGATTCCAGTGTCATTCAGCTCCTAAGTGGGGATAGTAGCTGGAAACTACTATGGCTATTGTTAGATTTTTGCGAGGAACTTGAAAATGAAAGATTGACTACAGTTTCTTTCGCGTTCGATCGGCAAACATGACCCCACTACAGTTTGGTTTTGGGGGGGGGGGCGTGGGGGCGGGGGTTTCCCGAGTGCGGGGTAAAAAGTTACGAGGACCCCACTATCCTGTCGCGATCGTGGCATCGTGCAGTTGTGTCCCGAAGTTTTGTTCACGGAGGTTTTCTCCTTGTATAAAGTACAATGTGAAATCGCAGTTAAAGTATTATACTGGTGAGACATTTCCCCTGCTCGAAGAGACCCCCGTCCCAAAATTTTCTTGCTCTATTGCGACACCACGATCTAGATCTGTTCTACCCCTGTTCAGATGAGTATCTAAACGGCATCAGACCCACATGCAGGTTCCACACCCCCACTTACTTCTGCATGGTGTTGTTCTAACACCTTCTTCAACTTCGTCAAGAGAAATTGACCATGACACAAAGTCCATCTCTTCATAAGCCATTGGATTACGAATATTGCAGACACCATAATTATCATTGTGATTACGAACCACCGAAAGGTGAGCTCAAAAGGAATCACGGATGGTTGCATTGAGAACATGCCTACGGATAAGGAATACGGACACAATACCTAGAATTTTGACTTGAGTTAGTATAGACTGTTCGATGGCAAGGGATCTTCTGTGCGCACCCAAATTGTGAACTTTGACATGAATGCAGAGGTTTCTGTGGCCGCGTTTCCCTCAAGAGACAATAAAAGTTTCAGCTGAATATTCAGTCAGTGAGTTTCTCTACCAGGGCAGAATGGCACGAAAGCCAGAGTTCCTCTTACCGTGCTGAGATCACTCGATAACGTTTCTTTGAGTGAAAGAAGCTTCTGCCGGTTATTTTCCAGTCTCCTGAAAGCTCGCTTAATGCTTCGCAGCGATTGTCCTGCTGCACGAAATTCGGGTGAGTTGCTTGGAAATCTGTCGAGATCAGAGAAGTATCCCCAATCCCCGTCTTGAGAGAGGAACGTATCCCATTCGTGGATGATGCCAAAAAGTACGCCGAGGAGTTCAGTCACCAAGACCATCCTCTGACGAGTCCACTGGAAAGAAGCGTTCATATCTCCAGTCCGTCCAGACGAGTTTCGAAGAGTTTTAGACGAAGTGAATGACTGCAATTGTTTCTGATCGAGACATCAGCACGGCAATTTGAAAGTACGAGATTATTCAACTTTAAAAATGAAACAACGTACGTTTTCATTTCTGTCGAGCTGTAGCATATAGACCAATTCATCCCACTCTTCCCTCACCTTCTTTATTCTGATCTCTAAAGCCTTTATGAAGTACTCCCGTGGTCTCCAAATGGGCTTGTTTGCGTCGAGACCATATGCAATTGGATCTTCTACGAATACAACTTCATTATCGTAAACTGCAGCGTCCTTATCCGTGGTATCGCCTTCCTCCATCTCATACTCAGTGTCCTCAAAAGCCCAAGCGGTCCACTGCCACTCATCAGATCCATGAATAACGCAAGAAACCTGTGCCTTGTGTAGACGATAATTATCTTGGCATTCTGGTCCTGCCTTGTTTCGTGTCGGAAAGGTCACGTCTTCCCAGTTTCGCAGGCGTTTCCCACGGTCCGAAAGAAGATGGTTATCAGATTTTGGGGCTTTTCGCAACGCGAAGAACGGAATGTGAAATTCCATTTGAAAGGTAGCCTTTGCATCCGACTAGTGAATACGGTCAGCAACTGCAGCTACCCCACCTATTCTGACTCAAATGAGAAAAGACTCTCTTACCGGAACATGGACTTGGATCGAGGGACGAAAAGATACATGTTTGCAGATAGCATCTCGAACTGCTGGGACCTGAAGATATGGGGTCGTGGCTGCTATGGCGAGGATCATCTCCGGGGTTAAGTTTTCGATGTAACTACATTCTATTAGTTTTTTGTACATGGAAATTGGGAACGAATAAATCTAACACGAGACGCCGTTCTGCATCGGGCTTATTCTCGAGTTTATATCGCTGTTACCGTGTCAGCAGTCTTTCGTTGTTAGTACAACTGAAGTGAGCCATACCGATTGCTTCAAGTGTCTCAGTAAGCCAGTTGTAGTCAATTTTCCACACATCCGCACGTTCCCTTTGCCTGCCAAACTTGGGCTATTTCGGTCATCGATCCAGGCGGCTGGCCGTGTTCCGGCTTCTCCAATACCCGTTTGAAGTTCTTCGAGGCTTGTGCAACCTTCACAGTACTCCTTAACTTCATCAGCTTCGCATGGAGATCCCAAGTCGTCGGATACATCCAGGAAGATTGTCAGCTCGTCGTCGATGCAACCCCAGCTCTTTTTAGCATCAACAGCGGGGATGTCGTCCTTGCCGGTAAGTTCATGATGTGTGAAGAAGCATTCGTACCACGCATTGTCAAAACACTGGAATGGGCAACGCTTCCCGTTGGTAGCTTTCCCTTCTACCTTTACACGCCTGGGGTTTCCTCTCTGGGCCTAGGCAACCTCAAATCATTGCTTAGCAAGCGCATTTAAGCCATAGAAATATCCAAAAAGAGATGGATTTGCATATCTCTCAACTCGCGAGACATCCAAAGAGTGCGAGCGCGCGCGCGCCTCCGGGGGGGGTCGGAAATTACATACCGACATGGAGAGCAACCTATTTATTTAATACCAGACAACCTTACCGAGTTTTAAAAGTAGAGACGGTGAGAGCGGGAAGAGCGAGGCAGAGAATTCGAGTGGCATTGTGAGTACTTGAATCCCGATCGTTGAAGTTGTCGCTTAGGCTTTGGGAATTGAAGTCGTTTTGGGGACAACTTAGAACCAAGCTTGGGAGAGACGGGAGGAAGATGACAGTGAACTGATGACAAGTCAGTAATTCATGTTGGGTAACCACAGAGATGGACAGGGAATTAAAGACTGACCAAAGAATGACACCTCTTCCGACCTGAGCCAACGCTCAGCCTGCATCTCTCCAATGTAAGCAACAGTGTGGCCAGCTATCAACCACTTCTTGCCGAGCTTGTTCTCTATGAGCCCCCTTTTCTGTGATACTCGAGACTGTTGTGAGCGTGTTTTCGTTGTCCACGTCTTTGTCCACGCCTAGCGATTCTGGTCTCATTGTTGATTGAACCCTCACTTTCTCTGTCCTACAGAAAGGGCACCTTGATGCCCCACAATCTGGACATGATTCGGTCATGATCCCAATTCCGGCCTTCCCACAGGCGCACTATTTGGGCGTGTTAGGCTGACATGGAGGCTCAACCAGGGCTGGAGAAGTCGAAGCTGAACAACTCACACAATGCCAAATATAGACGTATCTCCTTCCTCTCCCTGGTGGCTGTAGGAATTTTTAGCACGCAAATTATTGGTGAACTAGGGAAATTTGAGGAGGGCTTACCCATTGAGAGAAAGGTTCGAAGGGGGACCCTGCTGGCTCAGCCTCGCCGTTGGGCCGATTTGCAGCTTTGATACCAGCCTGACCAGGTTCAAGCACATCAAAAAATGAGGCGGTCGACACATCCTCAGCCAGTAGAAAAGGACGCAATGGACACCTCACAGCCAGGGCCCTCAAGTAAGGAGAGTTTAATGAGATGAGCGAGCCGCTCCGGTCCTCGTTCCGGATACACATTGGGCAGCTTTCTGCAAAAATACCGAAATGTTCTCGAGTGAGGCTTCGGGTACCGAATATACTCTTCTGAATCTCCTTTTTTGTGCTCCTGTTAGAATCTTTATACAAAACCCTGGAATCATTCTTATCATCTCATTTCCCAAAAATACCAGCCTCTTCTCTCTTCAAACTGCTCCGCTTTAAATATCAGCGGCAAGGTCTCCCATACGGCCTGTTCAATTACTCGCATCGGCGCTTCTTGTGGCATGGGTTTGGCCGCTTTCGAGCAGTTAGCCTTGTTGTGAAGTTGAACTTTATTTTATGAGGTGAGAGGCTGCGGGAACCCGAAAAGACAGTGACTCTTGAAAAGACGATAAAAATCTCTCTGGGATGGAACGGTCACTTGAAAAACGTAAAGTCTGAACGATTGTGTTGTCGTAAATATCTTCCAGCTTGTATGAGTTCCAGTCAACTAGTGGGTTGTTGAACTTAGTCCCTTGATCGTCCACTGCCAAGAAATTGGATGTGCACAGGGATGATGTCTCAGATCATCAATTTCCAGACGCGCGCTATCATCACGCCATGTTCATGATAGTCTGATTCTCAATGGCCAATGTGGAATGTTTCCCGTTGACGCGTGCCACCCTGCTGCGTGTTGCCGAGAGAAAAAGTGAGTTCGGAAAAAGATGTATTCTAGGCGTCGCCTGACTTAGACATCTTCCGTACAATAAATAACTCTCGGCTTCCTGCAACTTACTACGTCGTGACTCGTGGGCGGCAAGGCAATTCGCAGTTTGAGCATCATTTCCGTGCCGATACCGTTCGTCTCGTCAGCTCCAGGAACGAAAGCGAGATGAGCGTCAATGCAATATGAAAAGCCTGAACTTGAGGTCTCGCGTGGTCCGGCCGAGATTTGACTCTCGATAAGAATTGAAACCCTGCCCTAATGAAGAAGTTAGCTCAAAGTCATTTTGGTTACCCTGAAAGTGAGACAATTGGACTCGCGATGAAACGGTGGGCACATGAGCCCTTTGTGAAACGTTGATGTTGAGCTGGATGGCGCACAACAGTGACCTGGACTGTGTACCCTTGGGGAACTGGTTTTCATGAGATAGATCGATTTTTGGTCAGAAAGAAGTCAAGAGCCCGACTGAATGAAGATATTTTCATTAATCATCATACCACAACCAATTGTTGACGAATTCTCTCCGGTACCGCACCCCAACATTCCATGATCAATGTTGAGAATTCAAAGCAAAAGTCACGTGCAATGCTTCTCAGACCTAGCGGGAGGAGAAAAAAATGGCCGATTTTGACAAATTCAGCGGAGACCAGAAAATCAGTATTTACTAGACACCAAATTAACTTCTTTTCTCTCTACGACTTCTTACGGCCATACCAGATCTCGCAAGTCCTATATACGTCTTTTGCACCTTTAATTGACTTGTGTTGTCTCAAAAAGAGGGCAGGAAGTTGAGGTTTTGGTGTTGGCGCAGGGGCCAATTTCGGCCGCTTATTTCTCCTACGAAGAGGACGACTATCCATTTTGCAGTGATCTAAGGCCTATACTTATACACGTCCAAATAGCCCCTATTACCACCAAGAACCCATGCTTAGCTATAAACCCTTGTTTGGCTGAACAGTCAAACCAGCTGAACCTTGGCCATGCCTGCACAGCTGAATCGCCACTGGTAGCCTTAGGCACCAATTTCCAACAATCAATGAACCTGTGTCTGATCACGTGACATGCCACATTATATCAATAGGCCTTAGTCAGTCCCGAATTCACCGTAGTTCAGAAAACTATCCGTTTTAATTAATAAAAAAACAGTATTATGTTCGTAGTAACCGAAGTTAAGACTTCTGAAAGCTGCAAAAGCCCCTGATTGGGGTCAACTTCGGGTTCATCGAGGAAACAAATCTACCTCCTGACGAATGCCATCCATATCTGTATCGAGGTCCTCAGTTGTGTTCCGAATATATACCCTTCTTGTTTCTTCTGTGCTAAAGGTTATTAAGATAAGATACATCAGACTAGACAAGAAACTTACACGTTTTAGCAGCCCTCAAATCACTTCCATGGAAGGCGATCATTATCACGCACTCCTCAAGCGGTAATCGCATCAAATCCATGACCCTGGGATACATTTTCAGGCCAGGCTGCGGTCAGAAAGTTTGAACTGAAGTTCGAAATAATCGAATATGGACGAAGGCACCTTTCCTTGTCCTACAACTAAGATGAAGATAAAATGTGTGATGGAGGTCGAGAATAATTAACAAATATCAAGTTGCAGTCGTGTTGAACTTTTGGAAAAACAAGTCCATTCAACACCAGAACACTATGGTTTCTGTTGGGCATTGTAACACAACGCATATTTAACACCTTTCTCGAAGGCGAGTCAGAGCTAAACCTATATTCGGTCATCTTTCAAGAGATGATCAGCCAGACCACTCCTCGAATCCAGAACAATCCTGACCAATTTCTCTGTGCATGCCACTCATCCACCAATATTTGTCTAACATTTTAATCCCCCAAGGCCAAATTGACTCTTTTCTCGTCGAGGGGCAGACCCAGAACTCGCCGAGGCGTCGAATCGATGTTCTCCGTATGCTTCCTCGCATAAAAACTTGCGCGGATTTCTTTGAACAATCCGGATCTCTAGTATTCTGCGCCCTGGCGAAGCTCGGTGGGTGGCAGATTGGCAAAGATGGACTCGACAGGAACAAGGAGCTAATCTGGAGTACCTGTCGCAACAGCTTCCCATTAAGCCGCACACCAAAGCTTTAGCCTTTATTTGGGACTCAAGAACCTTGCGTTTCAAACTCATCAGAACATCATGCTGGATAGCCACAGAAATGGACAGGCACTGACTTGACAAAACTATGTGTGGTCCTCGACCATCCTCCCTGGAAAGAAAAGTGAAAGCCAACATGAGGGTACCACACTCTCCGAATCTCATCCACAGATTCGCTGTTTTGTCAGGCTCACGAAGATCGCCGCGTGTATTTCCATCGTCCACGACTTGCATTGACCGACGCGTGCAGTGCCATTATTGAACCCTAACCTTCTCTGTCCTGCAATATGGGCATCTTGATGCACCACAATCTGGGCACACCTCAACCATGATTCCAATTGATGCTTTCCCACAGGAACACTTATTGGCGTGTTAGGCTCTTAATTAACGTGTAGGGTGCGATGGGTACAACTTACACAGTGCCAAATATAAACATAACGCTTTCCCCTGTACGGCGGCTACAGGAGTCAGTATGCAGAATATAATGACAAGGCAAAGAGACGGGACAGGCTTACCATCTGCGAGAACAATTTGAAACCAGACCACGCGTCAACTGCGTCATTGGGCACACGTGCATCAACCTGATCCTTGAGAGAGGGCCTCCTCAAGGTGAACTGACTGTCCTGCTCCCGCTCGTGGTTAGCCATAGTGCCGCTTCGTCCACGTTAAGGGTCCAATGGATGGGTCTTTGGGTATCGTAGATCAACAGCACAGTCCGACTGAGTGTTTCTGGCCTGCTTCAAGTACTTATCTACACAAGCACGCTTTCCGCCACCCTCATTTCCAAGAGGGAAGACACCTTCTGCTCACTGTCATGAGATATGGAACAAGCAAAGAAGGTGTCGAGGAAGAGTCTGATTATTGGTCCAACATTGGAACAAAGTGGTCCATATGAATACCTTGCTTGGTAAAGACAAGGGTCCCGGCCGCAGGCATCTTTCGATTGTCTGCCTGCTTATTCGTAATTTCGAAAGAAGGGCTAGAGCTCATCTGATAACGACCGTGGAAACTGAAACTTGACAAGAGGCCGAAGATACATTTGACACTGGACGTGGAGCAGAAGATTGCATGAACAAACTACCAAGTTCTGTACCACTCGACACGCAAATTCACTGAAAACCATGCCTCAAGACCCCAAGTTTACGGGTTACCGATACTGGAACGCAAAACGTTGGTACGTATACGCAATTCATGCCCCCACGAACCCGGCAGCTCTTTCGAAGAAGAAAAACAAGTCGGCAAAGGTGGCCAAGGTGAGCAAACGTGGTTGGGCTAGTCATTCGCGACGAAATTGACATTAGAAACAGTCAGATTTAGACTTTCGATTGGAAAAGGAGATGAAACTGGGGGAACGGAATAAAGGCGCTTTACTTTACTACCTTGCGAAAAGGCCTCTGAGGAAGTTGTGCGCAACTTGGCGGAAAATAAGAATGACGGGATGCCTGACGCCACGACGTCAAGGGAGGAAATTGGAAGTCAAACAAGGGTCCCCAAATCACAAATTCTATGGTGGAACCTTCGAAGTTGTTGGTGTAACCCCTTACTTGTCTCCTTGTGCAGCAGGACAAGTGCACATTCTGGGGTCTTAAGGGAGGGATGCTTCATTGTACGGAGGACCCGGCCAAAAGTCTTGCAACTGGCAGGGATGGGCGCGGCCGCCTCTGACGCCACATAGGCCTGGCAGAGCAACGAAGTTTAGGGGCTTGGTGGCCTGAAGGGAGCACGGTTTTAGCGATATTTATAGGGCCTGTGCGCTATCGTTAGTAGCTGGAAGGCCTATGAGAGCCTGAAGTTACAGCGTCTTCTGGTTGCTACGCAACCACCCTGCCATTTAAGCGAACGTGGCGTTAGACCCTGGCAGTTGCAAGACTTTTGGCCGGGTCCTCCGTACTATTCTCGTATCACCCACAAGTCTGAGCGCCGTCGCCACAAATAATCCGGTCCACTCACAGCAAACTATTCAACAACACGCTAGCAGGGCGTTTAGTGTGGGGCACGAGTCAGTTTTGCTTTTGCTGTGTCACGCCTCGACGCACCCGAGCGGTGAGTCAAGTCTTCCACTTCACCCACAACCGCAAACATGGTTAATTTGGAACAGCACAGTACTTCAACTTTATTCCACCACCAACATATTTAATGTTTTAAAAATTCTAGTACAAAGGACAGAGTCGCGTGCTGCGAACAAAATGCACTTTTCAGAATGCTTGTAGGTATTATGATTAAGATTTTGTAATATTCACAGATGAGGACCCAACGTCAGACACCAACCTTTGGCGGCAACCCTGTTCCTTGGATCCATGACTGCGTGGCGCATTCCAGCTGTTAGAACTGGTTGAAATACGTGACGATTACGGGTCGTATCATTCATCTCGCTCCTGAGGGCGTCCGGAATTGACAAAAGCCATGACACGGAGATAGCCGGCATTTTAACTTGGTCGTTTTCTGCCCATGGAGGTGAATACGGTCTCATGATCGTTCTGTACAATGAAACCTCGATATAAGGATACCGAAATTGTCCCCAAATACCAAGGATAATGCGAGGTATCCTAAAATCGAGAATCACGTGCAAATACACAAAAATAGAAATGTCACCAGGATTTGAAAATATAAGGACAAAACACCAACAAATCAAGGTTGGGATAAAAAATCATAAGGATAGTCCTTATCCCTTCGTCCGGTGAGACATTGCCACGCTAGCGGCCGCATATGAATATCCCTAATTCAGCAGGAACATCATCCGAATTAGGGATATTTATGTGCGGCCGCTAGCGTGGCAATGTCTCACCGCGACGAAGGGATAGTAAGGATATCCTTAGCTCAGGGCTAATTTCTAGTGGGGTCCTAAGGTAGTATCCTTATGTCGAGGATATTTTTATATTGAGTATCCTTGTAGCGAGGTTTCACTGTATTGTAGTCGCTATTGGTGTTACCATAGCCTCACAGAGGCCATGGTACGACACAAGTCTAGCTGAGTTCAAGGTCCAGGCTGTAGTCAAAGTCAAAGAATAGCCAGAAGACGATGCCAGCACGAGGGTCACGTGGTTAGGATCTTTGGTCAAAGTGGCATTCCAACAACTTATTGTTTTTTCCTTGGCAGATGACGATGCTCCAACAATGCTGATTTCGTGAGTAGTCTTGCATCTTCGGCCTAATGGCGCTGGCGAAGCTTCAGGCTGCGCACGATGCCGCTATCGGCACAAATCCTGTTGCCGATGCTGACAGAATACACGCAAAGCCTCCCGTCTCCTGAATGCACTGCGACACGCTTTGGCCGTTATCAAGAGGGTAGTTCAGATAATCGAATCAAGGACCACGATGCGGGAATGGCAACACGACTTCGCTTTCCTCATCAGCGAGTCCTTTCCCCACAGGCCGGAGTACTGACGTACCGGAAATTTGAAGTCATTGACATTCCCAAGATGATCTACACAGATCCGACGCTATTTCCATGTTCTAATGAACTCATTCCCAAAAAGATATTTAGTCACCACTTAGGCATGCACTTCACCGAGCACGTGACTTGTCGTTTAATTGGGAATCAGGAAATGCGTTGGTTCTGAGATGGCAATCATCCAAAACAAGCTAATGCTCATATTTATAGACCATTAATTTGGCATTAAGCTACCTTGAGAATAGTGGGATGTGCTGCGCGAGAGGCAGGGACAGTTGAAGAAGTCAAAGTGCAGCGGTAGACAGTGGATAGAGACAGCACACCACTCGCAAAGGCGATGGTACATACAAAGAGGGTGTATCGGTGTACCTCAAGCTCAGATTAAACCAGGTCCTGATACGAATGCAGTAAATTTGAGGTGGGCCGAGTACCAGAATTAGGGCTAAGGTGTGTTAAATGACGAAGCAACCGTGTCTCTTAACGAAGACTAAATGGTTTTAACTTGAGCGCTGTTAACGTCCCTCAAAAACTGCCCAAACGCCGCGCAAGCGCAAGCACTTACACGCCTACCAACTCCAGAACATTTCTGGTACTGGCCATTAGATTTGAGGTGTGGTAGAGAACATTTTCTGGAAGCGCTGAAGCTGGTTCCTCAACTCTTAACCAACCTCAAGGCCACGATGCGCGAAGAAGTCTTCAAACTTCCCGCTAACCTTTCGTCATTGATTCCACGCTTTTGAATCCAGGGATTGATTGTTGCGGGAAGCGCTGAAATTTCGAAATATTGGGACGGTCACGTTCGCCAAAAGAAAAGGGGAACACCAAATTCCCAAAGTACTTTGGGAGGATTTGGTAGTTGCAGAAGCATGTGTTTTACCCTGAAATTGAGTGCGTGAATTCAGTATCCTTGAAGATGAAGATATCAAACAATTGGCCCACTTGGATATTAGGTCTCCACGGAGAGTCAATTAAGCTGTTCGGGGATGTGCGCAAAATCGACGCAGTCCTTGCTTAAGCCCTTGAAAACCGAGGACGGGCCCTCAAATCGATCCTAAGACTAGCGGTAAGGGATACAAAGAACCAATCAACCTCGCTGACGCACTTGCGGTGGGTCCAGGTCCCCTAGATGTTGAACGTTTCCATCAACAGCATCATCCCGTCGAGTCTTTCGAGACTTGCTGGCTGACGATGGTTTCATGATTACGGACCCACAGGTCACTCGCAACAATCGTGAGCTGGTGATGCCTTAGTTTGAATTCAGGCAAGGAAGATAAATAAAGCGGCCCTTGTGGCAAGCTTTTCTTTCTCAACTTTTACTTCTTAAAATATCGTTCTGCTGCTCGTTGAACACTCCTCGGGACTCCTCGGGAGCCTTCGAACTCGTGTTCGTTTCGTTGATGGACCCAACACCGCCACGATGCAATTCAAGGCAACCGCAGCCTTGGCTGGAGTTGCGATCGCTTCCTTCGCCGACCAGGCTCAAGCTCAAGGTGCCTACCTTGAATCCATCAGGCATTCCGGCAATTGGCAAGAGACCGCTCTCAAAGGAGAGACCAAGCCCGTCGAGGAGACGATCGACATCCCCAAGGGCGGACCCTTCATCAAGTCTTTCAACGGCACAAACTTCACCGAGATCATGAAGTTCGCCGAGACAAACAAGGTGGCCATGCCTTATATCATCTCCAACCCTTCTCCCAAGAAGGGAAAGGGAGAAGGCATGTGCATCATCGCTGGCGCCAGTAACCTGAAGGCAGGCTCAAGTGTCAGCTTCAGACGGGAGGACACCAACGGAATGTTGTATATTCCTCAAAACACCAGCGCTCTTTCGTAAGCCACCACTTCTCGTCCTCCTTCCGAAGATCGAAATAGTAATTCAGCTTAGCGGGGACTTCCTCGACGCTCCCGGCAAGAAGAGCTACAACGGCCGTGTCCAGGTCATGTTTGGATGCGACGAGAAGTGTGAGAAGTGCGCCGGCGCTGGCGAAGCAAAGCATACACTCTTCGAGTGGATGTACCAAACCAAGCCTGGTGAGGAAAACGTCGAAGAATTGTGGACCAACCTGAGCAATGGTACTTACTTCACACTTCTGTCATCCCATTCACGCTAACAAAGGATAGTCGATGGGTACAGCGCAAACGTCCAAGTGACAGTCTTCAACCAAACCATGGGCGCCTGCGCCTACCGCAGCATCAATGCTACCCTTGACGACGTTAAAAAGGTTTGCCCCAAGACCAACCTCTGGAAGGAGGGCAAGGTCTTTGGTTGCGAGTCTGACTGCAAGCTGACCAGAATGGAAAAGCACTGCTGCGTCGGCGAGTGGGCTGAGCGCTTCGGTCCCAAAGCTTGCCGGGAATCCAGCAGCTTCTTGGCTGAGTTGTGCCCTGCCGCATACTCATGGCCATACGGTGACCAGGGCGTTGTCGACGTCTGCTATGCTCCAAAGGCTGTGCATGCTGTCTTCACTCCTATCCGCTAAGTTGCGATGAGACTCCGCAGTTTCCATTCACGATTGGGTGGCAGGGTGGTGCGGCATGGGGTCTGGGGAGAATCAAAAGACAGGGAGAATGCAGATCGTCGCTGTTCATGAAGGATGCTGTCGCTTGGTGGCGCGCTGATGAATCCCACGCTTTTCCCGTTGCTTGCACTCCTTTCAATGACTAAATTGTACATAATAGTAATAAAATTTGACTTTCACAGGTATGGCCTTCCCTCTTAAGGCTGAGAAGAAGATAATTTTGATGTGTGGTCTAGGTTGCAAACCTAAATCGTGCCCTAGCCACGGAAACTTTGGGAATGGTAGGAGGGCTAACCACTAGGCGATGGACTGGCTTGCAACCACTCGGTTTGGCAAGCTAGTTCCTAATGAGGTCAGATCTAGAACTGAGCTCAATTTGCGGGCCCCATGGGCCCTTCTGATAGCTGCAACGAGAGAACTTCCATTGAGAAAAGGGTCGCCGTCATCAACCAGAGGAGTCGTTTCAATGGCCTGGCTTCAGGGGATCCGTACATTGTGAAGGACCAGCCGTCATCAACGGTGATGACCGCTAGTCTTACTCGAGGCATCTCTGCCTAAGAAGTCGTCGAGCCGTATTGGGAGCAAGCATCGAGGCGGCAAACAATTTTGCGATGAGGTTGAATATGCTTCAAGGTCTTTCTCAAGGACCATTCCAAGATGTTAATACCTTCGCAGCCCGCTCGAGGGGCATATTTATGCCTTGTAGATGGAGCATATTGATCACAAGTCTTGTTGTGGGAATGGTTAACCCGTAGCCGTCCGTTCTCAACTTTCGAGCTTCTCTAGGTTTCCTTAGCAATTCAAACGACAGCCAGGGCCGTGGATGAGAGCTTTCCCTCTGAACTGCTTGATGGTGATGGATTCGTCGAGAAGGGCTGATGAGATGCAAGCATATCAGTTGGGGGCCGTAATAAATGGCGTCCCAATTTCCCAAGAATCGACGAAGCCAGGCCAAGACAGTCACATAGAGCTGCCGAACTTCTGATATGTATGCTTTAAAGACCTGGCACGCACAAGACATCAACCTTCTTTTCTTTCATCCTTTTGGTCTCCGGCCTTCACCTTCGTTGGATTTCTCCGCTGATCTTACGGGAAAAACTCTCGCCGATGGCTGCAAATTGAGCACTTGATCCAAACCGCAATCATGGTCAAGTACAATTTGCTCCAACCTGCGATAGTTGGTGCTGCCGTCCTTGGACTCGTTGCACCCGCCTTCGGTGTGCCAGCGCAAGCAGAGGAAACCCCGATTTCTATCACTCCAACCCTTCCATCTTTACTTGAGCTCAATGCCAGATCGACCCTTAGCAAGAGAGACTCCTTCACCAAGCTTGGGCGCATGGCCGCCACAGAAACTATCAAGGTACTGCTGTCCACAAATACGCAAACGAAGACCGCCGTCAGAAAACTCAAGAGCAGAAGTCAGTGGAGGTATGCGCTTCACCGCCATAAATCGTACGCCCGAGCCTTGTGGATTTGGATCGAGATCGATACAGCAATTGGGGAGTTTGCAACATTCGAAGTCCCAGATCCTGATTCCCCTGAAGCACAAAAGATCAAGCTTCAGCCTGGAGAATCAGTTAAAGTCAGCAATCTTCCAAACCACTCCGGCAGCTTTCGAGCCTATGCTCGTTGCGACGAGGAAGGTCCGGGTGGGGCAGGCCACGAGGATGCTGCGATCAAGTGGGGGTAGACAACTAATCCTGCTGGGCATGGAGACTCAGTAGTTAGGATCAATCCCAGATTTGGTATGTCGAATCCGAATTGTAGAGGTTCGCAACGAGTGGCAACATAGTCGACGGCTATGTCGTCGGTGGACAATTGACCTTTGGGAGGGCTCAACCTGCCGGCCAGTGAAGTACATCATTCCACAAGCCGATCTCTCAACAATTTGTTCACAAGAGAACCTTGATAATCGTGTCCTTGAATGGCCGAACTGTGAATCAGGCTGCGCAACCACGGGCCTTGGAGAGCACTGCTGTACAGGCATGTGAGGTAGGCGAGGGATGTGCGACCCATCCAGCCTACATTTCTCAAATTCTTGTCCAGCCGTGTGTGGTGCTAAGCCTCATGAACTGATGTAACGGTCGGTGGACCCTCCTACCTAAACCATGAGCCATTTAGCCAAACGTTGGCGTTTCGGGAGTTGCTGTCATCACAATAGTTGATCATCGCCGAAAGGACATCGTTGGGGCTGGAGAGAGGTCGTCCAGCAAGCAATGTTTGTAAAACTGTCCAAAATAGATTGCTTTTCTAGATTCCCGCGCAGGTTGGTCTGCATATAGCTTTTCCCGATTTTGAAAAGTGTCCAATCCCTGCTGTCGATAGCCATGTTCGTGGGGATGTGATGCCTGATCAATATCCCAAAGTGACAGTTCCAATCGCTCGTAACTTGTGGTCTTCGTCGTCGAGTTTCGAGATTCTGCTATTCGAATCGCTTTCGGGCATTCGAAGATTCGCGGAGAGAGTCAGCGAGAGGTGCAAGATAAAACTCTCCATTAGGGTTGTTCTGACTTACAGCTCACGGGTCGACTTCCCTCCCAGCTTGCCTCAAACTCCCCACTTGGCCATACTGCTAGTCATTGGACACCAGCGTCCATTTTCATCCCTAGCTAGTCCCAGTCTATCTTGTCCTCAACCTCCGCAGCAGAATGTTCAATGGTGTCGAGTGTGCGTGTTCTATCGAGGCTGTGAGCATGAATAAGGAGGGTGAATTGATGTTGGAAAGTTGGCCCAACGCGACGCGAAGTCAACCCCACACCGCTTGCGTCTTAAGGTTACGGTCCTCCTTCTCCTCCACCACGTCCTGTGTTTGCCCAATTCCCTCGCAGGTCCTCGACGACTCGAGTTGCGATAACGACTCCGAACGGCACGCAATGTGAAGTCTTCTTGTGTAACGGATGAGAATGTGAAGTGTCACAATTGAGCCGCTGCGAGGCGTCGCCGCGATGAGAAACCATAACACGGAGCTCAATACGACGCTCCACGGTACGCTGTACAGATACCATACACCAAAAAAAATCATGACCTGCCGTTCTGAATATTTACTCTTCAGTTATATCTCATCACGGACTGTTGTTGCACAGTGACGAGAGTTTCTTCCCTTGACAGCACCAAAGTCGCCGGTTTGACACACGGAAAGCGGACATTGGATGTCTTGGGCAGGTCGAAATCCGTTGCAGTTAGAAGATCTCCATGACTTCTCCTCGTGGTCCTGAACTGTTATTACCCGAACTTGAAGCACGCCATACACCATCTCTGCCTCTTCGAACGTGCAAAAGCCAGCATATCAAGCAAGCAAGCAGGGTCAGTCAGGAACCGCACCTCACAGGCGATTTTGCATCTTGACGATGTATTTCAGCTTCAAGACCACTGGTTTCTCCGTTGGGGGTATCAATCCGAGCTCATCGCAACCTGTTCCCAAACTGTATCGGCCTCTTATAGACGCTATATCAGTGATCGGGAAAGCTCGAGGAAATTCCGACCAGTCCCTCTGAATCAGTCTCTCATATTGACTACAGAGCTGGATGAAGCGACTACCCGCCTTCTAAACGACGTTCGAGATCGGTGCTGCCCTATACATTCCTACGGAATTCGTGTGGCTCCTCGGAAGCGTACGCAACTTGCTGCCCTCAACCGTTTACCGCGCGAGCATCTAGAATTGTACATCAAAACGTCAGAGAACTTGAGCTCCAAGACATGTCCTTTCCAATAGGCACAGCACAGCATTTTCTCTATAGCGTGAGATTACTTCCGGCTTAGTTGCCATTTCCGTATTGAGAGTCAAAAACCTAGGACCTGTTTCGACAGAGCCCAGAGCTTCTTTGAGTTAGTTTATTAAGACTAAAGACAGCTTCCAACCTTTCTCAATTGTAGAGAGCTAGTTCTCTGGGCAGAGATGCAGTGGAATAGCTCTCAAGGTCTCGCCGTCTCGCAACTTGTTTGATATTCATGACGAGTTACTTCGCACGTTACGTGGGCACGGGGCTTCGATCTTCGAGCTCGAAGCGAGAGACCTTATATGGTCTCCAACAATACCAGTTCAACACTGGCTCTTCACAGCTCAGATAGAGGAAGCCATGCGAGCAATCGTCGATCGGTACCTTTTCTGGTCTCAGTCTAGGCAACGCTGAAAGACTTATAAATTGCGGGATCCAAAAGTCAAAGGTCTCCCCCATCGGCGTTAAGTCTTATTGGATTAATTCCTCTCGAAGGGAGTCGATCCAGAATTAGATTAAGCTCGCAGATGAAGCCGTTCGATATCAACATACACAAACGAATTCACCTTACATCCTGTCAGCCTGTGACAATCCAAAATGGTCTCTTGGAAGGCGAGCAAAGCCCATGGCCGGAAAGATGTCCAGCTTCAACATGCAAGGTTGCATGCAAAGAAAGATCGGCAGGGCTGGAGCTTCTAAGGAGTACTCTGATATGTGTTTAGAGTCTTCGTCCCCTTATCACCAATTTTTACTTTCACTCTTGCAGTTGGTCGTTTGAAGTGCCAAGGTGGATTCTACGTGCTTTTCCATACCGTTTATGCCGAAACCAGAACAAAGCGATTCGATGATGGGTTATCTTGAACTATACTTCGAAGCTTCGCCCCAAGTCCTATTCACAGTCGCTGCCCCTCAACTTCTAATCGGATGTCTCGTAGCTGTCATTCAGGAAGTTATCGACAGTTTCTTGGTTTATAGTTCCTGCCTTGATTTGATTCGGCTGAAACTGTCATGGTATTCCCCTCCATTTGGTCACGCTTGATGTCTCCTTTGAAGGCTCATTTCACAGATGATCAAGAGAGTAACAGTACAAACCGGGTGCCTCTATGAAGCTATGCATCTTGACGACTAAAGATTCTGCTAGTGGCAATCTAAACCAGCTCACGATTTCCTCGAATCTCCTAATGCATAGCCGATCAGTCGTTCCAGAGCTGTTCGTCTCCATATCTCATCCATTGTACCACCATCTGCCGCACGTTGTATGCCTTTCATAGATCTCGCAGATACACGCCCTACTCACGGAATCCGGGCCAATCTTCCTTCTGTTATCTGATCTCGATATTGACAATTCGGCTCAATTGAAAAGTTCGGATTGGCCTGGGCTGACCTGTGGATTAGGGCCAGATTCTCGGCGAAAAGGGTATCAAACGACCCGCAAAAAGGTCAGGATAGATCCTTTCGGCCGTGATTTCCTACTTTGCCGTAGGATATGATTGTTCAGCCAGAAGATAACAAATAGTGGATACGTGCAAGGAACGTGTTCAGACATTTCATTGCTGACAAGCACCAGTGGCTCGCGAACCCTGAGCTTAGAAGCCGCATAATGTTCGAAATGGCCTATTCGTTGGTTTCCCGCTTGTTCGGGAATGTTCGAAGCTATGTAGTGTTCCTTCTCCGCGACGTCGATGTTTAGGCTGAAACGGGGTCGTCCGTTCTAGCCACTCGGAGGCGGGGGTTAATCCCGCCACCCCCTCGGTATTAGCTCCGGAAAATCGCTGTCATTCTCAAGATGGTTCACATTAAGAAGATGATCATAACTCAATTCGCTTTCGTCTCATGTTAGAGACTCCTAGACTTCGGGGTAAATTCATGGAGATTTATCCGGGGGAGGGGACGGGGAGAGGGTAAGTGCATTTTTCAAATGGGACAGCGTCATAACTGCCAAGATTGCGGTGATTGGTGCCATGTGCTCGATTCCGCGTCATTGGTGGTCTTTATATAAGTCTCTGAGAATTCCTTGAGAGATATAGGATCTCTTCTGTGGCCATTCTTCCCTTTTTTTCCTTGTGCGGGCTATTTTCTTTTCACAATTCCGTCAAGATGCCGTTCTACACAGCATCAAAATCGACCTTTGAGGTCGGCGGACAAGAGTTTCCTCGCATCTCATGGTGGAAAGAACCTGGCATGCGTGGTCTCTATATCTGCTTGATGTTTGCAGTGCTCACCTCGGCGACCAACGGCTACGATGGGTCCATGATGAACGGGCTTCAAGCTCTTGATCAGTGGGTCACCTGTAAGTATTGCTTTTCCGACCTGGTATCACCCGTAACTTACACCTTTGCCCAGCATTCCACAACCCAAGCGCGGCTACCCGAGGACTTTTGAACGCCATCATGTCAGTCGGCAGCATCGTTGCTCTCCCGATCACTCCATACATCGCCGACATTGCCGGAAGACGTGCCGGTATCATCACAGGATGCCTTCTCATGATCGTTGGCGTTGTCCTTCAGTCAGCTAGTCTCAACATCCAGATGTTTATTGCTGCTCGTTTCCTGATCGGGTTCGGTGTTGCCATCGCACATGGTTCTGCACCATTGTTGATTGCAGAGCTTGTCCATCCCCAGCATCGTGCTATCTTTACGACAATCTACAACAGCACATGGTACTTTGGCAGTATCGTTGCAGCATGGCTTACATATGGTAAGGCCACGCACTCACTATGCCAGCATCGTCGCTGAAATATCCAGGTACATTCACAATTAGCAATGCGTGGTCTTGGAGGATTCCTTCGATTGTTCAAGCCGCCCCTTCAGTTATTCAGCTGATTGCAATTTGGTTAGCCATCGCCCCCATCCTTGAACGAGGTCTTCAAACTGACGCAAGCAGGCTCGTTCCCGAGTCTCCCCGCTACCTCATCGCCAAGGGCAAGAACGAACAAGCCCTTCAAATCCTCGGCAAATGCCACGCTCGTGGCGACGTGAACGATGAGCTCGTGCAAATTGAATATCGTGAGATCCGTGAGACCCTCGCCCTGGAGAAGGAATTCGAAGGCAACGGCTGGCTCGAGCTCTTCAAAACCCCGGGCAACCGCCACCGCCTCATAATCCTCATCTCCCTCGGCTTCTTCTCCCAGTGGTCTGGCAACAGTCTCGTGTCATACTACATGAGTGATGTCCTCAAAGGCGCTGGCGTTGAGAATGCAAAGCTTCGACTAGAAATCAACGGTATCCTAAACATCGTCAACTTCATCACTGCCCTCACCATGTGTTTCTTCATCGATAAACCCGGTCGTCGCCCCCTATTTCTCTTCGCAACCGGAGGCATGTGTGCTAGTTTCGTCGTGTGGACAATCTTCGCTGCTGAGTTCAAGAAAACCGCTATCAACGCACTGGGATATCTGGAAGTGACTTTCATCTTCCTCTACTACGTATTCTATAATTGTGCTTGGTCTGGCCTCCTTGTCGGTTACGCTGTCGAGATCCTGCCGTACAAACTCCGTGCCAAAGGACTCACACTCATGTTCCTCGCCGTCGACCTTGCACTCTTCTTCAACTCGTACGTCAACCCTGTCGCACTCGCGAAGCTGGACTGGAAATATTACATTGTGTACGACTGCTGGCTTGCAGTTGAGTCTATCGTGGTTTGCTTTTACTATATTGAGACCAGGAACACGCCCTTGGAGGAGATTGTTAAGTACTTTGATGGGGAGCAGGCGCTGCTGGGTGGTGATCTCGCGACGGAGAAGGCAAGGACGTTGATGTTTGAGGAGGGAATTGAGACCGGGAAGACGGATGTGGATCGTTTCGAGAGCAGAGTGAGTACTCCGTAGTCAGGTAAAGTCAATTGGAGTGGCGTTGTAGAGTGGGTGTAGAGACAGCGGTGACGTATCTGATGGGACAGGACGGTCAGGAAATCTTCATCCTAGACGGCAAATCGGGTGCAGCGGGGGCAGTACCAGGGGATAATGTTTTCCGAATTTCAATCCAATATAAATGACTTCGAGAGCAAGGATCAGTGCTTCGATAATCAAGCCCGATGATCTCCGCAGCGAACCAAGCCTGAAAGCAAAGTCCACCATTCGATCTTTCCTCCAAGTGAGGGCCTACATATTGCCACGTCCACGGGAGGTAAATTATTTCGTAGTGCAGAATGGGAGCTTGTGCCCACGATGTGTTATTGTCCAGTCAGCTTCCATTGATTAAAGTGGAGATCGCTGTCAAGCTGCCAGGCGTTTCAGAGCGTGAATCTTCTGGCCCTAAGCATGAGCAAAAGAATTATACCTTTGGAGCTTTTATTCTGTGCTATCTTTTTTATCTCACTTCTGCAAATTCTTCGATTTTATTATCCCCTCTGAGAACAGCTCATTACCCCAATGCTCCTGCAACCTGCCACTCCAGCATCGGGACGATTCATTCTTCACCCACGTTTCCCTGGGTCCGTTTTGTTCTATTCTAGTAAGGCTACGCATAGGTTGAATCTCTGTCGGTCGGTTCAAGTGGAAGCCTCCTTTTGGACATAGGATATAGATCAACCGTCAAAACCATTCTCGTGTCTATTCCTTGGAACCGCATGGTAGTGAGTTTTCTTACCCCGCAGTCTTTGGGAGAGGCAGTTGTGTCATTTCATGCAAGGAGAAAAAGCACTTAGATGAGAACGCACTTGCAAAGATACTCTATATGGCTTTTTATTATCATATGAAGTTCCTACTATCACAGAAAAGGTTGGTGTCAACATGAAGAACCTTTGTTAGTTGTGAATTGGCCATGTAGTCAGCATAACCCAGTCTACGAAGATCACTTCATTTTAGTTCAACTAGGTTCAAGCATGACAGCGCCTATACCAAATATTAGGGGGGCGAGCAGGAGAGGTGGGCTGTGACTTGAAGACCGACATCACCCTTTTTCGGTGGTGTGAGGTCAATGAGCTCCATGTGTCTTGATGTCGGTTCTTTTGAGGTTAATAAAAGGCTACTTCTTGAAACGTCCGCTTTGTGAGACCTACCAAATTTGATGTTCATGTCGAATGCTGGCCTAACACTGCCCGATCTGCCAACGTGCGGCATCTAATGGTATGTTGAGAATCCCACGGCAAAATTGCCAGAAACCACTCCCAAATGCACGCATGGTGGCGCAGCGGAGGGCAAGTCACGGTTTATAGGACCCCATGTTCTTTCTCTCCGAGAAGGCCACGAGTTCCCTAGTCGTAGAAGTGGTCACCGCAGAGAACCCATACTTGAATCGGGGACATATTGCAGCATTATAGAGGCCCCTCACCCCTCTCCCATACTTGAAAACATTGGCCCCAGCAATTTGATTGACGTTTTAGTTTCCTCTCTCCAGTGGGATCTCAATTGGACGAAGTGAAGCGAAATTTCTCTATCTAATGGTTGTACAGGAAAATGTTGCAGCCAAGTTTCAATTTATCCAAGATGCTCGTCGAATCAGGATTCTAACCTGCGCTGCATTTGTTTCGCCTTTGACCTGTTTTTGATCCATTTGGCCACGCTTGCATTGTGCGCGCTGCATGTAATTTCCGCGGGGCGCAGAGGCCACATATCTAGCACGTCATGCGGGAACAATTTCGATGTTCTTGTAAACTTAGATGGGTTGTCTTGGCAGTGTTTCCGAGGTTCTCTGTCTCCCAACCTGACAACTTTCCCTTCCACCCTCCTATGCTCAATTTAGTTTCAGGATCTCGTAGGTGGACTAATATTTGCTTTGAAAAGAATCTGTCTATAACATGGAGTAGCCTGCCACTGCGGAGCCGGAAGATAGCTTTCTTTAGAGTTAGCATATGTTTTCACAAGGTGGCAACAGAACCGCCGCTTTCCCTTGGATCTATTGAAGATATCAGAGGGCAATAAAAGGCACTAAATCTTTGATCGAATTTCACTGCATGCTTCAAACTCTGGGATTGAGATAATCATTGTGACCAGTATGGCAGTTTCAAGTTCACCCTAAGCGCATAGAGGTGTATAGAAGATGTGTTGTATGATTCTGGATAAATCATGTGCAGCCTGCATGGTCCAAACGCATAATACCGCTCTTGATCTCCTAAGCGTTCCATGTGAAATCACCATTGTCGTTCTCCACTTTGCACGCGCATCACACCTTGAGAAGTAAAAATCTTCTGTGTGGCTGGGAAGGTAAGAAACTTGGTCAACTCTCAATATATACGTCTCTTCATCTTCGATTAGTTTTCTGTCACAGAGCAGTTGACTTCTGTCGACGGATGATATCCCTAGCTTCCCAAGGTATGTTTTCTGAGCATTTTATATGCACCGCAAGTGAAAACGGAGGTGCCAGGAACTTGGAAAAAAAATACACCAACTCACAAAGTCTTGCAGTATAGAAATGGGGCTCTCCTATTTGACGAATCCAAGAGACAGTAGGGGTATGGCAAGCGAGGAACACTTTGATGGAATATACCAGTGCCGAGGAGCTTCTCAGGCGCGAGACTATAATATGCTGATGTGAAGTACAGAGAATTTGAAGTTTGATCTCAAGTGACTACCAGGCCATCCACTGCCACAGCCTCACCTACTGAAACCTAGCCTGTAAGGCCCCTTGACGCGAAAAGCGCAAATCGATTGCTATGATGCAGAAACTAATCAGCTTGAACAATGGCTAACCTAGGGGGAGCCAATTATTTGGTTCACCTTTTTTTTTATAGCAATATTTGTCAGGAAGTCTGGAGAGCAAAGCCAGCACTAACAAGTGACCTACTATGTTGAATTCACCTTCAAGTGAATCCTTTAAAAGGCAAAGACCTACGTCATAGGTCTGTAATTGAATGAACGAACAGTATCCGACCATTTTCTCAGTCAATAAGCGGCACAAAATTTCTTCCCGCGGACACATATCATCATTTCGTCAACTTCAACTGGTTGCCATCAAAAGCCTCAACTTCCCTTGAAACATCCACTCTTGGAGACTCTCTTTCACCTCCTGACTATCAACACAAACTTTCTACAGATCCGCGAACCACTAGTCCAAACATCCTTCAACATGGAGTTTCGAATCTTCACTCTCTTGTCCTTATCCATCATTTTTGTCTTCCACTCGCTCGCGACCGCTCTCCCGGCAGCACACCATGTCGAAGCCAAGGACCTCAGTGACGAAAATTCAGTCTCGGTCTTCGCTATAGGCGCTTCAACTTTCTCAACGCCACCTACCTTTGAATCACTCTGTCCCATTGAGGAGTCTTGCACCATGGCAACGATCAGCGGAGTGAATAGCTGGTCCAACGTCGGTACCACGACTAATCTCTTGACCGTTGTGACTCCCGAAGCCTGGAACCTTTCAACTTTCTCCGAAATCTCACCTATTTGGAGTTCCGGATCTCCTCTCACCCTTAGTAGCCTTGCTGCCGGTTCAGGATTCACTGCTAGGATCACTCCATCGAGCACACCGACTAGCACGATAGCCACACCTGCTACCCCTGCGTTTACAGGCGTAAACTTGACTTCAACCACCAGCACGGTTTTTGTCTACCCCAGTAAAACGACTGCTGGTGCAGTCGCATACTCAACCAGCATTTCGAGAGCTGTGGCTACGACATTGGTTGCTGGGTTGGGCAGTTTGCTCGGAGTTGCGTTAGGGGCTGTTGCTCTTCTATGATATTGTACGTGAATCAACATTCTACTCTGGGCTTCGTGAGTCAATGCTAACTTGCCTGACTACCAGCAAAAGTTGTCAGTCCTCACGCGGTGGGTTTTGCTGAGCTGGAGAAATGGATTGAGATTCTGATATTTGGAAAGCCATAAACGTTATGGGGTGATAATAGGCGCGCTTTGATTCGGATTAGCAGAAGTTATTTGGAAGCACACGGCATGGGTTCTGGACCACGGAGGAGTGTGTAGGTAGCAAGAAATCAAAAGCAAAACCAGACTCCAAGCCGGAATCAAAGTCAGACCACGACAGTATGGTTATGCCTATCGTAGTTCAAATCATTGAGGCTCCATTCCCCTTCTATATAATTTCAGCAGATTTGCGTCCATGAGACCGACTACAAACGTTCCAACACAACAGTAGTGGTTTTCTTTCAGGCACTTTACTGAGGCACCCGACTTAATTGGTCTAGCCGGCTCCGAGTGGATTCAGAATTTCGGGATTTATACTGTAAGTAGCCAGCTTAACCAGTCTAGCTGGCTTCCTTTAGGGAATTTACAAGACTACAGTATTCCATAATGCGCATCTAATCGCTTCCACCATCTCTGTCTGGTCCGTCGACCTGGTATTATACGACTCGATTCGTATCTTCCCAGACCACTGCGTGACCTTGTCGCGGATCGGCATCGCGGTCTTGAACGCTGGGATCATGAACATGTCATATTCTATTTCGCCCGCCACCGAGCATGAGATCGCGTTGCTGGCAAACTATCTCTCGACGAATTTGCTGCGATCCTGCTCCTCCTTATCCTTAGAGCTAAGAGGGCTGCCAGCGCCGCAGGGCCCCCGTTGCTCGCCGTCGTGATGTCGGATGCTGCCTATGGTGCAGATATCGAGACGGCCGGTCGGTCTTGCAGAGCTGGATAAGGCCTACGCCAGGCCATTAGCCAGTTGACCTTGTATAGCAAGTCGAAGTTGCTGCTCGTCGAGCTCGTCAGCTCTGATGAGGTCCTCGTCAACATGGCGAATCCAAGCATGACCCGGGGCACTGCGTTCTTCTGCAATGCCCCCGCAGTTGTACCACAACCAACCGCTGTTGTTCGGTTTCTCCTCGTGAGGACGGTGGCTGTTGGTGCTAGCACCTATATCGATGCGGCCATGGCTCAAGGCAAAAAGCGCCACGGTGCCCTTACGAGTGACTGGGCGATTAAATCGTGCGTTATCTCCACTCTCCTTATTATGTCAACTCCGGAAAGAGAAGCCTACATACATGAGTAGGTATCCGAGTTTCTATTATACTTCAGAGGGCAAGGAAGTCAGAGAAAGGCTATGGGAAGAAACAATAAAGGAATTGAATTGCGCTGGCGCTTTAGGAATTGTAGAGAACTTAAAAGGTTCCGCTAAGTGAGGTATATTGCTGCACACCTAGTTCTTGATAATACTTCCGTTGTGGGGTGGCGGGAGCATCTAGAAGATCAATGAGAATATGTCCGTCCAGATTTCATCCCGCTCGAATCTCTGGCAGATCTTCGTCCTCAATGTAACTAAGGTCATCTTCTGTCAAGAACTCTCATTTGATGTCATGAATAAGACCTACGGTTGAAGGAATATGGTCTTCAAGTATTACAGCGGACACGCGCTGAGAGAATGAGAGTGCAGTAAAATCTACCCCGCACACACCCCGCTATTCCGCAACCCCTTTATTAAGCGAGTACTCGCTAAACAGGTTCCTGGGTATGTTCAACTCATTGTTGCTTCATGCGATTGAAATTCTCACCGGTTCGATATGTGTGAAGTGTTGAAAGCCAAGAGAAGCAGATTGTATGGTAAATTAATTAGACCGTGGATTCATTATTTGAAACGAACCTTGAAACGATGCGATAACAAGATAAAGATGATAACAAGCTGTTTCTTGACAGAGACTCACAAGAAGAACTGGGCTGACCTTCCTTCAGCACTTAGGAGTCACAACACAACACGAACCACAAATAATTATGCTCGAGGAAAGTAAACCCCGAAATCCAACCTCGACGGCGGCTCTCTACTCGTGGGTGGTATCGTCTGTGCACTCTAGATGGATTCTAGCATAGTCTTTGCTATAATCTAAAGGACCGTTTCGAGGCTAAAAACCTCCCCCATGCTCTGAATTTCTGACTGCTCAGTTGTAATCACGACTTTATAAGCAGTGACACCTTGTAAGCAGGGGTTGAGTGAAGTATCTATTCCCAAGCTCTACCCCGAAGTCAGCCCAACGCATCGAAATTAGTAGAAAACTTTCCTCATTGCGCTCTCAAAAAGTACAGCCACAATCAAACAGGTCATCGAAATCCATGGGTGCTGTCAACTCCTCAACGCGGACACGTCTTAACTCTGCAGTCCACCAAATGAACCCTCTTTTACGATTGCTGTTACTGCCTTTAAAAGTCGCTACTACTACCTCAACATGAAGCCTTCATACATCCACTACAGCAAGAATGGGCAGGAGATTCTCTTCAACCCCGAAACTGAAAAGCTCTACTTCACCAATCCCACCGACTCAAATTTTCGCTTCACTTTGCATTACCCTTCTTATCAAACCTTAGAGAGCAAAATATGAATTGTCCGGACTTTCACAGTCAAATCTCGTCCGCCGTCAATTTTCAGCTCTCCCTTGTCAATCCAAGTTCAGATAGATACCTCCCTTACATTCTTACAGCGCTCTCTCAATTCTTTGTGAGAAATTGAGAATCAATCAAATTCACTTACGTGGTTTCACTACAGAACAGAGTAATGAGGTTCGAGCAAAGATTTCGGTTAGTTGCGTAAACATCTGCTCGGTGGGATGAAATTCCCCTGAACCACGATTAGTAAGCTAGAGTAGGAGGAAGAATTTAATAGTTGAATATCTGCTGTTATGGGAGAAGTCACAGAGAATATGAAGCTAAAGCGGAGATAAGCTAATGCGAGCAAGCTTGTGTTTAAAAGCAAGTGAGGCTCGCTCCTCCATAACGTGGCCTTCCCGGCTCGACCTCAGAAATGGGAATAGATAAATAGTCTCCTAGAAGACACCCAGGACTTTGCCAATAAGACATCACTGCTGAAAGAGGCTTTCGATTAGGAGACTTCTCCCTGGTAGGTACAATATTCGATTAAAGTGCTTTAGACTGCATTGGGCCAGCACCATGTAAAGGCAATGCGTAGTCCAAAGCTCTTAAACCTTTGCAGGTGATTCCCATGCGTGAAATTCTATAATAACCGAATTGATGACAACAAGTGATTTCTTGATAGCAAAAAGACAAGAGAAGCTAAGCCCAGGCCTCGGTCAGTACTTTCAGAGTGAAAATGAAGTAGAATGAATCAAACTCGTGGCAATAAAAAGATATAAGAAATGCAATCTCGCATTTTCTACACGGATAGAAACGCAATCAGTTCAAACCCAAGTGGACTGGGAAGACTGGTGACTCACCTACTCTTGAGCACTTCGAAAATGCGGGGAATGATCATTAAATACATCCAAGTTCGGAAGTCGCTTGGGACTTCAAACGCTTCTGTTGGAGGTGCCAGCTTTGTAGTCTGCCATCCTTCTCCCTTTAGGGCCTTTATATGAAGGCATGCTTAGAAGCGATCAGAAATCCGGGCAGATATACGTGAGAACATCGAGAAGCTGGGAAGTGTGTTGTCAAATTCTTCTTGCTGCCATTCATCCCCTCCACCTCCCTCAACATCACCCACTAGCCACCACTTCCCAGGGCCAACCTACACTCTATCACGTCTCCTCTTCTGCTTCGTATATCTTTTTCTAATTCAGAGGATGTTGGCTGAGGCCCTGACAAGGGTGAGTGGATATCAGGAATCTGTGGGACTCTCCGGATGGTTGAGTGAAAGTAGACTCATTCCTCTCAGTCACCAAACTCTCAACAACAGGCAAGAAATGGAAATTTAAAAGCATCTATCATTCCAAAATATACAAGAGATAGCCAGATGGCAATTATCCAACAAATCCCGGCGCGGAATATAAGGTCAAAGCCGTCTATTATACACCGCAACTTTTCCAAAATCGTCTCCTCCGCCTTCACCTCTTACCTCCTCTACCTTTCCCCTCGAAAGATCTGCATCTCGCAATCCTCAGGCTTGGTGGGTGAGTCTAAGCAGACACACTCGGCCTCCTCATACTCCTACTCCGTCTAAGCTGCTGATCCTCCTGCTCAAGTCAGCTTTCCTTTCCAGACCCTCAACCGTCAAAGATCTCATGTAATGTGGGAAAGTAAAAGATGACAACTCACCTCCTCCTTAACACCCATCGGCTCCCTATCATCCGGCAACCTCACCGCCCTATCCAACGCCACCGGCAGCCCGCGATGTCTCCCCCTAAGCATAACCGCGCACAGAATCACCTTGCTCGCCTTATGCCACCCCCCACAGAAACTATACGCCTGACTCGGCAACCCCGTCGAAATCCCCACGCAGCCGTATCCAGACACGACTTCGAAAGCGATGTTGAACACGCTATACGTGACGGGGTCGCGGTCGAAATTCGACACCTCGATGCAGGAGATGAAGAGGATGGCGAGGACGAGCCACCAGAGATCGTGCGCGAGCTGGCCGCGCACTTGTTGGCGGACGAACTGCGTGCCGGTGCTGGAAGAGGGAGGGGAAGGGGAGGAGAAGGGCCCGCCGAGGGCTTGTGTGCCGAGGGTGAGAGTGCGTTTGAATGTGCCCATTAGCGTGCCCAGCTTCGGCGGCTGCTTCTCTGCAGAATTATCCGGCTCATCTGCGTATATCCCCAGACTCCGTTCTTCGTAGACATTTGAATGCCGCATGGTGATCACGACGGGGTAGACGGAGATGTACATCATGATGACGTATAAAACTTGTAATCCGATTCGGAGGGTGGAGATGTTGACCACATAGAAACCACCGGATCGGACGGCTAGGGCTTGGAATAGTCCGTCCAGGACGCGGTAGTGGCTGGGGATGGAGTCCGTGGCTGGGTTGCCGATGTTGAGGAGCTCGAAGGCGGCCCAGTCGATGCCGTTTAAGATGACAACCATGAAAAGGAGCCACCAGGTTGGTTGGGAGGGGAAGAGGTTGGTGTAGACGCGGCGCGGATAGCGGAGCACGAAGCGGAGAGTGGCTTTGTACTCTGGGTGGACATCGGGGGAGGGGTAGATGGCGCAGAGGAGTTTGAGCATGCTCCACAGAATGAGTCTCAGGAAAAGGGGATATCTATATTTCTCAGCTTCTCAACATCATCTAAAGCAATGGGCTTACGCAGTGTTTCCAGCCAAGATCAAGAGACCCATCGTGATGAGTGTGTAGACTGAAGTCTGGAACGGGATCTAGTTTTGTTAGTTGAACTGAAAGGGATGAGGATTGGGGAAGGGGATGGAGGACTACCATATTCGCGTCCAACAAGCTCATCCCCGAGTTATTGAATGCAGAAATAGCATTGAACGCACCAAGCCACCTGTCCTCTCATTAGCACTTTTCCCACCCTTTTCCTCAAACATCAGAACTCACCAAGGATTAATCCCATTCCCCTCCGCAATAGCACGCTTATTATACGCCGTATACGCGCCTAACCCCAGACTACCCAATAACTGCCACAACACAAAATAAATCGGCACCACCCACCCCAGCAGCGTGATAGCCCTATACTCCACCCCGCCCAAATGTTCTCTCTCCGCTCTGCTCAGGCCAAAGAACTGTGCGTTCCTGCCTGTTGTATGCCGGGTGAGATAATGCGGATATATTTGATTGCTCAACCCCTCTCTAACCACTTCTTCCTGTTTTCCCATTTTCTTCTCACCGCGTTGGACGAGCCCACTAGCGTTGCGGAGCCGGTAGGCGGTGGAATTGGGGTGTGCGCCTACGCCAACAAACGACAGGACGCGGCGGTGGGAGAGAGGCTCAAGGGGAGGCTCGGGCACATATCGCATGATGGAGATGCGATCACTGGTGCCACTGCCTCTTCTCGGACGGACACCCTCATCTACCACCGGCGCCGCTCCCCCTCCCACACCAGCAACAAGAGTACTCCCACTCCCCTGGCTCCCTCCCACCTCCACGCCTGTGGTCTGCCCAGGCACATCCTCGAGGACATGCCCAGCAGACCCGTTTTCCGGCCCAGGAGTCGGATCACGCGGTCCTGAATGCCTGCTCTCGAACCCGCTCCGATCAAACGGCTCCCCAACCTTGCGCTGCTCCTGCAACCTCTCATTGACAGGGACTTCTCCCGTCGATGCACGACGAATACTAGACAGGCTCCGTCTCCGCTGTCTATTCTCTCTCTGCCGTCTCACCACGCCCTTAAACCTTGACTCAAAGACCCTCTTCCTCGTAAGAACCGTGCCGATAGAGACAAAAATGCTGCTTCCCTAAAGTATCTCACACCGTCAGCAACCTCGTCTGAATCTCGCCACTAGTGCAGATCACGGGATCACTTACAATCATGATCAACAGCCACAGCAAGAACTGCTGCCCAGTAGTCATCTGGCTCAGATTAACCGTATTCAGACCGGCCTCGGTCATCGCAGACACAACTAAAAACAGCGAGTCCGTGTATCCGATGGCATACTCGGGCGTCGACATGCCGTAGAAGATGAGCGAGGTGACGAGACACACGGAGATGAAGTAGGCGTAGTGAACCGTGATGAAGTTCAACGGAGGCAAATAAGCCGTGACCTTCCGAAGGGTTGAGCTATCTTCAATCCTGCGCTTCAAGGAGCGGAGCGTTGAGCGCAGGGGAAGGGAGGGCGCCATTTTTGATGATCGATGGTCAGCGACGAATGGGGTTGGTTCCTCGGTGAGGGATACTTTTGGCTGGGTTCTTTCGTTGTTGTAAATAGATGCTTTTTAAGGTGAGTTGCTTTATCCAAAAGATGTGCTGTTTATCTTTGAGATGTTGAAGTGAAGCGGTCAACACTCAAAATTCGAGATGCGGTCTAGTCTTGGCTCTTTCACCCGACGCGTCGGGCTAGAGCGCGCTATGTATTGCGGTTCGGACCGAGAATCATCCTTTCGGATTACGCTACTCGTGCGGCATTTGATTGAAGTCGAGTTGAGGGCTCTGTAAGGACAGGAACCCGCTAGGGAAGAGATCCAGCCTTGCGAATGTGGGGTGGTTGAAGATTCGAGGATTGTGTGTTGTCAGGAGGTGAAGTGCATCAGCCATTTTTCTTGGCATTCGAGTTCAGCCTCTTTCATGAAATTGGCCGAGGGTAAAGGGACGAGAAACTAGTACCGCGACTGAGAGCAAGGGTCTTGGGTGGTTATCGTCCAAATTCACTAGAGGGAGCGTTGCGTCACTGTATTTGAAGGTAGATCGAAACATTGAAATAGCCAACGTGCTCTTATTCATCTCTATATCTACTCCCCATTCCCCTTCATCCTCCTCTCATATCTCCATGCCTTCCACCCAGCCCTAAACTCATGCTTCCACTTCCGCCACACCACAAAGACAAAAAAGATATAGGTCATATGAACCCATCCAGAACGCCGCTGTATCCGGCCTCGGAACCATCCTCGGCACAGCAAAATGTCCTATTGATCTCACATATATTGCTTCACCCCATCTTCTTTCTCTTGACGGATAAAATAAAATTACGATAAAGCCCTTAGAACGCCATGACAAAGTAAATACCCCCAATGAATGCAGCCGCCTCTAGCCTCTAGCGTACAGGCCTGTGAAAACAGGCAGAAGATGATTTTTGGTGATATTGATTGAACGACGGGATTAAGAAACAATCATTTTGTCCTTGGTATGCGTTCGTATATGCGTGCGTATGTATGTGTATCGTGTATCAGTCGTGAAGCGTTGATACTTGGGCGTGTCGACTCGGCGCTTCAGGTCTTTGCGATGATGGCTGGCTCGAGGACTTGGCCCGACGTGACCTCGACTTTGTCGGGTCGGTGTGTGATGGAAGGGATGGACGATCGTGATTCGTTTTCAAATTCCACGTTGGTGAGGATCCCGCGGTGGGAGGCGTGGACCATTCTCATTTCTGGCATTGATCCATTCCTGAGCACCGCTCTGTCGACCAGCAGGCTGCTCAGCAGGCAGCTTCTGATCGGATCCGCTTCCTCCGGATGGGGGAGGGTTTCCCCCACCTGGGTAATTCATGGTTGCTGGATCGACTGGTCGGAGGTTGTGGACGACGGATTGAGTAATTGATGCCACGACGTATCCTCGGAGTTCCTTGTCTTCCCTGCTATCCTCCTTCTCAAGACGGAATCGTTCGTCCTTTGCCATGTTCGATCTTCGTAGCATGCGGATCTCATTTTGGATGTAGAGCATGACTTCCTCGGGACATCGGTTCCGTTCAAGTGCCTGCTCAGTCTTTCGCACATAGCGGCGAGTGACATCTGTTGCGCCGTCAATTGAGAAGGCGATGCAGTAAGACATCTTCTTGCCCCATCCCTCAGCATATAGTCGTGGGTTGTCCCAAGCCTCTTCACAAACGTCGACATGGATCCATCGTTTTTGCATCTCAGAATAAACCTCCGTCCAGATGTGGTCCTCGGCATTCCAGACCCATCTAACGCGACCTCCGACTGCTCGACATAACATGCTGAAAACGTTGGCCCATTCTCCACATCGTCCTTTCCTGGTTTGGAGTAACCGCCACACATCACCGTAGCGTGGAAACCTTTCATAAGCTCCACAATCACCAGCGGAGCATCGGTATAATTCGACTCGGAGCGCTCCGTATGCTGACTCGTCGGGTGTGGGAGGTGTCATCCCTTGGGCAATTGTTGGTGAAAGACAGACCGAACATGGGGGATTGTTGACCCATGAGAAGAACGATCGCTTGAACCATCTAGGTCAAAGTCAGCAACTGATCGTCAATTGAGCATAGGATCAGGCAACATACCTTAATAATGCACGGATGACACAGTCTTGATAACCCCACTCAGGCTTCCGTCCATCTCCCATGCTCTCAGCCTGCGCTTGCAGCACCTGGCTTTCCTCTTCTGCCTCACCATATATTCTATCCAGCGGGATAACCTGCAACGCTTCGTCTAACAACCCAGGGTTTTCGTACTTCATAGGTGTCAATGATAATGAGATTAATAGGTTTCTGAACTTCTGCGACTGCGCATCGGCAGGTGCTGACGGGATCTTGGGTAGATTTCGCAACGACGCGTAGGAAGGAGGAGTTGCGCTGAATTGAGAGGCACTCGATGTCGATGGTCGGTAGCCTGGTGACTGTGGAGGGTTGAGCGATTGAGAGGCTGCGGCTCGAAGGTTGCTCGACGAAGCGCTCTCTCGCGGTGATGGTGACGAGGTCCGTGATCGCGATCGGTCGAGTTCGTTCAGACGTTTCGTCCGCAATAAGCCCTCGAACTGTACCCGCAAGTCCTTTGCCCATTGCTCGTCGTACTCGCCGTTTTGCGATGAGCCGAATCCTGATGAGTCGGCCATTATGGCGTCGCACTTGAGGTGATGTGAAGGGTGTTGACTTTGTCCTCGATTCCCCTAGATGCCCACCGCTCCGCTGCTTCTCTCTGTCCAATGTTGATTGTTGCCGTCGATTCTCCGTCCTGGAGCGCCTGGGTTGGGAGTGTTGGAGGTGAGGGAAGGTTGTTGAAAGAGCGTGAGGTCCCTGAGAGGGCTGTGTAGAGGTCGTCAAGTGGCGGATTGCGACGACTTCTCGCTTACGGGTTCAGGCGCAGCGTAAGAATAGAAAACTGCCCGTGGGAAGTCCGAACGGCAGGACTGAGGGTCAGCGTTGGCTATGAAGTGCTGTCTGTATATTATGAGAGTCGTCTCCAGCACGGGTGTAGGTAGTTAGGTAGGAGTGATGTGTGCGGGCGACGACGAGGTGACGGGTGTGGTGGTTCGGTTCGTAGGCAGGGACGGAGAGAGGGAGGGAGAGAAGCGTCGTGGCTTGCCTGCTCCGTCAGACAAACTCTCGCGCCGACTAATGGTGGGCGAGGACGCGCACTGGTGTGGAGGGCCGACGGCCTTGTCACTTTTGGGTGCAGTGTCCAGCAGCGGAGACTTCTTTGCGTTTGCGGGCAGCGGGATTGCCTGCTGGGAAGGGGGGGAGGGGGTCGTCCTGGGATGAATGGGACTGGGGGGTTCCTCCGCTTCGCCTGGCTTGCCTGCTTGCCTGGCTTGTCCTGAACTGGCGAGCGACGCCGGGAGGAGCGAGCAGTGAGGAGCGAGGAGCGAGGATCGAGCAGCGTGGAGCACACACAGACTGGACGGACAGTGGACGGGCTGGACAGACAGGCTGCAGCCTGCAGCAGCACAGCGCGCAGGCAGTGGAGCGGCCCCCGCGGCGAGATTGGTTGGATTGGGCTGTTGGTGGCCGGCTCGCTGCGCGTGGTTGGCTGGAGGTGGCCTGCTGGCGATTTCGTGCAGGCTTGGCAGGCGAGCGTCGTCAGCTCCCACAACCTCCTTGCCTCAGGAGCCAGGACCACCCCCCCGAAAAATGGGCCCCCTAAATAGACTTCCGGCTCAAACAGCCACTCCGGAGCCGTCGCTCTCTTGATTACTCTCCCGAATCAGCTGCGCGGCGAGTGGAACTTTCTTCTGGTCGGTGTTGCGCCTGTTGGCCCTGATGAGTGAGTGTTGACGTTGTCGACGTTGTCGACGTTCAACTCTGGATTCTGCTCGTTGCTTGGCACCTGGAAAGGGGGCAGTTTCGCCGGAAGTGGTTCTTGTATGACGGAGAAGAATAGTGCGGATGCTGTGCCCAATGAAAATATCAGACGAAACAAGCTTGACTTTGATATCGCTGAACTCCCTTCTGGTATGAGGCCGAAGTAAACCGTTGATCCCAGTCGTCCACGTCGCAGCCTTGCGCCGTGAGCTCGAATTCCACCACACGTGATTTGAGGGGATGGGGTACAGGATTCTGTAACTTCACTGGTTTGAGGCGCAGAGGAGTCTCACTGGATTTGAAGTGTGGACTGACGAAGCATACGCAGATCACAGTCTTTTTGTTTCCGGATATCAGCAGAGCCGTGATCCCTTAAAGTAATGCGCCGAGTCCGCTGTTCGCAAATGCCCATCCACCTTTCACTCTCTGTTTCGCCCCATAGGCAAAGAGTTTGATACGCAAGCAAGTAAAGAAACAGAGTTCATCTTACGCATTCTGGCCACCCGCGCAATCGTTGTCTTGCCTAGAAAGATTTTCGTCCAGCTTACCTGACCTTACCTTCGTCGTACGAGTATGTGTACGTGATCTTCGCCATCTCTTGGCATCTGTGGAACTGAGACATCGCCAACATGCTCCGCGGCTCCGCCATACAGCCAAAAGCCTTTCGCACCGCCCGCATTCACAAATTCACAATAGATTAACCCATATCTCCCCGTCAGCGGAACCATAATATAACTCTCGGTCTTTTCCTCTCCCTCTTCATTAAAAATGTTGATTGCTCTCGACGATCCATTTTCCGCTTGGTCGAAGGACACGCGTCGATGTCTTGGCAAAGCTTAGCGCCGCCGCTAGCTTGCGTGGACCAGAACCCCTGGCTGCCTCGCTTACCTCCTGGACTTTCCTCCCTACCGAAAAAGTACTGCAAAGCCAAAATTAAGCATCAGGCGAGAGACGAACATCAAACACCAAACGAAAAAGCTTGGTATTAATCTACCTGCAACAGGAAGCACTCTCCTCCGTAGCTGGGAATAAAGTTGGGAATCGTCTTGCCTTGAGTTAAGGTTGGCGTTTCGGCGGGGTGAGGTGGACGTTTCTTACGAAAGCTGTGGCGAGTGGGCATCAACTGACCCTATCCCGGACTCCTGAACAAACTGACTGTTGAAAAATTTGGAGATGCCCTTACTAATCTAGTTACCTTTCACCGCCCCTCTCGCCAAACCACAACTTCTCTCTGTCCACCGTCCAGCAGACTTCGGCGGTAGAAAGTCCCCGTTGTGGCGTGAGTCCGTGGCGGCGTCACCAGTCCTCCGCATTTTAAGATTGAACAGGCCCATCTTCGTCACACCGTCACCTTGTTCGGCTTCAGGCGCGAGGTTAGGGCTCATCACGCCGAAGCAGCGATGAGCACAGTCTGGCACTTGCAAAGCAACTGAACTTCCACTTCCACTTCGACGTGCACTATCTGCTCCCCAACCACTGAAATCTCCATGATATCCACTTACCTCCTCCCTCGGACTCTTCTCCGACTCCTCCCGAGCACAAATTGAATCCCTAGTCCCTAAGTCAATTGTGGCTTGTGAAAATATGGGTCTGGCTCAACCTCACTCCACATCCATTTTGAGTTTGAGCCTCATCATCCTCATTTCTTTCGAGATCCACTTCTACTTGCACACGTCGTCTTGACATCTTGACATCTTGCCGTCTCAAAGTCTCTCTCCCCCTCAGAGTATTCGTACCACAGGACCAACTTCGGCGCAATCACCACCGAACAATCCTCTTCTGTACAATAGATGATAGATCAGTTCAACCGGTAACATTGCTTACACGAACTTGACATCCGGTCGTGCACGACGCGCGTATATCTATCCCTTCGCTTCTCGCCGTGCTCTGTGCTCTGTGCCGCCCTAGGTGACAGCTCACCGACCTCACACCTTCCACATACTTTCTGCTAACCTTCGAGAACGCCTCGGCATGTATTTACCCGAATCAGGAAGGCCGATGCAGTGAGCCGATGGTGCGTAGGACTCAACCTTCACCGTAAAAGTAAGGAAGCGAATACTGGAGAAGATCCATTGAAGCGACAATAGGACTGTCTCCTTGAACTCCATAGAAGCTCGCCAAACTGCTAGTCCGGTCTCATGAAAGGGCAAAAATCAATATTCAGCGTCTGGCTGCTTCATTGTCCAATGGCTTCAAAAAGAGAATTCCCCCACTCGGGAGTCGTAATTTACAATGAAGCAGACTTTATTCGAACAAGCCAATGAAGAGAGGCTGTGGGGTGATAAACCTTCTTCTGGACTTCTTCCGCATCTGCACTTGTAAGAACTTGCTTCGACAGTGTTCTCGACCTCATCTCAGCCAAGTGGCTTGCTTGCACTTCAGTGCTCACCACACTTGTTGTGGCTTCCCACCTCCCTTCGCACACCTCACTCAACCCTTCGGATCCAGACCCTCAATATACACACCCCTTAATTGACTCGGATTCGCACTCGCACTCCTCCTCGTCCAGAAACCCAAATATCACGTGCACGCACCGAGCGCGAGCTCTCTGACGCGCGTCTGCCGCCTCCACGCCGGTATCCCAGGCCTAGGTACCCCTCCAGCTCATCACCGATAAACCTTCGGTCCATGTAAGACTAATGGTAATTTATGGTCGTCCCGAGGAAGTCCCGCTCTGCCGCCTGCAGCCCGCGACGCCAGTGAGGCAGACCCTGTCTCCCACTTTATGGGTCAACGTCGTGGAATAACAGAGACCGTATTTGCTGAGTATGTACTGTATGTATCTCTAGGCAACCCAATTTGACTTTATGGGGTGCGTACCTCTGTTCGAGATTCGTACTCGGCACTGTCTCGTACATCTCACACGTGATGTATTGGCCCTTGGCCATGAACGAGGAGCGAGGGAGATGTCGAGGCGAGAGAAAATGAACGATGAGGAATTGAATTGCGGCCTTCGGTACATGCCAGACAGCAGCTTGCTACCTCTCTCGTACAGCTCGCACGTGAGATGGTGGCTCTTCGTCAGTCATGCGTAAAAGATCCAGCGCGGCGTCAACGCAAGAGAATGAGCGGTGAAGCAGGAAAGCAAGGTACTTGATGAAAGAATGCAGAACGTTGACATGAAGAAAAGCGGCCAACGGAACCGGCCTGCGTCAGTCTCTCATGCATTCATGTTACTCCCCATCGCCAACCACTCTTCACCAAACACTACATACAGCACCTTTCTTTACTCGAATCATCAGACTTCACAACCCCACCTCTCTATCCCTCCATTCCTGCTCCCCCTCCCACCTCCCAGGCAACCCCGCCTCCCAAGCTGGCCGCTCCACAACCGCGACCTCGGGTCCCAGTCCCTCTTCGCCTTCGCCGATAAGAACAACACCCATAATCGGGCGATATTTAAAGGTGTGCCAATCATGCGGTCGGGGTTCATAGCTACTGCCCCCTCCTTTTCCACGCTTGCCGCCATCTTTACTTCCTCTCCTCAATAAAGACAAGTCGGGTAGGTCAGGGGTGTTGGTGTCCGAGTCGACGTCCATAGAACCCTGGATGAGCTGGGAGTCCTCCTCGACTTCTTCGTGAATGACACGCTTCATGGACCGGGAAATGCCCATCCCAAGTTGAGAATCGGGGATTGCGCCTCCCGCGCCAGAAGCCCGCTCTCTCCCCCCACTTCCGCCGCCATTGCCATTTCTCTTTCGCTTCTTACTGCCATTTACCACCACCCCTCTCTCTCCTCCGTTCTGAGAGGAAGAGGAAGGCAAGTCCCGCGAGAGATCAAACATCCATATCCACCCCACTGAATATAACCACACCCTCTCTCGTCCAAGACTTAAATCCCAAATGCATCCCCGGACAGTTTCTAGCGTCCTCTTAAACTCCTCCGGGAACACAGAGGTAGGGTTTCTCCTCGACCAATCAGACAAGCTTCCTTTCAGGACCTCGAACTCGTAGATTTGAGAGGTAGAGGTTATGACTAAGAGCCTAGCTTCACCGCCTGGTAAGGAGTGGGAGATAGGGTTTGGATTGTTTCTCGTAGAGTGTAATGCCACTGTGCCGTTCGGGAGTTTAGAGCTGGTGGCGGAGGGACGGAATGAGAGCACAACAGGTGCGGAGGGTAGCTTTGGGATGAGGGCGGCGGATGGGTTGCGTCTCCATGTTTGGCCGCATATCGTCTGCTTCTTGGCATTCCCTTCGTCTGGGTCGTCTGAGTCGGATTCTGACTCGCAAGAGGAGGAGGGAGAGGACGAAGGTGACGCGGCTTCCGAGAGGTTGCTAGGGAGGGCTTGAGAAAGGTCCTCCTGCCCGGTGAGGACGAACGTATCGATGTGCCCTGATATGTCACTCACCGCCAGGATCCTGCTGTCTGCTGAGAAAGCAAGTTGCGCTATTGTTCTGTCGTAGGTGCCGAGGCCGCCCAGGAGGATGTGTTTCTCTGTTTTCCGGTCGAGACGAGTAAGTTTGGTAGGTTTAGGGTGGAAGGTGGGTGATGACGCGGAGGAGGTGCCTGAGGTGAGGAGGCGAAGAAGGAGGATTTGGCTGTCAGGTCGGATTATGCAGAGCCATTTTCCGTTTGGAGAGAATTGGATGAGTCGTGCGCCTGAGCAGCAGGTGCTTGGGCCTGGGAGTTTGGAGACTCGTAGGATGTCTTCTTCTACTTTTGGTCGCAGTTGGAAGAGTTTGATTTCTGAGTTTGTGGATACGGCGAGGAGACTTCCTTCCGAGTTCAATGCTGCAGATGTGATGTTTGCTTCGCCTTTGATGAGGATCTTGGCGACTAGTTTTCGTCCTTGGGGTGGTTTATTCTCGATATCCTCGTCGTTGTCGGTGCAGTCGGGATCTTTTCTGATGTGCCAGATATGTATTTCTCGATCCCACCAATTCATCATCAATCCATGCTTGGGAGCACTGCGGATCAAAGTATCCTGTGGAAGGAATGGCAATGAACGCTGGTTTTCAAATCCGTATTGTCCTAGTGGTACCACAGTGGGTGCAGCATCGGGACCTGTCGATGTCAGTAATGTTCGAAATTTCCAACAAGTCAATCTTACCTCCAGATACTATGACACTCAACCCACCTCCCTCGAAGCTCGCCATAGTTTTCACATCATGAGTGTGAAATCTTCGATGCGCAACCTCTGCCCATCGACCTTTTCCTTTGCCTGCTGGCTTGTATACCACAGTCCTCCTGTCCATACCTCCGCTAAATATCGCTGACCCGTCAAAATTCGTGGCTAAACTCAATACATCCTGTTGATGTGACTTTATCCTCTGTCTCAACGTGTACAGCTTCCCATCCCATATCTTGATCTCCCCAGTTGAGTCGCCAGAGACAATCGTACCATCCCGCAGAGCCTTCACAGACCAGACAATGATCTCTTTCGGCCCTCCTTTCGGTCCAGATCCCAGTGTCATATTCCTCACCGTTGACCCATTTCTGATGTCATATATTCGAATTGTGCTATCCGTACACCCTGCGACAACAATATTTCGATTCTGGAAGACAACGCTTATGACCTTGGCCTTTTTCGCTGAAGGTCGGACAAGAACCCGTTGTAATTGAAGGTCTTCGTCCTCCGTCGAGTATAACACCAATGCGCCATCAGTACAACCTGCAATCAAGCGTTGCCCTACCCATTGGCCTGGATCCGCACCCTTCTCGCTCTTCGAAATAGGTGGCTGAGCAGCAATGCACCATATCTCGCCATGGTTTCCGCTTGCCTGTCGCAGAGGTCGACCTTTTGCAAAATCCCACTCCGTGACAGTTGTAGTGTACCCAATGCTGAAAAGCCTCGATTTCCCAATGAATATCTTGCCATCGACCTCCTCAGTCGGATCCTGAGTCCACACAAGCCCATCAATACTCCGATCTTTGCCTCCTCGGATTATTGTCTCCTGCAGCCATGCTCCACCCTGCGGATTCCATAATTCGATATCGCCGTTTGCGCGCCCAACTGCAAGCCTCGGAGGCGCAGCTTTTTGGTCCTTGGAGATGTGCGAGTGCGAAAATGCCAAGGCATTGATTGTCGAAGGCGGAAAGGGCACGAATCGACAGCGGTGGATGTCCATGGCGCTGGTGGAAACGATCAAGTTCTTCGAAAAAGTTCTTGAAGTTTTGAAGATAAACTGCCGGAAGTGGGTCAAGGCGGTGAGAGGATAAAATTGAGACATTTTGGATAAATTCACCTATTGAAGAGGAGGAAAGCGGGTCGTCATTCTAATAAAGCACACTAAAATTCTAAGTAGAAACCAAAGCTCATCTCTCAGCTCTCAAACATCAATCTCTTCCATCTGCAAGCAATCATTTTTCCTTTCTGCCTAGCATATGAGTCTTCAGGATGAAAACTTTCACATATCGAAATTTCCTCTGCTTAACAGGATTTCTCGAAGTCGAGTCCCATCGTCCTAACCAACTACGCGATACTCGAGTCAAGCTGCCCTTTCATTGCGTTCATCCCCTTCTACACATTAGTTCAGAGAATGACTCGGGTTTCTACCCGCCTCATTATTCTTATCCTTATGATCGAGTACATTAACCTTCTCCCGGATGGCTTCCAAAGTTGTGTCAAAAATGAAGAAATAGACGGCAAGACGCTTAACACCAAGCCACCCAACATACACCAGATAGTATTTCCAGCCCGCATGTTGCAAGTCAATGAGGCTCACAAAGCTATTGACAAAGAACGAGGCCTATCCAATAATCATCAACGGAACCAGTCCTTTTGACCGCATCGGATATGGCCGTATTCGTACTAAGTGGCCAATGACCTCAATTCCAAAATGCTGAACAGTTCAGTTTACAAATTCATCTTACTCCGCCCATGAGCCTTTGTCAACTGCGGGTAATGCGATACTTCAACAACACTCCTCGACCAAAAACTCGCACCCCTCTTTGGACTCATCCATAGCACTGCCGCGTCTCGGTCATTCCATTGGTGAAGAAGGCATAGCACAGGGCATCTGGCATCTCGGTGCTCTGCAAACCATTTCCAACTACGCTTCCATGACTCCGGAACAAATCGTGGCAGGCTCAGCTGTGGGTCAGGTGTTCGACTGGCAGTTCAATATAGGAAGATCGAAGCAAAAGTGAAAAGATTCTAGCCAGGATCGAAGCACTGAGCTATGAATTGAATTTATAGCCTTGACTCTTGACTCTCCCGTCTCTGAAAGAGGAAGGTGATGAGAGACAAGGACAGGTTTGGCGACGCGGGAAACGCCCACGATTCTCCTGCCTAGGAGTCCGCGTCCTATGCTCGCAGGGCGACAGGACTCTTGCTGCAGGAGATCTGACTTGGACTGAAACTTTGGACCAGCTAACAAAATGCAAGGCGTTGCCAATTGTACTGAATGGGGCCCTGATTCACGAAGATGCCTATCTTACATCGAAGTACTCGCCGAGCTTGAAGGGACCTCTTTTTCGAGCGATCTTTGGGAATAAGTGCAGATGCTGCACCGCCAGCAGTGTGCACCCTATTGGAAACCGCAAATACGGAAGTAATTTTCCATCTGGAGGTCTACGTCGACAGTAGTATCATGTCAGGTACGGATGTGGTCAAGGATCTGTGTTTTTGTGCAAAAGCAGTGGGTGTTGGAAGAGTGGCCTTGTATGGGATCGGAGCTGGTGGAGTAAAGGGTGTCGAGAGAACATTTGAGTTGCACATTATGTCGCGCCTTGCTTACATTCGAATTATTACAAGCAGAGATTGAGATGTCTATGCGTCTTCTAGGAGTGGAGAAAATTGAGGGCCTCGGACCATAACATGTAAGTTCTTCATATACTTGTTTCTTAAGATTGCCTGGCTCTAAAACATGAATCCAGATCAATTCTCAAGCATTAGTAAGAGGTACTTTCGGTGGGACTAATATCTGGAGCAGATCTGGAGCAGCTCTTGCTGAGATTGAGATCAAAGTTGTGGAGACTGTCAGCTGTTGGAAATGATTAATCTCTCCTCCGCCTCCTGATTCTTAAACGATTTTCTACTCTGAGTTAAATCTAACACGATTTGAAGTTAAAGACCGTAGCTCGAAATGAATCATTTCAAGTTCAGCTTCAAAACCTCTTTCGCAAGTGAAAGAGCTCGCACTCGTGCTCGATTAACCCCGCAATGGGGGTGGCACAATCTCAAAGATAGGGGATTTCTTCTCGACTCCTCCCATCTTTCCAACACCACGCCACTGTAACCTCCCCTGAACTTCTTTGGAGAGCAGCCTCCGTTCTTGAGCATTGAGACACCCGCGAGCATCTATTCGGCAAGTTTCCCCGACGAAGGCAGTGGCGGTGCGTGGACTGGAAAGAGAACATTGATCGAACTATATCGCTGAGTATTTCTGGAGCATTGGCGTGTTTTCACATTGAGAAGTCTCTTGTAAAATTATCTATCCCGGTGGTTTGATTCTTCGTTCTGCAACTTGAAACTCCTCTCTTATTGTTCTCATCTACGCAAAATATCTTTGGGGATGCTGAAGGTTAAGAGCGATCAGATCATTGATGAAGCAGGGCAGCCTGTCATTCTGCCGGGCACATGTCTTGGGGGATGGCTGAAGTGACTCTGCTTTACTCTGCCAGATCATTGATGTCACATGTCTATTTGGGGCCCTGCCAATTTTTGATGGGTTTTGTTATTAATGCTATTTTCGCTGTATCTCTCAGACATGGGGACTTGCAAAATTTTTGGTGAGCTTTGTCACTCATATTTTTTCCCTCGCTCTATAGAGCCTGAGCAGTAGATGCAGAAGCAGAAGCAGAACGGGCATCTCTTGGGCTTACCATCAAGCACAACCTTACCGCTGGTGGCTGGTCTGCAGCGGAGGGCGAGATGCGGAGGAATTAGTTGTATTCACCGCGACCGTGCTCTGAGTCCTCTCCTCTCTTGTTATATCCACCGCGGCCGTCCTCTAAGTCAACTCTCTTGTTGTATCCAACGCGTCCGTTCTCTGCCTTTGCAGTTGGCGCAGTATTGTAGTCGATGCCACCGATAGTGAGAGTGATGAGCACACTGGTGCCGGATTTTGTCTTGGTCTGAGAAGAACCAGAGCTGTGACCTGGCGATGAAGTGAGTGCACTGACATCGGGGCCTGTCTTGGTGCCAGTCTCGGTATGGGAACCAAAGAGTCCAGCACTCAGAGGCACGTCCGTGATTGTGGTAATGCCAGTGCCGATTGTGTAAGGGATTCCTCCTTGATCAATGCATTCCAGTTTGGGATTGTCAGCACAAGGGGTTGGACCAAATACTGAGGGAGTCGTGAAGTCTCCACGCTGTGAAGACTCAATGGCCGAGGGAGTCTCAGTGTGTTGACTTCCAGTGGCGGAGGCAGTTCCCACTGTGAAAGTGTGTCCTCCTTGCACGATGCATTCCAACTTGGGATCCGAAGCACACACTGCTGGAGTAAGTTCCGAGGGAGAAGTAGGAATCCCAGGCAGTGAAGACACGCTTCCGGTAGAAGGCTGACTGTCTCGACCTCCAGAGGTGAAAGTCGATTGGGTTCCGTTCTGACATCGAGAGTTGGTCACTATGATTGTGACGGTCTTTGTAGCACAGAAAGTGTCGGAGCTATGGCTCGCAATTGACTCTCTGCCAATTAAATTTATTAAGGCAGATGTCGTTGGGAATGTGACGGAGCCATGGCTCGTGGTTGGCTCTCTGCCAATTGAGTTTTCTGGGGCAGGAATCGAGGGGAGAAACCATGTCTGGGTAGTGTATGACTTGGTTAGAGTTACCACAGGGCGCAGCGTAGTGCCGAACAAAGTGGTTGCATCACCACAGGCAGACTCTCCGTTTGGAAAAGTAATACAAGATTCTGAAGCTGCTGCTGCTGTTGCTGCTGGAAGCTTGAGGACTCGTGCGGTTGCGAGGGTCGAGATCAGGAGCACTGGGCTCAGGATAGTCTGGTACTTCATACTGCTGGAGTGTTCGAGAAGATTCCCGGTGTTTGGTCTTCTGGTAGAAGAAGTTTTGCAAAGCTGCAGGGCCGATAGTATCCAAGGAAGATGTGATTCTTTTGGTCTTGGGATGGTGGATGTGTGCGTTGCAGGAGTGAGATGGTCTGATGGGAACGAAGTTGGGTGGAAACTTCTTCCCATTGCCTACTATGATAATGATCTGTTTACTCTCCTGTTCTAAATATAATGGATTATTCCCGCTTCTACTTGTTCTAACCAAAGATATTTTCAGATTTATAGTAAGCAAATCAAAGCCCTTTTAAATCTTTCGAAACAACTGCTTCTTTGTTGGAGATAAGCTTCATTGACATAATTGTCGGGTTCAAAGAAAACAAGTTCACAGGTGAGTTTTGCTAAGTTCAAGCTTATTCCGTGTTTATTTTATTTTAGCAAGCGCACTGCATACAAAGAAATGACTCGATCTCCTGTTCACAATGGAGAAAGAAGCATCACGTGACACGCCCGTAAAAAGGAGAAGTCAATGCTGGCCAGAACACTTGTATTCAAAGCAAAGCCTAACCGAATATTAAAACCGTAGAATTGTGTGGCGTTGCTACTGCAAAATGCAGATCAAAGTCACTAGAATTTTAGAAGGGTGAGAGCGCGAGGAGTGTGGGTCCTCCCTCTCAGCTCCAGGGAGAATACAGAGTTTTGCGACTTTTATTCCGAAGCTCGGCACTTATATCCAGTACTGACATTTACTTGGTAAAAGAAGTGATTATTCATGACGTAGTTTTACTCTGCCATGGTTATAAGGTAATAGTTTTGCGTTGACTCCAACCTCGAAACAAAAAATATTGCAATAGCGAGTCAACCAAGCTTGGAAGGCCTCATATGAACCAAATGAAGAACACCTACTGTAACGAAGACTCTCGAGAACAAATAACAATGTTAGCCTCATCTAGGAACAAGAATCGCAGTTGGAATTGTTGTCAAGTACGAACTCCTCAAGCTTTAGGAAATCATTGTTTACCAAAGTGGGGATCAGAGCAAATTGGCGCCAAGGGGGAAAACGTAACAGAATCCCAAAACCTTCCTAAATGCGTGTTTCTCCCAATGCGTTAACTCTTAGATTCAAAAAGGAAGAAAACCTAGGAGCAACGTACAGGGTAAGGCTAACACCCAGCAATCTTAAACACTTTTCGATTATCGTAAGCGCATTAGCAACCCAATGGAACAAGGAACAGATTCGACTTTCAACTTCCTTCTGCATTTATATTCTTGTACTTAACTGGGAGTAAACATCAATCTCCTTGATTTTCAACTACTATTTGGTTCTTGGCACCGTGGCATATTCCACGATTACGAAAGTGAGCTCATCTGCCCTATGAACGATTGTGCCTCATCGAACTGCTGTACTTGTATTGTCTAAGAGGCGCCTTAATGGTCTAGTCGAATGCAAAGAGGCACAGGGCTTCAAAACGAAATCAATGGAGGAATCCCTCGGTAATATAGGCGTTATAAGAATTATGAATAACCTCCGCTTCTTTCCCACTCCTCTCACTCTTGCATCTCAAATACCCGAACCCAACTTTGCAGGTCTGCTGTGTCCCACAAAACCTTCCTTGCCTTGGAGTTCACGAAGCTCACTTCGGCAACTTTGGCATCCATCCTTGCGTCTCCTTCTGCCTTCCATGCCAGAGGCTCAATTACAGTCAGCTCTCTTCCGGGATTCAGTGACATCTAGTCTGAGGTCTACGACAATAATAATATACCGGTGTGTACGGGTCTTCTTGGAGTTGGTAGAGAAGGCCGCTGCTCTCTCGTGTGTAGACTAGGATACTTACTATTTTGCCATCTCGACAAATGCAGCCGTAGCCTGGTATAGATATCTAAAAAATTCGTTCACTTGGAATGTTGCACGTACATCCGACACGTACGATTGCTACGGAGCTTGTGACGGTAAGCACCACCTTGCCCGAAGTGCACAGATTATAACTGGGATAAGCGGTTTTACTGTTAGGCAAAAGGTGGTATCACAGAATATACGTCGAGGTGGACGGATAATTCACCGATTCTAGCGGTTTGAGTATTTTGTGATATTCCTAAGCAACTTGCCAAAACTATGTTAGGACGGAGGGATTGGACTGTGCTTGAAGAAAGCGGTGCACTCATGCCAATTGTGAACACTGTGTGATTTTTTGTTGAGACATTGCCTTTGTATGGGTACATTGGCGGATTTTAGTGGTGTCCTTTGGTGGGGTTGATGTCAGTGAATCAGCATAGTCCTTCAGAATCAATCTTCCTTTGCATCTACCATCCATAGACGTCTCGAAACAGTGAGACATCTTCATTTTGATCTTGATCTTCAGTATCACAATGAGTGTTGGACGATGCAAAATAAATAATGTGTTCATCGAGAAGAGGCTGCGGCCCCACAGGACCCTGAGCTGCAAGGTACCCCGCTGTAACACCCCACCTTCCCTTGTAGCTTAGACTCCCCACTGAAATGTTGAGGCAGGGACTGATGACGACACGGAATTCCCCCCAATCAATTATTAATCCCCAAAAGTCAAAGCAAGAGGCCTTTTCCCCGGAAGTCTTCTCCTTCTTTCGCAAATTTTTCCCCCCCATTCGAGCTTCACGTACAAATTTGCAAGTCAATTCCAAGTAAGCACTTTATTTGCGCCCATTGATGCCGAGCTGACAAGCTGCCAAGCTGCCAAGCTGCGAAGCTGACACGTACCGCCTCCAAGATGACAGACCAGGGATATCCGCAGACAGGGAAGCGATTCGATCCCAAGAACATGCTCTTTCGATATCTTGGTGACACTGGTCTCAAGGTTTCTGTGCTTGGTCTCGGAGGATGGCTCACGTACGGAGCCGACGAGGGTGTGAAGGAGGTCGAGCAAACGGCAGCATGCATCAAGGAAGCCTGGGACCACGGCATCAATTTCTTTGACACAGCTGAGATTTACGCCGAAGGAAAATCCGAAATCATCATGGGAAAGGCTCTTAAGAAGTGCAACCTCGAGCGCGATGACTATATCATCACCACCAAGCTGATGTTTGGAGACGGTGAGCTTCAATTGATGTCAAGGGTGGGGTTCGCCGAAGCTGATCGACATCGATAGGAAATGCATTCCCCAACAACCACGGCCTGTCACGAAAGCATATCATTGAGGGCATGAAGCGATCTCTCAAGCGACTCGAATTGAAATCTGTCGATGTGGTGTATGCGCACAGAGCTGATTTCTGGTCCACCCCTATGGAGGAGACGGTTCGGGCTTTCAACACATTGATCGAACATGGACACGCACACTACTGGGGAACCAGCGAATGGACCGCATTTGAGATCGAGCACGCACAGCATGTTGCTACACGTCTAGGTCTCATTGGGCCAGTTGTCGAACAACCTCAATACAATATGTTTGTTCGCGAACGATTCGAAGCCGAATACGCCCCCCTCTACAAACTTTATAACTATGGAACTACGATTTGGTCTCCGCTATATCAGGGCATCTTGACTGGAAAGTACAATGACGGAATACCATCAAATTCTCGTTACGCTACCGTTTCCAAGGGCCAAGCCTCCATGTTTGACCAGCCCGAGACCAAGGCACAGATCGAGAAAGTCAAGCAACTCACCAAGGTTGCCGAGAGACTTGGGGGGTCTGTTGCTTCCCTTGCTCTGGCTTGGGTTATCAAGAATCCTCATGTGTCGGTTGCTATTCTCGGTGCTACGAAGGCTGAGCAGATCACGGAGAATGTCAAGTGTCTTGAGCTGTACCCTAAGATGACGAACGAGGTGATGAAGGAGATTGATGAGATTTTGGGGAATGCACCGAAGATTCCTGGGCCTGCTCCTCCTCGACTTCCGATGACCCGCAACAAGGCTCTTATGTAAAAACATATCTTGGAATAAATGGTACACCGCTGCGGACATAGAATAAATAGAAAAGAGAGAAAATATTTCGAAAGTGCGGATTCTCAACATATCCGCTCCCACCATCTAAAAATCATGTAATGTGCAACACCAACAGATTCTTACAACACCTTTTCTCTGTTTTAAAGACTAGCCTAATACTTAGCCTTCCACCGGGGGTTGGTCAATCCTATAAATAATCTTGGCAGTATTAAAATATGCCTCATACTCCACGTTCTCTGGCGTCGTATCAAAATGATAATGGCCCCCATCCCCATGCTCGGAAAAACAATGCGTATGTTCCATCCTCAACTCCAACCCGGGATCATGCGAATGAAAAGTACTCAAACAAACCAATGGCGCCTCGCACTCATAAAACTTCAGCCATTCCTCGGTCTTCTCTTGCTCCAATGGCTCTTTGCTGAAATCAGGCATCACATGCAACTTCGCCCTCCCCTTCCTGATCAAAAACACGCCACCGAGACTAACAATTCGTTCTCCATACTCCGCTTTCAAAATCTTCTGAATAGCAGCGGTGAAATTTTCTTTGCCGATTCGAGTTCTGGCAACGATTTTCAAGACGTCTCCTGGGGAGCCGTCGCAGCAGAATAAATTTGCCATCAGTGCGAAATCTGCTGAATTGCCAGGCACGGGACCACAAACACATCCTCCTTGCTCGTCGACTTTTGCGTATTTCGTTAAATTCATCACCTGGCCGATCCCGAGTCAGCACTGCTCGACTAAGATTCCAGCACAGTAGAGCTCATGGGAAAGGGTGGACCATGAATGATTCTTAGACTCGAGAGGGATCTCAAAAGTTCGGGACTCGAATATCCCAGAACTCGCGTTTTATTCAAAGAAGAAATAAGGGATTGGGATAAAGAACATAGCCTCACCGCGCCGCCTTCATAGCTAAAATTCGGCATCAACTCCGAATTCCTTCCCACGACGTGGAATGGCCCTGCCCCGGCACCGAGCATGAAGCCCTTGCCGGGGGACATCTCCAGCAATTTTGTCAAGTCTAAGAATGCATATTTCTTCGTGAAGTTGGGAAACGGGTGGAGATAGGGTGGCCCGCCGATGTCTGCAATTTTTTCGTTGCCGCAAAGCCCGGAAGCTGCAAGGTGAAAGGGGGGTTGCCGAAGATCTGGACACCGGACGACGGAGGCGGAGACATCTCTGAAGTGAGGTTTAAGGTTGGTGGTGAGGAGGGAAGCGAGGTCTGTGAGTGGAGGGGGGGCGAGAGGGTGGGATTTGATTGGTAGGGATGTCATTGTCTGTAAGTTAAATAATATAGTGATACAAGTATTGAGTGGGAAAGTGCTGGGAAATCCGGGGAAGTACTTTGCTGCTCACGGCGCTACGGCACAGCCTTGAGATCCCCGAAACAGGGCTATTAGTCAGCCTTAGGGGCTTCCGCAGCCTAAACATTTTATTTTGGTCTACGACTTCTGGTTTCCTTCCCGTTGAACCATTCATCATCAGATCAGCGACAACACCAACGGCAGCGTTATTGGCATCGGAGTCGTTGAAGAAACACGCATTCCGAACAAGCACTTGGGCCAACTCGCAGACGGCTCACTGACCATTCAATGGGAGGTGCAGCGGTATCTCGATTTGCGCCACGAAGTCATTGTACAGTCCGGGCAAACTACTGCGTCAACCATGACACCATGTGGAGTGGCTCATTAACCAATAACCCACACGGGTTAGGTTTAGAACAGTGGTAAAGTTATCTTGTCTAATGCTTCCACGTGGGGATACAAGAAGCGTCTGATGGCAGGAAACCGAAGCATACAACTACCCGGAGGAGTTCGAGCCTCCTCAGACTTTACACGGGAAATGGATATAACGCTATAGATATGCTATCACTCTCTTCGTTCTATTATCCGGTTCTTTTGATTTCCTGTTTCCGAATCGTCCAGTTTGTTGGCAAGGTCCAGCTCATTTATTCAAGTATTCTCACATGCCACGATTCTTCACTCAAATGAAAAGAGTTGAACAAGCATGGGGTGCCGAGAGTGCCAGCCCTGGCGTGCACAAAGCACATCAGACGGGACCTGGCCGAGTCTGAGTCTCCAAACCATTGGCATCAGATCATTCGCAGAGCGTTTTCCAATCAAAATTTTTCACCGCGTGCAAGTTTCATGAGATGACGCCCAAATGGGCCAGAGCCAGCCGTCCGGGGTCGAAGCGGTACAGCGGCTGAGGTTTTGCCGTGGGGAGGCTGCGATTGCCCCCTTGGCGTGGAACCAGAATGAAGGTTGAGTGCATGCGTGCCGACGGTGGGAGTCGGGCGCGACTGTCGTTTGTCCCCTCCTTTGGAGTTCACAATCTCTCGTGTCAACATCTCGCTCTTGCTTTCCAAACTGTTCGCTATCGGAATTGGGTAACCCATGCTAAGATCCATCCTCTGGTTAGAATTGTGCAATTTTGAAGAGCCTTACGCCATCGCCAATGGGGTGAAATCTTGGCTGAACACCAATCCCAGGACAAATGGCCACCTTTGATCCCCTGGCAAGTCGGACCCCAGGATACATCCGGGCCAACCTACATTCTGTTTGGAATTCCCGCGGTCGCTTCTGGGATGGAAGATGACCCCCAAATCACACCATACGGCCACGAGGACACTGACACCGCGGTGGTTGATTATGGATTCAAGGAATGGAAAGGGTGTCTCCAGATATCACAGGCTCTTTCTTTCGGCACTGCGGACTTCAAAGCTGGATGTTTAGCAGTGTCTGCAAGGTTCGCTAGCACTGCTCAAAGTCAAGCTTTCCGGTGCAGACAAGCGAATCATTCTTGATCCGACAAACAAAGAACCGCGCAGGCGGCGGACCGATCTCGAGGAGAAGGTCCAAACCGCAGAGCAGCTCATTCTCTTCGCACAACAGGACATCGAAGAGGCTCCACACCCAGAGTCTTCTCACCAGTCTGCTCCTGAGACCTACGAAGATGAGGAGGAAGAATACCTGCCCCAGAACCCGCTGCCCAAGATATCGAGCAGTGCGACCCAGCCCTTTATCTCCACAATATCAACGCACCTCAAGAAGGGAAGCTGTGGTGGTTCTCTCCGAGAAGGTGGGTCGAGTTGACTCGGACCAGTCGTCCAAAGATGAGCAGGATGCGGGGATGGACTATGCCAAGAAACTCCTAAGGCCACTTACTTCTTGACGCACCGATGTCGTCAAAAGGATATCATTTGGGAATTGCCAGCAGAGAGGGTGTTTTCCACGTGACCCAATGATGAATAGGAGAATAAGGTCGACCCAACCCAAAGACATCTGCACGATCGAATGCTCAATGCCGCCCTCCTCGACCAAGTTCTTCCGCACGCAAAAAAGCACCCCCTTTGCCCCCCGAAGCCCAAGGAATGCCACACAGAAACGCAACCTTGAACCACCTGGAGCTCACTTGCCGGCTCTGATCCTCTTCTCCTACAGTAGTTCTTTGCACCGCTCGCGGAGAGCATTGCCTGGGAAATTATCCAAAAGGCCGAAAGGACTTCTCCCCAACACCTTCTTGTCTGGGCCAAAGCCTGCTTGGCGTCAGCGATGATGAATGTGTTGAAACTTGCGCGCGATGGGCCTCGAGACTCCAAGAACAGACGGCCTGGTGGAAGAAGGGTGGCAACCAAAGCTGAAAGAGGAATGGGTGAAGCTCCCAAAGCACGAATTGGGAGCCAAGCTTGCAGGCATCCCCATTCCTGTCTGTGCTCGATTTGGAGAGGGACAGCACACGATAAGAACGAGACCGCTATCTCCCGATCTCCTCAATGCTCCAGCCATATACGACTCGATCTCAATTGATTTCGCTCCAAGCTCCACCCCGCTGGACACCCCGCGCTCTCTGTAACCATCTCTGGTCAATTGCGCGGCCCCAACAAAAGCAGCGGAGAAAGAGGACAATCGTCAAGGTCTCAAAGACATTAACGACCAGCAGCTACTAGTAACAAAACAATGGGCAATCGGACTTCCGAAAAGTGGGTGTCATGAGCCTGTGGCAAGAGGGTCCCAAAAGCGTATCATATCCTCAATCCCAGAGACAAACAAAAGAAGATCGCAGTTCGGCAAAGCCAGCACAATGCATATCCTCGGTAGACGGAATAGTGGATAATGGCTCACAAGAACGCTATCTAGTTTACACATGTGAACACGGCTCGAAAATTTACCATAGCTGAGTAGGCCCCGTGCAACCTCATTTCTCTCTGTCACTTGAGGATTTCTAAGTCAGGCAACCCGGTACTTCACTGCACGAAGAACCCGCCGTCAACACCAACCACCTTGTTCGTCACATATCCGGTCTTCACCATCCACACAACAGTTTCTGCTACCTCGATTGGATATCCTAAACGCCCAATTGGAATCTCTGCAAATCACCAGTCAAAATTCGGTCAAAATAATACTCAGAAGAACGACCTACTTTTCGCAAGCTCCTCGTTATTCCCGGGAAGCATGGTCGTATCTTGAATGAGAGCTGGAGCAACACCGTTCACGGTAACGCCAGACTTAGCATAAGCGCTTGCAAGCCAATGTACGAGACCATGTAGGGCAGATTTCGATGACCTATATAGAGCATCAGTCATCTTTTTTCCCTTCACTACATTGTGGTGAGACTCACGCATAATGTGGACCGACAACCCCTCCATTGAAGCCGGCAACACTCGAGCAGAAGATCACTCTTCCCCAACCAGCTTTCTCCATTTCAGGTAAACACAGCTGCGTCATGAGAAATGCTGATCCGCAGTTGGCACGCCAAGTATGCTCGAACTCGTCGATGCTGATTTCAGTGATTGACTTGATGCCGCTTTTCAGGGTGAGGCCGGCGTTGTTGAAGAGGATAGTCGGATTTCCAAGACTTTTTACTACCTCGGCATGAAGTGTGCGAACCTGATGAGTTGTGACATCGTTATTCAAGATCTGGATTTGACCACAACAATCTGCGTCCAGGCGAGACCTACTTCATCATATTTGGTCAGATCAGCCTTGAATGCCTCGGCTCTGACTCCTTTAGTTCTGAGTTCTTTAACCAGCTCCTCCGCAGCTGATGTCGATGAGTGATAATGTACCGCAATTGAGCAGCCCATCGAGGCGAGAGCGAGACAAGTTGCTTTCCCAATCCCGCCGGAAGAGCCGGTCACAAGAGCGAGGTGAGGTCGAAGATCTGTTGTGAGAACTGACATAACTGCAGTGCCTTAAAAGAATATCAAGAATTGTTGTGGCCTAACTGACAATGAGATGTTGGACGGGGAAGTTGATGATACATGACGTCGAGTGGGGAGTTCGCTTATCGGCCGCTAGCGTGCCACAACCCCTATTCATTCTTTCCAGCCCCCGAAATTTAGTGAGGTAACAGCGGATGTCTGGGCTATGTTCCGAGGAAAATTTTTCTATTCATTATAAAGCCGTAAACACTCTACAGTCCTGAAATATCTTCCGCCATGAGAAGTTGCAGAGCGATTCAATTTACCATAACTGTGGGGTATCCTAGAACTTTCACGCCAAACCTCTTATTATTCGGAGCCTCCATCATGTACAATTCCACAGTTTATTCAGTCAGAAAGAAAGGAGAACCGCATGCGCAACATCTGCATTCTGAGAGACGGAATCACACCCCGTCTTCAGAAAGCAGTTTCCACCGAGGCTCGTCACATTCGCCATATCAGCTCTAAAAGCTACAGCCCCACACGCCAAATCAGTCGCATTATATGCATTCATGTTCGCACACGCCTGCATACACATATCAAGACTGTATGCCCAGATGGGGAAAATATTTTTCACTTGGCAGTCTTTACCGCAGGTGACTTGATATCTGAACGTTCTGCCGGTGGGTATGTAGAGGTCGGATATGATTTGACCATCCCCGTCGGGACAGTCAAGCGCTAATGCTGCTGGTGTTGGAGCGACGAAGGGGGCAGTAGGATCTGAGCTCGAGTTTGATGGGGTCGAAGAATTTGGGCGAGAGGTATTTTGACCATCGGGTGTTGAATTCATCGAAGATGATGGACTTAAAGATTGTTAGCGAATCACGGTCGAGGTCAATGGTTGCAAGTAACTCCTAAACCTCGACATACCTGGATGTATGGTACTTTTGAATTCCCAAAGCTGCTCCAATAGCGATTGCCACCATGATCATCACAGTGAGGAGAACCGCAAGAACAATCGTTGTTTTCCTCCAACCGCGTGCTTTACCAGTGTCTCGAGCTTCAGACTTCTTTCCGAAACCATGAGAATATTGAGTTGAGAAATTAGCTCCTTTCCGTGCAGCTTGCGCTTCAAAATCATCAGATTGTTGCAATGGTTCTGGGTAGTCATGTTGCGCCGGCACTGCCTCAAGTCCGCCGTGAATTCCTGATTTATAATTTATACATTTCATTGTTGCAGCGGGTCCGTGGGAGAGCATTTTTCTCAAGTTTATCAGGAAGCAGAAAATTTGAAGGTAAACTTGCACTTTATATGCACTGGAACTGGATGACTGAAGGATTTTCACCAACAACCCTGAAACCGTGACGGCGCTCCCGCACCAGCAGCCACCGCGAGCCACACAGATGATTCGACAACGAGTGATAGTTTTCTGTTGGTCTTGCCCTGTTCAGTTTCAGACTGAGATATGCTCGCCCCAGGGCAGCAGAGCATGAACCAATCCTGAAATGCGCCACTGTCTTGCGACCAGACGCACGACCCTAGCCGCCGAAGAGGAGGAGGTTTCTGCAGAAATAGCAACAGGCAGGAACTCTTTGATGATGGGATGCATATTTCTTGATTGTAATACTTATGGCAATAAACTTATCTATAAATCAAACTCCACAAGCAAACACCCTAACATGCTGAGGCGTGCATGATTATAAAGGAAAGGTTCAGGAAGAGCAGCCTGTGTCATCGGTGTTGTCCGGCTGGCGGTTAGCGATATGCAGTGTAACCCAACCCCCACATTATAATTGTGGGGTCAGTATGGGCATTTCCCGGCAACTGAGTTCTTATCAGTGTGTCAAATGAGTAGAGTAGAGTAGAGTAGTGGGTCCTACTCATACTCTACTCAACCAATTATAGCGCTACTCATACTCTACTCATACTCTACTCAAGCTACTCATGAGTAGTATGAGTAGTGTGAGTAGGTACCCACGTGACAGATACACGTGACAGGCTAGCCTAATTAGGTAAGCCTCCCATCTAGCGCCGCTCTAGCACCAAGTTTCTACCCAATTAGGCAATGTCATTGCTTAGTACGCGAGCCAAAGGTCAGGGGGAAATCAAGATTCTAAGAAGTATAACTAGTTTATTATTATAGAAAATTAATATTTAGCTAGTCTTATACAAGCCATAGCTTACCTTTACTGGGGCTACTTAATAAATATCTTTATTATTTAATTATTATTAAATAAACCTTAGTTTATTATTGTCACGTGACGGCTACTCATTACTACTCATACTACTCATGAGTATATACTCTACTCTACTCAAATTTTTAGGACATTACACTACTCATATTCTACTCACGCTATTCATGAATATTCATGAGTAGTATGAGTAGCATGAGTAGTTCTTTGATACACTGGTTCTTATTGTATCGATTCTCTCTTACCCATTCTTTCCATTTGCCTTTAGACTAACCAGGTTCTACCATTGCGCTTGTGAATGCTTTTCTGTTCCTCATCAATCAAGTCCTTTCCCCGCCTTCTAAATTGCAATTTTAGTAGATTTATCCAAATCCTCTTCCATGTGAGGTGTTTGTTAATAGGCAATAAGACAATAGAATGAATCAGTGAGTTGTGAAACCACAGTATCAAATTCAGTACAGAACTAATCTCTGTCCCTCCTGTGAGGTCCAGGGGAGCCTCCTCTAAATAGGAGCTCCCAATAACATACATATATTTAGTAATTCATAAGCCTAAAGCCTATAATATAAACAGTAAATAATTATAATATTGAAGGGGTATTGGTCTCTTTAATTAATACTTGCAACATCCGAGATTCATTACATGCCTTTTGGTCACGTGCGACCCTATATATATTATAACTATATCCTTCTCCTAGAATCTTGTTCTCAAGATCCATTAATTCATTCTAGTAAAACATTTAGTTAATTATATATTTAATTAAGGTAAACTTCTAGTATTTTAAGAAGTGGTTTTACTAATATAATTTAAGTAATAGATATAAAAATCATTTAATTAGATTAGGGCTAAAAAAGCAAGAAGAAATAGTAATTATATCCCAGATATAAGGGCTAGTTAATAATCGCGATTTTATTTAGAAACTAAATATTCTAATTAGTCTGATTTAAAATACTAAGGTACTATTTCATGAAATTAATACTATTTATTGGATCTTATATTAAAATAATCTAAATAGTTTTATAAAAAGAATTTAATGAAATATTTATATAAGAAACTCATATAAATATTTCTGAAATTCTAGAGATTATTTACAGGGTTCTAAAAATATATATTAATTAGTTATACTAATTTTTAATTAGAACTAATATAAAAACTAGTAATTAATTCAGATAATTCTTTATTTTTATAAAAGAACCTCTTTATATTATTATATATTCCTGTTTTTTTTTAATAATTATATATATAATAACTTTTTTAATTTTTGCTTTTTAGCCTCTTTTTTTACTTTTTTTTAAATCTTTTTTAATTAATTTTATAATATTTGGCTTTATTATTTACTCTTATAATAATAAGTATAAAAGCAATCTTATAATCTTCTTTTTTATTACTAGTAAATATTTGAAATATTTCAAGTATTTATTTATTAATTTCTTTATTTTATATATTATAATATTTAATAAAAAGAATTATAATTATTATAATAAGGGTTCTAAATCCTATATATTAGTAAGTTTTTTAGCTTTAATATTTATTAAAGCTAATATGATTTTAGATTTCTTATTATTTATTAAAGATTTACTAGTTCTAAAAAAAATATTATTATAACTTTTAAGAAATTTTTTAAAGTATATTTTAAATAATATTACTAATTAGGTTTTTAAAAACTAGAAGAAGTCTAATATTATATAATATTAGTCACGTGGTATTACTATATGTGACTTAGTATATAGCTAGTACTTTTAGTTTAGTAAATAGCCTTTAGTTTAATTTAAGCTTTTTATTATTATTATTATATTACTTTATTATAATATTTAATAAGCTTTAAAATTCTATTTCTTGTTTTAATAAAGCTAATAAAAACATTACTTAAATTAGTATTCTAAAAATAAGTTTTTCTAATATATTTAAATATTTCTTAATTTCTTTAAAGAATATTATAAAGTTGGTTTTTAAGATATTAACTTTATTATCGAGATTTATATCCAGATTTTTATATAATTTATTAGTAATATTTCAAATATTAATAATATAATACTTATAGTTATTATTATAATTTAATTAGATCAAATATAATAGATTAAACCAGTAATTTAAACTCGGTTATATAACTTTTATTATTATAGTTATAAAATATATAGTTTATATATATTTAGCTTATATAAAAATAAAACTTTCTTTTTCTTTTTTTAGTTATTTCTTTTTTTAGTTATTTCTTTTTTTTAGTTATTTCTTTTTTTTAGTTATTTCTTTTTTTTAGTTATTTCTTTTTTTAGTTATTTCTTTTTATATTAATACTATTAGTTTTCTTTATATAAAAGTCTAATTTATAATATTAGAAATAACTTCTTTAATTGAATTATTATATACTAATATCTAATTCTCGAAATTCTTGGTTTTTATAATAGCTCTCAAAATCTCTAGCTTTTTACTTAATTTTTTTTAAATTAAATAAAACGGCTATAAAATAGCTAATAATTACTCTTTTAATAAACTAATATTTTCTTGAAATAAATTCAAGTTTTTAAAAGCCTTATATAAACTTTATAAGCTCGGCTTAATATAAGAAAAAGTTATTATTATAATTAGTTATCTAATATATTTATATTTAAGAAATTTTAAAAGAAATATATTATTTAAATTATATAATTATAAGCCAAGCTATAAGTTAATATAAAAAATAATATAATTTTAATATTATTACTTTTAATTATAAGAAAAAGCCTTATTATAAATTATATTATAAATAAAGAATATAGGCTAATAAGAAATAATTTCGGAGTTATATAATTAATTAAATATTATATATAATACATAAGAAAAAATAAATAATAATAAATAATAAATAATAATACTTTAATAAAAAAAATTAATCTTTTATAATTTATTATATAAAGTTTAAATATAATCTTATAATTATAGATAAAGTTTTATAATTAAATCGAATTAAATAATTGTTTTTAAAATCCGGTTTTTTAAAAAAAGCTTTATATAGCTCTTATATTAGTAAAAAAAGCCTAAAAATTTTAAAGGCTATATTATTATTATTTAATAAATAGTAATAGATTTAAAATAGAACTAAAGTAAAAGTTATTAATTAATAAATACTAGTTTATATAATATTAAAATAATAATAAAAATTATTTTAGAAATATATATAATCTTTATATTTGAAATATATATAAAACGGGATTTAAAAAATATTATTAAGGCTTATAAAAAAAGAGGCTATATTTATATTATAATAATACTAGCTATTAAATACAGAATTATATATATTTAATACTAATTAAATTAGAGGCTAATTCTAGAAGTTATATATAATAAAAATTAGTATTTTAAAAATATATTAAATTAATAAAATTTTAGAGAAACTTAATTTTAGTAATTTTAAAAATAAATAAATCTCTGGCTTTATAAGAAAAAAAGTAATATAATAAATTAGATTTATAATTTAAACTCAATTATATAACTTTTATTATTATAGCTATAAAATATATAGTTTATATATATTTAGTTTATATAAAAGCAAAACTTTTTTTCTTTTTTTAATTATTTCTTCTTATATTAAAACTACTAGTTTTCTTTATATAAAGGCCTAGCCTATAATACTAAATAAAAATATATATAAAAAATAGCTTTATTATATAAATAATTAAAATAAAATAATATAATAATAAAATTAGAAGGCTTATTAGCTATTTTATTATATAA